ACAAGTGAAACGCGAAATCTGATTTGCGGTGGGGATGTATCGCAAAATTTCAACATATCCGGGGACACAAAGGTCGTGACAATTAAAGCTCGCAACCAAAATCGCGCTGGTGGAATTATTGCATCTTTCAGCAATGGCGTGGTCACGGATGAATCATGGGAATGCGCTGATGCGACATCGTGTTCAACTTCATACAATTGCACGGAATGGTCACCGCCCAAAATTGTCGACTATCATCGTAATATACCTGAGATCGATTCGACAGCAAAAAAAATTTGGTTTAAAAATACACAGGCTACAAAAGTGTTTTGCAGGAGGACTTTTGGTAAGTTCGATCAAGAAGAAAATATCGTGCAGAAATCTATATAGTTCAGGTATACAATACAACTTCGTATATTATTGATGCTACCTTACGCGGGCATTGCACGACTTTAAGTTTCATTTAGAACCAGATGCAAGCCCTGACATATTTGTTATTACCTCCGAGAAACTCTCCCCGGGGGTACCCGGCCCGAGTCCACAGTGTCGTCAAATAAGTGGTCAGCGACTGATCATTTTACGGCACGATTACAGTTGATCTCTCTATACGTATGTCAGTTTTTCAAAAAAGCATGCAATATGTAAATTCTTGTTGTGCGAGTATATATTTACTTTTTATTGTGCGAAAGGACAAGCAATATTTAGTCAATATAAAGAAGAACAAATATGGACACATTAATTTTGTGCAATATCTGCGCATTTCGTACTTCTTAAAACATCTAGAAATGAACATCTTTAAAATGAAACCAAAATTGTCTTTTAAGTGACAATTCCTGATAATCCCTTCGCAGCCACTCTATAATCAGCCCGATTGTCGATAATTTTTGATCATGCAGTAAAATAGGCTTATTTTAAAAGCTCTATATTTGCATGCGTTTAGTAATTGTATACTTGTCGGTCGGTCTTTAATCATCTCCAAACTCAAAGGTACTTCACCTTGTGGTATATTTATAGGATAATATTTACATTAGCTTCATGAAGTTCTTGAAACTGTCGTTTTAACTGGGTTATACATGTCATTGTCTTCACATTTTAATCATTGGAATTAAATAAGACATGCGCTGAAGTTTAAACACTTCACAAAGTCTTGGCGCAGCTGAAGAAGAAAGAAGTAGGAACTAACAACGGCAGAAAAATGATCATCTTTTTGTCATTTTTCATCGTTTTTTGCTTTGAAAAGTCAAATGGTGAGTGAATTGGTATTTTTCTCCGCTTTTATAGTGAAATACGTATTTTGTTTTACGCGTCTGGCAGAAATACGGGGAGTTAGACAAAACAAAACATGTCATAAATACAACTTGAATTTTGATCTTTTTGCCATGCGTATACCTGTACATAAACGTGCATTTATGTGGGTGATATTTATGTTGATTTGCAGAACATTTTATTGATGCCAATACGTATACATTATACATAAAATGCAAACGTATAAATACCTGATACATCTGCAGTAAATCCAATATATAACGGCCGAATTAACGACGACGCTAGTTGTCAGAACGGCAAGTTTACTATGCATTCATCAGTAAGAAAGCAAAATATCTTCATAAATGAAACTTGAATTTTAATATCTATCTATCGCAAAAAGGGAATTATAACTTATATATTAGTATCTGAACACAACAAATTGATCCTGAGGTTAATCCAAGTTTTAAATATTTAGCCGGGCGCCTAAATGTCTTTCATTTATTTGCAGAAATTAGCATTGCAGTCAACATATCTATCGATAACCGTGGGTGTTTATTCAACGACACTGAAAAAAAGCGTATTTTTCACAATGTCGACTGGCAGACACCTCAACATTTCACTTTACCAGGTGACACGAGAAGTGTGACAATAAAAGCCCATAACACGGGTGGTGTTGGTGGAATTCTCGCCTCCTTCAACAATAACGTGATCACGGATGATTCATGGGAATGTGCTGAAATGAATGATTGTTGTGTGACAACTTCCGATTGTACAACATTACAGCAGGTCCAATCCAAGTGTTGTCAGAGCGCGTGTAATTGCGACCATTATCAACCTGAATGGAAACCAGCCGTTACATATGGGAGAAATGATGATACGAGCACAGAATGGCAGAGGGTTAACGGTAACAAAAAATTAGATAACATTAAATCAAATGCACAGTGGATTTGGGTTTCGAACAAAATGGCAAAAGACGTGTGCTGCAGAAAAAGCTTCGGTAAGTTTAAAAGGAATTTGAAGGACGACGACAATGAGGATTATAAATTAGGCTATATTTTGCGTGTGTCATCATAAATTTTAAATCCAATTATCGTACATAAACGTTTTAAAGCGGATGAATTATTTTAACTATTATATTGTACGAATGCGGTGTACGTTATCAAATATACGACGTATGAAATACTATATGCCAGGATAATTGCTATGTGATTATTTTTATGCGTTAATTTAGATTCATTATTGTATGCGATGCCTTCAGTATATACATGCAGTTATAGTATGACCGAGTTCAATTGTGTCTAATGTAAATAATCATCCGTTGTTCCGCATGTCTTACGCGTGACATCTTAGAATTTAAAATATAAAAATAAAAGATAATGAAAATTATTTCTTTTGAATTATTTCTGAATTCCTTCCTACAGTTTAACCGCCGCTTAATAATGACGCTCCCTGTGACCCTGTCCATGTCTATCCAGGAAAAAACCAATTGGGTTTTTTCTGGTTCCTTTTCTGTCATAATGGTTGAACTCTTTTCGTCTCCGAAGTAAAATTTAGACAAAGCGTTGCACTGGTGAATCTCACCATCGATTATGAAAAAAACCTGGGTTGCGCATTCCACTTATATTGAGGTCAAATTTTGAAAAAAATCACCTGACATCTTTTGAATTTAAGATTCACTGTTCTGATTGGCTAGATGTATCACAGATCAAAATAGACATTTATTTGACAGTAATTAAAGCTAATTTGGATACCAAACAATTCGGTTTAAATATACTTTAACAAGGGATGTTGGCTCATTATTAATAACCTAATTTCAAAGTTCTCATTCAATTCAAAGCTTATCCTGTTGTTTTAAGTGCCCTCAAATCATATTTATGTTCGGATATAAAGACTTAGACACTGAGAACATCTTTAATTTTCTTTGCAGCTCCTCTACCTTCGCCAAGCCAGCCTTTAATTCAAACATCTACAGCAGTCCAAGGTAGGAATATTTACATGATTTTAACATCTTTGAATCTAGAAACATTCATTTATACGCGCGTCACCATTTTAGTATCGTGGGTCTCAATTGCAAAATTACTGGAACCAATTTGTTTTTAGCATTTGAACATGGCAGCCCACTTCTTTTAGAATTGATAGAGATTAGAAGATCAAAATAACCTTGTATGATAAGCTTACAGCGGCTTAATTTTCATGTCAGTGTAGTTTTTGCTTGCCCGTTGTTACAGCGAGAAAGCCTTCCGAATGTGTTACGATTGTTCCGAAGCCAAACGTCGTAAAACAAACCATGACAAATCTCGCGTGTGCTTGATGTTAAAATGAATCCAAAATGGCGAAGAGTGTGATATAATTCCATGTTCAGTGAATTCTAAATATACGAATTTAATCCCTGAGATTAGGCTTAAGATTAGATTTAGGATTAAGGTTAACCCTAATCAACCATAAACCTAATCTAAAACCTAATCCTAAGCTTAATCCTAACCTAATTTCAAAGATTAAGTTCGTGTATTTAGGATTTACTGAACATGGAATTATTGAGCCGCCCACAAAAACCGGGAGATCCGTTGTTGCCTGGCTTTTGAAAAACAACGACTTCGTTTTAAACTCACACGTTTTCGTACAAGCTATTTCGTAAACGTCTTTGCGCGGCTTGCAACAACGTAACAATGTATTTCGACTCACAATAGCGTCGTCATATGCAATAAAGGCGATATTTACTTCACAAGTGCAGCTGCTACAACGTAAATATATCCACACGTACATAAGAATCCTTAATGCATGTACACATTTGCGTTTGTGATAATCACTTTACACCTTCCTAACATGCAACCCCCTTAATTTGCCCAGCTGAACATGTTGGAATTGACTGGCTTCGTTGCCAACAAAATAAAGTAATCCTCTGCCGACTTTCTCATACAATATTATTTCTCTCGGGGAGAATCTAATCCAATATATGATAAATTGTTTAAATATAAAACTAATTTAAAAGTATCGTAGGTTTCAATGTGTGACTGTTTTAAACAATTTTTCCCCATGCACTAGCTGCGTTTAAATACACGGATTAAGTCCTTAGGCTTATAAAAAAAAAGCATAAAATCGAGCCTATATACCGATGATTTTAGTTAAACGTTTTTACCCCTAAGGGTCGTTTTAATACGAATTTTTATTACCGTTTTAATTTCGATAAATTGTAGGCTTCTAAATGGAACGATGAATTATATATTATTGGCAATTTAATTTGACCGAAATGACATTTGTCTAACGGTACCCGCATGGGAACAAACTATCGTTTTCGATGGGACCCTGCGGTGTGATTCTACGGAAATCCTGAAACAGAATGAGTTGAAAAGCAAGATACCTGCAAGAACCTTAGATTTGATGCTAAGAAAACAGTTTCTGCTTTAAGAGGATAAAGAAAATGTATTTACATAATCCAAATTTGTTTACCCCCTGACACTATGATAACAGGTTTCACAAAGAGACATCATGTATTAATACTTTTTTTGTTTCAATCGTATTGTCTAAATGATAAAACAGTGCCATTTCAGTGCGATTCACCTGATGTTAAATGGCAATTTTGGATTGCCATTAGTCCACTCACTCCGTGATTGATCGAGTTTGATCGGTTTTCATCAAAAAATCGATCTGCGCGACTAATCGACTTCGATGTCGTTGCTAAGCAATGTGTGACATTTAAATTAAATGCAGAGTGTTTTATACAGTTTGAAATGTAAAAATGATGCCGTTGTTAAAGAAAATTAATATGAATTTGTTTGAGATAAACGCGGTAGTATTAGCTTCCCGGGTTGATTTCGAGCAATACTGAAGCGTGTTGCGAAAGAAGCTGGCACACTATCAGCATATCACGTGTTGTATATGAATTTAAAATGCGCACAAACGGAAGAAGTAAAAAAATAGCATGTCATTAGTTCAAATGGGCGATCGAGATCCATCATTAATAATATATTAGTGTGACTTTTTACGCGAGCATTTGCATTGAAGAGGAGTTTTTGAAGCTTGGGTTCGTATGTACAGTTGGTTGTCATTGCTTGAATTGCAAGGTTATCATGAGTGTTGACACACAGAGAAGCTGAACAAATACCCAAATGATTTTCTTGTCGTCTTCGAATTTCGCGATGGATCAAAGCTTCAAGAAGATGACACGCTCAAATTTTGTGAGCTTTTCAACGCTGTTTTGTGCCGTTTTGATTTTCAATAAAGGTGAGTATTATAATAGTATTGTATATTGAGTAGACTAAATGGTACATTGATGTTTGTGTTAAGATGCATTAAGTAGGAATATATTTTAGCTTTTATTTTAAAAGTAGTGGAAAATATATTCGTTACTTCGTGAAAACTTCCAATTTCGTAATTTATTTTTGCTGGTTAGTTTGATCTTATTTACGCTAAGCAGGTATATATATTCATTCACATGCATAGCGAAATTCGAAACTGTTAATTCTACCTACAGGATAATCCCTTAATAGTTCCCTCAATGAATATCAGTTTGATTAAATTTTGTGTATTGCATTATTCGACTTTGCATCGTTATTATATCGACTTTGTAAAAAAATATTCTAAATTTTCTTAGCCACTTCTCAACCCGGAACTTGAATCCTTCTTTAAAAAGTTTTGATAAAGTCACGAATTCATTCACGAACTTTATAACACCGAAATCGATATTCATATAAAACGCAAATGAAAGACAAATGCGATCAAAACAATTTGCGAAAGCACAAGTTTCAATTTTTACCGCATTCACCGTGAATCCGCCTTCGTTCGTTGGAGATAATCATTTTATAAAAAAAGAGATTATATTGAAAGGTTGTATGTTTTTGGGCGTTTTTTTTTCTAAATGATACATGTCATTGAAGACTATTTGCTTTTTATCTACGTACGTTTGCGGGAAAGTAAGATACACGCGATTGAAATCCATATGGCTTATGCATGCATGGTGTGATTTTTGTTAAAGATCTTCACGAATTATGAAAACTTTAGAAAATTAATTTCTGTGCGTGTACGTCATAGTTACGGTTGTATAAATTGCGCAGCGATGGAAAGTTGAACCATTGTCGAATTTGAAAAAAAATTAAAGAATATTTAAGGTTTTCTGTTCGAGACAAACAAACCAGTATACACTAAGAACACTTATAAAAATTTCAATAAAAATTTGCCGAACTTTTTTAGATCCAAATGTGATACATTCAATTGCTCCAAATCAACCCCAAGCATTGGCGAGCACAAACTTATAGCCTAAGTAGAAAATCCAGGCGCAGAAAGAAATCCAACATTTCCTTCATTATTTTTATTAATTTTTTATTTGAAAAGCTGCTTCATCGCTAGCGGTAACGACTGGGTATGTAGCCGTGGATCACAAGGGTGATGTATCAGCTGATGGCCACGTTCTTCAAAGTCAGTTTAGCAATTGGAAAAATGCTGAACGTGTTGAACTGCCAAAAAATACGCACAGCGTGGTTATTAGAGTAAAGAAGAAAAAAAACGACAATGGTGGCATCCTTGCGTCCTTTGACAGTGGTTTGGTTACGAATTCTTTGTGGGGTTGTACCAATAATTTTTTAATGGAGCACCCGTGGTCTCCAGCCTATGTAGTGGCACTCAATGATGGAGGAAGCAGTCAGTGGAATAAAGTGGTTGGAAATATTAGCCCGAATGCGGCGTGGATTTGGACGGCAAATGAGAACGATGAAGAAGTTTGGTGTCGGAAATATCTCGGTGGGTTGAAGTCTTTGCCAGCGGGCTAGTGGTAGAAGGGGTAAAAAGAGGGTACAAAGGGATAAACTATTTAGCTGCAATCAATCCCCTTGAGCTCGGGTGGATATTTAGGCTAATGGCCAACGAGGCGAAGCCTAGTGTCAATCCGGAGTGCAAGCTCGACAATAATACATGATATTGAACCGGCGAATAATTTTTGGTTTGCATTTTTGATTCATTGTCTGGCTAGATTTTCTGGCGTTTTTTCTCACTCCAGATATTTATAGAGTTCAGTGATTTCTTAAAGTCGATGTCTATATATTCCGTTATTAATTTGAATATCATTTTTTGTCTGATTAGTTTGTCCGAGTTCTTGCAATTAAATACAAACTGATTTAATTATATAATGAAGAATTAACCGAAAGAAAATCATTAATATCTTGGAGCCGGTTGCCGTATGTGAATGCAGTATGAAAATGTAGCTAACTCGATCTTCAGAATCGTGTATTTTCGGCATGTTAGCTACGATGCTTAACAAAACTTGTGAAAATGTTGGTATTTTAAACAACCGAACCGGCCTCAGGGTTTAAGTTAAGCTGAGTCAGGCAAATACTGAAAATTGTGTCAAATATAATTATATAAACATTATTCCTAATTCAATTCGTTTGTTGAGCATATGCTATCTATTTTCCTACTTTTTTAAAAGTAAAAAACTAACTCTTCCAACCCCCCCTGCGCACGCATAATTCTCGTAAACAAATCAGCAGGATTTATCATTCATGAAGCTAAAAATTCACCTTGCTCGTTTTTCATGAAACAAGATTTAAACTTTAGACACTGGCGGCATATTTTTCTTTATAATCGCGATTGTGTGCATTGTTTTTTATTTTTCCACTTTGAACTCGATTTAAGCATTTAAATTGCAGTTTAATGCAAACGCAACCAAATAGGAAAATCTCATTTCATTTGCACGTAAATTGATTTTATTCATCAGCTTATAATTGTACGTGTCACGCGCTTTGATATTGGAAAATTCCACCTCAAGCTCGTCAACACGCGTCTTGTAATCGATATTGAAGCTGCTTTAATTGAAACGGTTGAGATAAATGCTGATAAGATGGCCGTAAAGAAGAAATAAGACAGGAAAATTGTCATACATTTGTCCTTTCGCGGTTTGCGTAAAACATACATACACCAAGGTCGCAGCGTAGGAGACAAGTTTCCTCACTTGGAATGTCAGGTAAGATACATCTTGAACATGGCAATTGTCGAATTGATTTTATCTCGCTTTGTTTGCGTATCTTGTCTTATTCGATTTTAAGACTTCTCTTAATCTATTATTTTTCAACCAGATTAACGTGAGGACACCAGTTTCAACAAGAATCGATTCTAAAATTTAATTGCAATGAAAGTAAGTCATCTAACCAGCTTAATTTGTTTCCCCACGTTCAAGATTCGAGCGTAATTACAACTACTGTTTCACCTGCTCCTTTAGTTCACTCCACTGATAAATTGCTCTATTCATAGAGACTGGCAGAAATAAAAGGATTGTATAAACACTGACTCGTGGCTACGTGTTCTCAACTGTCAGTTGAAATTATCATCGCTTTTTCACATTGTGGCATTGTGAACATTTGAAATCATTTCTACGCGCGTCTTGTCGTTCAAAAGTGCTTTAATGCATCCATTATGAACACTGGAAGAATATTTATTGCTGTTATCGTCGTTCTTGCGTGTTTTGTTGTGAAAACACACACAGAGTTGCCGGAGAAACACGACGATCAGATCCTGGAAGGTAAGTTTGTTAATTTTTCTGTCAAAAGGATCGTAAGGCTCAGATGAGCATAGTTTAATTGAATAACTTGGCGTACTCGATTGCCTTTTAAAGCTCGCAAATAGTGTGTTTATTATTAATGATTTTTTCAATATCAGCCCACAGTGGGAGACAAATAACAGCAGAGAACATAAGTCAAAATTTCTTGCCATTTGTATTTAAATCCTTTCATTTAAACCCTTTTTTCTTATCTCGAAATTTCTAAAGCGAAATTTTGTTTCCGTCAGCGTCGTCCGTTTAAAGTATAGACGTTAAGCCCAAACTCCCTAATATATATCACTATAGGTCCGTATATATGTGTCCTTTATATAAAAATGTATAGCGTAGCCAATATATACATTTTATAAAGCAGGGTCACTGCCTTGGAAAACATTCAAAATTATAGGGTCGTACTACACATACACAAGTGGCGCTCTTCGATTAAAGATTTTCCTAATGTATTTACGCAAAACGTCAATAATTATAATTTCACTTTGGCGTTGTATGCAAACTATAGATACGTGAATGCTATTTTCCATACAGTGCAAAATTTGGCTTGTTGTATATCAGTATACAACTAATTTGTAACAGTATTTAATCAGTTTAAAATCACCTCAGTTGTTGCTAAAAATATTCATGATTAGATTGTAAAAGATGGATAGAGTATAACAAAAGAGGCCTTCAGGCCATATCGCCTTATCCATCGCAACGTGTGTATAACGAAACATCAAGATAATATTCTTGTATGTTTGCATGGTGACATCAATAAGTAAATTAGTTTGTAGGTACACCACGTAAGTATTTAATACTGCAAAGCTTTCGGTCCGTTAACCCGGGCCTTTATCAGTGAATAAAAAATATCCTGCATATTGCACTGACGCAATAAGCCCAACACAAGAATCACATTTAAAATACTATGTTACACATATATAATATTCAAACCGATATTTTGTAGTTAATTTTACCATAAAATATTACTGTGGAGATATCATATTTTTTGTTAAAATTTGGCTTAATGCATTTTATTCAATTATTCATTTAACGAACCAATATATTACACATCTTTGAGGTATAATATTGTCTCGATACTAGAGAAATAATATTCAATTGTTTAATACTGCTAATTTTTTTATTATAGAAAGCTTTATTTTATAGAATATATCTCAGGAAATGGCCATACTGTTTATAATTTTGGTGAAACGAATAACAATATTTCGGACTTTTATATCTTACACATTTTTCTGTCATGTCTAATATTTTTATGTCATTAAATTTTACAGGTTTTTAAGAGTTAACAAGGATAACCAGAGTAATGCGAGCAAGCTCCCAGTGGGCTGTGGGCAGCCTGTCTCGAAATGAAATGACCTTTTTGTGTGTGTTTTAACGACCATTTTTTCTTGTCCGTGAGGGCAGCACATCATTAGAACAAAATATGGATAAATATTTGCATCACAACGTCAAAAAGTTTATATTGTTTCCGCCATAATGATTGCTTTACACATAATATGTATAATTATTTTTCTGTTTTTGATTAATTCCATGCACTGAATAATTTGATGTTATTCGCGCTGAAAAGGCCTGAATTTTGAAAGGGCATTATCTGGATAGGGATGAAGATAATAATTGCGTTGTAAAGTTTACCATCTTCAAACTAATAACAAAAAAAATATACGTATGAAAATATCTCAAATCAAGATATTAATTATTCAGGATGCCTTAATGTCAAGACTGGAACATTTGTTTGACAGAACACATTAATAAAAGCAAATGTTGACAAAATGATAATAATCTTAATGAAAACCTGATTTTGAAAGCCCAAGGCTGAATATCGTGCAATTTGAACCCACAGTTTCGATAGCATGCTGTGGAAGACGCCATATGGGCGGTGCGAATTTTGAAAACAAATCATTTTTATAATTATATCATATTGTTTTGTTATATTACAGGTAAATTATATACGACTTTCACACATAGATTTTTTTGAATCCATTAATTTAGAACGATCCTAATTTGTATCCGTGTCATCAGAAAAATTATCCAAATATTGAAATCTCAAACCTCAGGCTTCTTTTCTCACAAAATTTGTAACTGAAAGTTGCAAAGATTATCATCATTATATAATGCAGCAAGACGCCTATTCTGGCGTTAACTCCGGCGTGCCGCGCACGTGCCAGTCTTCAATAGAAATATATTCATCATGTGATCTTTACTTTTTCGTTGCAACAGGGCTTTCTTCAAACGCGCAAAGCTAGTAAAAGCTAATTTTAGTCCGACTTTATTTTTAATGAATGAAAAATAGAAGATTTGTTAATTAATGAAATCTTTTTAACGCAGGATTATCAATTGCACTTGAATACAGCAAATAAAAATATGCTTCGATATTTGTTTAGGGGAAACTTCGTCTCCCAGCCATACGCCAACCATTAATGCGATTGAATCAAGCACCATCCAGGCTGACGCCAAATCAAGCAACATTAATGCCACACCAATCGTCACCATTGCACAATCGAGCACTATTAATATCAAATCAAGCACTATCGATGTCATGATCAAATCAAACACTAATATTGTGAAATCAAACACCACTATTGATGCCAAGTCTAGCACCATCATCAGTGCCACACCAACCATTAAATGCACCATGATAACACCAGGTATAGTTGCAATCATCAGTGCCAATGCGACTATTCGAATAAACGTTTCATTTGACGATATGTTGTCTATGCTATATTGGGCTATCATTATGTCGTTTTCATGTTTCAGCAAGCTCATCATTGGCGACAGCGGTACTAACACCACCATTGACGACGAATTCTCCACGAAAGGAAAATGTGACATGCATAACAACCATCTTAACGATGCCAACACCAAGTCCTGGTTCATCTTCACGTGCTGAAGGTGAACAAATGCACGAGACAATTTCATTGAAACTATTGACGCTTTAGTTACCAGTTGGACGAACTTTGCAAAAACCAGTTCTCATCGACCACCAGCATGACTTGCATTATTTTGTTGCGTTTTTTTTTCTTTTCATCGTTGTATGGACCATGAACTCTATTATTACTAGAAGTGGAATCCAGGGGGGTGAGCTGGAATCCAGAGGGGGGAGTGAGCAGGAAATGAAGCTCATTTCATATATTTTTCTCTCGTTCCTAGCCTTTCCAACAACTACTTCTTCATCGACCAAAGGTATGTAAAGAAAAGGTTGCACTTGTCGTCCAATGGCCATTTTTTTATAATGACCTCAAACGCGAAATGAAAAATTCTATGGTTCCGCAAAAATAATCAACCAATCAGATTTCATGTAGCATCAGACTTTCCGTGTTTTACACTACGCCTTTTTTGTTTTAGCTTCGAATACGGAAAGTGAAATAGCTACGGTAAGTTCTTACCCATATACATATATAGTCAAATAGAAATATTTCTACGGTTATTCGGTGAGGGACATCAGTTTCGCTGTTCAGGGAACGTGGGGAATGAAAGAGGAACAATTGCCCGAATTCCTACATTGCAATATTATATTGTCCAGAGTTGGTTTAAATGATCCATTTTCTTCTTTTTCCAATTATACGTTTTGACAGGAATATGATAAGATAATAAGCGAATAGACAAGGGATTGATCGCCGTTAGGGTAAAATCATTTTGACACATTTTAAAAACGTTTTAGAAACTAAATGCGGCACTTTTGAAGATCAATAATAGTGAACCAAAAGCTTTTGAGGTAAGTGGATTTAAAAACTTAGGAACACTAGAAATTTCGAGGTAACACCGCGTTTTTTAATATTTTCACAAGGTTGACTTGCCTGGAAAAAAACCCCTAAGAACCTATTGAAGCTATTACGCCTGTACTCTATGTGAAGTTCACTCACACTCAACCTCATTGAGTCTCAATATCCTCGTAAAGATTTCATGACGGTATTTTCGGACGATCGAGAGCTTAATTTTCAATGTTTCAACTTAAATCTTCCTTTTGATTGAGAAAACTTTGCCATTGATCAGTAACAATTGCTTTGTCACACTCTGAGTAGAATTAACCTTTTTCAATACAGGTATTATAGTATTTGACATTATTTGCCGAATCAAGGCGAGATATACGTAAACGGTAAAAGAGTAATTACCGTAAGGGTGCAACCAGTGTCCCAGCCTTCCTGCAACACTATAGAAATGTTTTTTTTAGAAAATCGTCAACGTAACTGTAAAAATTCTCAAGGAAGTGAAGTCTAATGTTACCAACGATTCACTAGTGATTGTCGCGCCTTTACTGGAAAAAAAATTGGTGGAATATGCCGTTGCAAATAAAAAGAAACTATCTATTAATGGATCTATTGACGAAAAAAACGATGAATTCGGTTAGTATGGTTAATGAAAAAAAATTAATGATATTTTAACTTATTTAATCGCACGAGTTAGAGCATTTCTAATTAAGATATCTCTTTCAGACATATTACTGATGGATGTTGAACGTGAGAACAAGTCCACTATTATGTTCCCTGAGCCGGAAAATGAATCGACCCTGAATAACGATATTCCAGATTTCATTGTCGTTCCGGTGGATTTGTCTTCCACAGAGAAGCCAGTCTTTGTGGGGATTCTGTTTCATGATCTGAGCAACAATGATGGTTATGTTCCTGTAAGGTAACTGACGGCGTTTATCATTTCTGGATTAATTGTCATCTCATTTTCAATAATCAGTTCTAAACTGTTCTTCCTTGAGGTCCAGTAAGGATCATCTCTTATTGATCCAGTGTTACTACAGGAGGAAACCTAAACTAAACTAACTTTTTTATACTGGATAGCTCTATCAGTCTAAACTGTTCTTCCTAGAGGTCCAGTAAAGATCATCTCTTATTGATCCAGTGTTACTACAGGAGGAAACCTAAACTAAACTAACTTTCTTTATACTGGATAGCTCTATCAGTTCTAAACTGTTCATCCTAGAGGTGCAGTAAAGATCATCTCTTATTGATCCAGTGTTACTACAGGAGGAAACCTAAACTAAACTAACTTTATTTATGCTGGATAACTCTATCAGTTCTAAACTGTTCATCCTAGAGGTCCAGTAAGGATCATGTCTTATTGATCCAGTGTTACAATTTACCCCAGTGTTAACCCTAACCACTCCACTTTTTATACTGTATAGCACTTTAATTGTGAAACAATTAAGGAAAAATCTAGCGCCTGAAAAATGAATTATCATTGATACAAAACTGACGTATTTCTATTTAGTTTTTCAATGTGTTCTGTTATAGCGATCAAAAGGACTCAACTAAACACAAGTTGGCATCGAAGATCATTTCAGCCACAATTGATCCAAAACCAACAGGGAATATGGATAACATCAATTTCACACTAACTCATCGCAACAAAGCGTACCCTAACTATGATTGTGCCTTTGTGAATGAATCAAATGGAAATTTCTCGATGCATGGTTGTAGTTTGAACACGACGAAAGCAAACCGCACACAATGCACATGTAACCACACGACCAGCTTTGCTGTTCTAATTAAAATTGATGACAAATCAAACGCTGTAAGTAACATGGAACTCAGTGAATGACTAGAAAGATGTTTCGAACTAATTTGATGTACAATCCGTCTTAATTCCGTCTTAATTGATGTACAATCACTACTGGCATCAAATGTGGTATAACAACTGCCTAAATTAGACAAAACACTTCGACGTTTCGACCTGAAGACCAATAACTCTAACTCTTATACTAACTCTAACTCTCCTGACGAAGGCCCTCAGGTCGAAACGTCGAGAAGTGTTTTGTCTATTTTAGGCAGTTGTTATACCACATTTGATGCCAGTTGCTTGAAGACGCTGCCACGCTGCTCCCTGGTTATATTGATCTACAATCATTACTATTTCAGATTGAAGACTCGCATCGCAAGGCACTCTCTCTAATTACGTACATTGGCGTTACCTTATCCTTGATTGGAGAAACATTGACGGTCGGAAGTTATGTGCTACTTATGTAAGTACCCTGCATATATGAAAGGTTTCTACCCCAGATTTACCTCCTCTGGTTTATATACGATGGTAAAATCGCAGATATAGTATTAATTTCGAGCAGAAATCTTTTCCAAAGATAAAGATGGATTTCTTGGACGTCGCTTGGGAAAGGGACAAGTATTTTTCTTTTTGACCACCAAGCAAACATAGCCTAGTTTCTTTCCTTTCTTCAAAACGGCAGTATGACTACTGCGTGCTAATTCGGCGGTCATAAAAAGTCTCATTATTAACTAATATATTCTTTCCAGTGGTTTGAATACGGAACAAGCTCACTTGCATACAAATTTGGCTTTATCATTGGGTGTGGCACAGATCTTCTTCTTAGCAGGAATGAACGCCTCGACAAATCAGGTGTGAATAAATGCCCAATTTCTAAGAATTTAATATGAATTTCAACGTGCGAAGGGCAGTCTAAAGATAGGGTAATCAATTTCTTTTCCTTTCAGGTCGCTTGTCTCCTGGTCACAGCGCTACTTCACTATTTTTATTTGGCAACATTTTGCTGGATGCTGGTAGAGGGATTTCACCTTTATCTCATGGTGGTCAAAGTTTTTACCGAGAGCAGCTACCTGCGCCAATACTACCTGTTTTCCTGGAGTAAGTTCGTGAAATATCAATGCAGGAGTTTTCATTGCTTCTGTTGGTTGCTGTTCTCCATTCTACATACGTATTCATATTTGTTATTGTCTGCATTGTTATTGTTATTGTTTTTGCTGTTGTTGATTATGATAATGATGTTGTTTATTTTTGAATTTTGTTTGGTTCGGTTTTCTTGTTGATGTTTTCTTTTCTTGTTTTTGTTTTGTGTTTTTTTTGTATCTCTGTCTCTCTCTTATTGAATAAAACCTTGTTTTAGTCACACCGTTGATTATTGTTGGCTTGGCGCTTATTGCTGCGGCCGCTTCTCCAAATGGCGTCGGCAATTACATTAATGATGGGGACATGTAAGTACATTAATGCTTAGTATCCATATGCTATCCATAGAAGTCCTTATGTTTCATCTTTGTTTCCAAATGTTTCAATCGTCCCAACTGATATAGTTGATCCGTTGGTTTGCAAATACAACCACCTTGATGGTGTTGGAATGTTTGTTCTCGACCTGTGATATATGTTTTAGTTGTTGGATATCACAAGAGAACAACTACATCTGGTTTTTCGTCGGACCTGTTCTACTTGTTTGTCTGGTGAGTTCAAATTCATTAGCCTCATATAATTCTAGCTTTCTTACGGTATCGTAACGTCAGGGACTTATAAGGATTTATGCTTCGAGCTTTCGTAATCACGTTACTTGCAAAGTACTTGTTATTTCATTCAATATTTATTCACTGCTAGGCAAATCTTGTGTTGTTGGTTCTTGTTGTGCAAGAGATGACACGAATGGGCAAGACAAAAGGTGGTGGACCCTCGTTGCAACTCAGGTAATCACTTCAGCTCAGCTGAACTCGTTTTTCCTGTACATGGTGACTTTATTTGCATATTACTACGTATTTTTGAATTCCAGTTAAAACAAGCTGTTCATTTGAAACAGCAGAGAATTTTAACTGTACTGACTTTTTTTGCCGACCCATTTAGAAAATCTGTCAAGGCTTGCCTCCTTTTGTTTCCAATTCTCGGAACCTCTTGGCTGTTCTGTGTTATTCTAATGCTCGACTATTCGTTGGTTGTGGAATATATATTCAATATTTTGAACTCACTTCAGGTAAAGCAAAACACGGTAATAATTAACCGACACTTTATCATTGAAAAAAATAGTTCAAAAATAATTTCTCTTCCTTTCTTGCAGGGATTTTTCATATTCTTATTTTATGTTCTGCGAAGCTCTGAGGTAGGGAAGCGATAATATGTGAAATTCTCGTAATTCATTTGAAGTGAATGCCAGTATGGTTTCTCGTTTTTACATGTACGACAAACCTTAAAAGCTTCATATCTGTTCATACAAGTACTTCTTTTCTGAAGGCCTTTTTTCTAAGAAATATTTAATAGTTGACCCTAGTTCCAATTTTGTCGTAACTGTCGTGAACTAGTCGCTTTCAACGATGTTTGAAGAGTCTGTTGTAGTTTGGTTTACTTGTTCAAATTCGCCATTATTTACAGCACAAGCGTAGTAATATTGTACTGCATTAACTGTCCTCACATGGTGCAATTACCGTGACATGTTCACAATTACCCCGTCATGTTCACAATTACCCCGTCATGTTCACAATTACTTCTACCGGAAGCAGGCTTTACCATTCCAAATTCTAATATATTTGCACGTGTCAAATTGCAAATGTTACAAATATGATTCTATTCCACCTCATTGACTATTCGGGGGTAATCCACCACCATCCAGGTGCATTTTCTTTGAGGTGAGATCAATCGTCCTGTTCCTCTGTCACCCCAATAGATCCGTAATGTCCTGCAACAGCGGAAGGCGCGCTGGGCGACCTCATTGGATTTGACAAACCATCCATCGACCTTCCAAAAGACCACAACGGCAACAAAGAAGTCCCATCCCACATCTGCTAGTTCTATCAAACCAATCATAGGCAGCTGGATCTCGCCTTCGCCTAACCTGAGAAGAACACCCAGCCCAGTCCTTACACGAAGCTCGCAGTGCTCCGCCAGCCTGCGAAGTACACCCAGCCCGCGTAATTCACCCACCCCGGAAGAATCCCCAAGATCTCTTAAAAAATCTGGAGTGCTAACAACCCCAGACCACTCCAACTCAGGCGATCTGTTCGTAAGTGCGCGACGCACGTTGAGCGCACGTAGCATCAAAGTCGCCCCTCAATTGAATGTTGAGGAAATAGAAACGTCGACCTGAAAGCGATTTCGCCTAATTTCGAATTTTTTTCATCATTTTAAATAGCATTAGAAAAATACACAGGATTTGGGCAATGGAATTTGAGATGGTTTATTCAGAGAAATGAGTTTTTCAAACTTCAATTTCAATGTCCCGTGCATTGGAATGGAAATATGAGAAATGACGCGATTTTCATGTTCAGAGTCGAACGTTTTTTTCAAGTATTCATTGCCCATGTCCTTGAATTTGTTAATAGAGATTAGTTCAAGATATACACTTGCACGCTACAACATTTCCCTTCTATGACGCAAAATCAGCTGTTTTTTAGTGATGAAATCTCGTAGAGATTGTAGTCTGTTTAGTGTTTACAAGAACGAGTCACCCAGAATGTCTCATAGCATGGTGTCGTTTTCCTAAAGTAGGAATTCTTAAATTAATGTTTCCTGAAATCGTGGGCAAAGCCTTGTCGTATTTGAAAGGCGATTCCCCAATACATCCGCTCCGCGTTTTGTTTCTCAGGCCCGTCACGGTCGCATGGGCAGATCTTAAAAAGCCGCTTCGCCCGCGCGGGTTAAGCGGACGGTAATGGAGGATCGCCTTAAATTACTCAACCCCAACTGTTCAGATGAAGCCCTGTTTACACTACACGTAATTTATTGGCACGACAGGGCTAAAATTGTTACCCTTATTCTACCAACTCCAAAGGCCAAGCACGGATGAAATTCGAAACGGGTACCATGACGAATGCTGATGTAGTGCTTCCTGAAATCGTAGAAAGCGATGTCGTTTTTGGCGCGACTGGGCTGAAATTTTTACCCTCAATTAACCAATATAAAGGCAAAGCACGGATGAAATTGGGAAAGGATATTCATTTTAGCCTCAGCGTGCCAATAGGTTTAGAGTTGTGTAAACGGGGCTTGTGTCTACTGCAGCCGTTACCAAGCCTACTTAAATCTCTCCAAAGTCAGTGAGGGATTTTTCACAAGCTTAAAAAGAAATATATGCTCTCCTTCTATCCGCGAGCGAGCCCCGAATTATTTCATAAATGTTGCAATAATCGACTTCCTGCTGAGTATTTTGCAATAGGTCAAACGTGCAATTGATATTTGTTTGACAATACCATCCTGCAACCAGTTTGAATTGTGTTAATTTTTCATTGTGAGACATCAGACGGATATTTATTAATTCCTGAAGCTTTTGCTTCATTTAATACAACAGGCAAAAAACACATTTACCAGCTTGTAATATAGGAGATTGTAAGATAGACGAAGACAGTCCAATATATATTTAACGCATCAACGCTGATCTTTGAAGTTCAGCGAAGAGTGCACTGTAGAAATATTCATTCACATTATTTATTAAGAAATAAAATGCACGTTTTAGATCGCTTGTTTATCGCTGTAAGACCAAGGGTTTGGCTATACGCTATCGATTACAACCAAAATGAAGTGGATATATGGATAATTCTTGATGCACGTATCGTTATGATGATGATATATATCGCTGCAGGAAATTTGAGGAAGTAAAACACTCATTAATCAACACCGAGTAATTTCATCCTCAAATTCCGTGCAAATCTTCTGAAATTCGGGATTTACCAATGCAGAATAACTCCTGTAATCCCAGAAATTTCGAGAATGCAAAACAGGCTAAAAAATGGGTTTATAGGCTCCATTATATATGGATCCTAATTCGAAGAATATTTTCATGTCTTTAAGTATAAGACGCGTCCTTCGATGCATTTAGTCGCTATTTTTTTCCCATTAAAATAGTCAAAATAAAACAAAAATTGGACCCGAAATTCGGCGGAATAACCAAGTTCCACGCGAACTTTGGACTGAAAAACCCACATGATTTGATATTCAGAAAAGCCCAAAAAACGCATGCCGAGATTTGAAGTATTTCCTCATTCCGCCACTCCAGCGTGGATAAATATTGCTCAATATGGAATAGTTTGAAATCAAGTGAGCGCTTCAACTTTTTGTCTAATAAAAAGGCCCGGCCCACAATAACAATTATCACTTTGATACGGAATGGAATATTTGTATAGGTGTGTATCACCAAGCGATTGTTCCAAATCAAGTACTCACCACTGCTGACGTCTAAAAGGGTGTATCCGCTGATTACGAATAACGCTTATCCAAAGCGTAAGTGGGTCACCATAGCAACGACCGCGTCATCAAAACGACGCATCACGCGTCCAGAAGCTTCGCTTTTATATTTCGTCTTGGAAAGCTGTTATATCAGCCTGTAAAAATAGACAAATTCTCGAACTTTCTTTTAATATTAGAACGGTTTTGACACACCCTTTGGGAGTTTTTTAGAAGGGATTTTCAGTTTGAAATACCGTTTCGCCGTGTCATTATAGATCGATTTTGAATCATAGATGATTTAATATTGCTGACGTCCATCTACTAATAATATCGGCTCATTTTCGCATGCCAAATTTAGTTCACACCAAATCCCCTATTTCGAGAACAATGAAACTAAATCGAGGTATTTCATATGAAGTTCATCCCCTACTGATTCAGAGCATACAATAACTGTGTTCAGAGAGAAAATATCTGACTAATATAGTAAACAAACTTTATTTATACTGGATATCAGCTCTAAACTGTTCTTCCTAGAGGTCCAGTAAGGGTCATCTCTCATTGATCCAGTGTTACTACAGGAGGAAACCTAAACTAAACTAACTTTATTTATACTGGATAGCTCTATCAGTTCTAAACTGTTCTTCCTAGAGATCCAGTAAGGATCACCTCTTATTGATCCAGTATTATAATCTACAGGAGGAAACCTAAACTAAACTAACTTTATTCTAGATAGCTTTATCAGTTCTCATCTCTTATTGATCCAATCTTACTACGAGAGAAAACCTAAGCCTATGGCTTTACTGTGAGTCCTCTAAACTCTTAGGAGGTTCATTAAAGGCCGGTAATTCTTCAATATAGCTCGTCGTTTCCTATATCCAGGAAACCAGAACTCAGTTCAGTCCATGTAGCCCAGGTAAGTCGAAGCCTGATACCTTTAAGTTATGAGGATGCTGCATGAATTGCTGGCAAAAATCAGATTTAATTTTTCAACTCGACAAAAGGACATTCATTACTATAGCATATATTACATTTGTGTATATGTAACACATACATTGTGAACAGCATTTTGTTTATGTTCACAGGAAAGCTTTCAAATGCCTGGGCGGAGAGTTCCTCCCCCGCGCACCGTAGGGAACGATCAAAGAGGTTTTTTGTGCAGTAATTTGTTCGAGCTAAAGTTAGCCATTGCTTGATCAAGTTAAACAACTTCGCTATAGCAACACCTTACTCTTTCATTTAGATTACACAACGCAATAATGAAAAGTGGGCTTCGCGCTGAGGAAGCGCCAAAAATTTTGCTATGAGAAACACCACTCCTTTGTATACATTGGCAAAGCGACCGGACAGGTGTAGAAAGAATAGTTGCATTACCACCCTTGAAGTTCAATAATGCTGCTATAAGTTCCCTCAAGCTAGATAACAAGTTATCGCGGAGTTTGATCAGCTTATTTCCGCCTAGCCATGAAGGCTGTTCGCGTTTTAACTTCCCATCTGATTTTATATTACCTCAAGAAAAAACGCCTTTGAAAACTTGAAAGCCAGACGTGCTGCCTACTTCATCATTTTTACTATATCCGCCAGAGTTCCTTGCAAACATATGAAGCACATTACACCCCACTTAAACTCTAAACCCACGTTCAGTTTTCACGATTTGTTTTAGCTAACGTATATGCTGTAGGAATCATCATGTTCTGTTTAGGTCAATGAATCGCGAATCACTCCGGCACATTTTTACCGAGTGAATGATTGTGTATAATCGTGTGCAGACTTGCTCAAATTTCACTGAGTCAGAAGTAGGAACTATACAAGTGCGGATATATATATATATTATATACTGATGCAATCGATATCAGAATAATAATGATACATATATAATGCTGTGTATAAATAACACTGGTCATAGTTATATTAATTCCTTGCCCAATGCTTCCGACAGGGATAAATTTTCCAGCCAGGAATGATTATGGATATGCTGACGATAGACAGACAAGCAAATTCATCCTACAGTTCTGTCTCTCGTGATCAATCTGCCTAATAATCATTTCTGGCCGATACGAGCAACTGCATATGGCAATAAGGAAGCTGGCATGATCAACTTTCGAACTACGATGACTGCCAAAAAATCTAGCGCTTGCATGTTTTTTATCATAAACCCGAACAAACATAGAACTTAATTAAGGAAAAGGAAAATGTCCCTGCAGGCCGAAGCGAAGCATCAGTCAGTTTCCCAATTATCTCATTTCGTGTCAGTTTAGTCATTTATCTCTCAGCCTTCGGGCTTTTAAGGAAACTTGTATCGTGGGAAATCGTAGAGTCCGATCTATCTATCTATCGCAATATTTTAACAACTGCATGACAACGCGAATTAACAGTCTGGTTGAAATAAGTAAAATTTCCATTCAAGGCATTGAATTGTGCAGATATATATAGAGAAATATCTCGCTTTTTAACACTAGTAAAGTCAAATATGCTTTAAGTTAGCTTTGGTATGCCGAGTTGAAAAAGGAAGATTTGACTAAATAATTACCGGTTACCTTGGTAATCGAAATTATATGTTTTCCAGGTTTGTTCCTTCTACAGCGCATGGATCAACTAAGACCGAGCCTATAAATCACAAGGCGATGTATTGTATGCAAAAAAAATACCAACAATTGCCAGCATGCATTGACAATTTTATGTTCCTCGTTCTCCTAGCTAAACATGTGTGGGATTATAGTAAACAAACACTGCGGAGGATGGCGCCACCTGAACATCACCACCTTCATGCATGTGAAGTGTTTCCTTTATAATTCACACCATTCGCAAGTGACCAATGACTAATGTTTATATAATTATACCGAACTCTCCCATGAATGTACAAAACACATCTGAAAGACATCTCTTTTTAAGAGCGCTCAAGAGGAACTATATTATTTTTAGGTTTTACCAGAATTACGAGTTTGCGATGAATTCGCATACAGCGCCATTTGATTGTGTATGTGTACATATAGTACAGCGCTTTACTTGAATATATCTATATATCTTGTATGTGCAAGCCGTGGAAAGTTATAAGCCCACGATCCAACTGTCACTTTCGAAACTATCTGCCCAAAGTCGTTTAATCGATTTAAAGAGCTAAGTAGAGTAAAATTAAACTTTAACGATTGAAGGAAAAGATAGCATCTGCAATGCCATGCAGCCATTCTAGAAAAAAATACTTCTAATGGCACAAGAGATGTACATATATAGTTATATCATCAAAACTTTGGCGCTCGGCCCAAATTCATGCGCTTTATTTTTGTGACCAAAGCAACAATTTCCAGATAATCTTCCTCGATCGCTTTTGTTTGACCAAAGTCAATCCATCCAGGATTAATTAGTATTACGTTAAGCCTTTAATGACCTCTTCTTAGATAAAACTACCGCTTCAGTTAAAGATCGCGTTTATCGCATTTACGATTGAAAGGGAAGTCAAGATTCTCTAACAGTAGATCTTATAAATTCACATTCAGGATCTGTGCCTGAGATGCTAGCCTTAAAAATCTATTGCTTACAATCACTATTCCTACAGATTGCAGTGGACAATTCTATATACTGTAGATACATTCCAGCATTACCAGAATTCTTCACAAGGGTTGGGTACGATTATTTGGCAGAGTAAAGGTTCGAAACAAAGTTCTAAATCAACAACCGTTACGAGGGCATATGCATGATGAGTGAGTTGTGTTACCTGATCTCGTCACCCTAAATATGTGTTTCCGGAATTTTATAACACAGTTACTTCACAAAAGCCAACATTTATCGTTTTTTGATGGGGGGATATCTGCGTGTGTTTTCACACCGAAGAACCGGTCATTGTGTGCAAATGGACACGTTTTTTAAGGCTATTATAGTCAGAAATATCCTAGACGATGTATACTATCGTCGCGACATGTACCCTGCGGGTCAACTAGCGGGCTTTTAACATGAGAATTGAACCGATGTGACATAATCATCGTTCCCAATCGTTGTATAATAAGATCTAGATTCTAGTCTTTCTAGATCTGATTGTTTAACACACGTATTGTTCTCGTACGACGTGGTCTTACGTGGTCAAACGTCTTTTATTTTGTCCAGTTTTAGTTGATCAAATCAGAAAGATTTTTAATAGCGATACCAAAGGAAAAGGTTTGAAACACAGGCCTGAAATTGATTACAATATATATCATTGTACACGTTTATAGAAATAGCGTAATGCGAATTGCTATATTTAGTCAGAACCTATAGGGGATATTCACTGTACCACCATACATCGATATTGGACCTCTGAGTCACCCTCAGATGACTACTTCATGACCAGGCATTTCTGACAGAGTGACAAGGCGCTAATTATCCCTGATGAAATATTCCCTGTATACTAAACGGTTCACGAGGCACACAGATATAGTGACAGGAAGTGCTATTTTTAATGGTGAATTACTCAAGTGAGTATAGTCACATGATTCGTCAGGTTGTGGTTATTCTGTCCTATGACCATTTGGTAAAATATTCTCGGAAGTATAGCTTTGAAACAACAATCATTTGTGATCTTATATCCAGCGAATCGTTGGACAGGAAAATTATATTTGTCGTCGGCGAGTCAAAACAAAAAAACTTTTAAATATATTCCATCTAAGGCGGATTAAAAATATTTAAAAATGAAGAGTTTTTAGTGGTTTAAATTACAATCAGTTACAAACATTAATTTAATAGCCTTTAATAAACTTTTAGTTTACATTTTGTGCTGCTGTCTTCAAAAAAATATCTTGTACTGTCTGGACATTTTCGAAATGAATATCAGACAGGGTTAGTTCCGAAGAATCCACTGAACCATCCGGAATTAGAGCAAAATTTATTCAATTTAAATCACGGAGTTCCCCCAAAGGCCAAAATCTCTGAAATGTTATGTCTTATAACTAGCAAAAGCCGCCCTTTATAATTAAACTGAAACGGTAACAGTGTTTTCAATTATAAAACCTATAGCATCCCAGTAAAATGAAACGAAAGTATAACATCCCAAGTTTTTGTTTTCCAAGAACAACTATATGGTCGTAATATCCCAGGCAAATAATGGCTTTTGTTTTAAAACAAAATGAAAGTGAATAATTCAACAAGGTTTTATAGTTTCTTCTGAGAAAATCCGAATCGTTTATTCGCCTGTGACGAATAATTACGTTCAGCACACCACGAAAACCCCGCGCGTTTTTCACTTTTCCAGCGTTTCGAATCGTGTTAGTTCGCTAGAACGCGTCCTAGTTTAGGTGTGAGCCTGTGTGGGTCAATTAGGCTATCGTGACGTGCCTACCTACGTTATTAATTAAACTTTAAAAAAAAGCTGTACACAATATAAGCATGACGTATATTCAAGATGAATAATTTATTCACCATTGAAATAGCTTCAAAAAGGTTGTTTAGCTTCATGTGATATGTATCATTGTGTAGCAAATCATTTTTCCGTTAAAAACGATAAGCGAAAGTGATAATGTTGTTTTTATGATAAGGAAAAGCTACCAGGAATTTTAAAACGGGTAATGACATGATTTCTCGGCAAAAATATTTTTAGAATTGGAAAAATCCAGCCTGATATTCAAATGAAAATAGCTAGAAAGTTTCTTTGCCTTTGGACTTTAGTTAGATAACATGAATATGTAGATATGATGCAATTCGATGACGTGCGTATATTGAATCACCAGCATTAACTGTCCTAATGGAGGGATGGAGTGGAGGTAATTTCAGGGAAGTATAAGTAAACGAAGGATTGATTTTTGCTGTGTATGTAGAGCGATTATTTTTACGCACTACGAACGTAGTTGATGCGCAGAAATACATAAGTTTGCAGATTCCAGGCAGGTTTTTCATTTCCGTCCCTCCCCCCCACGCAAAGCTCGTCAGAGAACTTCCTGTTGAGTGTTGTCATCTATAAAACTTTTTCGCAATCATAGTTTTCAAACAGTCAAGTCAAGACACACGGAGTGTTGTGGAGGTAGAGAGATGGCAAATGTCCGTATTATCGTTGAATATTAAGCAAGGAAGTACATAATCACACACAGATACGACGAAATACGAAAAGAAGCTACCGAAATGGAATTTGTAATAGAGAAAAGACAACGCGATATCGTCGAAAAATTCGTCGACCGCATTAAGGAACTGTACAACGTTGAAATCATATTTGCCAATGGCACAGGTGATAATGTCTGGGTCGAACTAATAGGAACACAAAGAGAAATGGCTAAGGTATGTGAACTTCATTCGTTTCGATCTCGAAGATGTCGATGTAAGAAGTTATATAACGCTGTACTGTGTCATATTCAAAGCAAAACAATGGCGAGAAATAGATATTTAATATAATTCGCTACCACAAAAGCCTTTGTGTTATGAAGGTTTTTTGTATTACCGAAAACATTGGACTGTTTTGCTTCGAATATGCTGTCCAAGCATAGGTTTTGTCACGATTTATACATGAAGAAATCCAATCGGTTTTGGATTATTTTGCTAAACTGAAAACCGCAATGGTGGCAAAATATATTTATGCCCTTTAAAACATGACGGGGCATATAATCGACAAACGAATGATGTAGTTGCTATATTTCTAAGCAGAAATACAGGATTTAGAAGCAGATTTATGTGTTTTATTGGGCAATTTGAGTTGCGAAACGTTTCTTGTTGACCGCGAGCCAAATTTAAATTTTATAATCATGCAAAGTGTGCTCAATGCGTAGGAAACTAAATATCAAATTTCAGAGATTGAACTACGTATTTGTAATGCTGATCGTAATTCTACCGTTTTTCGACTGCAAGGTATCAGCATATGTGAAAAATGAGGTTTGATTCTTATATTTGTGGCTCACAGATGTAAATGTTGCCGCGGTGGTGGGCAATTAATCGATTTGAAGGTCTTTGAAGTGACACAGGAAGTTCATACCTTACATATTTTTGCCCGCGTAATACAAGCAATTATTTTGGAACAAGTTTACCATAAACAAATTTGTGATAAAACTTTGAATGTTTGCCGTAGTATTCAATATTTATGTTGCTCTAATTTGCAGAAATATATTCAAGCACTGACAAATCCAGGGCATGCAAAAACTGTCCTAATTCCACCAACTTTGGTCAAGACCTTTGGACCACGAACTAAGGAGCATTTCAACCTGGAGAAGGATTATGGCGTTGTTATTCAATTTCCGCAAGACACAATTGCGGTTATAACTGGCAGTAAGGCAGATGATATGCCGGCTATGCTTGCTGGATCGAAACTTGAGGACCTCATAAGCAGGCATTCCACTAAAGAGATGCAACAGCAGCGACCTCAAACAACCTTGTCTCAGCCAAACCGAGCACTTCAGGATTTTGCTTTAAAGCTTGGTTACGACAAGAAGCAAATAGATGCAGTTTTTGATAAACTTGGGCCTACAATTGACAAAAACACGTTTTTAAACGAGCTCATAAGCATTTCTGGGGCAAATTCAAGGATAGGTGATGACCGTTGGTCAAACGTTTCTTCTAGAATGGGAAGTATTGTTCAGCCGGATGCTTGTCGTAGTGGAATGCCACCAACAACTAGTATGTATTCTCAAGGTTTTGCGCCTGACTCTGCTGTTATTGCAAGAGGCCTGGCACCAAGATCTTCGGGTCGACCAACTCCACCAACAAGCAGTGCTCAGGGCTACCCGAACCATGATTTTGTACATGTTGGTAATGGTGTTACAAGCAGGTACAATAGAGACATAAACATGCTACCCATGCTTAATGGTGGTGTTGTTTCGCGAGGAATGATTCCAAGAACAACAGCTGCAACCAGCCAGATCAATTCCGCTGGTGTTACAGCCCGCAGTGTTGTACCAAGGACTACATCTCAAACCACCCAAGGTAACAACAATATCTACACATGCCCAGAATATGGCAACATCAAGAAAGGAGGTGACTATGGATTGAATACTGATGCTCCACCACAAGTCGATTTGATGGTCAACGCAATGATGTCAAAATATCAACAACTTCCACAGTCAGATTTGCGGCATGTGGTAATTGATGGGAGCAACGTTGCTATGAGGTAAGTCCTTAAAAATGTGACAGATTCATATATGAGTCATCATTACATACGTGACTTGGCCAAAAACAGGTTCAAGTGTATATGTCAAACTTCCAATGCCAGATCTCATTCTGGAGAGTTAAATATTGTGCTCTCCTGGTTAAGAATCTTACCAAAAGAAATTTTCAAGTGAAATCGAAAATGTCTTGCGTTTCCTTGAAACAAACCTCTTTGCGGAATATCTGAAAGGGAACTACTGTGGGCTTCCTGTAAACACGAATTTTCATTTAAAAGCCGGTAGCAGCTGTGCTTTGAGTCTAACAGCTTGAACAGGCAGATATAATCTTTTTGGTAAAAAAGCTAATGCAGCCAAAACATTACTATTTTTGAACCTTTTGAAACACAAAAAAGCACATCACAGGGACCCCAGTTGGACTGCTGCTGTTCTTTAAGAAATTAACAATAGTTCGCCTTTTTATTGGCAAGTTCTTTGCATGATTAAAATCTTCTGGAATCAGTCAGATTGGCTAAGCAAATTTTAAAAAATATGCATTAAAGGACGTTGTTTTAAAGAGCATTTTATATGAAAATGGATAGAATACAAAGAAGTATTTTATTTGAAACCTGCTGTGGCGGTTTCATATTAATAGCAAGTGACATTTGATTGTTAACCCAAACAAGGAAATACCTTGATACCAGAAGTCAATGCTTTTAAATCAAACATTTAAAATGGTGACAGATAGTCATGTTTTTTTTTCTGTTTACTTTGGAAATGGGAGCTTGAGAGTTACAAGAGATTGTGCATTTTCCATTCTTCATTTCAGCTTTCCTCATAACCTAGGCTGTCTAAATTAGTTGCTATGCTATGTGATCTTTTAAGGAATAATGTTTACTTCAAAAACTGAAGATAATAATACTTTTGCATGCTGTGTTTAACCTTATATGGGAACAAGCAAGGCCAGGGACTACTCAACCATGGCATTGATATATTATTTAATGGACAAAGAAGATCTGATCTAAAGACCTTTCCATACAATCTGTTGAATCATACAGCGTGAAATAGGAGCATTTATTTCATCGGTCAAATGCAATTAAAACTTCCCATTTCACTTTTTCATGCTTGCAATATATCATCAGTTGAAAGACATCATATACAAACAGGGTATTATATATAATTTGAGGCTTTAATATGACACAGGAAGTCTAAAACGGGTTGACGCGGAAATTTGAACCGAGGTTGCACAAGGTCAAGCATCTTGATTATACAGGAAGTTGAATTCGAACCGCAAACATTGGCACATGTTCAAAGACTATGCTCTCTTTTACATCAAAAACGTGCTGAACAAGCACGCACTAGAATACTGTTCCTTTTTCCGAGTAAACTGAAGCCATCTCTCCGGGAGTTAGCTCTCTGGAGGAAACGCAGAGGTCTTACAAATTTCTGGATAATTTCATGACCACAGGCTGTGTGCCATCAAAATATTTATAAAACGCAACTGATAACTTACACCAAATTACCGTGAATAAAAGTTTAAAATCAAAGCTTAGACACTAGGTGCATATCCTGTCTCGCTAAAAAGGCTTCAGTGACAATCAGTTGCAGTGAAAGAATAAACAATATCTTTTTTAAATCCGAAGCGTGGCCTCACACAAGTCCTGACTTTTATTTCCTTTTAAATATAAACATATTTCCTTCGAAATGAATGACGGTAGACACGATTTTCCGCATGTGATGGGTTGGTTTGGGAAGATTTTGAAGTTTTTTAGGAAGTATTTTTCGTCTGAAAATAAAAGGGGAAATTATTTTGCCAATCAAGTTGATAATAATGATGCACGTATTATTTTGATGTTTTGTACATCACCATGTCATTTGACACTTTCTAATTTATTTATTTCTCTCTTTCAGCCATGGCAACAACAAGATTTTTTCCTGCCGGGGCATTGCCTTGTGTGTTGATTGGTTTCGTAAAAGAGGCCACAATCAGATCACCGTTTTCGTGCCAAGCTGGAGAAAGGAGTCGCCCAAAGTCGACAACCCGATCACTGATCAGCACATTCTCAACCAGCTTGAATCCCAGGGCTTCATCACGTTCACCCCATCGAGGAAAATCAACGGTCGTCGTATCGTGTGCTATGATGATCGCTTTATCATCAGACTGGCGGAAAGCACGGACGGAATAATCGTGTCAAACGATCATTTCAAAGATCTTGCTTCTGAGAATCCGAAATGGAAAGAGGTGATCGAGCAACGACTGCTGATGTACTCCTTCGTCAACGACATGTTCATGCTTCCCGATGATCCACTCGGGCGCCATGGACCCACCTTGGATGAGTTTCTACACAAGGGTACCAAAACCCACCGTAGGGTGTGCCCCTATGGCAGGAGGTGCACCTATGGTACACGTTGTAAGTACCATCACCCGGAGAGAGAGGACCCCAGGCTACAGATGTATCAAAGTCTGCAATCTCTATTCCCCAACCAGGAAAAACTCATCGTAAGCGTCATGAAAAAGTATCCGAACGAGAAAGACGCTGATAAACTAGCGAGTTATATCCTATCAATGAACATGATGCATTAGAGCTTACGTGGTAATCTACGCTTTAATTAGACTAAAAGGGTGGTGGACGAATATACTGGTGGAAGAGAGAGATCGCATCAAAAAAGTAGCCGCATTGGGGCCATCCAGTCCTCAGCAAAAAAATACAATTTGCTCGCTGGCTTTAGGAAGTGGTAAAAAGGAACTGCTTTTAACGACGAGTTATACTGGCCACGTTGACCTCAGGACTTTTTCGCTTCCTTTTTCACTCGAACAAATTCGGGCCGTGTGTCCATTCGTGAAGAACGAAATGGAACATGCAGCACATAAACAATTGACTACTAGTGTTTGCAATTTTCTCATCTTAATTGTAAATAATTTGTAATTATAACGACGTAGGTTATCTAGGACACGATTGTAAATATCGCGAATTCTGTGATTTTTTTACTACCTCAAAAGGACGTTATGAAATTGGGTTATCGTTTTCAGACCATTAATTTACGGTGTTTTTTCGTATGAAATTTAGTACTCTCTATGAGAAATTAATTTGGATGTAATTATGTAAATAGATACTCCAGGAGAAAAAATTCAGTCAGGAAAGCCGATAAAACAAGCCAAATTAGTGATTAGCTAGTTTTTCCAAATTCTATTTTAATGTTCCAGTTGAAATTTTCAGGTAGCTGTCGTTTGTGGTGATGAAAACAATTTTGAGGCTTTCTTGACTGAGATATTTGTGTGTATGGGGGTCAATAATTTTTAGCAATAAATAATGCACTGTGTGCCTTTTTAAGCGTTCTTTCTGTAGTGTTTTGACGATGGCATTATTGAAAATAGTCTTCATAATATCTAAACAGGGGTTTGTTGGTGGAAGGGCTAAGAAGGGTCAGCCCTTGTTTAAAAATTCTGTGAATTGGGGTACGACTCTTGGCCCTTGTTAAAATTTTGTACCAGGACAAGTATCTTTCTCAAATATTTCTCAAATTATAAGCATAATTCATTACAAATTTAATGCACATAATTTCGTTACCACACGTGACATTCACATGGAATAATGAGGACTAAATTGGTCCAGTCACTGCAGTGCTTCAACTCAAAGCCTCGACGTTTCTCTACGGAAACACATTCAAAACATTGAACAGTAGGTGAGGCAGCCACCTTGTACAGCCTGAATATTGGCCAAGAATGTCTGGCTAGGAAGATGGCATTACGCATGCGTCGTAATGCGACATTCGCGACCACTTTCAGATGAAAGAATCCGAACACAAGTGGCACATCTGGGCTCTCGTTATTCAGATCGTATTCATCAAACGGCGCCGAGACAAACTTTGTGTCATTGTCTGACCATATGGTCCGACAAAGCTATATATTAATATGTTCGAAGCGACGCCGAAGGCAGAATTGTTGGAAATAAGCAAGAAGTCCGGATTTGATGTGCTCCACGAAGATTTCGCTAAGTATCTGGACGACTTAGATCCGTTAAAAGAATTCAGAAGTAAATATCACATTCCAAAGAACTCGGACTTACCATTGGGTATGTTTACAGCGGTATAATTTATATTTCTTTTATCAGATGCTAATTATTTATGACTGAACATATTCTGTCAGATTATGACTGAGCAAACTCCATCAGACTTTTGAATAGAGTTTTCGGCATATGATATTTGTATCTTGTTTTATTTTGCCCGTGGTAAAGTTGTTTATCGGCGGCGTTTGTATGCTCAAACGTGGAGGAGGTTTGGGGGTGTGTACGGTGAACAAAATGAAAGCTATATCGCACTTGGTCATAATATAGCTGATGAATACGGGAAAGTTAAAATAGCAGTTTTGTAAAGTTGTTTTGGTCAAAACACTCGCATGCCAGGGAGTATATTTTGAATAATACAAATAAGATTTGAGGTTATTCTAATGACGTGTTGAGTACCACTTTAATACCAGACGTGCTGTGTTACACTCACTGAACTTGGATAAGAGGTGCGGGAATATTCGAAGCATGTACCAGAATTGTACCTTGTACCCAGGGTGGGCAATTTACTGAATGAATAAGCTTTAAACAAAATTTTGCTGAATAAATTCGTTTTAAACAAAAAAACAATGGTTATTGGCATATATATTGATATATTCAGGAAATCTAAAAACTCTGCTTATATCTAGTAAACTGTAAAGTAAAACAACTTCAGATTGTTAATTAAACAGCTGTCTGTATTAGGCAACTTCATAGTCTACAGGGGAAGCCAGGTGACTCCCAAGGAAGTTTCAGTGTATTCAGGGTACTAGTATGAAGTGAGTTGATAGATACTATAAGGGCCGCTCTACCTGTGTTTTCATCATGGGGATGCTAAGAAAAGTTTTTAAATGGGAGATAAGATATTTTATTTAAATATTAAGTATTTTATTTCATCCAAATAAGTTTCAAAATATTGTGACAAACTTGGAATATATGATACCTTCAACACCTCTTTGGCGCATGCCTCAGCTATGAACCAACAGCTAGCCTGCTCCGCGAGAGGTGGGGAAAGCTCCAATTTAATGTAAGACAATCTAGATTCTTCAACTCTTAAGAATTCTTAAGTGCCCATAACTCTCCCCCCATATGGGTTAATAATTACCACAGGAAATTCAAATCACAACCAAGTCACACCAAGAGTGCAACTGCAGGTACATAGCAAAAAATCCTCCAGGGCACTTAATCAGACATAGTAGCCTCTCAATAGCTCTCATGCAACTTTGTACAAACAAATTGTACAAACAAATTGTACAACCGCAGGCCTGGTTCTCAAATTGTTTAAAATTGACTAAAGCACAACAATGCATCTTTGTTTTGTCAAAAACTAGACTTGTCAACATCATTGATGGTGAAAACAAACTTATACAGTTGTAAATGGCTTAATATTTCTGTCCTGATTGTGTTAGGACATTTATCATTTGAAACGTCAGCTAATCCCATGGCTGTCATGGCTTTTAACATGTTCGAAAGCCTAAAAACTTGCTGAATTCTTGCTTCAACGGCTCAAATTTGAAACAAATTTGAATAATTTGTGATGAAAATAATACTTTTCTTAAAAAATACATTAAACTTCCATTGCGAAGCTATATGAAATACAACCCCGTATTGATGCCATCTGCATAAAGTCTTTCCAAAAACCAGGAGCACAAGTTAAGTTTTTGTCGCAAATTTTTAGAAACAAACAGGTAGAGAAAAACTGTATAATTTAACCAAGTTACTAGTTTTTGATAACACAGCTACGAAGATAAATAAAATTAAATCGTGGTTTACCTTTGCCTTGCCTTTGAAATTCAAAATTTCAGGCGAATCTCGTAATTCAAAACAAACATGTAATGACCGTCTTTATACGTTCCATGTCTTACACCAACAGCTATGTTTTCACACCTCAAAAAGCAAAGCTCTCGAGGATAATTCTTCGCGACAAAATTTCTCGTTTCTTCTGCTGAAAGCAACGTGTTTTATCAGCAAGATTCAAAAATCAAGACAAGTGCCAGTTCGACCAGACAGCTGGCGCCAACTCAGGCAATGGCTTCCAAGAATGTACCAAAGGCTTCGAAAGTTAATTATTTGAGTAATTTGTTACTTACTATAGTCTCGTATAACCGTATTTGGGACTTTTATTTTTAGCATTTTTAGAAATAAATTATTAAACCTTTTCTAAACGAAATCAGCCATTTATTTCAATGTTATCCATAACTGTTACTTTGCGTTTTTAAAAATATAAATACAATACCGGGGTTTTTTCGAAAGTCGGCGAAAAAATTCTCTACCTGCGCTTTTTAAAGGCAGCGTTTATCGGCGTGAACTTTGTATCCAAAAAAATTCGGATTGTGGCTTTGTAAAATGGATGTTGAATTGTAAAAAAAATTATTATATGTTACCACAAGTACTCGAAAATTTACTCTATAGCGGCGGATAGGTAAAATTAGCCATTTGCAGAAAACTATGGTTTGCTGTCAACCGCCGTTGAGTAAAACTACTGGCGGTTGAGTATAAACTGCTGTCGGCGGTTTAGTAGCTTCGAATAAATCTGTAATCTTTACCTTTAGTTGATTTGACGGTAGTCGAAGCAGATGAAACATGCGTGTATTTGTGTGGACATTCATTGGGACTGCAACCCAAGACTACCAAGGAATACATCGATAATGAATTAGAAAAGTGGGCAACGCAGTACGTGATCATCATCATCATCATCATCATCATCATCATCATCATCATCATCATCATCATCATCATCATCATCATCAATAGTGTCATCAATATTGTCATCATTATACAATCATCAAGATCGTCATCATTATCAAGAATATCATCATAATCAATATTGTTATCATTACAATCATCATCATATCTTATCTATGATCATATCTATCCTCACGTCGTCATCTTCACCGCTGTCTTTATGCTTAGTTAACAATCATCATCATCTCTCTAAATCACAAGCCAAATCTTTCTTATAGAGGTGTTTATGGACATGCTCACGTTAAAGATCTGCCCTGGTTGACAATCGATGAAAATGTGAACGGGTTAAGCGCCGAAATAGTTGGTCAATATCTACGTTTCTACATTATCTGAGTTTCTTTTCACACAATATCATTCAAATCATAGGGTTCTGAAGTACCAGAAGAAAATTAAACAGACGCTTCAAATTCGACAAATTTAGAAGCAAATTCATGCTTTTTCAATGTCTGATAAGATAGATGGTATAGGGCTCAGTAGACTAAGTCAAATACGGAAATAAGACGGAAAATGAAACCATGTTTTTACTGCTAGGTGCAAAAGAGTCTGAAGTCGTGATTATGAACACACTCACTGTTAATCTTCATCTTTTAATGGTGGGTAATATATCAAATTAGGCTTTGTTTATGAATTCATCGTGGCACTAAAGGTGCAACCAGATAAATGCCCTGTCTATCTTTTTAGGTTCCATTTTACCGACCAACTCCAGAGAAGCACAAGATATTAATTGAAGCGAGAAGCTTTCCCTCTGATTATGTACGTAAGGTCGCTTTGTTGATTATTTTTGCTGTTGGCACAAATCTGGTCCAAATTGCAAGAACAAAAATTGATCGAATCCAAGGCCCAATGAAACTGATTTCTCTAAGACTATCCTGTTCGCATTTGGTTTCTAGGAAGTGCACCAATCGATCCTCCTTTGACTCTTTCATCTTGATGAGAATTTTATATTTCTTTTTTCATTGATGCAGTATGCAGTTGAATCGCAAATAAAATTTCACGGCTACGACCCCGCTGTGTCCTTGATTGAAGCTCTACCACGCGAGGTATGTCCTCAAAGTTGTTCATTACGGGGTGCATTGCAACTATGCAGCACAGTAAATCTTGTTGATTTGAAATTCAGAATCTGCTCTTTAGGACGAATCTTGTCTACGAACGGAGGATATTCTGAAAATTATCGACGAGCAAGGAGATTCGATAGCACTGATAATGTTTGCAGGTATATAGCAAAGATTAATTGAAGTTAGTTTCTGCCGTTTTGTTCAGCTTAACCGCATTCCTGAGTTGAAGAGTTTCTCTTTATGGCTTTCGTTTGCCGGGAAAACCTGAGTGATGATTCATTGTCTCGGCTTTTTTTAGGCGTCCAATACTACACTGGACAACTTTTTGATATGAAATCCATTGCAGAGGCTGGTCATAAAAAGGTAGATTCTACTTCTATACAAGTATTTCTTCTTGTCGGAATCAATACTGTCTAAAAATCATACCTTTAAATATCCAAGATTTGTGGGCAAATCTGTCGTTTCACACGTTCCAGACGTTCAGCTCCGTATGCACAACTTCTGGAACAATTTTTTCGAATTTGTTATTTTTTCGATAGGGTTGCATCGTTGGATTTGATTTGGCGCATGCCGCTGGAAATGTTGAACTATTTCTACACGACTGGGAGGTTGATTTTGCCTGCTGGTGCTCGTACAAGGTATAGTTTGCATGAAATTTAAAAATTTTTTGTGGGGTGTATTTTTCATTCCTCGTCGTTTTATATTTCTTAGTATTTGAACGCTGGTCCCGGAGCAATAGCGGGATTCTTTGTCCATGAAAAACACGGAGAAAACTTTGAGTTACACAGGTAAGGATACTGATCTTAGAAGATTGCTTCCTCTCAAGTGCAACATTAACTTTTGTTCTGCACTGATGTAAAACAATTTTCCTTAGATTTGCTGGTTGGTGGGGGCATGATAAATCAACAAGGTTTAAAATGAACCACGGTGAGTCCCTCCAAATTAGGCTGTATATTCCCTGCGATCTCCTCTGCTTTTCCAGGCGTAGGGGTCTGCTCGAAGCCAAAGATGAACCGGGGCGAAGTCATTGTAATCATCTTATCTTTCAGAATTCATTCCTCTTCCTGGGGCAGAAGGATTTAAAATCTCCAATCCGCCTGTTTTCACAACGGTGGCCTTGTTGTCGTCGTTGAAGGTAAACCTTCCTAACAACATCTATTGCTATACGTTTCAACCGCACAGCTTCTAGATGTGAAACTGCCTGCCTTTTTTAAATTTAGCATGATTCACTTAAATGAATATCCTTTCACTACTCTTTCAAGATTCATACAGAAGCCACAATGAGTGATTTGAGAAGAAAATCTCTCTTGCTAACAGGTATGTTTGATAAGTTTTGATTTTTCATTATTTTTTGTTTCGATTGAATATCCTAAATTTGATTTGTTGTAGGTTACTTGGAGTATTTAGTTCATAGCATAACTGAGCAAGATAGCGAAAACGCCATCATCGAAGAGTCTCGTATTAAAGTTATTACACCAAGCAATCCCGCAGAACGAGGAGCACAATTATCGCTGCTGTTTCCCATCAATTGCAGTGAGTTTTTTGCAGAACTTCAAAAGCGTGGTGTCGTTGTAAGTATCCCTATATTTCTTTAGGTTTTCTTGTAGGAAAAACCAGAGGCAGAGATAACCTTACTAGATCTTTAGGAGGAACAGTTAGAACTGATAGAGCCCGGCGTCCAGCATGAGTAAAGTTAGGTTCCTTACTAGATTGATTAAGAAGTAATCGTTTTCATTCCTTGAACTCTTGGAGGATCTGTTCGAGCCATCTAGTATCGTATCCCGTATAAAACACATTAGTTTAGATCGCTTTTCAATACAATTTCGGATTATCTTTTTACTTAACAAGCTGATTAAAAGTTTGAAACTGCTAGCCGAACTAATCAACCAACACCAAGTTTCGTCTTTGAATTTTTCGCAATCTTCCCGAAATAGGTGGACAATCGACACCCAAACGTACTCAGGGTTGCCGCTGTTCCTATTTACAACTCTTTCATGGATGTCCGCAGATTTTACAAGCATCTCAAGGAGAGTTATAGTATTGTATACTTCAAAGAAATTCGTTAATGAAAGTGATGATGACAATAATATATTTTTCAGCAACATTATACATTACTTCTTACATGCTTTACAATCAGGCTTCTCGTTGTTGTTTTTTACACTCTAAAACGACGTTGTAACTGGTAAGTATTATTCCCGACTATAAGCCGGCACTGGTTCATTTAGCCCACGGTAGGCGTTTATTTGTTAACAGAAATCTCTCATCAGTTCTAAACGTATTTATTCAAACTGTTTTTGGTTCCAATTAAACTACTGTAAGCATTATTTAGTAGGGCGTACTGAATTAGACAGGACATTATGATTATAATTATACATTATTTGTAATGCGTGGATAAAAATCATATTAACTACATTAATTTTAATTTGATTTTCTTTTCAACAACCCCCATTTCTCATTTTTTTTCCTACTACGCGCTTTGCATGAGGATGCTAAATTTTTCTCACCAATATCAGTTTCCTTTATATTAATTCTCCACTCGAAGGCGCTTAGGTTAGATAAGATTTCTTCATTTTCATGTAAGATTTCTAGACAGTTTATATACCGTTTCTTCAAGATGGTATCCGAGGAAGATGTTACCTTTTCTTGAATAGATAAAAGGTTTTCTAGAATTCTTGTCGTAGGGGAAGATACTAAAGTATTGACGTATTTACGACCATTTTTGCGCGCGCGCCCGTTTCCTGTCGGAAAAGGTCACAAAACCGTGGAGGTCATCGACAGCGTGTTTCCACTTTGTGATATTTAATCTTCATTATATTTAAGGTTGAAGGATGATAAATTAATAATGTCAATCATCATAAACAGTATATATTATACAATATGTATTTTAAATTTTAAAGATATTTTCAAATCATCCTCACTGTTTAGCAAGAGATTTTTCTTTGTATAATTAAGTGAACATTGCTTTGTATTTTTTTTTGAATAAAAAATGTCGTCCTAAGCGGAAGCATCTAGGGAATGTATTTGGAACTACTCGACGTCGATTTTTTTTACTGGTATTTTTTCTCGTGGAACGTCGTAGGAACATTGAATGTACACTATTCATCTACTATACGCTAAATACCGGCTATAAAACCTTGAACTTTGTTTAGGGCTTGTTCATTTCACGTTTAAGAAGAAGGTGGATCAACTATGGATCGTAATTCCTTCTGGTCGGCTAATATAAATTGAAATATTCAAGTTTAATCGGTGGATATTCTGAGTCATTGTTATGGGCGAATCGAATGGATTTTAAATTAAAATAAAGCAATAATTCAACGTGAGTATGTGTGAATTTACTAACATGTATCAATTTTGTGACATTAAAGATCAATTGCGACACTAACGGCTGTTGGTTTTTAATGGTTCTCGATGTTTCTGTGTTGGTTTTGGGCCTGGTATAGGCAAAAGCGGTTCATATTTGCGAGCCATTCTACCGTGAAATGTTTAACATACTGTGCCATCTTTGTGACAACACACTTTGAAGATATAAGACGTAATAATTGTGTGTTTATTTTCTGGCCTAACGTTTCCGATAAGTGGTTTTGATGGGAACAGGTCTGCACTATCGACACAGTTCCCATGGAACGAAGCAATGCCATATGATGTGTCGTTTAATGTTTATATTTCTTCACTTCGGTGTGATATTTATAATGTACGATATAATGAGATCGTTCCCCTGCTGTTGACATAATTTTGAAATGAAATTTGTGTACAAACTTTCATATTTTACCATCATGTGTTTGTTAAACCGAAATAAATTAAAAAGCGTGAATGCTTTTGCTATCTATCTTTAATGAATGTTCTCAGTTAAATTGACTGCTCTAATTACTAACATATTAAATTCCTTGAAACCAGCTGTTTTGTGGAGCATAACAATACCTGTGAACTCCTGTAAACAGGTAGGCTACAATATGCCTTAATCCAGCATATCTTAGTGGGCTTATTCCGTTTAACCAGCACTCGCTTGATTATTTGAAGATACAATATAGATTTAGTTTTTACATTTATTGCACTTGGCATAGGATTGCATTAGAATTAACCATTTGCTCCATGATCCATGTCTCCCATAAGAAGAAATACTAAAGTAAGGCATGGAAACCGAAAGTTTGTTTTCTATAAACTGGCATGCATGTCCTGTCCTTTTCACTGTAATTAACTCGCCCCCCATAATACCCTCTTCCTCCAGTCACTCCTTCCTCCTCAATAGCCTGTAGTTACTCCTAGTTACTTTTTCTCCTTAAAAACCTCCACTCTTCCCACCCACTTTAATGACCCCTCTCCCCATAATCCCTTCCCATGATACACTGTATGTTTTCATATTTGCTGATGGCAAACAGCAATCTTTCTACCCCATTCTGTATCAACTTTCGTTATCCCAGAATTGCAAATGCAACCAATTTCAAACAATCCCAATTTTCAACATTGTTTCTTTTCTGGATTCTAGTCGCAGAAAATCGTCCTAAAATTACTCGAAAGATACGACGATTTCATCATGGCTAAACCAGTGAAACGAGGCGATGGCCAAGCGCAGCGGATAAGGCACTTAGACCTTGATATGTTTTGGAAAGAATACGAGTCAATTGAACCAAGAGTTGAAGAACCTAACGATGAGGAAGACGATCATTTGAATGGTAACTTGATTTCAGACGTCCGTTAAAAACATGGCGCTTTATAGTTTATATCAGCAATGATCTCTGTTTTACAGAACTGGAGCACGATGTTCAATGGTTAGAGGAAGCGGGATTTGATTCGATCGTGAAAAACTACAGGAGTGAGTGAATTCATCGTTGCGATTGTAAAACAACATCTATATAGCGAGTGCGGCAGATTGAAAAGAAGCCTTCGGCATAATCCTCAGACTGCGTGGAAGTCCTGAAATTGTAAAATATTTATATTTCAGATAGCAAAGAAATAACTACCGAGGATCTTAACTTGGGTAATATTACATCGTCCCTTACGAAAAAGCAAGCTGAAGCGGTCAAAAGGCGCGTGAACAAGCTCAACGCCAAGGTGAAAGAGAGGCTAAGTTTGCAAGAGACCTCGCAAGGACCACAACGGTTGACGATCCCAGAAGCAAGCTTTCAAAACAACAACTCCAAACAGCGAGTGGACGTGCGTTCGTTGTTTCCCGCGCAAACCGTTGGCGAGACTAGTAACAAGAAGACGTCACCATTGTTCCGTAGCAGACATTCGTACAGCGAGGGGGTACCCCTCGCTAGATCACAGGTACAGGGTGATATGTGTCTTCACGTGTGTAACTGCTTTTATCCAGGTTAAATTAAACTACTTTTTTCGCATTCAAAGGTTGTGAAATATCCAGGCATGACTGGTTCGCATTCTCAGGACCACCTGAACGACGTAAAGGTTGTCAGTCCAGTCAAAGTTGTCACAACAGGGGGAAATGTTCCAACTCAGCCTGTAAGCCGACCGGTGATATTGACCCCCGGGAATCCTAGCCCGAAGATGCGGCGGCAGACGGCGGATTTTGCCGCGCAATTGACGGGAAAAGGATTGCACACAGACACCGCAAAGGCCGGGCAAAGTAAGCCAATCACCGGTCTCGTTTCATATATAACAAGTATTTTTGACCAATCCCTGATTTCGTTTCAAGCAAGCGTTAAAAGCATTTCAGGCCAATCACGGCCAAACTCGTTTTATAAACATTTGAAAATCATTGATCTCGTTGCCAACTGTATTCTTGGCAAATAACTCAAACTGTAAGCATTTTGGACCAATCATCGATCTTGTTCTAAACCGTGACCACTTTATAGGCCAATCACCGGGCGGCTCTCCCGGCGACGACCGGAGGAAACTCGGTGGCTCGTTGTTCTACATCACCGCAGTAAACAAAAACAGTCCGTCGCCCTCGGAAGCATCTGTAGATACAAATCAACTGAGAGGATTGTCTCTGAGCAACAACTGGCAGCTCTCATCAAGAAAAGGTCGTTCATCAGCCTCGCCGAACAAGCCGCCGAAATCAAGCAGTGCTGCTTCAACGCCTGACCAGGAGTTAGCCCCACGACCGGAACTGAATGATCTTCCGGAGGATATGTTTAAGGAGGTCGCCACGCCGAACGAAAAGCCGACCGTCGTAAGTCTAACAGCTTATTTCTAAGGATAGAAAGACTAAGACTAAGGAACTTGAGTTTTAGTGGAGTGGAAATTATATTATCTCTGATCTAGCCGAGAGTAGTTGAGTTCACCAACTATCGCTCCCCCACCTTTCCTCACCCCACCTTCACGACCTCCACCTTTCCTCCCTCCACCTTTCTCTCCCCCCACCTTCCATCTCCCTACCTTCCATCCCCTCACCTTCCATCTCCCTACCTTCCATCCCCCTACCTTCCACCCCCCACCTTCCATCCCCCACCTTCCATCCCCCCCTTCCATCCCCCCCTTCCATCCCCCTATCTTCCACCCTTCCGTCCCCCACCTTCCCTAGCCGAATGTAGATTCGATTTCCACACACGAAATATTCTTAAATTCATAGGATACTCAGAAGAATAGTAACCAAGGCAATCGACCTAAATTTCCAAATCTACCAGTAAGTATGCAACACTAGGCGTCGCAAGAGTGTGTTTTTAACTTTTGTTATGTGTTTGTTCTTTGTCTATACGAAAACAGGCAGTTAGTTCATCTTTTTATTCTATAGAACTTCACTCTGTCCCGAGATGAATATGGTGTGACTCGCGTTGACGATCTATCCGCAAAAGACATGGAGAAAGTTCGTTCGCTAGCCCTCATCGAACTGACAGCTTTATTTGAACAAAATAATCTCGTTTTTCACCGTAGAAAACCTAACAAAAGGAAAACAAAAGGTAAACCTGATTTTGACTGAATTTTGTACTCAGTCAGACTAGCAGTACTGCAATGATCAACTGACATTGAAGAAGGAATTGAAAGATAAACACTGAATAAAACATTGCAAAGCAGTAAGTACAGTACTAGACTAGACTAGTATTGGTAGCAACAGTCATGACTCAATCAGTCTAGTAGAAAGGTTGAACGTGAAAAACGAGAATTGACTTATGTTGTTTTCTCGTGCAGAAAATGGTGTCTTTGGCGTTCCTTTTACTGCATCCGTGCCAGAGAGATCGTGGTGAAAATTCTAAATTTAACACTCCTGTGATCCTTGAGGAGGTAAGATGAGTATTTGGTACTTTTCAGATGTGATGGTCGCAGATTAGGCATGATTTTGCACAATGTTTGCATTGCCACAGAGCTTTGCAGCCTGCGAAGACTTTGCATTTGCTTTGCAAGGCCCAAATAAATCCATCAACCTCATTTGCGGTTCTGTTAACATTCCTATTTTTCTCCCCCAGATGATTGCTTTTCTCGAAAACAACGGTATGTTCTTTTACCACATTGCATGATCTTACTTTGCCGTCCTACATAATTTGACTTCAAATAAGGGTCCAATATTACCTCAGTAAATAGAAAAGCTTGAATGAAATGCCATGTATACAGTCAAGTCTTTACCAGCTACAATATGTCTAAAATGATTTTCTTGTATTCCTTACAGGTATTAATGAAGAAGGTATTCTGCGCGTCCCTGGGTCGGCTGCGAGGATTCGAGTAAGTTTTATTTTTTTGTGAAGTAACGAAAGAAACAAGAAGCTATAAACAGTTTCTCAGATGGTCTTAAACTGGACAGTTTCTTTCGAGTATTCAGGCTTCTTGTCTCGCGTGAAGCAGGTCAGAGAGGAGATGTGAACTTTTTTACATGAGATATAAGAAAATCTCACTGAATGTACCCAAATATATCTTGTTGGAATCCTAAACAGTTCATGTACACCATATTTCGTTATCCATGTTTTGAATGCTATCATTTCAGGCTATGCGGGAGGAGATTGAAGAGAAATACCAAGAATGTCTCTTCTCTTGGACTGGTCGAAAAACCCACGATGTAGCAGCCTTACTAAAACAATTTTTAAGGTAAAAATCAAGGCAATATGAAGACGATATCTGTCGTACAGTGAAAGTTTCCGGGTGAAGTTAATGATCTTCTTTGTACGCCAAGTTCCATCAAATCGATTTTTTTTTATTCTCAGGGAGCTCCCGTTTCCTCTTCTCACTTATGAATACCAACCAACCTTTGCTTCGGTCGAAGGTGGGTGATTATTCTCTCCCTACAGGTTCTTTCAAAATTCAGTCAACGCTAAACCTGTATATGTTTTTGGTCATGGCATTTTTGCATCACCGTTTGCTTCAAAACTTCACAAAATAAATCTTTTTGGCTTGAAAGTTTGACCCCAAAGATCGTCGTTAACCATGAACAGAACTTTCCAAAAAATAGCTACTAAAGAAGTTTCTTCATTTGACGGTGCCATAAATTGGATAAAATTTTAGGCAATATTCTTTCATCTTTCTTCAGAGCATGTAAAAAAACTGATTACAGTTTTTGCAACGTTTGTTTTCTTTTAACAGAAATTCAAGACAGGGTTCAACAGCTGCAAGCATTAAACCTTTTAGTTCTTCTTCTTCCTGTCGCTCATCGGGACACATTACAGGTAGATCTTTATAGCCATCATCAAATGTCGCCATTCCCAAACCGTTTAAAAACAACAATGCATGAATAGAATGAGGTATCTATGTGATCTAATAGAGAGATTCCCATGAAAAGAGTGAGGTTTGGCAATTCCTGTATTCATGTGAGCCGGGCATGGGTTAAATCCTCGTTAAGAAACTCGATTTTTTATTTTTCAGCTTCTGTTGTTGTTTCTTTGTCGTATCATCTCGAAACAAAAAGAGAATAAGATGGATTTGAACAACGTCGCCATGATCATGGCTCCAAATCTGTTCCTCAGCACCGGCAACAAATCAGGAGCGACGCTGAGGGAAGTCGAAATGGCCAAAGGAACCATCAATATTGTGAGAATGTTGATCAAATACCACGCAATACTTTGGACGGTAAGTGAATCATTACAACGTCTTACACACGTGTGCAAATACATGAGAAATAACATATCAGGAGATATCACAGATATCAGAGAATTTATCACACAACTTGAAGGTATATATATCATTTGAGGAAGGTCTTCATATAGCTTGAAATCCTCCAGGAGGAAGGTTAAAAATATGTTTCAAGTTTGTAGACACACTGGTTAGGTATACTGGATACACTGTATTTTATTTAGCGACTTCCATTGATTTATTTCATTCCCAATCTCTATCAGGTGCCTTCTTTTATGGTCAGGCAAGTGCGCTTTTTGTACGAAGTCGAGCAAAGTGGAAAAGCAAAAGAAGGAAAGGTATTTGGAAATGAGGCAATGAAAAGAACAATTCATTTTTACCTCGTTAGCTCCGAGGATGACAGATAAGACTCACTTACACATTCTGAAGTAGATACCCAAAAGAACAGGGATAAGACAGGAGAACCACAGGCTGATTATAATGGTTTTTATTCTTTAGGGAAAGAAGCGTAAGGCTAAGAGAGGTGCTTCTGATCCTGCGATAAACGCTGTGAATCCAATCAAGAAATCTTTATCGCTGGAAGATCTTGATCGGATCGAGGTAACTATAACTGCTAATAATGGCCACGTTATACTTCAAAACTTCTTCACAATTTTTTTCGACACACATTTCATTTCTTCACAGCACGAGTTCGAGAACCACATCATTCGGGTGAAGGCGCCATCTTTGAAAAAAGTTGCAATGGCTCTTCAGCTGAGCAAGAACACAAAGGCAAGAGATGTTGTTGAGAAGTTCTGTAAAGCCTCGCCGAAGTACAAGGAAGCAAAATTGCAGAACGCACTTGCTTCTTCTCAGCAAGGCCACTCGCAGCATAAAGCAAATAAATGCTCCTGTGGAGATGATCATTTTCTCTTTGAAGTTGGTGGCAATATAGGTGGGTAGAATGTGTTGGTCTGACAGATTTCAATCGTGAGATATAATGGTGGAAACGTAAACTAAAAAATGACAATTCCCTGCTTGGTTTTTCCAGGTGAAAGATGCTTAGATATGGAAACAAATTTGTTGCAACTGTCCAGGCTTAATCCTCATGCAGAGTGGGTGGTGAAGATAAAGAACTGACACAATAGGTAGGCAGTGTTTCGAAATATGATTTAGTAAACACCAGGCGATATACACTGACGATGCTGAGCAAATCTTGCAAGCAAGGATTTGAATATTTATTTTAACAATCTGTAATATAGTGTGCAGGTATTGAAATAGTTTTGTAATAAAAAAATAGATTCCACAAAGTGAAATACTGTTTTGGCCAGCCTAGGAGTTTCAAAAATACTGCAATTTACTTGTACGCAAAATTAGATGAGTAAGGACGTTTATATAATGTACAATTTAAAGAATTTGGAGCATTTGAAGACATTTTACAACACTGTCAACGAACGCAGTATATTTTATTGTTTGGGAAATCAGGAATGATATTTTAAAACAATGATATGCTACAGTTCTTCCTTCACGATATTCTCAACCTTCTGTACGAATTTCCAAACATCGTCGGCGAAAAGTTCTGGTTCTTGAAAGGCGGCAAAATGCCCTCCTCGCGGCATTTCCGTGAATTGAACGATATTTGGAAAGGCAACATGTAACCAAGCTTGCGGTATCTGAAAAATTTCGTGTGGAAAATTCGCCATAGCAGTTGGAAGCGATATTGGGCATCTATAGGTTGAGATATAATAATCCATAGTAAGTTTATTATGGCAGGATTGTTCTAGCTTTCTTTCTCTGAAAACTACAGATAACTAAACTTTCTTCAACATCAATGAGTTGTATATATTCTGTCTTCACTTCTGAACTGAACTGTTCTTCCTCAAAGGACAGTGATGATCATTCATATTTTGAAAAATATCTAGTGAAACAAGATTGAAACTTACGCCAATGACCGGTCAATCTTGTTTTCCCTGTACAATCTCATGGCAGAGGGCATACTCTCTGTCAACCAGTACAGCATGATATTTGTAATAAGTTCATCCTTTGTGAACTTTGATTCCAAACAAGAGAAATTTTGATGGCCTTTACATCCGGACCAAGTGAAGAATTTTTCCAAGATATAATTTGCCAGACCAAGAGGTGAGTCATTCAATGCCACACCAACACTCTCTGGTTTTGTTGCTGGAAGTTTCAAGGTCATTTGAATTAAGGTGTAATCCCTTGCAACCAATTTAACTATCCAATTTAACTAACATTTGCAATCTCAACAACTAGCAGAAAAATCATCTGTTGTTTGATGAATTGGAGTGAAAACAGTGGTGATATCTGTTCACATGCTTTTGGAGGTAAATATAGAAGAAACTAAGTCAAGTAAAATACTGTTGGGTGTTGAAGATGGATCTTTTTGCTATTCAACCAGGACCAGACCACCCAAGCTCTTACCTTGAACATGAAAATAACCAGATTCCCAAAGAAGTTTGCCAAAGAAATCTTTCAAAGGAATAATTTTATGCTTTTCTGAGCCCAGAGACCAGGATGGAAAGAAATAAGCAGAGATCAAAGAGAATGGTCCGTAAGGTGGTCCAGTTACAAACATGTTCAGATGAATACCTTTGATGTGACTGAAGACAAAAAAGTCAATGAGACATTTGGTTGGTTGTTGACCATCTAGTTGGTTTGGCGATCATGGATATGATATCATTATATTGAATGAGGCCATTCTTGTTGGAATGGTATGTTACTTGGGTGATGATAGTGTAAATAAAGGGGAGCAATGAGTTGATCATGTCTAGTACAAGACACCTTTGCCCTTTCCCCACTATGAATGACATATTGAATGTTGCCCAAATGATCTAGCTTGGGTCATGAGTAGGTGGGTCAATCATAGGTAGGTGGGTCAATCATAGGTAGGTGGGTCAATGAACCATAAATAGATGGGTGGGTTGATCATGGGATGTCAGTTAATCCTGGGTAGGTGGGTCAACTATGGGTAAGTGCGTTAAATATGAGTAGGGGGGTCAATTGTGGGATGTCAATGAATCCTAGGTAGGGAAGTCAATCAGTGGAAGGTAGTTCAAACTTGTTGACTAGAATTTACACCAATTGATGCATTTATACCTTGTGTCAATTAATGCCATAGCTCTAGCGATGCCTGAGCCCCAATCCCCTCCTTGTACATAATACTTGCCATGCCCAAGTCTTGCCATGAGCTTTCTAAACAGGTTTGCAATTTGTAGTGGACCAAGCCCTGACTTATGAGGAGCCTCAGAGAAGATATACCCAGGCAAAGATGGGCATATCACCTCGAAACTAAAATCATCCTTGGACCTTCCTGTGAGAAGCGGAATTGCTTTGTAAAACTCGTAAAAGGATCCAGGCCAGCCATGAATGAGCATGATTGGTATAACTTTCCGGGTTTGCATCTGGGGTTTTACATGAATGTAGTGTATCTCAATGCCATCAATGGTGGCTGTGTAATGTTTGAACTGGTTTATACGCTTTTCTTGTTCTCTCCATTTGAATTCATTTAACCAATATCTAAAACAAAAATTGTACATCTGTACTAAATGAAATCTTAAATTACAACTTAAGTCTTGCAAGTCCAACTTTACCTTACAAATTCTTTCAACTCTTGAGTATTGCTTCCGTAGGACCAGTTTGTATTTTCCAAGGCGCGAAAATACCTTGCATTGCTCAAGCGCTTTTTTAAATCTTCCAACTTTTCGTCTTCAAATTGAATCGCAGGCAATTCCTCGATGTGAATATCATCGATGAGTGGAGGGGTCGCTGGAGCCTCGTCCGATGGCCCCCACCATTGGTTGGTTGCGACCGGTGGGGTTATGTATGTGTTGAGGGCACGAAATCCGAGGATGATTGCAAGTAGCAAAACCAAAAAACTTGTAACAATTACAGCGAACGTTTTCATTGTTACATTTAAAACTCAACAAACGAATAAGGGCAAAGTCTTCTAAAATGCAACATTCAACATCGCAACATTCATTATGTGAGGTAATCCCGCCGGAAGTGCCTTGGAATACGCGTGATTCCAGTTAAGTGCTCTTAAGTGTGAAGGCACGTGGGGATTTACATGTATTTGTACCCTTGACGGGGGGGGACTTGTTAATTTCTGAAATGAATTGCTCATTTCAATCAGGACTTAGAGAAATATTAAGTGCGGGGAATTTGAATTTTTCTTTCAACTTGCAATGTAATTGTACTTCTAAAATATACATCACTAAAAAGTAGAGTTGCATTACAAGTTGCACGTAGATATACCAGCATGGAAGTAACCGATGCGGTATTTAATGAAATATTGGACAAGGTTTTGTTCCGGGAGAAGCAAGTTTCCACACTTTTGAATTTATTCAACAAAAGAAAAGCTTGTTCTTGTGCGAGTATATTTATATATGGTCACACGGCGACAGGAAAGAATTATCTTCTGGAAACTATATTTGAAAAACTTCAGGTAGAGCTTTAATATAGGTTTTTATAATGCCTGTTTCAAGCACTGATCAAACGAGATATTCAATATCCTCCCCAATTTGAAATTCTAAGACAAGAGGAATGAGAGATTTATCATTTACAAGAGTGTTTGAATTATGTGTTTCAGAATGATGGGTATGTGGACATAAAACCTTAAATACCTACTTTTAACTGTGGGTTTAAGTTATCACTTATCACCAAGTTAATCCTCTAGCACACAAAAACAGATATTTGCTTGTATTTTCCTTAAGGCTTTCTTCTTATCGAAATGTTCATTTCATTTTTTCCATATCTCATTATCTACTCTTTACTATCGTTCACATACCCATTTTGAAGTAAAACAACTCCTAAATCCAACATTCCTGACTAGTTACACAGATTTGAGTCATCTGAGAGTGTAAGTTGAGTATATTTATCAATAAATTCTAACAAATAGTAGGTATTTTTGTAAAACTCAATCTTGATGCATTGCCTGCAATTGGGTTAAACAATCCCTTCTTTATAGCTCCCAAATATTTTTGTCAACTGTGTTGAATGTTTTAATGGAAGATTGATGTTTGAAGACATATTAAACAGTGTCCTAAAACTGCAACAAAATGGCGAGAAAGATGCTGAATTTATACGATGTGACAACATGAATGACTTTATCAAGATTATGAAAAAACTGTTGACAGTTGAGAATTTTGGAGATGAAACTTTATTCATAACCATTGACAAGTGTGAGCGACTTAGAGAAATGGAGCTGAATCTTCTGCCAGCATTTTCGAGGCTCAATGAACTGACAGGCTGCAATATCTGTGTTTTATTTATAAGTGATATAGTTTTTGAAAAGTTTAGACAAGGAACAGGTGTTCGAGAGCCATTCCAGGTGACATTTCCAGATTATTCAAGGAAAGAATTGTTAGAGATAATGTGTTTAGATGCTCCAGAAGAACATCCAGCAGAATTTTACGATGGTTATTGTCAGCTGTTGCTGAGCGTGTTTTATAATGTCTGTCGAGATTTGAGAGAATTGAGACATTTGGTGAGGGTTTGTTTAACTTTTACTTTGATTTTACTTTGATATATACCTAATTTTTTAGGCATCTTTCCCGTTTTATTTCTTAACAAAACTGCTTTTGTTCATGTCATCATTGCTTTGTCAACACAATTTTGAGGAATGCCTCCTAACTTGGGCAGACAATGGGCACACATGTTTAGCTTGGTGTCGATGCTATTCATCACTTCTTAGTGGAAATTGAAGTCACAGAGATTTGCTTGTAAATATGAATTCATTTTGGCTTAAAATTTCACATGCAGGCACAGCTAAATTTTCCCAAGTATTGTGAACCAATTACTACTGGAGAAGCAGATTATGCCAATGTCAAGAAACTGTGGCGAAACATTGAGCCATATCTCAAAAAAGCAATGAGTACTGTCTTTCTACATGAAGTATCCAGCAGCCAATGGGAACAAATGCAAGAGGGAACACATGGAATAAAAGGTGAATTTTGCAACTATGATTTTTCATGGAAATTAAAGTCTTGTGAGAACTGGTAGAGCTATCCAGTATAAATAAAATTAGTTTAACATAGGCTTCCTCCTTTATCAATAAGAGATGATCCTTACTTGAACTCTAGGATGTAACAAACAGTTCCAAACTGGTGGAAATATAAAACAATATAAAAATAGTAGTGGTGCTATAGAACTATAAATGCAAACTGGAAAGTTTAATAAATTTAGTATTTAGACTTGGTTTTATTCTCTGTACTTTAGTATATTTAACCCCTTGTTGTAATAAGTATAAAAAACGCAATATTCATAACTATAACCTTGGTTTTAGGTCTCTCAAGTTATTCAACAGTGGAACTTCCATTTTATTCAAAATACTTGTTAATCGCAGCTTACCTCGCCTCACACAATCCTGCCAAAACCGACCGACAGTTCTTCTGCAAAACGACGGCAAAGAAAATGACAAAACGCGCGAAAGTTGCCGCGAAAACTGGCGCGAAAACCAGCAGCCAGTTGAAAGGTAAAGTTACAGATAGAATAGTACTTCATTCAATTACAACAATTATAATTGGAACTTTTTGCAAATGAATTGTAGCAATTTTCGGCCTAAATGTGCATAATGCAATTGGTTTTGTTCCAATTAATGACAATTTTTACTTGTTGCAATATATCTTTTATAAGAGTTGTGAGTGAAAAGTTTGTAGATTTTTTCGTGTGGTTTATTGATGGTCACCTTCAAAGCTAACCCAAACTTCTTTATCTTAGGCCCACACATGTTTGTCCTGGATCGATTGATGGCGATATTTTACAGTATTGTCGATGAGAAAGTTCCCGCATCGGCTGTTATTTTGAGCCAGCTCTCGTCGCTTGTAACTCTGCGGTTTTTGTCGCAAGTTTCGGCGAACGACCAACTAGATTCTCCAAAATACAAATGCCTTGTGTCTTTAGAGTTGATCAAAGCAATCGCAAGGCAATTAGAATTTGATTTAGGCCAGTATTTGTATGATTTTATCAATCAATAGGTGAAGTAGGTTATATTATAGTATGTGTTAATTAGGGTGTTTGTGTGAAATTTTTTCTAATTCAACTTCACTATCAATTTTGGTCAATTGACGGAATGTTTATTCAGTGTTTCACCTTTAGCCTTCCTCAATGTCAGTTGACATGATCAACTGGTTTTTCAATGTCAGTTGACCATTACCATGGTCATTGCAATAGTACTAGCTTGGCTAGGTCATAGCGTGTGATCATTTACTACATTTAGATCGAATCCTACGATATCACACTGACTTGTACTCTATCACTGGATTGACTCAGTGAGTTCCGCCGCCCACTGTGCCCCGCCCACTTTGCCCCGCCCATGGTGCCATCCCACACCACCGGTCACGTGTCGGTCGCATGTTCCTTGACCGGTATTTAAATATACAAACATGGCGACAGAAGCCATTCGCACGAATATAGTTCACTCGTGTTTAATTTCGCTTTAAATCAAAAATAACCATCTGACTTCCGTAATACATTTTGTGTAGATAAATCGACATATGGGCAATCAAATAATGAAATCTTGTAAAAAAATATGAATTATTTTGGGCGTTTAGTGAATGGAATAAAGGGCTACTACAGCGAAATTAATTCGGCAACTCTTACGGGTGCTATCGATATTATTGTTGTTCGGCAAGCAGATGGCTCGTTTGTCGGATCGCCGTTTCATGTACGTTTTGGTAAAATCGGTGTTCTTCGAAGTAGAGAAAAAGTCGTAAGTAAACCACTTTCCTTCATGTATTTCTTTAGAAGTTGTTATGTTCTTATGTATATATTTATACGTCTAATGTAGTAATATTTACACAATATTATAGCTGGTTTAAATGGCATTTATTTTCCCTTTCATTATTAACGTTTTTAGGACGTTTTAACTTGTTAAAAGTGCAAATAATTTCCTTGAAATGCTTATTATTTCAAGCTGTCTCAGCAGAAATTATCACGCGCTAATTATTAAATCGTTATAATCAACTGGAAATATCTTGCTGGTTATATTATTGTTACTATAGCAATTTTCTCAGCAGCGTTTCCGAAACTGCTTTGTTGATATCAGCTTGCCTGTTGAGACACCAGGAAATGATAACTTTAGATTTGGTTTGGCAAGGTGAAAAATTGTCAGTAAATCACTGTGATCGAATCACAATGGTTTATGTAGGTGTGTGTGTTGTTGTAAATGGTAGAGTTATTAGATCAATAAATCTGAATGAGTAATTGAGATGGGCAGACCCTCATTACCCATTCTTTTTCTCTCAAGTATTTTCTTAGAATTCTTTTTCTCTGAAATTTTTTCTTACAATTCATTTTCTTTCAAATATATTCTTACAATTCTTTTTCTATCAAATATATTCTTAGAATTCTTTTTCTCTTAAATATATCCTTACAATTCTTTTTCTCTCAAATATATTCCTAAATGTTTCCTATATTTTTAATTGAAAGCAATGCAGGTTATTGATGAGTAATGGCTAAAGAAGTGCTAATGGTTATTTTCATCGTTAGGGTTGAAATTAACCTTTACTAATGAATATGCAAACTTAACCTCGCTCCATAGGAGCAATTTAACTTCTGTCAGTGGGTAAAAGCATTGGAAATTAGTAAAATATATGTATCTTAATCTTACTTCCATTAACACCACATTAATTAGCTGTAGTGGAAAGACCATAGCTACAAGATTTCTTAAAACCTTCTTAGCAATTAGGTAATCAACATATCCTTGACATTTCGAGACTGCTTAGGCTTAAACAACCCTTGATAACCTGATTGAGATCAGAAATACAAAGTCTCGCTGAAATAAGGTTCAATGCATTCGACCTTATGCCTAAATTTAATTTCTCAAGGTTGATATTAGCATCAATGATGAACCAGTCGATCTCCACATGAAGCTAGGAGAAGGTGGCGAGGCATTTTTTGTTGAGCCTTGTGCTTCGGAAGATGTCCCGCTTCATCTTTGTACATCTCCGATACCTGACGTTGAGAGCTTGATGAGCAAAGGCATTGCGAAGCTCAAGAGACAGATAAAGGTTGGTGCAAAAGATGATAGAAACCGAACAGAATATTGGATTAGAAATTAATATTTTGAGAATAGCACTTTAACATGAATGAATAAATGACTACTAACTGGATGGTCAAAGTAGCCAATAAATGCTGCTATGTTCCTAAAACATTTGATGAGTGTGAAGCACTTCTAATCTATGCTCCGAATGCTTCTGTTCAGGAGATACATTTAGTACAATAATTTGTGCTGTTGTTACATCATCAAAGCTGACTGATTAAATCTTATCTTAGGAAACAGAACAGCAGTCATTCGACAGTGACAATCAAGATAACAGTTTTCCGAACAAGATTGACAGTTCAAAAAGCCTAAAGTTAGACAGCGATAATGACAACGAAAGCTTTTGTGAATCTGATGCAAAGCAGAATGACGCTACCTTGGTATATCCTTTTTTTATACCCAAATTAAATTGCGGGGCAAAACTATATATTTAGCATAGACAACTGATATGGTATTAAATACTATTTCTAGGAAAGCGAAGAACAAGGGAGTTTAATTGTAAAAAGATCTGCAAATATTTCTGTTCCTGGAAAGAGAAGTAACTATGTATGGAAATTGATCTAATTGATACATACTATCCAGTCTATCCAGGCTTAATTATGTTTTTCACAATATCTTTAGACTAAATTTCTTTAGTAAAACTAATATTTATTCAAAAGAGTATACTATATATTATTATCGAAAAGAAAAGATATAAAAAATCCTCAAAAAAACTCAGTTAAAAACTGTTTGAACAATGAACACATGTATGAAATGTATTCAATTGCGCCAAAGATATTGCGTGAACAATTCCGATCAATCGATCAAAATAATTCGTTTTTTAAAAGCTTATTCTATCAATGAATTGTTTTTTAGAAAACTCACCAAGTTTTGAACGAATTTTATCCCTTCTCAGACCTCGACAGTCCTCTAAACACGCCAGAACAACAAAGGTGAATAAAATGAAAACAAAATACGTACACAAATCGTTTATAAATCACATTCAAAGCTGTACAAGTTGTATATGTATTAAAAAAACATATTATCACCTGTTCCAAGTTGATTTCACTTGAAAAAACTGTGCATTCATTGCATATTTAGCCCGATAAACACCCAACCGCCGAGTCCACAACGATACTCGAGTGATACCGAAGTAAATTATCAAAGCGGAAAGGAAAATATGAAAAATACGGCCACAGAACAAGCTACTTGGAACTGGGGAAGATTACCACAGGTTAGACTTCCCTAAATAAAGCCAAATTCTGCTTTTTCGGCCGTTAAAAATGGTCAATTCACTGCAGTATTTTCAATTTGCAAATTTCCAACTAAGCTCGATCTTCATTTCGCGCGCTTCCTCGCTAAAACCGACCAATGAAAAGCGCCGTTCTATCACGCTCCCGCCGAAATGCGCTGCTGTCGTCATTTGAAAACTAATTTCATTCCATTTCAACGAATCGATGTCTGTAAACAGTATTTATATGTAAAGTGTTAAAATTTCCCTTTTTCAAGTTTTTTTATGGAATAATAGTGATTTTCAATATTAAAGGATTGAGTTTGAAAGCCATGCAGCAAAGACTTTGCACTGTCGAAAATGTGCATTTCCCGGCAATTCTCGCACCAGAATAATTAAATAGAAGTACGCCGCTTGCTCGTCATCTTCATAATTTGCCAGGGGGGGAGTGGAGGGGGGTGGAGACACCTGCCCTTTTTCTCCAGATGGGGGCAAGGGGGGTGTTCAATACAGAAGTGCTCAGACTGTTGTATACCTTTGGAAACAATGTTTTAACCGCATTTTCTGCCTGGGTTTTCTTTTATAATAACTGGCACTACTCTCTCGCTGAAGAGTAGGATTCTTGAGGCATTAGACCGAGTGAAATACCAAGGTACCAACAGGTAACTTTGATATTTCTAGGGATTGGAGAGCAGCACTACCGAAAGAAAACCAATATCAGGTATTTGTTGTTATCAGTATTTCAACTATACACGTCGCGTTGGGGTTTACTAAAGAATGATGATTGTTTTATCAATGTTGTATGTCCATCCATTCCTAGAATTGAAGAAGGAGACGAAGAAATCCAAGACAAAATCCTTCGTGAAAACGAAAACTACCAAGGTACAAAAATTATTTATTCATTTGTATGCAAGATTTTCTGCCATTCAAGTTTGGGTATTTTTGCTGAATGAATGTTATTTTTAAAGGATATTGGTGAAGGAATGTACTTGGACGAGTTGCTTTCTCTTGATGAGGAAGTTGCTAATCTTTACCTTCAACAGACGGCAAGGTTTGTAACTCTAACTGATAGAGCTATCCAGTATAAATAAAGTTAGTTTAGTTTAGGTTTCCTTCTGTAGTAACACTGGATCAATAAGAGATGATCCTTACTGGAACTCTATCGATAAGAATTTTTCATGTTTTCCAAAGATCTGACAAAGAAACGTCGACAGCAAACAAGCAGGCGACAAACCACAGAAACACGATGCAAACATCGAAAAGTGAATCCCAAATACATAAAATTGACAAGTCGAATTCCAAGAGAAAAGACGAGAATGCTAAAACAACGGTTGAGTGTATCAAAAGTGACTCGGAACTTAGCAATAGCTACGAAAGAAGCTCAGAATTTGAATGTGGAAAAAACGGTGTTAAAAATGACGTCATAGACGGAATAAAAAGCGACTCGGAGGTGAGCAGAAGCGACGCGGAATCGGGACTGGGATCATCAGTATCCGTCTCGCCCGATGAATCGAAGCTTGATGAGCAGCATGATCAATATTCTGACATTTCGTTATCATTGTGTGGCGATATTAGACGTGGAAAAGTTTCTTTGGGTAAGATATTTGTTGTCATAGTCGTGGGTTTTGTGATGGTGTCTAATGGTGCCCACAGAAGGGTATAAAAATTGCACTTTTTCGTTATAGAACGTTTCATGGAATCGTCTGTGAGTTTTGAAGATTTTGCAAAAGAGCCTACTCAAATTTTATCAAATCCTAAGCTGGTCGTTCGCATCGACGATAGGTGGGCGTTTCGTTTTATTTAATTTATATGATGTTTCATAATGAAAGAGAATCGCGTATTAACAAGTGCACTTTTTGAATAAATCATAACCATGCTCTTTGCGTATAGGTCTTAGCTAAGTATTTCAATTATAATTTTGGTTAAAGGAGACTTATCTAAGTTGAAGTTTGAGGATGATTCTATGAGTCACTGGTGGGAGTGCGGAGTCACAAGTTGATAACAAAGTTGATCATCACAAAATGTCAAATTTCATTGTCTTCTGTAGATATTACAACTCCAGCGTGGCTGTTCCAATGCTTATATCTTTCATGGTGTATCAAAGACCTCTGCCTAAGGTGGGCTCCTAAATCTTTTTAGAAATGATGGAGTACCTGCTTGAAATTTATGTTTCTAAACTTGCTCCATCGTTTTTCTACTTTTCAAATTATAAATTATTTGTCTTTTTCGAAACTCTTCATTTCAATAAAAACACTTTATGACAATATGCGGGCAACAATTTTTCACTTGTTTCCCTGGCGGGAAACATTGCATTTATTTAAAGTCATGTGACTACGAATGAACCAGTTACATTTAAAATACACAGCACCTATATAACAATAGTTAATCCATGTATTTCCTGTATCTCAACCAGATTACTGTGGATGCCTTGGTCAAAGAACATATGCCGAAGAAGTCAAAGCGACGTGGATATGCGTCATGGTTTTCTTCCTGGAGATCTCCTCCAGAACATGTAAGTTTTTTCCATAGACCTCTAAAGTGTCTGTGCTGTGACGTCGTTTGAAGTCAAAGCATGATTCCGATTGACCAATGCGGCCTTTTTCCTGCTAAAGTATATTGCTGCTCCACTGGAAATAGCCAGTGTGAGATGTAATCCATCTTGAAATCTCAAAAACTCCGTTAGAACGAGAGCACGGATGAAGATGTCCAAGATGGTGATCGCAGCAAATGGCAGACTGAAAGCTTGGATGAAACCGACAGTTTGCCACGAGATGAAACTCCCGAACCGTTGCAAGAGATCCCGGAGAATGGTGCCGAGATGGAATTGAGTGTGTCGTCAACTGATACCATGACAACCGAGACTTACAAGAAAGTCTTGGAGCTTTCCTCTGACCAACTGGTAAGTTCTACTCGTCTCCAGAAGGGTGCGATTTATCCCCATTTCTCGGGGGGCACTACCACTGAAACTGTAAAATTGTGTATCATACATTCAAGTGTTGCTGCCATTGTATAAATTGTATTTCCTCTCTTCAGGCGAGCCTGAATCTCAAAGACGGAGCCAACGAAGTAACATTTTCGGTCACGACAAAATATCAGGTATAAACAACGTGGCCTTTGAAACTTTCAATATTCACTATTCAGACGGTTCTTGTTTTGTAATCGATGTGATATTTTCTCTTTTAGGGAACAGCAAGTTGCTCCGCTTCGATATTTCTGTACAATTATAACGACAAAATAATCATTTCTGATATTGACGGAACGATTACAAAGTGAGTCCGATTTACCAGAAAACGTTCGATGGATGATTCAATGTATATAATTCTCTCATGCAACTGTCTGATACTTTGTGCAAATTCTACACGTTGCTTTTTTGCAGGTCTGATGTTTTAGGACAAATTTTACCTGCTAGTTTCTGGGCTCAGTCCGGAGTGGTGAGTTCCATATTTATCACCTTATAATAATGTTTTCCAAGCCAGTTGTTCTAACATTGTTTGACTTCCACCCTCTTTATCTTTCAGGCGAAATTATTTAGCTCAATACAAAAAAATAGTTATAAGTTTATGTATTTATCTGCACGGCCTATTGGCCAGGTTGGTATCTATAAAACTTTGCTGAATTTTTTTACCTTGTATTTCTAAACACAGAGAGTTTTATTGCTAGTTTTTGTTTCATTTTCAATGCCATTTTTTTATCTCTAAATAGGCTGAGTTGACGAGACAACATTTAAGAAGTGTTGTTCAGGAAAATCTTGGATTACCTAATGGTCCATTGTTCCTATCACCCAGCTCGCTTATAAAGGCTTTTCACAGGTTTATTTGACGTATAATTTAATGTTTGACGTGATACAAATAACTGAAATAAGGCTGGAAAAGTAATTAGGAGGGCTGAACTTCCCGTGGTGCTTTGAGAAGACAGCTTAGCGATGTTCGGTCAATATAGAGAAGTTGGTTTCAAAAAGTTGGTAACCCGTGTATTTTGTCGGCCATAAATTTAACATTTTACTAGGGCATGGCTCTTGGGAAAAGGAGAGGTGTAAATGTCTGTAGGCAGAATTTCAAGGAAAGAATTTCTCTCAAAATCCGGGCATGGCATGCAATCAGGCCAATTAATGGTGAAACTCCTCCGCTTTTTTCTAGAGAGGTGATCGAGAAGAAGCCTGAAGATTTCAAAATACCATGTTTAAGAAACATTCGGAAATTGTTCCCAGAGAAAAACGAACCATTTTTCGCTGGATTTGGAAATAGAACAAACGTGAGTTTTTTCAGCTAACCACTATACAATAAACTTAATGCAACGTTATATATTTTACTATTAAAGCGCCTGGGTACGAGGCTAAGTTACTTTGGTAAAAAATTTGGTTTCTTTATTTTTAGGACGTTTTGTCGTACCGTGCTGTCGGTATTCCTGTTCAAAGAGTTTTTACGATAAATCATAAAGTAAGATTGTGTGCATTGATTCTTGTGTCCGTGGTTTGACGTTTGAACAACGCATGTATTTTTTTGTTTTCTAAATTTCTTTGAATCTTCTACTACAGGGCGAAGTAAAGAATGAATTCACAAATGCATTCCAGTCTTCGTAAGTGTGTTTTACAGAATCTGTATTTGCATGGCTCACTCAATGAGGTTTTATGTTGAAATAAACCGCGAAATCGGGCCCGAATCAATAATAGAAATGAATATTAGCAAACATGAAAATTTGGGGCACTAAATCATAATATTTCCAAGCCAGTGGCCGGTTGTATAAAACCCTAAACTACAGTTTGCATAGTTAAATCCTAACTCAGAAATACACAACTTTGATTGGCCAATTCCTGTCACTAACTACAGTTAATTGTGAGTTAATGAGAAAGAGTTTTTTTAGCCCCTTTGTGAAGCATTAAGTCATTTATCGGCCGCTTTCAAAATTTAGTTACACTGAGATGCAAGATTTAGTCGACCAAATGTTCCCGCCATATCTCGAGGAAACAACGAGTCTGGTCGCCTCAGACGAGTTTAGCGCGTTTACTTTCTGGCGGACACCGCTGACCATAGTGAATGAAGACAAAGCTTTGGAGCGAACGGATTCGGCGCTGGTAGCCAAGGCTTCGACATAACAAGGTTTGAGACACCCATACATTCACCTCGGATCAGGTGTGCGTGGGTCACCCCACTGATCCAAAACGTACACTGGAGAGCGCTGCATATTGCGATGGATGATAGTCCAGTTGTGGGGAAGGGATTCGGTCAAACACCTGTTCCGAGGCTAACCGTACGTACTTATAGAATATTACACAGAGATTTGCTCGGATATTTTTGAAATTTACATCGATGACATAGTTGCTAGAATGATTGAGGGCGGTGGACTTGGGTGGACCTTAATTTGTATCATAATATTTTTAAATTTCGACGGGAAAATAAGTTTTGCTTATTCCGAACTTTCGAGGAAAGAATTAATTTATATAGAGCTTATTATAACGGATAAATTTTTATGGTTATTAAAAATAGTGCATATTTAAAGAACTGAGATGAGAAAATTTGGGTGAATTTGAAATAAATAAATACAAACGAAAAACGGAAACGCGAATTTCCCCAGCATGACAAAGACAATAGTCAGATAAACAAATAAACAGACACGGAAGAGCAATTGATTTTGCCAAGCGCTTTTAAAACAATGGTAAGGTAAACAAATTAAGGCTAGGAAATGAACAAACAAATTGCTGGTTTATTTAAATCATGTAAATAACAAAACAATGGCAAATAGTCGGAACGTGGCTGGTTTTTGCCAACTTATCCTGACAGCGCATTTTGCCGGAGGAAATCGGTTAAACCACTAACCACAACAGCGCAATCAACACCCTAACGTGCGCGTCTCGCCGCTTCGATAAGCGCAGATCGATTGGTCCAGATTGACCTTGCGGAAATACCCAGCTATGAACTTGATGAATTTTCTAGTCTTACGTAACGTACTTTAAGACCGAAAACGAAAATGCATCGTCACCAGTGAACGGCGTAGAAGGTAGTCGAAATTGCGAAAATAAGAACATCACGTTTCGCAAACATCGAGACGCGCATGTAATGCAAATGTTTTGCTGTTGTTAACGCGTTCGGTAATATCCATAACGCGCGCGCGCGTGTGTGTTTTTCTGTATCACAACTTGAATTTGAAGGTCGAATGCCATATATCAGAGATATTTTGCTGTAGTTTGCTATCAAAGATAATTTGAACGCAAATTACAGCATCGAAAAGGTTGGCAATATACCGTCTGAAGTTCGGGACGGGCGGGAGAAGGACGGGCTCTCCGACGATTCGGGAACTTGAATTTTCGACCAGCCGAATTGGTGCGGGTACGAATTCAAAGCACTTTTATCGTGGACGCGTTGAATCTGGAGAGGGTCGTGGAGATTTCTTTGAAACACAAATAGTTTGCGTTGAAGAAATCTACAGGAGTTCTGGTTTGATATTTGCCGCCGTGAAAACGAAAGAAAATCATCCTGGGGCAGGTAAATGTAATCGATATTTTGTATTTTCCGGAACGGGGCTGCCGTTTTTTCGTGTCGCTGCGTCTTTTCTTGGTGTGTGTGCATGTTACCCGTGACGCACCAATGTTTTGTTCTCTTATTCAAGGGGGGGGGGGGTGATGCCTCGATCAAAACGCTGCAAAGTGTGTTTTATATAACGCCAACTCGTATTGTTGTGTTTAGATCTATCGATTGTTCGTACAAGCAAAAGAACTCTGAAAGAGTATCCACGGATGTCAAACCAGCATGGGATAGTAAAAAACAACGAAGAACATTATTCGCTGTTGTTCAACAACAACGTGTTTTTTAAAGGTACGAACGGACCCAACCACGCATGCGTCACCAAAAACGAACAGGAGGAGAAATGTACAGTCCTGTTTCCCGATGGAAATACGAGGCGGATATTAGCAAACGACTTCATTTGGTTAGGTTTTCAAAAGTTGCCAAGAACATATTGGCCTAACGGATTAGTTTCTGGTACTAAACCATCAGTGAAAGTTCTTGATCAAATCGAGTCACTTGTCGGAAAAGGAAGGAAAGATGTCTTAGCACTACCAAGAATGTTGAAAGCCATACGAAGTGGGGAAGATTTGATGCGATTGAGAAAACTAGGAAATGCTCAGTGTGAAAATCGAGGTCGCATTAAAGAGTATTCCGGTGAACAATGTAGTGTGGGACCCTTTTCAGCATCATCCGGAGTAAAACCAAGGTCTGTCTGTGGTAATGATAAGAGATATTTTAACTTGCATTCACATCTTTACATTGCCAACAGACGTTTGGCAAATGTTGTTTCGACAACCTTGTTGTGCTTTCACGTCGAGTTGTTATTTTGATTGATTGTAAACTTCGTTAGGAATCGCAAAGATTTCGCGTTTACCCTCCACGTTTTGTGACCGATGTGTTTTCTTCCACTTGATTAGAACCAGCGTCCTGAGGCTTCATCTCGACTCGCTGGAAACCGAAGCGACAGCACAACGCGAAGCGACAAACATCCGTAGATCACCTTGTAATAATTCAGGTAAGATATTCCCCACAAAACATGGAATATTGCCATATTGTACTCGCTTAATCCAATTACATGACGTAACACGATCGAAGTCGCGTGCAAGCCTGTCAACTATTTTGCTTCGATAAATCACGAGAAGTCGCACTTCTCCGTCGGAAGCGTTTGGAAATGCCAACGAGATTTACAGGTCGTTGGTTGTTTAAACCAAGCTTGAGGTTCGAAGCGGGGATTCGTATAATCCGCTCTTCGCCGTTTGCGGCAGCCTGTTTAGTATTACGCAACATAAAGTATGCATACGTTGGAATTAATTCTCATTATAACACCATTTATGCACATGTCGAAACATTTCGAAATGCACATGCTACTTCGTGTTTATTAAAAACCCGTGAAATCGTCGATGAAAGAAGGAGTATTCTGGTAGATTTTTCAGACAATGTGTCGTTGAGTATGTGCCAAAGGTACGTGTTCACAAACGATTCGTTTATGCGCCATAATTTCTATCTATTTCGCAATGTTTTGAAAATCTATAGCTTTGTTAAACACACCACAGCAGACGAATCTAGAGAGTTCCATTCGCATATTACATTGCTCATCGATCTTTACTCGTGCAAATAAGGCCCTTATACTCGTGAATTTCTTCGGAAAATATCAGTTCGCAAAATGTTGCAATTACTATATTACTTTTTTATCTAAATTTTAAAATCTTATTGTATGTAATAACGATATTCGCCTATTATGTGTTGCTAATTAATCTTTCAAAGGTCAAGGATAACGTGTCGCGTTAAGTGGGCTGGAACTAGGATAATATTTTTTCACCGAGTCACGTAGTTATAAACGTTGCCTTGTTATGCAACTTATGCCTTACTTATATGGTCAGATGTACAGTTAAGCCCGTGAAATTAAGACGCTTTTTAAATCGGTTAGATTCCGGCAAAGTCGAAAATCTGTCGCCATCTCATTTCTTCACGATAATATATTCGAGCAATGATGATGATGCATAGGATTGTTCTATAAAAAGAGTTGTAAGAAACAAATTATACCTTCTCTCGAGGCGCTGGGCACTGGTCTCTAAACTCTAGCTTAAAAACTAGTATCTCAGTCCATTGTCCGATTGAATTTAGCGAACAGAATTATTTGATGATTTAAAAAAATATTTAATCAGGATGTAGAACACCGTCAATCAGTACAAGTTTTTTAAATATTTGGCGTGTAAAAAAAATTAGAGTTCTTATCAAAATTATTTTTGTTATTTTGTAACTAGAGAAGAAGTCTTTCTGTGAGGTGCATGGTTCGAAAGTTTTTACATCGAAATAAATCTGAGTATTTTTGGGCTTCAATTCTTGATTGGGTAAATGAATATCCTTTAACAGAAAAACCACTGAGTCTTTGTAATACATAACTTCAGTCATAGACATATATCGAAGCGAAAAGGAAGGTCTCAATATTTAACGCGTATTCTAAATTTGGAGTTCAACCGCATGTTTTTTTCGGAGTTGTTTGGGGGAGTTTAAATGGGGCGTGAACAAGTCACGGTCTTATATTTACCCTCAAATTCCAGGCGATGGTTCCTGTTATCGGTGTGTGTTTAAGTCACAAGTAAAAATGAAAACCCGTTCGCAGGCGTACGAGAACGGTGACGTCAGTGACACTAACGATCAAAATGGCAGCAGAAAACGGCAAATAAACAATGCTGATCTTACGTCATCAGAACTGCACATAACTCCGCTGGTATGTAAATAATGGCGTTCTCTTGCGATTGATGATAGTTTTTTTCTTCTGGGAGTTTGTTGTGTTTTGCAATGTAGCTTTCCGACTGGGAAAACGAAGTTTAATAGCTATACTTCGCTCACAGCAAAATATGTGAGCATAATTCTAGTATTTTTTGGCATTCTTTTGCTAAACGGGCTTGGAAACGAAAACAAGAAAGGGGTGATAGACAGAAGTAATTTTTTCTCACCTCAATTGTAAACATTCAAAGATGTAAATAATTTCAAGTGAAGTAGCTGAACTGTTGGTAGACTGGTACCAACTTAAGGTGGCTTGTCTCGGTAGAAATCTTTTTCACTACACGTTTCCGTGAAACCTTGATTTTCCTATGCATCAATGCGCGCGCCGACCATCCCAAAGTTGTAATAACATAATATACAACGCTATTTTAGTTGGATAAAGAAGCTTCAAAGTTATTTGATTCAACAGACTTAACAAGCGAAACATTTTATGATTTAACGGACCTGACAAGGTACGTACTGTGCAGAAATATTTTGATCTAAAACAACTGTAAAATGACGATTGTGGAACATATATCTATTGTAATTCGTTCATTCATACACTTCAAAACATTCACGATTGCATCTCGTTAAATAAATACGAAGACATTCAATGTTTTATTTGAAAAACCATAGTTTCCTTGCACGGGGGGGGGGAAGGTGCCAGGTGTGGGAACTATTGACTAGGCTCTATCTAATCTCATCTTCTAAAACTTGATGAATTTTTTATTTTCCATAGTCCTGATCTATTGTCCGCTCGGCAACCAGGGGACTGGAATCAATTGAGTAACTCTTTGAATACTGATCTCTCGAATCTATCGCCGCCGGTGACCCCGCAACCTCTGGACGCTACATTACAACTGGACATGCCACCATTTGAAAGGCTTTTTGATTCTCTGCCGAGCGAATCCACGTACCCCATTGAAAACACGCAGTTGTTCGAAGAAATCGTGGCGGGAAAGCGCGCGAAACGGGAACAGCCGAGAAAATGTCGAAAGGTTTACGGCATCGATAACAAAAAGAGCTGGTGCACGCAATGCCGTTGGAAGAAAGCGTGCACAAGATTCACAAGTTAAATTGTTTTTCAAAGGTCATGCACAGCTATCCCCGCCGTGTTGCTGCCAAAAAAGTTCTTTTTAATAACTGTTTGCCCAAATATGTAACTTAATTGCTTTTCATGCATGTCAAGTTCCCCCAAATCCACAATCCAGCGCTATATCCGATTTCCGTACAACGGGCCCCAGGGTAAGTAAGAAACCTGATGCTTATTCATATGCCTATCCCATGCACATAGCTGCAGTAATTTCGCAGAAGTTGAAAGTGAATCATCAATTAAGTTTAAAAGATAAATCTTTAATGAGACTGAGGTAACCAATTTTAAATTGTTTACTGTTTCTACAATGTGTGAGGTGAAATTAACTACGTCCTGATTGTGCTGATTGGCACTAGGGAATTGTTAATTATGTCAGTCGGCGGCATATTCGTATATGAGATGTACATCAGCTTTCCTGACTAGCCCTGTAGAGACCGTTAACTGGCGGTTTTCAGGAAACCTGATGATAGCGGCAAAATCCTGATGATCGAAATTTTAAGTGTTCGCTGTCGGCCAATAAAAGTTAACATTGCCCTCAGGTTAAACATTAATTATTCACTTGAAGAAGTAAAAAATGAAAAAAAATGCTCTTTGCAGTCAACGTTTGGGGTTTACCGAATAGCAAATGTACCTAAAAGATACAGGTAAATAAAATATGAGGCAAACTTCCATCAAACACACAATTAAATCCCACTTTTGGGATACTTTTATTTATATATAACACATTTCACATAATTTTTCACAAATTTCCAATATGGCGGCCAGTGTATGTGTAATTGAGCTTTGTGATAACAATTTACGTCGTAGATGTGAAACATTTGAATGTATAAAATGACAATTTAGAGAATATATTGTATACTATAGTATTAAAAAATAAATAAATGAAAAACAGCATTGGTTTTTACTTTTTGAAGTATTAAGCTTTCCTGATTATCACTAGGAGTAAAATAACTTCTTTTAATCCACGAATGAGGCTCGGAAATCGTTCTGCACTTGTTAAGACGTTAAGAAATTTCAATTTGACTTCAACAATCAGTGATTGATTTTCTCAACTTGGCTGTTGTTTATTTCTTGAATTCTTTTTAATTATGCTGATCTTAAATTCTTAATTTATCATTAGCCTACTTCTTGATATTTCATATTATCTTCTTCCTGTTATGATGTCTTGAACATGGGAATCAAAACACCAGATAAAGACCTTTTTGAATTTTCATTCTGTTTTGGCGATCATTCTTTCAGTGCACTTTTCATTGCCTCCATTAATTCTTATAATGAGATCTATACGACTCCTGTCTTCAGTGAAATTCTTCAGTGCAAATTTCAAGATTTGGAACTAAAAATTTCACCAAATGATTTACATAATCCTAGTAAATATTCGTGCGAAGATACACTAGTGAGACTAGTAAATAAGGTGCCTTGAAAATATCTTGCACAGTTGTTTGTTTGATAGGAAGTTGGAGGAGAAACCAAAGGAACTTTTTGCGCTTTTTGATAAAAACACTTCGTGGGGAGTTCGGTGAGAGGTTTCGGATGATTTTTTCTAGTTTCCGTTGGCAATTTCCCATATGCACAATGAGCTTAAACTTTGAAATACCACAATTTCCACTTGCATCGCGCATAGACGTGTAATTTATTTACTTATTTTAATCTATTTACTACTATGTGTGAATTGTTGAATTTTTTTTATTCCCATTGCCCTGTAATTCTATATCATTTGCTCTGAGGATTGCTTTAGGGGAGAAATGCAAAAAAACTGTCTTGATTTATTGCTGACCAGTGATTTAGCTACCAGCGCCAATCTATCCTGAACATGATTGATACCTGTCTAATTAGTCTTAATGACCTTTTCAGGAATTAATAGCATCTGTCTTCAAGCATTTCTCCTTCGAAAATGCTTTCTTAAAATGACCGCAAAAATGCACCTTTAGCTAATTCCTTCAATGGATTTCTTTTATGTGAAGCTCAATTAGACCTCCTTGGTTTTGTAAAAAAAACCTGTCGTACGTTAGATTAATTGAAAACAGGCTATCTTCTGTCTGCGCTAATGATCTTCGTATAAATTGAGCAAAACGATAAGATCCTTTGAGACAATTGCAAGTATAGACAAATGCTTGCAGTCCTTAAGGACTGGCACAGAATTGCAATAGCATTGCAAATTGCTTTCGCAAAAAAACAATACTCCTCTTCTTCGTGGGCATTTGCAACAAAAACCAAGCCTTCGAGAAGTGTCTTTTCCGTAAGTCGTGCTAAACAACCTTTTGGGATTGTGTAACTAAGAAACAAACTTATTATTTTAGACAGTGTAATCACATCCTAGTGCGTGCCCTTTTGCACTGCCCAGCGTGAGATGCCGTGCATTACTCGACCAATGACGTCAATGAGCGCCGTTGCTATGTCAAAAATGTGTTTACCACTTTGAGAGATGGTATTTTTAGCACACCTTTTAGTCGCGTGCGGTGTGGTTTTTTCCCGACTGTCTCACGCAATTCTTCAGAAACTACTTTCGCTTGCTTTTTCGAAAGCAGAAAGTTTCTGAGCGTCGTTACGACTTCACCTGCAAGCGCTCTTGTTTGCTCATGGAAATTTGAGAGTTTAAAAAAAAGCACGGTTGACGGGGAATTCGATCTATTATCGTCCAGCCCTTGTTTCTTCCGCGTCTACGCGAAATCCAATCGTGCGTGAAAAATGCCAGCTAAAATCCTCCATATTTCCTCAAAATATGCTTTCATGCACTCTGTACGATGATTAAGTGTGGTAAACTCTCCTGATGTTGGGCTGACTGTTAAATGTTCAAGGTTTTCCGTACCTCAATATATTCAGCAATATTAAAAGTAAATAACACGATTTTTATTACATCAGTTGACACGATAATCTGATCTTTGGTATTCAAAAAGTTTTTTGAGTTCCAGTGATTAAGACGAATCTTTGCCACAATCAATGAAAAAAAAATTGTGGACAAATTTAGCAGAGAGAATACTTAGAGGCATTTTAAAGATCATACTAGGTGCTTGTCAAAGATTTCTTCAGTTTGTTTTGAACTATAAGCTTTGAACCTTAGTATTTTTTCAAACGTTCGTTAACGTTGCGTTACTCTGAAGCTCTATGACCTTTGAACGCGATCGAAAACAAACTTGATTTTTTTTTTGTAGTAATTTATTGACTCTTTGTTTTTGTAAAACTTTGAAATTATCAAGTACTTCTACTTAAATTCTTGTGGCCTAATTACATGTTTTCATCTGCAAATGACGTCAGCGCACCAAACGGAGTAAGGCATGATGTACTTTTAAGGCAAGTTATGCTTTCTTAAGACAAAAATCTTTTAAACGCTGTTTTCATTGTTTTGTTCGCTACGTTTTGTTAAGGCTGTTACGAGTTGGCCGTTAATCGTCTTTCATTGAGAATTTTCTGTCAATGCAGTTCGGAGTTTCAGTGAAAAACGAAATGTAAAACATTTTATCATTTAAGGAAAAGTTGTGCACTCGTGTGTATGGACAATATATTTGGCACAGGCTATATTGTTTTGAGGTTAAAGGAACGATGAAGTTTATCCACCAAAATGAGATCATTGTAATCATCTTTAAGGCGATCAATGAATTTTTTTTAACCGGCGGAAGGTTCTGTGCAGATAGTTCGAGCATTTTAAAAGCTACTATGATCCATTGATCCATATGTAGGCGAAGTCGTATAAGACTTTTTTGTTTTACGGCTATTATGAAGACTAACAGTATAACAATGTTAGGTGCGTTAAGTACTGTTCAAAGTAGGCGTACCATGATTGATAAAAGGGAATTAATAATGGCTAAAGGCAAAAAACTTCTAGAAAGCAGATCTCCACAGTTATAGCATATTATTTGTACAAAACAACGGTAACTATCTCCGAATAAGGACAGAATTTTGATTAACTCAATATTTAATCATTGCTGATTCGTCATTCCTGAATTCTGATGACTAAATTAAGTCGTTGAATTGCTGAAAATATTGTCTCTTTTCAAGTCACTGTTGTGTGTATTTGATGAAAATGCTCGAAGATTCTCGAAATGGTCATAGATTATTACTTACCTTCGAATTGTTCTAAGAATTTTTACTGTAATTCGGGGAGAATATTCGACATATTCACTCTAGTGCTGTTTAGAACCTCTTTAAAATATTTCAAAATATTTCTTAAAGCAATTAATCAATGTTAGCAGTTAAGATGTTGTTGCAGATTGATTTAAGACGACCAAAGAGTATCATATTTATTTTAAGTGTTGATGATAGCAGCGTTTTAGAATGTTTGGGGCCCTCAACATGTGAATTCGATAAAAAATATTCGGGGAAAATATGGTTCTTTTGATTTAAAAAATTGCCGGTGCAATAATATGACAGATAATTTAGATTAACCGAAATAGAATTCCGCCGAAACCAATATTTTTAGTATCACCATGTTAAATGGCCAAAGGCTTTGCCGGGCAAAGGATTTTTCGAATAACTCGTGTGCGCGATGCTGTAGTATTTGAGATGATAACCTTTTTACCCATTGCACGTATTTATCCAATGATCATTACACATTCAATAGTTGATTACAGAATCAATGGTTGATTACACAATCAATAGTTGATGATGCAATCAATAGTTTTTGCACAATCAATAGTTCCAAAGCACGTTTACTTTGACCTCGACTAACGACGGGATGATAAACAGTTAAGCATCTGTAGAATGGCACGCAATCAGGATTTTTTCTTCACCACGAATTATCTGCCTAATCCAATTTAAATACGCGAAATATTTTCGTGGCGACTTAGCACTTGCCTCGAAGCTGAAGGACATGTTGCGTTTGTTTCCATTTACTGTCACCCTTAATGGCTTTCGGAGCTTAACTGTGCGTTCTTTCATTCGATCAACTATTGGTCCATAATATTTCACGGCGAAAAAGTAGCGCGGTTTGGCATAACACTCCTACACGTCATATAGAAGCCTTACGGAGCTGCATGCTTTCATGAGAAGCACATTGACCCTTGAATCACTGGTGCATGGAGTCGCTTTCTCTACAAAGCTACTCGGTTTGGTGATATATTTAAAGTATAATTCAGACGCTCTAAGTTCTTCCTGACTATCCTTTCTAAGCGTCATAAAATTCAAGAAGTCTTTAAACCTTGCTCCGTGAGTGTTTACAGGGTGTATGAAGATCTTCGTAAGGCTATGTGCCGAGCATAAGCCAGGATTTATGCTTTGTGTTTATTTGCACTACTGCACGAGATGCTTCATTTCTTCCTTGAGATTAGTCGAGATCTCCCTCGGGTGGTATCTGCATGCATGCATGTCATTCCAGCCGCTTTGTTGCAAGTCTGCGCAAACCGACGTTGCCCGACCGCATGTCTATGGAACATTCGACAAATTCTAGCTGCTCAATTGAAAAGGAAGTCTCCAGGGCCGGGAGATGTTAGATTAGAAGGAAAAGTTCCGTCGCCTGGGTGCAATCCGATGATATATAAATGAGTGCTGGGTGCGCATGTATCAAAACTTGCTAATTTGAATTATCCCCATCGGGGACTCTGCCTTTTGGTTCGTCTGTGGAATTCCCTCCCTAAAATAATCCCGTTTCAGCTGGGAAAATCGCGCCGCTATTTTTGCGGCCTTATGATCGTTGTGCAAACAGGAAACGAGCTTTGGTAATTGAGGTCCCTCGCATCAATCTTTGTTCAAAAAATTGAAAGCAGGAAAAAAAACAGAAGTAGAATTCTATTCTAGAAATCACTGCAAATCTAGCTGCATTCCAATATTGTGTTCCTCTTTCTGAAAAGAACAAGTTCGGTAACATTTTAATTGCCCAACTATTCCGATTGAATAGTAAGTCTGTGAGTTGCTGATCAGTGTCTAAACCGCAAATGGTTTTAATTAGAACAAATTTAAGGGTATTCTAATTGATTCAACGAATGTTTATTGTCAATTATAACACATTCGGAATGATTCATCCTATAGTTAGAATGCTGTTGTTGACGCTTAATTTGCTTCTAAACGTTCGCGAAATTCAAATTTGATAAATGTAGGATAAATAATATAGGTGTTGCGTGCGGTATTGAAGAAAAAAATGGCACCGATAAGCCAGTGTCGTGCTGCGACCATGGCTAAACGCAGCGAGTCCTGTGACCGGCTGACTATGCAAGGAATTTAACTTGAAAAACAATGAAAACAGCGTGTTTTGCGCTTGGCGTTCCTACTGCAAATTACCGCGAAATTCTAAAAACAAAAATGACTGATTTCTGCACGCGTTATGCCGAGGTAGCCAAATTGCCTTCAGCGAGTAAAATCTGGTGAAATTCATGCAGTTCAGGCCACTTAAAAATTGGCAGCTTGGCACGAAAATAAATTAAATTCATCGTCACTGTCAACTTTAAGAAGCATACCATTAGTTCCAAATTTCTAGTGCCTCCATAAAATCGTGTATAAAAAGCCAAGGAATCGGAAAAAAGCATGGAAAAGAATGACAATATTTTTGCTATTAACGCTACTTATTTACATTTACTGCTGTTGACAATTGTAATGTTGGAAAATTTATTTGCCTCTCAGAAATAACTATCAATTAATACCACGACAGTCAACTGGTAATCACCCTCAATCATTTGGCACTCTTTATATGACAAATACGTCACAAACGTAACTGGTGAAAATCAAGGTGTCCAGATAAGGCTAGGCTGGCTTTGAAAATCCTTGCGTATCTTTCACCTTCGTGACCGAGGTTTAATTCCCAAAATATGCAGTTCCATCTCAGATTTGAATCTCAGATTGCATGTGTAAGGAGCTCTTATCCCTCAATATTTTGTAAAGCTGGCTTATTTGGACCGTCAGGATAGCCAATTATCCAGTATGAAAATTGTCTAGAGTTCAGGTTTCCTCCTGCAATAACGCTGGATCAATAAAAGATGATCTTTTACGGGATCTCTAGGAAGAAGAGTCTAGAACTGATAGAGATATCCAGTATAGATAAAGTTAACTTAGTTTAGATTTCCTCCTGCATCTCCTGCAGTAACACTAGATCAATAAGAGATGATCCTTACTAGACCTCCAGAAAGAACAGTTTAAAACTGATAGAGCTATCCAGTACAAATAAAGTTAGTTTAGTTTAGGTTTCCTCCTGTAGTAACACTGGATCAATAGGAGATGATCCTTGCTGGACCTCTAGGAAGAACAGTTTAGAACTGATAGAGCTATCCAGTATAAATTAAGTTCGTTTAGTTTAGGTTTCCTCCTGTAGTAACACTGGATCAATACGAGATGATCCTTACTGGACCTCTAGGAAGAACAGTTTCGAAGTGATAAAGCTATCCAGTATCAATAAACTTAGTTTAGTTTAGGTTTCCTCCTGTAGTGACACTGGATCAATACGAGACGATCCTTACTGGACCTCTAGGAAGAACAGTTTCGAATTGACAGATAAATTAAAAAAATACTCCACAGTGATAACTTCGAACATAAACAAATAATTAAAGTATAGTATTCATGATGAGGACCGCATTAAAATTACAAATCAATCAAAAATCAAGATAATTAATCGTATACCCTCATGTAACAACGCTGTATAAATAGGAGATAACTTTTGTCACCTACAGGAGGTGTTTACAGCCCTATTCTACATGAGAAAGCTTTGCTTGTGATCTCGAATTTCCTTGTAGTCTCCAGGTAGTTACATAAATATTGAATCTCAACGTGATTACACACTGGAATCGCTTCTTTTATTGTGTGCTCAGGTTGGTTGGCAAACATTCTAAAATGTTGCAAACGGAAATGTTCCAAAATGTAACAATTTTTAACAGCGATTTGTTGCAAGCGAGCGTTGTTTGGCATGCGAGTTATTCCCTGCAACGGTTTCCCGTCGCGAGGCGCTAAATTCGGCACATGCAGCCGGTGAAGACCGGCGTTACAACCACAAAATAACAAGTCCGCCCCCGCTGTGTATGTTGACGGGCAATGGCAGATTCGAATGATGATTCAAAAACAAAGATAAATTGAAATACGCTATAGAGAACTCGTTCACGCACGAAGCTCGATCTTTTTGCGTCCCGGTGGACTTTGCTTCGCCTTCGAAACATCGTCCAGGGAATTTTGAACGGGGAGGTGTAATCTTTTCGTTTGAGGGTTCATTTGGACCGCATGTGATTCGTCCACTAAGAGTAGCCCTTGGCAAGGTTATTTTGGGTCGCGCCAGTTGGGTGGATTGACGTAAGAGGGAATGCTTGAATAATCTTGTTATGAGTTTTGTTTGTGAGTGCACTTGCCTTGGCTATGTCGGTCTAAGTATTTGCCGCTCCGTGTGTAGGAACAGCCTGCGTTTTACAGCGTGCGTAATCGGAACATTTTACCTTACGAGCGTGGCAAGCATCTGACTTTTTCCTTTACGTCGCGTTCTTACTCGTTATAATTATTTTTACGGAAATCGGGTCCCCGGCTGAATGTGGTCGGTGTGTTGGCAAAGTAACCGAGGAAAGGACTCTTGGATTTGCTGTACTTTTGCAAAGCAAACATTCGCTGAAACTTTTCAGCTCTGATTCGAAACTTTTGAAGCGATCTTCAGTAAAGCTTCGTAGACGCTGGACTTCGTCCCTCTCTCGAGCTCAGCCGTTCATTACAAGATTTCGTGCTCAAGTGCATTAGTAAGTGAATATCGAAATCCTGATAAATTTTATCGTCGTGATTAAAAGCTCCATATATCTCTCGTCGTCCGGACAGCATATCTGTTGTAAAGAAAAGCTGTAAACCTGACAAAGTGGCGTGTTGTTTTGCAAAAGGCAAACGCAGATCGCGATGGAAAATACATCGTCAGGGAACGATCGAGCAAACTCTTTGCTGATGCTAAGCCGTGCCGTGTATGTAAAAAAGTCGGACAATACTTTCTACCCGGGCACGATCGATACCAAATTACCCGATGGAAGTTACTTGGTGAAATTCACAGACAGTTCTAGCGATAGAGTTGCCGAGAATCATATAGTGTGGTTAGGATTTTGGGGTCTGCCACCGAAGTGCTGGCCCCGAAATCCAATCGTTCAAACAGCCGGTCCAATCGATATGGCGTTGGATTTTCTCGATAGGCACAAAAACAGTGACAATTCATCGCATTCCGTTTCTCGTAAAACGCATTTACCAGATAGAAATGTTAGAGGAGTGATTGGGTTCCAAGAAATGGATTTTGGGTCGGGCAGCATTCCGAGATGTTCTGAGAACGATGCTCTGAGTCAAGATGATGACGGGATAAATGAATTTGAGACGAGCCCTGCTCATGTCCAGCCAAGACAAGTCTCTGAGAATCCAGCAAGGTGCGTTATTCACGAGCTTTTTACGATCTATGTTTGTGATTTGTGCAGAATCTTTGGACCTTTTCGCCGCGAAATGTCTACGTTCGAATGTGAATATTTCGCTGCATGCGAGGCTTTGTTGTGAGTCATCGCACTTTATATAAGTGTGCTCATTCATTAGCGTATAACTTGAGGATAGTTCCCTTTCTTTCATTCAAATTGCCGTACAGTCCTTATGAGATCCCTAACGCGTGTAAATCATATTTCACAGTTGTGTTCGGCTCGAGGAAAAGCGTTGAATTGTCTATTTTGGTTGCAGAATCTTGAACGGTGCTGCTAAACACACCTCTTTACACCTTGTTAAATATTCTCATTTAACACATCTTCTGTGCAATATAAATCTCTGAATTCTTCCTAGAATCATTTTAAACGATTCGTCTTTCAAATACACTCATTTTACATTGTATGAGTCGCCTTTTGGGGGAAGGAATGCCTTCAGCTAAAGCCTCAGTACCTTTTCGGTAATTTTGCAAAGAGATCTCAGCAAGAGACGCCTATACCTTTCACTTCTGCTATAGCATCTAAAGCTTGCTTCAAACTAGACGTCCCTCCTGATGAAAGCATCAAAAAGGCTTGCTATCTCATTGGGATGAAATATTTATTCTACATTGTCATTGCATTCTACTCCCATATTCACAATACGCTAGATTGCCAAGCATGTAAGATCTATGACTATGTTTTCATTGTGCAAAGCATAAATGGATGTCTGGTTCTTTTTGTTACAACAGCACAACGTTTGAAATAAGCTAATCTGAAAATACCACCCAAATTTAAGGTATATATTCCATTTACACGACGAAGGCACTATAGGTAAGGTAATATTGTGTTTTCCAAATGTGAGCACGATATACTTCGTGGTTTTCAATGAAATCTTAGAATGATTTAGGACTTGCGTCCAAGCCGGAATCAAATTCTCCGTTTGCAACGACTGTATTTAAAGTATTTCACAAGCTGAATAATCGAGACATACGTTCGTTGCAAGGATTTTAAAAATTATCCTGATACAAACCAATTTATAGAATGGAAACAATGCAGTACAACGGCTTGTATATTTTGATATATTATATTTTCATATAATATTCTTCTTGTTTATGAAGCAATATAAGCTAAACAAATGCTGGCCATTTCACGGAATGTTTCGAAGTAAATCTGTAAAATTCGATACATCAGTGCCCGCCTCATCGCGTGTTGCGAAAACTGATCAGTTGTAAGTACTGTGGATAATGAATGATCTGTATTAGCTATTAAGGCTATTAGTATTAATATTTTTGAGCGAAGACTTTCTACTGTCGTCTGCCTCGTCCATTTCGATCGAAACTGGAGCAATTTCACTATTTTTTAGAAATGGCAAAAGTTCATTTAAATATATAGTTGCACGAAGTCGAACTTAACTCGAAGGCAATATTTCTAGCTTCGGAGATTTCGCGATATAGGATTCGCTGCCGTAGAATTTCTACACTTGTATATTTGTTGGAAAAGACAGAACGTCTGTCACGAACTACAATTTAAGTTCTACGAATTTGACTCGATTGTTTGCATTTGTTTTATCTGCATGGGCCATTCGCGCCGAAACGATGGCGTGTCTGATACAATTTCGATTGCGTTTCCTGCTCTACAACAATTCACTCCATCGCAGCACATTAAAATGGCTTTAATACATGCAAGTGCTGACTAATAGAGTTATTGTCTAATGCACTAGCCGGCCGCACTTGTGAAAAGACCATTCTAAAAACACTCCTTTTGCCAGCTTTGTCGTTTCGTGAAGGACTTTCCGTCGCGAGTCTTAAAGGAGTCTCGTCACTTCGTTGCATACAAATTCGTGCTGTCTTTAGCTCTATTGCAAGGCTTGATTGTCTTGTTTATCATTCTTATTGACTGCTTTTGCCATCTTAGCCGTTCGTAGCTTTCTGTGGATTTTCCGTAATACAAAATAATCATCTTCATTTAATTCGTGTTTGATTTTCTCGCTCGCAACGGCCAAGTAGTGTCCATTCCGCTCTAATAAATTTAAAACGGCCGATGATTTCATGTGTAAACCTACCGCAGCCGTTCTAATGATGAAAACAATCAAAACTGGTTTCATTTCACTTCTTTAGCAGAATAAGAAAGCGTATATGTACATGTATATTTTATTCATGCAACGTCTTTTAAGTTTGTACATTTTTTTGTACAAAGTGTCAAAGCTTCGTTTGTTCGTTGTGGGTTTCAACACTAAGAAATAAGTCACCCCCGAATGGAAAAATACTCGAGTTTCCTGATTTTCAATTGGTATTAATTCCTCAGTTGCGAGATTCTTTGAAAATAACAACTAGTAGTATTAAACATCGTAGTCAGATTTTGTGAGATATGAAGATTTAGCTAATTTTTAGTTAAAGATAGCGAACGTACACCCACATAAAAGTTTCTACATTTACATTTAACTATCTTATGAAATACTCCCAATGTTTATCTATTTCACTTCCATGTCTGCAAACACTTTGCGATGTTTCAACCGAGAACTAACCATGTTTCAATAAATTTGGCTCCCCAAAATGGCCGCCATGTTTCGTTCTGTTTACATTACTTCGTGAAGAATCGATGGAATTGATCGAGAATTTCTTATTTTGATAGCTATTTATTATCGTTTATATGTACGTCTTCAAATACAAAATCAAAATTGCAAAGTTTTTGATGAAAGATGAGAAGTCTGTTTATATGCGAAACGTTGAAAAATGTGTGTGTGTTTGGCTAAAGCGAATAGCTCGGTGTTGCAATGTTGCTGTGTACAAAAATACAGTTATAAGCCCATGACTTGTAGCTGATGCGAGGTCGAAATAAAATAAAAACCAAAATAGAAACTGCTCGAATTTTAACTGCTCATCGAACCAACTAATAAACGCAGTTACGTGTAAAATTTCTATAAATCCTAGTCCACAATTCCTGACGTCTATCGATGCACGCTGTTGCTCAGAATACAATTTGAAATCACTTTTATAAGGACTTTTGGGAACTATGGCAGGTCTTTGGGAATATTTGTGTTTAGCGACCTTTCTTCTCTGTCAGTTACAGTCTTTTCAGCGATGGATTACCGCGCTCTAATCCACTCGTTCAAGAATGTGGAATGACAATCGAGCGATCGGTAAAAAACATTGATCAATGAAACAGAGCCCATAGTTCATCTTAAGAACATCGTGTTCATCTTTGTGAAAAAGATTTTGACAAACGACCAGTTTCAAATGGTTATCTCATGCAGATCATCTATTTCAATTTGTTATCCAAACTAAGTTTAAAAATCATCACCAAGCAATCTTGGTACGACCGTTTTCACGGAGCATAAAAGCCATTAAGTGCTATCATATTATAATTCTCTCTGGACTGTTGTGGTACGGTGAATTGAGGAAATAACGAAAAAAAACACCATACGTAAATTCTTGTACGTTTCATTTTCAACAATTTGGACATCGTGAAGGAATTCTTATGTTTAATGGCTAATGTTTGCTGAAGATAACAAGCAGTAACATGATCTGATGTTTCATATATGGCCGTAAGTTCGTCATTCGTCTAGAACTTTTAGCTCCCTTGAAGCCATTTACCCATGATTCAGCTCGGGTGTCAAGTAGTGCATCGCCAAAGGTTTCTTTGATGCAAATATACTTGGGGCGGTCCTCAAATTGTTTTGCAGTCTGGCCGTAACTCATCAAAAGAAACTTGCCGTTTGAAATGCCTTCTTCGCTGCTAAACAGCGTTCACTTACACAGACTTCACATCTCAAAACGCATGTTTCATCCTGTAGTTTTATTTTTCGTTTATGATGCTCATGCATAAAGCAAACTAAAAATGCGTTGAAAATAGTGAATGCAATTTACATCGCCTGCTGCAAATGGCCGGCGTGAAATTGTTGTGTCGAGCAAACATTCATCAACAATAAAGCAATAATTTCAGGCATGCTTAGGATCGAATGATGAAAATCCTATTTTCTTTGCATTTATCCCACTTGTACTTTTCAGCGTCTAACTAAACCACATGAAGCACGTATTTTACTCCCACTATTCCACTGATTCTCTTCAGGAATATCCGCCGATGCTTTTTTTTAGGTTACGTTTAGCAATCTAACCCACACAGCATATGTAGAAATATTGATAACACAAACAAACACTCATTTGCACTTGTGTTTATTTCACTATATGCTAAGTATGATTTTCTTTAAAAAGGATGAGCGTGCTCAGGATGTGCTGTGATGGAACTTTGAAGCAGGAACGAATCAAACCAGTGAAGCAACCAATCATTTCAACAGAACAAGGTAAAGTCTTCGTCGTTCTTTTGAAATTTTTTTCCCAAAGCTCGTTGTGTTTGTTCTTTGCATGCGCGTACACGTGATCCATTGTCTGAAAGATATACCTTCAAGGGATCCATTGTCTCCAAACGATGCCTACACGTGCAGCAGTCTGCTGTAAGAATGTTCTTAAGTCTAACCAATATTACAACGGTGGTTAAATACATTGAAATCAAATTCTCATCGTTTTGCATTGTCAGGTTATGTTTCTTGCATGTAAAGAACACTTGCCAGTCTCCCTTTGGAATAACAAGTTGTACTTCTTTCCCCTGCATTATTGTATAAGCTATTTTGGGGATACTTGAGCAGCATAGGGGAGCCCTTCATTCTTTAAAAAGGCATATAATCAATTAATGGAACAGAACGGCGGTGTCGGTCTTGTCATTTTATCATTGACGTCTGTTTCCGCTTCCATGCGAGATTTTAAATGCGTTTAACTGAAATTGAACATGTATCTAGGCTGAAACTTGCTGTCAAGTTGATCTTCTCTTAACACGTAAGATAACTAAATAAGGCGTTGCGTGCTCAGAACAGGTTTGAGATGACCGACGTTAAACATGGCAGATGGTTTTGAGCATCTCTTATATGCGTGCATGAGTTTTTTTCGTGCAAAAAAGGGAAATATGTTAGCGTCATTAAGGTACAACGCGTCCTGTTGGAGTTGAATTATTAATAGTTGGATTATATGGGTCAAACCTGCTCGTGGGCGGGGCCGACACCCAAAACGATAGGCAGAACCCGCACTCAACGCTGTTGCATTCCTGGGAAGGAAAAGTATAAAGCTTTTGTTCTCGTGGTATTTTTAAATACGTCTTTTCGTTCTTTTCATAACCATTCGGGGAAAGAATGCGTGTGCATGTGTGTTCAAATTACAAAGCATATAGCGTGACCAACAAGAACCATCGACTTTCAATTACTTACGTCAGTACTCGTGAATTAATGCTAGCTGCTTCCTGTACGTAAACTGGAGCAAATGTTATTGTCTTCCTCACGATATCTGGCAAATGGTATTTTCACAATTGTATATATTTCCATCGAGTTGAATATGGAGATGTTAAACGAGAAAACAAAAAATAATCGTTTAACATAAACTTAAACAATCCTTGAGCATAATGGATTTAAATTGGCTCTAATAGCGTCCTTTACAATGAGGTGAGATGGGTAAAAAAATTATTTGAGTCAAAATTGGTTCTGTCTTCATCTTTCCCTTGCTGTTTATATCTTGTGTGTAGTATTTTGCAACCTGTAAAAGTAGTTTTTGCTGTGTTGATCGTAGTGATATAGTCTTCGGCGTTTTAAGTCGAGCTTCAGTTGATTGATGTTTATTTAATTAGCTCAATTTTGTCAGGGAAACAAATTCAAGACTGCCATATTGCACAACGCGTGTTTGAATGGTCATTCCTATTTAGGTCGCTTAAAACATTCCTTCGTTGTATGTAATATCTGTATTAATGTTTAAATCAGCTCGATTAGACCTGACTTCATGAAGTCAGAGGCTGTTGAACAGGGCTGGTTCGGGCAGCAAAGATTCGCTGCCTTTTAAAACCTATCTGATAAGAAAACCCACCGTAAATTCCTTTAGAGCAGTCTGTTCTGGCCGAGGATAAATAGTCTTTACGTAAATCAGCCTGGCTAATCGGGCTACATCCATTTATATCAATAAACAATCTCGTCATCCGAACGTCATTCTATATTACCACTAAAGCCTCCTTTAATTGTACAGTTAAAGCTAAAATATTTTGTGAATTACCCTTAGAGATTATTGATTTGGTACGTCAAGCATATTTTAATATATCTGAAGATTCTTTCCAACTTAAATTTTACCAATTTAAAATAATAATGATTGAACGAAATTATGACTAACCGGGAATGCTTTTGTATATTTTTAATCTAAATTTATTATTTCTTCATAGTTACTGTTTTACCGCATTTCACGTCAGTGAAAGGGGAAGAAAACAGAGATTTTACCTTTGATGAGTACTGCAATACGATTCAGGTGTGCCTAAGTGTAGAAATAACAACACTGAATTTGTCTGTGCATATCTGAATTATATCCGACCTAAGGTATTATGAACATTTGGTTTCAGATAAAAAATGATTCATCATTTGGAAAGAGGAAATTATCTTCATCTGAATATGATAAATGTTCAGTTAAAGAGGGATGTATTAGGTAAATATGCGCATGGTTTCATATCTCGTATGATATTTCACCATGATATATATTTATCACATGTTATTTGTTTATTCAACCTTCACTTAACATACTTTACCTGATCAGGTTTTTTGTCTGACCTTGCCCAAAATGATCTTATTTGGATTACCTTCCCTTCTCTTGCCTTACCTTTCGTTGTTTTAGTTCAATTTGTCCTAACTTACAAATCTTTCTTTCCACATCTCACTTCATCAGAGCTTTACCTAGTTTACCTTGACTTGCATTGCCATTCTTTGCTATCCTTCACCTTAGCAGCTTGTCTATCTTGTCTGATACCTTGCCTTGCTATTCCTTTCTTTATCTTGTTATTTCTTTCCTTCCCTTCCCTTCCCTTGCCATTTCTTTGCCAATCCTTACCTTGCATTGCAATTCTTTGCATTGCCATTACATTGCCTACAATGCTACCTTGCCAAACCTCATCATATCCTACAATACCTTGCCTTACCTGTTTCACCTTAATACTTTATCTTGACTTGCTATGATATAACATTTGTCCTGTTACACCATACCATAACTTACCATACCATACCATACCACACCACACCACACCATACCAAACCATGTCATGAATCATATATCAAGAATAATAATAAAATTTGATCTTTGTTTAGGCCGGAGAATAGGCCTCGAAATTCCTTTCAGAAACATTACCCAAGTTCTCCTCTTCTATCGCCGCATATTCAGAACTACGATCGCCCATTTGGAATTCCTATGTACGATTCATCCTCCCCTCCAAGGCCAGCAAGCATCAGGTTGCAGCCTCGCGCAAGGAGACGATCTGAGAACAAGAAATGCCGAAAGGTTTACGGCATCGAAAATAGGGATATTTGGTGCACCCAGTGCAAATGGAAGAAAGCGTGCACGCGGTTCACGGGGAGTGAAAAAGTAGAGATCCCAGGATTAATGTACATAGCAGATTACGAGGGGTTACATTATCCACTGTAGGAAAGGTTTTGGGAGACGAAATGATTTTATGACAAAGATTTTAAGAAGCAGTCAACGTGTCTTGCAAACGGATGTGAGTGCGTTTTCAAATGATGCACATTTCATGCAAAATGTTTTGTAGTTTGGAATTTTGCGAGGAGAAATTGCAAGTCAAAACAGATTTAAAAACAGCAAGAAAAAAATACAATATGCTGGTTGAATATGAACGTGATTGAATCAAAGGTTTGTGAACGGCCGTTTGTTATATGCAGTGATGACTTGAAAAGCCAATATGCTGTTTATCATGATGGTGGCAACTAGCAAGGCAATCTTTGGATGAATCTAAGGATTCCTCGTGTCCTCGGCCAGTTATTCAGAGAATACTTGTGCAGAAGAACTTAGTCTCACGTTTCACAAGGTATTTTAACGTTTCAGTTTGAATCCGTGATGTATTTGCATCGTGAAAATAAAAGAAAACCCAATATTTAATTTCTGCTTGAAAACTTCCCTAACAATATATACATATTGTATAAACTATGGACGCTTACCTTTATACGGTAAAAACGGTCAGACCGGTCCTGTTGTGTTTCAGAATACAGACAGATTACTGGCATTTTTGAGTGTTTTAAGAAATCTACATTCAAGTTTATCGGTATTTACATCCGCCTAGCATGAAAAATACAGTTATACCGCTATATTTCTAAAGAAATACTCTATTTCAATCCAAAATATGACCGGTCTGACGATTTTGGTCGCTTAATGGAAGCGTCCTAGGATTATATCGAACTGATAATGTATTTAAAATTTATAGTAAATTATTTTAGTTGTTATAGAATCAGATGTGTTCGATTATATGGGTAATTGTATAGTTCTTCATAATATTGTAAAAATGTAAATTTAATATATTATTCAGGGTAGACACAGAATAAATAGTAGGTTTATTGATTAGAATGACATTGTCGTCAAAATACAAATATATATGCGTTAAAAAACTCTTATCGAGTAATATTGTCAGCGTCAGGTAAATATTGCAGTATTGCTCCTTTGTGAATTGATCCAAACCTTAACTCTTTCGAATTACGAACCAGATACTCAAATGTTTGGGAGCATTTTAAAGCAATGTTACCCCGTTTGTAATGTTATGGATTTAAGAAATTCGTTTGCACTTTTCATTTAGGCATTTATACCTCATTCTCCTGACTTAAATTTGACTGTCTTTGGCTTTGCAAAACTCGTCCAGTCGTTGTATGTATCTTCGGCTCCAACAACACAAGTTAAAAACAGAGGATTACGAAGCATTTCTAAACCCTTCGTTCACAATCGTGCTTCATAATCTGCCTAAAACAAGGAGCATATAACAGTCGTAATAACAGTAATTCGACTGCTAACGTGTAACTGAACTTACCAGAGAACTCTGTTGACACATTTCCGTTTATTTCAAATGTATGAAGAGCTTCATACAGTATAGATAACACTTTGTTGAAGAACATTTCGTATACTAAACTATAGTTTATAGCCAATGCGGTAAACTGTTTCATCAATTTTGCAACGAAACTTTGCAGCAATTTGTACAAAAGGCACCAGAGCTATGTAATTGTGACACCTCATTTGGGTTTTAAATTTCAAGCGAATGGAAAGTGTCCGTTGAAAGATAAACAAAGGGCTAACCAGCCGCTAAACTCCAGGAGGAATCCCATAAATGACTGCAGGACTCGGCACCGAGTCAGGCGCACTATAGCACAACTTTGATGCCAAATAACACAGACAAAATCCCAGCAACACGTTGGAAAACGTCCAATAATGTCGCACATTTTACGGAATATCTTAAAACAACCGGAATACACTCAAGGCTAGAGAAACCTAAGACGTTTTGTTGTAAATTTAAGAGATACTCAGGAAAGAAGCCACGTCGTACAGACTCCTGCTGGAAACTAGGAGACGCATTTTCGGCTGAGACGTTTTCGTGCTCTTTTTAACGACGCGAGTTAGCAATCCATATCTTCAGTGTTTTTTTTTGCATGTCTTGACATGCAGATGCCGGCTGATTGACGTGTTACAACATAGGAATTCCGGTGACACATTTTGTGAGAGCGTCTTTGAAGAAAAATGTAATGCGACTGAGTATTGTATCACTTGCAGAACACTTAGATAAGTACCTGGCCCCTTAAGTTCATCAATTTTAGACAGGCTATCGGCTTATGCCTGTATAATCCGAATTACAAAAATGCTTATATTTCGGTGAACGAGATGCGTCTGGATGCGGTTTTGTGCTAAGAACAACAACATCTCGTGGCGATCGGTCAGCGTTCTCGACCGTGTTTCCTGAGAAATGCTTCAAAGTCCCTTCTGCAAAAGCCTCTCGCACGCGTAAACAACATTCTTTAAATAATTTAAATCTTATTTCTATCAAGATTGCAATACAATGACGTCATTCTGACGTCAATGCACAAGATGTTAAGATCAATTACCTGTAGGTTATGTAGAATAAAGACTGGATGTGAACCGTATTCTCTTGTGTCGCTGGTTCCACCGGACTGGACTTTCTTCTCTAGACAGTTTTCATGCGCATGGCATTTAATGAAATGGTTCTTTCTCTGTCACTAACTTTGATGTTGATATCAATTTCTCGACAGCGACAAACGACCCCGGCAAAAACCGCTGAACACTGATATGAGGGTTGTGGCTTTGAAAAGCTTAAGATATTGATTATTGGAGAATATATTATCATAATGAAGTGAGTGAATTTTGCAGTGTGGTTACTTTAGTCGGCAATGCTCTTGCAGAGTTTGCCTTTTTTTTCCTTTGGTTTAAAATAAGCCCGAATGATCTTAACTTGGCTGAAGTCCTAAATTTCCCTACGATATCTTCCACCGTGACTTGTTCTTCAATTTTATAATATTTCAAACCAGCTGTCTTTCAAATCTTCTTATGAGCTGCCCATATCATCTCAACCTTGCTTCTCTGGTCTCCTCTGCAATGTCTACCACCTCACATCTTCTTCTGATCTCTTCATTTCATAATATCTTTGACCATCTCTCCTTCATCTCTTCTTATTACATGTCCATATCATCTCAACCTTGCTTCCCTCATCTTGTCTGCAATGTCTACCACCTCACATCTTCTTCTGATCTCTTTATTCCATAATATCTCTGACCATCTCCCCTTCATCTCTTCTTATTACATGTCCATATCATCTCAACCTTGCTTCCCTCATCTTCTCTGCAATGTCTACCACCTCACATCTTCTTCTGATCTCTTCACTTAATAATATCTCTGACCATCTCCCCTTCATCTCTTCTTATAACATGTCCATATCATCTCAACCTTGCTTCCCTCATCTTCTCTGCAATGTCTACCACCTCACATCTTCTTATGATCTCTTCATTCCATAATATCTCTGACCATCTTTCCCTCATCTCTTCTTATTACATGTCCATATCATCTTCTCAATGTCTAGCACCTCCCCTTATATTCAACCAATGATCATGATGGCCCAGACCAGCAGAGAGCAAAATAATCCCCCAAAATTCATCAGTCTTTTTTGAAAGCATCACGTTATAAAGATATTAGTTATTAGTCTAATTGCTAAATTTGCCAAAATTCCATTCTATAAATCATATAAGAATAGAAAATATACACAATAGTGTGGCTAGAGAGAACCTAATGAAATCTAATCTAAGGTTCCTAGTTGAATCTAATTAATATAAAAATAGTAATATAACTCATACTCATACTGCGATGTTATTGATAATTGATTAATTATGAAAACCGACCGTGCGAATGGTTAGTATGCCAGAATTACTGTACAAGTAGCTATGGAAAAAATAACAGTGAGCAGGAAAAGCATTATAACACTAGGATTTAGATGTATTAAGAATGCCGATTGTTGCTATGGCCTCAAGTAGGGAAATATGTCGCCTTTCCTGACAGCTATTCCGTGATGCTGTTAAAAACGGGACAGAGATCTCGAATTTTCGTATCCGTCACACGGGGCATTTTAGAGAAACTAAAAAGGCACTAAATTCAAAGGTTGTATATAAGATTATATATAATACACTTCGTAGCAAGCTTAGAGATATCATTGTCGGTTGGGTGGGAAAGAGAGTATTTATCAATCCGCCTGACGTTTCCATATGATATTAATCTTCTTTTATTAAACAAAAAATTACAAATATTCTTTCAAGAAAAATTGCAGTGTTACACAAGATCTTTTAGTGAAAAGATTTGCATCATTTTTTAATTTCGTTAATCGTGAATGTAGGATAGGTCAGTATGTGTTTATTTGGACTGTCTGGCCATATCTAGTCACGACTCGGAAAAGATGTCCTTATTCCTCTGAAGTAAGGCACCCTGCTCTTTCATATACAAAATATAAAAATTAGACTATCATTAACTGACTATCTGCGATTCAACAGGGTCCTTGAATTTCTGTTTCGTTGTCTATGTCCATACAAGATTAGATCTAGGCGATCTAAGGCTGGTTGACTCCGTTCCAGAATCCACGTTTATACGTCATTAACCTATTTGTGTTCATCACAGGGACATATGCACTGCATGTTCCTTTTGGGTAGGCGGAGTAAAATTAAGTGTGTTTTAACTTCGCGCGAACATGTTGAACAGCACGCTCCGAGCCGACTTCCTTTGAATATATGTTATCAGAGGTATAATATTGCATAATACGAAAGCATTGCTGCCGTTGAAGACGATCAGAGGTTTGTCAAGGCTTGAATTCGTTAGACGTTTCGAGAATATCTCTCGCATCGAGTATTGACAAAGCACATGTCACTTGATTGCAAGGTAACGTGTCGTGTCGTGTTGTATTGTAGATCTCCAATGTGTGTCATCGTTTCAGTGTATGTGAGTCAATAATCGTGTAGTTGTTTCGTTTTGTACGTTCGTGACTTGCTTGTCACGCGAGTGGCGTCTGCATACCAACGTCCCACCGAGCGAGGAGAAATTGTACAGGATTACGGTTCTAGATCGAATTAATGGTAAATGATACTGAAAAAGCGGTCCGTAGTGGCAGTCTTCGATAAATATTTATTTTACTATGCTTGTGAATTAACACGTTTCAGAAATGTTGGCCACGCAGCGCTTTATTTAAAATTATATAAAACTTATTTATATAGTCAGTTATCGTTGTAGCTCAGTTAACTCGCGAAAAAGGTAGCACTAAAACTCTTGCTGAAATGTCCCAAACGAAACAACTTCTTACAAGTTGTCCGTGTAAATTTTAAAATGGTTTAGATCCATGCATTCAAAACGATATACAGTTGATATAACCATGCGTATTACTTTACTGCATGTGCCAATATATTGTTATTAGGAAACTTTTGTCTTTCATATTGCAGTTGGCTCGTGACCGCGTAAATATGCGGTGATCAGCAAGATTCTATACTCTTCGCTACATATATATTATTGCTTCAACAAAATCTGTCACCATCGTGTTAAGCCCGTGAAAGTTAGGTGAATTTGATTGCTGGTCTTTGGTCGCTTTTGGTAGAGAATATATTTTAGTTGGCATTGGTTCGATTTTTAAAATTTGTACGAATAAGATCGGTTGGATTTCTACAGAACCCTTTGTCAACATTGGATGCATGGTACATGTTAATGAAATACATAATATACTAGTTCCTCAAAAACTGCAACAGTATTCGTCCGCATATATCGGTGATGTAAAAGATAGCAAAATTTGAAACGGCTTGAAAACTGGCGTATTTTGACAACTTGAACACTTGTTTATTTTTGCACGATCGAACTCATGAATAATATATCGAGAATTGACATTCATACGTAAAAGATACGATCATAAAATCCTGATCGAAAATTCATTTTCGTTTATTTTAGCGCGAAGGTATACATATGATATATATAGTACATACAAAGTCTTTACGAAACGATATATTTTAACGAAACAGCGACCTTTTTTAATACGATTGCAAGCAATTTTTATACTATGTAATTAAATTAACATGTATACCTCTTATATTTTACAAATGTATTGGCACGTATGTGTGTATTTTAATTTTATAAAATTTTACAATGAATTCATAGTGGGTGCAATTACGAATAATGCTCGCCAGTCGATTTTCCGAATGAAGTCTGCACGTCAATTTTTCGGCCTCATTTATGATAGTGTTTTTGAGTTTTACGACATTTACAATAGTCGATATATATATACAACCGTATCTAGCACCTGTAGACTATACATCAGAGTGCATTAGAGCGACATATGTAATATTTCACAACTATTTTTCAACTATGTGATATAGTCCAGCGTAACACACATTTAGCATGTACTTTTGCAATTCAAGTTGAAGAAAAACCAATCGTGGTCTCAGTTTAGCGTTTACATGAATTTAACCGGTTTTAAATACAGATATCATATCTTAAAACTCCGGTAGAAGTAATTTTTGTCATTGAAAATAATTATTTTTCACGAAACATTAGTTTGTGACTACTGTGACGAAGCTATAGCAGTTATATTTGCTCGCTATAACTTCATAATCGATCCATTTGTCCAATTTGTGAGCCGAGTATATATGCAAAACATGATAAATATATGTCATCTATTTAGCGATATGTAAATAAAACAGCGAAATAGCCATATACAAACTATAAACACCGTGGTTTTATTGATGTTCAGTCAGTTGTAAAGCAGTAAACTTAACTACATCCAACGTTTTTGAGAACGTCGAAAAAGAACGATGCTCTTCCAACTGTCATGAACGATAGTCGAGTTAAACATATCTCTGTGAATTTATAACTGCATGTTCGAGTCGATAAACTAAACAAGATAATGCATGCAATTAAATTATTATACAGATACCTTTTTTGTCTCACAGACAAAGTTGGAGCTGTATTATAATAAAACTATATATGTAGGCATGTGTTATAATAATTCAGCTTTTAAATGGCCTACATAATGTGGTCGCGATGTATATTTTATCGAGGTTTCTTATAGCATTAAATGACACAATCATATATACTTGTATACAGTCATATATATACATAAGATATAGTTATATATAATTGCGGCTAATTAGACTAAAATTAAGACGGCATTTCCCAGGATCTACGAAGATTTTTGGCAGTCGATTCGATAAAAAAAATGACAAGCCTTTTCATGATTGAGCAAACTGAATATTATGTCGAGGCCGGCGATCAACGCTGTTCATTCATTGGTGGATTTATTCAAATATATATTGTAACATTTTCAACCATAACAATTCCACTGTGACATGAAATATATTCAGTCGGGGTCGATTACATTCATATAGCATCAAACGAAACAATTTGGACAACTCAGTTCGAGAGAGAGAGAGAGAGAGAGATTCTCAGGCTATATTTTATATTTATTTTCTATTCGGTAAACTTTTCATCATAAAAAGTAGACCCTTTATAAGCCCTTTATGGCAACGTCTTAATTAAGAGGGTCGATGACTCTAAATGGAGTGAAAAATTATGGATTAAATTGCATGGAGATTAGTAGATTGTGGTTCTGATTTCATTTATTCCCTTCGTGCAAACAAGCCGTATATAGATTATCGCAGAACTATTAAGGCTTTTTTTTTCTTAAAGCCTTTCCAATAGATCACTCAGTGACGACCCTGGTATTAAAAATGGTGCATGTTTTTGCTAAATATCTGTAATTCACCTTCCGATTTCTATCAACCATAGGAACACGCGGGTTTCTAAATGACGAGTAAAAATGTGAATCTTTTCGTACGAAAGAGCTCGTCTTTTAGAACAGGAAGCCAAAACCTTTCCTAAAAAGACTTTATTTGAAGATTTTGGGTGTAGATATCGGCGTATGTCATGTCGGTGTTAGTTATAAATAGATTGCAATTCTCGTATCCGTTTATGATAGCACGAAGTTTTATTTCTTCCTATTTTTAAGGATATTTTGCCGAAAACCGGATTATTTTTTTGAGAATGTGAACGATTGCTTACCCACTCAGCTTCGTCATTAATTGCATTTTTTAAATTTTCATGCAAGGACAAGAATTTCTTTATTTGTTCTTAAACCGCCTCTTTCGATGGCATAACCACCTCTCCATGCGATAGCTACATCCGAAAGTAAAAAAGTTAGTGTGCTTTCTGTTGTACCGAACGTGAGCGTGGTCAAAACTAGCTTCGGAAACTCTTATTTAGCGAGTTTAAAACATACAGAAAGGTAAAAAATTCAACAACTTATAAACATGAGCGTGTGAATTAATGTACAACTCGTTTTGAGCTAGTATGTAGATACAATTATTGATTCAACAGAGTGTTACTTAGTTGTTATAAATCAATTGAATAGCTAGTTTTTATTGCCTTGCTAGTTTTTATTATCTAAAAGTAAACTTACAAGTTTTTTGTGATAACCTTTGGGCCATTTGATGCTATGAAAACAATGAGCAATTTGTTCTCAGTTTTCAATTACGAGCTGTGATATCTGTGTGTGTGTGTTTGTGTGTGCATGGGTATAGTAGCTACTACAATCCTTTGGGTCAAGCTAATTATTTCGTCCTTTCTATCTTTCAGGAGGTCTAAAATCAACAAACAGTTCATCATGAATAATCCTCTTCTAGTTCTCTCGCAATACGTGTACGCAAAAAGACAAGATGGCGGTTTTCATTCCGGTAGAATTGAAGGCAAAGATCGCGATAATATGTACACAGTCGAGTTCTCAGACTGCTCAAGATCGGTTGTGAACGAAGACGATCTCGTATGGCTGGGTTTTTACAGTTTACCACCTCACGTTTGGCCAAACGCACCCGTAGTTCACCCCGTGAAACTACCCAAAGAGAAACGCGATTCTTACAACGATCAGGAAGACGACGTTGACAATGATTGGTCGACCAAACGACCAGAATCGTTTAAATTTTTGAACACGAAAGAGTTGATCAAAGAAGGAGCAGATTCTCCTGAGCATTATTTCTCCAGAGAATGTTGCTCTTGTACAGCAGGGAAAAGACGGAGTCTGGAAACGATTTCAAATCGTTTAGAGAGAATAACGCACCCGAGACAGATGCGATCCAGCGTCATTCGTCTTAATAGAAAAGTGCTGTCTCAGGAGATCTCACAAAATCATGTGAAAGATCGTTCGACCTCATCTCTCACGCTCGATACAAGATCAGGCGATGACGAATGGTTGCCTTACATTGAAAGACGGGACCGGTCTTTCTCAGATAGCAGGTTAGAATGATTTTATTTGATAATAATGACATTAGTACGCTGAAATAGACTGTATTTATATTCTGGTTGACTTTAGAAAATAGGAAAACCTTAACTCTATACATACTGGGTAGCTCTATCACTTCTAAACTGTTCTTCCTAGAGGTCCAGTAAGGATCATCCCTTATTGATCCAGTGTATCTACAGGAGGAAACCTAAACTAAACTAACTTTATTTATACTGGATAGCTCTATCAGTTCTAAACTGTTCTTTCTAAAGGTCCAGTAAGGATCGTCTCTTAGTTGATCCAGTGTTACTACAGGAGGAAACCTAAACTAAACTAACTTTATTTATACTGGATAGCTCTATCAGTTCTAAACTGTTCTTCTTAGAGGTCCAGTAAGGATCATCTCTTATTGATCCAGTGTTACTACAGAAGGAAACCTAAACTAAACTAACTTTATTTATACTGGATAGCTCTATCAGTTCTAAACTGTTCTAAATTTCATGAATCGTCTCGTATTTATCCAAAAATTTTGAATATACCATTATGATCTTATATATTTTTCACTATATAGCCTTGATTCAACAAGTTCTCACCCCTCGCCATATGATCGATATGACCCCCCGTACTTCAACACCCCCTGCCTCACACCCCCCACGACGCCGGGTAGTCTACCCCCTCCGCTGTTTGTCTACAAACCCTACGATACAGTCCCATATGGGGAGATGGATGCACAAGAATGGATCCATGTGGATAACCGAGACAATGGGGGTGGTAAAAGGAGAAGACGGGATAATATGAAAAAATGTCGTAAGGTGTACGGCATAGACAATAGGGATCTTTGGTGTACCCAATGCAAGTGGAAGAAAGCTTGTTCCCGATTTCAGATCGGTAACTACAGGCAGCGACATTTTTAGACTTAAATAGAGATAAAAAATATATAATTTATTCGTATTCTGTGATTATGTAGAAACCAATTTGTCAATATATATCCCTGAGGCGGAATCGTTCTAACAAACGGCGTAGTACTCGTTCAAAAAACTGTCAGATCTTTTTGTAGGAGCCTTATGAAGCATTTAGAATGTGTAAATAGTTAATTTAATTCTTAAAAACATGCAATAATTGTTAGGAATTGTACACTGGTGTCTTTTCTTCTAGTCTGAACATAACGTATCATGAGGTATGATTGATCAGCTAACTGATACTAGGAGTTATACTATGGAAAGTGATTCTGCCTTGGAGATACGAAAGCGTGATATAATATAGATCTTATCGCTAATAACTTAAATTTGTGCAAATTACTCCCCGCATAAATGTTTATACTTTGAAGGTTTATACATGCACATGGAAACAACTTGTAAAGCGTTTACAGTCAATTGACTATAATAATTTTTTCTGTATATTATTTTCATGAGTATTCTTGTTATAGTATCGTACATACAGGTGCTTGGGACAGTCTGTTCTGAAAGTTTGATAGTTATATGTCTGTTATAACAGAGTATATCATTTGTCAAATCGCTAAGAGGCTTTCTCGTTCGTCCATCAATCATTCTTGTAGAAATACATCACACCTGGAGCTGGTTTGAGGTTTTTTGAGCCCAAACGTTCAGTTGAATTATTGAGTTGACAACTCAACGAGGAAGGAATGAAATTAAATGATCGACAATCTTTCTCAGCGAAGCACTTCATGCCGCATTGTGCAACATGTTTAACATGAAATTGAGAAAAAACAAAACCCTCGAGCTTGTGATTCTCAACACGAGTTGTGTACATGGTTACGCATTCTATAAGAGAGGAAAGATAAGAGTGCTTCGTAGTTTTTTAGCATTATTATCGATCGAGCTAAACGATCCCTGAAAATTACTACATTAACAACATAAATTTGGGCTAACAAATCATGCAGTTCCAGGCAGATTACCAGTAAACTGGATATGAGTTGTGAGAGATGTGTTTTCTACTCCCTGAGATGCAATGAATGAATTATCGTTTATCAACTACCAAAAACAATAGGGCCATTGATATATACAAAGAAATAAGTCGCGACTTATTTTGCCTCGTATAAATGGCCCTAATAAGGACTGTCACATTGATGAAAATCTTTAGATAGACTTCGCATTGATTCAATTCGAGTTGTGAGGCCTTTGCAAGTTTCCAAAAGTGTCCAGATATATACTCAATAAGAGATTATAGTTTTTATAGAGCAGTGCTATACTCAGGGGATTAAAGAAAATCTTGCCTGAAGTATTTATTACCTTTTATGGGGCATAGAGTTAATCTGCAGTACAGCGAACCTGTGCCATTTACCACTTTGCTTGTTCCAATCCATTCCGCCTCGCTTGAAATACCGGATACAACTCCAAACGGGATACCAACCTCGCTATTATTTTGATGAACGAAAGCGTGAGCCCACGATGTCAACTCCGCGGGGTTCCTCGCTGATTCGTCCGTACACATCCAATTTTTACTCGACGTCACTACGGAATTGCCGATACTGCCCAAAATTGCGCTGGTTCTTTCATTCTGGAGAAGCTTGCCACAGTGAATCACGAGGATGGATGATTTTGGGGGGATAATGGTTTTTTGTGCAATCGTGTAGTTGGAGATTTTGTTGTTAACCTGTTTTCCGTCCACGTAGACAGTCATGTTTCCATCACAAGTGAGCGTTGCTTTCGTTTTTTCCACTGTTGCTGTATTTTTCGATAATGAATAAGATGGAAGCACTGTTGGGTGCATGGAAACACGCAGCTTCTTCTTACTAGGCTGATCGAACACTTTAGTATTATATACTAAGAGACTGTTCAGTCTGCCTAATTTTGACGAAGTGTGGACTTTGAAGGACTCAATGTGGATATCGCAGGAGATCAACTTCTCTATCAACTGCTGTCAACTCTTATCAACCCTAATCATCTCTTGCTCTCGTGTAATTAAGCAAGTGTAATGGATTGTTTGATTATCCAATTAGAGGAGAAAATTTTATTCATTTATTATACGACTTAAGACATTCTTAATTACATATGCATGGCACAGATATGAAACACAGGTCCGATATAATCATTTTGCAAGATGACGATAATTAGAAGTGAATATTCATGCATGCATGATATAGTTGTATGCATTCTATACTTCAAAAAAATTACAATCAAATCCACCGCACTGCAAGACAATTATTTTAGACGTTTATTAATTTTTGTTGATTAAAAAATCGTGGAAGCGAAATTTTTCACCTGTTTAAATAGAGTTATGAATAAATTGATGGATGGTAGCCTTTGAAATATGAAATATAACATAGTCATATATTTTATTTTTCAATCTCTCAGGAACATGCTGCATTTTATAGAAAGTCCGACGTGATTTGTCAACATTTTTACATTTTAATTGTGAATGGCAGGCCTAAATCAGAACGACAAATCGCTGCAAATTTTTAATTAAGTTTAATTTATGTCTATCGAGTTAGATAGACTTGTGAAACTCATGACATAAGCGAGGCTTTTCAATCATTTTGCTTTCCTTCAAAGCCGTTTGAGTAAAATAAACTGAACTGAATCAAGATAAATAATATTTTTTTGAAGTTTCTTTTGTCAAACACAATATTTTTTATAGCTAAAGTTGACCGTTACAATTATGAAAGAAAGTAAACTTGTATAATATATGTATCTCAATGTGGTAAAGGGAAATTTGAAATAATCTCATTGCCCTTCGGCACATCACTTATTCTTCATCCGATCGCAAGGAATATTTTTAAAATAAGTAAAAATCGATCGAAATACAATTACACTCCCATTAATTGTTTCGACTTAGTAAACCAGCAGCTCTGCAAAAGCTATTAATCGTTATTCAAGCAAAAATAACATTTTCACAAACCTCCATTTCTACATTCAAGCTCTCCTTGCACAAAAACTCCCGCCAAAATCGTGAGGAAGCACCAAAACATGTTTCACTCAACTGACAAGACACTAGACGCAAACGCCATTTTTATAATATGAGCGCCAATTCATTAATCATGATAAATTTGAATAAGAAAACCCTCGCAAATTGAACCTTATTTAATGGTCGAGCGCAGTTGGCCCGTTCGGTTATGCTTAAACATTTCATTATTTTTTCTGCGAACAATCTCATTTTCCATGACATGTGTTGATATTTCTTATTTGCAAGAGCCATGCAAAATTGAATTTTGTTTGCTTTGAAAAGTGCCCAATTTCAAGTCCAACTGCAGAAACGGTAAATTGAACGAGGAGATTATAGAAATCATGCAGAATATCGCTGTGCCTTTTAGTAATTGCTGATTATTGTTATTTGCAGTCAATTATAGAGCTTAATGAAGCCGTTGTAGTTTTAATTAGTCGAAGTATCGAGTATTGTCACAATCTTTGCAAATAAAGATTGCGCATGCAATGGCTCATGTATACTGTTTTTCTATTGGAAGGTTGAGAATCGTTTGTCAACAGTAAATAAATTGTCAAATGAATTGTGATTTAACTAAAGACTATGGCATAAGATGCCGCCATTTTGAAAATCTAATATCACGTAACAAGCTATAATAAATATGATGTTAGAGGAAAGATATTTTGTGAATTACAAATCGCCATGACAACTTCTAAGTTCACAATAGTTATTTCGCCAAAGACAGCATGCTACCGACTGTTAGAATAATCTTAAATTTTATTTTATTTACTAAATTGTCCCGCAAACATCAAAATATGCATGTAAATCTATGTTTTGCGAATTAATCAAGTTAAAAAAGCCCTGTAAAAGGCTATATGTAGTTTATCAATTTTCATTTACACTACAGACTTGAAAGAAATCCCATTATCCCATCCAGTTCGTCTTCCACGTATCAAACATTTGCATTCGCAATCTATCAAAGTAAAATGAATTTACATAAGTCTTGAGATCGCAGTATGCCTTTGTTGATGTAGAATATTATTTTATTCATGACAGGGGCGAGCTGAAGTATTTTATTTTGGGATAGATAGGAATCATAGAATAGATAGTTTTGTCAGACCGGCCACAAAAATGATTAAAAATTGCCCACATCACTAAAACTTACCCACACAAAGCAGGTTTTTTCGAAGGTTCCACGAATGGCTTACGTAGTAATTTAGCAATACAGTTTCTCAGTCGTAGGTAGCAATGGTTTTTGTAAGCCACTTTATTCGTTCCACAGATTGGTGTGTCAAATAAACCTTCTTTATTCTTCGGACAGGGAACACAACCTTTCGGGGCTGAAGAAAAATATAGAAATGTTGTAGGAAGAGATGCAAAAACCGATCATTTCTTTTAAATCTCGGGGCTGAAGAAAAATATAGAAATGTTGTAAGAACAGGTGCAAAAACTGATCATTTTTTTTAAATCTGTCATAATCCAGTCATCAAAAAGTAGATTCTATTGTACGCCAATGCAGTTCGAATGCAGCTGATTGTGCAGCTGAATGGAGCATTTTGATTGGTTCCTTTGATTGGCGGTCAGATTTGGCGGGAAACTTTGAAATATAGGAATTGCTTTGCGAATCAATCCTTTTAAAGTTGATAGTATTCTTCCTTTTGGTACCCATAAGAACCCTGAAACATTTTAACTAGTTTTCTACGCTGTTCTCAAGTTATTTAGCCATCCATTATGGCTTTTTTGAAAATATAAAAAGGTAAACAAGGCTTCGTCGTTACAATAAGACACCGTAGCGCCATGTTTTGCTTGAAGAAATGAAACAAAAAACTCGATTATGCATGCATGTCTAGCCGACGACATCATTAGCTGAGTGTGTTGTGTTTTTTATATTTGCAAGGCATTAAGTACTTTGCTTTTCGGACTGGCACCAGCGGCACCGCACAGCAATGCATTATCAACAGAATAACAAAGTACATGTTATATTTTATCACGAAACATTTCTGGCGCCAGGCTTTCCATGCATGCATGTTTATTTCAATCTAGAGCCAAGTGTATCTTACTTTTTGTCAAACTATATTCATAGATTGCACACATATTACATTGTCTGGTCGCCACCAGGTTATTCCGGCTAGATTCTTCAATTTCTATGATGAATTTACAAACCTTTTTCGCCCCAAAATGTAGGTTTTACGCCGTTTACGATTGCAATGCAACATACCAGGACTAAAATCGCCTCAGGAATAACGAGTATTCTTGTCATTCCGTTTCATTTATTCCAAAGCAAAGAACGAACTAAACTTTGTCGACAAAAGTACCGAGTTTAAATTCAAACGGCGCTGTTTTCAACGGACAAAACAAAGAGTTAAGATAACAATAACATGGAAGTTATAAATTATTTATCGTGAACCAGTCGCCAAACGGGACGATGCTGTGTAATCTGCTGGTATGTCGAGGATTTGCGAAGATTAAATTCCGCTACCGTTACAGATATTCTTTTAGGGAATATCAACCAATCAAATGGCATCAATCCATCAGATTAACCAATCAAATGACATTAATCTATTAGATTAACCAATCACGAGCGCGAATCTCGGCAAAGGTAGTGGAAATGAAAATCAATTTTGAACCTCGCTAAGGAAGTCCTTGAACTGAAATATACTGCATCATACTGAGTCTAACTGCGGTTAAAATAATTGTGTATTGACTCATATTATATTCCTTAGCTCTACCTATATAACTGGGCAATACTTGGAGATTTGGACTGCTTTTCCCTTAGGAAATCTAAGGCATTTCAAACGAAAAAAGCGTTCAATTTTTTCAACAATTCGGGTTAAACGCGACAGAATTAGTAAACAACAAATCCTTTCTTCATCGGAAAGATTATTTATTTTTTAATTGCGATTCGTATCTTATTTTGAGCTCTTAGAGAGTACCCTCAGAAGAAGGTGAACTCTGTATTTACATTGAATATAGTCACGAACAGCCATGAAAAGGGCTGTTCTAGGCAAGATGATTTACTCCAGGTTATTTCATGTCCAAGCTCCTGGCAAATGCTCGCGGTCTGTGCGCTCAGGACCAAACAACACGCAACGCGGCGACATGAGTTGAAAATTAATTTCCACCTCACGTTTTTGCACAGGACGTCAAGCCGTCCAATAAAAGCAGATGGCGCGAATATTAACACACGCTTAAAGTGCGGAGCCGGATGTGCGGATTGTGCGAAACCAAAACGCGGAAGAGGGGATTAATTGCCGAGGCGAGAATGAAACAAAGATTTGTATATAGATTGTTGCTTTATAAACATTTCAAATTTCTTCTTCGTTCGACATTTCAGCCTATTATCCTCAGCTTTGGAAACCTCTCGTCCGCTTTCCACGCGCTATCCAGTGTTTTTTCGCCATCCGCGTTTTCTCAACTGGAGTCAATATTGCCACCAGTGACTTGAACATTTGCCTCTTCGGCTAAACAATAGATTATGAGTTTTATAATGGTTAATGGGAGACAGTGTGGCAATATCGCGAAAAAAATTATATCAAATGAATTGAATTGTTATTTAAAACGAACCTCCTCGCCTGCAGAATTGCCGCGCCAAATTTTGTTTTCTTCTTGAAAGTTTTTCGCCCGAAAATACCGTTTCAGCGGGAAACATAAATTATCATGGAATCGAAAATATAAATATAGCAACAAAAATATATTATTCTGTGGGCGAATATTTTAGTTTGGACTTGTGAGTAATTCGGCACTATATTGTGGTTGAAAAGCCGAAATTTTTGGAATCATTGGTAAATGTATTTAGGAAGATTTTCGAAGTCATTTAGGGCGATCCAGTGAGACACAACTCGGTCATTAAAGCCCCTAAAAGCATTTTAAAGAGCGTGCGTATAGCGATAATCGTCTTTTGCCCCCAACAGCGACGCGAGTCTGAAAACCAAACGCATTTGCAAAATTGACAATAGCACGTCAAAGCATCAAGCTGTTCACACACAGCGTGTTCATAAATTTGAATATTGGAAAAAGTAAACAGTTTGAAATTATTATATAGCGTCTTCATCTCAGCGAACAAAGACGAACACACAAAATGCCACGGAATTTTTATATGTTTTAAAGCAATGTTGGCAATCAGAAAAGGCGGCGAGTTAAAACGAGGTAAAAGTTGGGGGTTTAGCCTGAAAGTAGAGTCAATTAGATAGCTGCATGGAATATTCCGGTATAGCAATTCAAATAAGACGCATTAAGCTCTTTTGAAACAAGAACGTTCATAGAAATGTACCTTAAATTTATACTTGAGACTATCTCGGTTAAACAAGGACAATTTGCAATAAATGTTTAACAAATTCATCGCAGCATGAGCGAGGTGACTAGTTTCATCCAGATCGTGGGTCGGATATGGCAGCGTTGTGTACATACACGAGACTTTATACTATCTTTAACGATTATCGTCAATAAATTAAGAGGAGTTTGAGACGAATTTATAACTTATATTTTCAGTTAACATTCACAAAGGAAGTTAATTTAAGATTTAAATATATTTCATGGCTTACATAGCAAAATTAATTTCAACTTAGATTCGAAGTGTTATGCGTTATTTCTATCATGTAAAATTAATTTTCGAAGGATCTGGCCTCGACCTGTCGAAATGATTGCCTATGCACGCTGCGTTTGTTGTTGCTAGTGACGAAATAGGAAAACGGAAAGAAATGAACCAGTTGTTTAGAAATCTTGTTGCAAATATACAGTGCGGTTCTCCTCCGAAGAAATAAGCCAAACGCTGGTTGGTTACAGGACAACAATAGTTGCATGCATGCATTTGCTTTGTACAGGCTGGCATACTTAGTCTTAGATTAAAAGAGCTAAACGATTTGCAATCGAAATTCAAGGAAGACATATTGTTCAAACCTTCAAGTCGTTATTCGCAATTGCCCTTGATTCGTCGCTGTTTTAAACATGCGAGCCAGCTAATTTTGGTCGTCCAATATCGAAGAAAAGAAGGCAATATACTGCAACAATGACTAATACGTGCGTGTATATATATATTGTCGTTAATTAAATTTCATATAACATGGTTTATATGCCGTTAGGGGATAATCTCCTTACATAGAAGTAAAAGAAATTGCTATCCAAAAAAATTCTCTACAAAACTAATTGTGCGAGCGGTATGAAATAGTAATGTAGTGTTTGGTAACTGATGACTATCTTCGCCTTAATCATGCATAAAAACAGGTTGATATCTTGAACGGTTTATTAAAAGGCATTTAGAAGTTTTAACTTCGAAAACTTCATGCAGGAAGGCGAGTAAGTTTGCACAGAATGCCTCTTGAATGCCTCGCTTGCCCGCGTAAACAGTGAGCAAATTCTTTGTAGCTATCAACGAATGTAATTTGTTCGAATGTTGGCGAAATTTTTCCTATTTCTTTCGCAAGAACGATATTGACTTTTCATTCTGTAAACGCCTTCACCTGTCCTTGAGTGATCTTCGCTGTTGCTCGCACACGCGAGCAAATTCTTGTCATTAGGTACCTTGCATTACTAGCTGCTTAAGACAACCTCTTTGGCGAGGAGAACTTAGTGGGTTTTCGACGTACAAGAAATTTTTGGTGGTATAAACTTGTCCTGGGTTCTTCTTGAACAACTAAAGCTGTTTATTAATGCATTTAAATATGTTTTCAGAGAACCTAACTACAAATACATGTCAGTTAACTTAACCTAGTAAAAGTTAACGTTTTCTTTGTTTTCTATCAGGCTGATACTTACGATAACCGACGATGAACTACGCCGTCCACTCGGCAACTGCCGCCGTTGCATTCAATTGCCGAAGACCATCAATTACCCGCCCGAAAGTCCTGAGGCCCGAATCACCGACAAGAGAACGACGCATTACGATCAACGTCGGAGGGGAGCGATTCCAAACTTACGAGACAACGCTGGACCGCTATCCAGACTCGTTACTAGGTTCCCCGGAGCGCCGCAAACAGTTCTACAACGAGGGAAAAGGCGAATTCGTTTTTCCATCGCGAAACAAAGAGGTTTTCAACGCTATTCTGTTTTTCTATCAAGCGAGGATTCTTTCCCGGCCGGAGGATGTCTCGCTGAAAATTTTTGTGGAAGAGATCAAGTTCTTTGATCTGGCGGAACACAGCCATGAGATTCCAGCACAAGGTTTGAAGACACCGTACATACCTCCCAATAACACCAGGAGACATAGAATTTGGAATTTTTTGGAGAATCCTAAAACGAAGATTGGAAAACTCTTTGCAAAGTTCAACCTCTTTCTGGTGTTCACGTGGCTCGTTATTCTGTGTCTCGAGACCAGCAGCAGCGGCGGCAAGAAACTGACCATGACGGGGAATACCACCGACTCAAAACACAGTGCAAATGAAAGTGGTGAAGACTATTCGAAGCGCGACTCCGTTTGGTTTATTTTGGACACATTTTTTGTAATTTGGTTCAGTGTTGATTATTTGCTTCATATGGTCAGCGAGCCAAGTCTACGGTCATATATTCTATCTCCATTGGGAATCATCGACCTGATCACTATCATTCCGTATTACATAAAGCTCATAACCCAGACGATCTCTTCAATGAGGTTGGTGCGATTTTTGCGCGTCTTTCGGCTTTTCAAGGCGACGCGGTACAGCAGCGCCTTCAGGATCCTCCTTGGGTCTCTAACATCAAGCGCAAAGGATTTCCCAGTGTGGTTCGTTCTTCTGGTCATGCATATATTGTTTTTCTCCAGCATTTTGTACTACGTCGAAAGCGAGGTCAATAATCCGCAATTTGCGACAATACCGGATGTGATGTATTTCACTGTCATAACGATGTGCGCGGTCGGGTACGGTGACCAGGTGCCGCAAAGCACATTGGGTAAACTCGTGACGTCGTTCGCAGCGCTCAGCGGTATCGTGATCGTGTATTGCATTCCAGCGCCGACTTTGAAGACGAACTTTAATCGATTGAACGAACTTTACAAAAGCGAAAAAAAAGAAAGGGAAAAGTTGAAGTGCAACGGAGCTTCGCATGGAAAGAAACGCAAAATGATTTGTTATTCAACATCCAAACACTGATTATTCGTAGAACAGTAAATAAAAGAAATAATTAAAAAACGATAAAAATAACATTGTATTCGCCAAAATTGCAACTATTACTATAGAATCCCAAGAAATATTTGAAATAATTATATCCGAGAGTAAAAGTCTCTCTCCAGTTGCGCTATGAGTTCAGTGGTGTAGCTCACGCTATCACATCACTGAACTCACAACGCAACTGGAGTGCGAAATTTAAATGCTAGTCTAGGATTTAGTATTTCAAAATATTTACTGGGATTGCTCTGTTATGACGAGTAATGACGGTCTGTCCAGGGTGTTTAGAAATAGTTTGTCTTTCTGCTTTCACAATATAATGCAATCTATGTAGAAGCATTTGTTTTTATGTTATTTTTATAGCATATTGGCTTGATTCTAAATGGACACTTGAGAATAAAAATGTTCTAGGTTTTGCTACAAATCTATAAGGTTAGTTCAAGATTTGTGGGTAAAAGATAGCACATGAAAGCAAAGAATAGCAGAGGGGATGCTAGGGGTGTGTTAGATAAAAATGAAAGTTACCTTATAGGGGGGGGGGGTAAACAGAAGATGGGACAAGACAACAATTCAGTTCAATTCATGCTTTCAATCAATGCTTGTATGATTTTCATATTATCTTTCTGTAATTTCTGAAACCATCTTCAGGATATTCATACAAGTTTCTTTAAATTTCAAGCAAAATTTAATTACACATTACTATTTACAGGTATTGAGTGAGATGTTTTTCACATATTCAATCAGAACAAGGTATGTGTGCCTTGTGTGGTATGTTGTATGTTTCATCAGTCTTTCCATCTGTGGCCACAATCACAACATTTATAGAAGGTGGTCATGGGTTCATCCGCAGAACGTGTCTGCATTTGCATGAAATAGGCTCGATCATGTTCACACTTCGGACACCGCTCTGAAAAAAGGTATACATATTTTAAACAAAGGTTCTCCGCAGGACAGTAGATTTGTATTGTTGCAAAATATCGAGCTTTACCTTGGGTGGAGTCGACATTTTCCCACGCTGCTTTGCCACCAAGTACATCATCTACCTCTTTTAATTTTGGATAAACTTTGCTTCCAACCTTCATATCAAAGCAGATAAATGGTGTTGTAAAAAAGTGAGATTAATTGTTTGGGAGGGATAAATCATTACCCAAGCACCCCCCCCCTGCTACATCCCTTATCAAACACAGGGCCACAACCCTCCTGGAAACCCACTCCTATTGCATTTCATACCTTTTTAGAGATGTTATAAACATACGGACAAGTTGGACAAGCGAATCTGTACAGTGTTTTTCCCGTAGATTCTTCAACGGACAAAACGTTTGAACAGGTAGGACAAAATAGCAACATGCTTTCTCCGTTTCCCGTAAAGTTATAAAACTATCATAAACGTATACCACACACTTCCAGGTAGTCAACTGTGTTAAAGCCACCACAAAACCTGCTTAATTTTATGAATAAAACATTTCCTATCGCAATTTATATTTGCTGCCGACTTTCAAAACAATTTCAAGCTTTCAAGATGGCCGCCAAAACCAGTGAGCTGACTGAGCTCTATAAACACTGGAATGATTACGCCAAATCTTTTGATTGATTTGATCAAAGTCCTGTGATTGGACGAGGCCGATTTGAATAAAATTTGTAAAAAATACACATAAACACACCTTGTTCCGACTTCTGGTATCTGAGGTAACTCCTGAGCAAAACTTGACTTGTGAATGAAATGGGAAGTATTTGTTTTAAAACCTAATTGATAATTTGCAAGTTGTAGGTTCGTGTATCCGACAATCGGATTGCTAATATTGAAATAATTGAAATCGTTCAGACCCAGCACGTTCATGTAGAAACGTGCATTACTTTTGAATTTGTTCAAAGCTTGACGCTATTGCATTCAAGAGCATTTTTTCCCGCGCGAACGTTTTTTACCGCTTCTTATACTGTGTACTTCATTTATGATTGTGTAATGTGTTGAGTAAAATAATGTCCTTCAAATATCTGCCCGTATTTTCCATCGTTATGAAAATATTGTACACTGTGAAGATATTCAGTATTGTGTTTTTTCCGTGCAGTCGAAATCATTACTACATAATTGAGTTGTTTCCATGCCTATAATGGCTATGATATTGACTTTTGCCCTCATGGCACAAGTAAACTGCTAATTCTACGGTTAAATCACAAAGTAGACAGTCATAAAAATATTGCATAATAATGTTGTGATTGCGCTGTTTCTTGTCAAATTTCAACTTAATTTTGTACGGATTTCTTCGCCTGCCGTTGGTAAAAAACGGTTGTTAGAAATGTGTGGGATATATACTTGCACAACTTTCGTGATACAGCGGCCTATTGTTATTACAATAAGGTAAAAATTTATAGTGCTTTTGTCATGAGTTGCTTACATGTATCGATCGAGAAATTCGTATTGATGGTGTTCTACTCAGAGATAGAGAGAGAGTTCTACTCACACCAAACGGCGAATAGCTACATTAGGAACATGCTGAGGGTGCATCCAGATAATCTACAACACTCTAGGAGTTCCGTGTACTGACAGAGTTACAAACAAACGATGTCGCTATTTTAGTAGTTTGCAATACTATTTTGCTTATTGTTTAAACCAAACACACTGTAAAATGACGATGAATTGTGTTAGGCGTCCAGGTGTGTGTAATCGTCTCTAAATGATGTCCCTTTTAGTGCCGAAAAATGTGTTGAGTTTGTTGTTGTTTGGTTATTTGATGCTGTCATTTGTGCATTTTTAGCGGTGAGTATACTTTTATACTACAAACATCTTTCTAATGTAGACCCTAACTTTAAGACACCTCTGTAATACAACTCTCTTTAACACTAACCTCTCTACTACAGACATCCCTTTAAACGGACATCCTGCAAATATAGACTTAGCATGATATCTCACTAATCCAGAAACCTCTCTTTAATATAGACTTCTTTCTAAAGTTTCTTATATAGACATCTCTCTAATACAGACATGTCTTTAAAACAGACACCTCTCAAATAGTACTATCCTTCTAATGCCGAAAGAACTACAACCGCTTTGTTTTTTTTACAGGGATGTATTTGTGTCATTTTGTCACTTTTGACCAGGAGGGCTTCTGGGAAACGACCTGCTCTAATTGTGTTAGTATCTATAATATTAGTCGATCAATACTGTCGTATACTATACATATTTTATTGTTGACGAATGAAATCTCCATTTTTTGCTGTTCGCCATAGACCTAAAGGTAAATCATTGATTTAACTAAATGTTTCTAAACCACCAGCCCTGTGGACATAATGAGTGGTCAGTTACGAAACAGATGGTCAATCGCTGTTGCATTCGCCACGATGTTGTCAACAACGAGCGGTCTTCTTTTTCAACAGAAGTTTTTGTTCATCCGAAGAGGCAACCAAGACCTTTCCAATGTCTATTGTATGTATAATCTGCACATTTTTAAATCACTTGCAGTCATCATGCAATTAAAGTAAAATGCCTTAGGTTTGGGTATGTACAGGTAAGTGACGCATATAGTAATAAGTATAACGACTAACGCAAAAATCGGCACCATTAATTTTTTATATTTTCAGCATTGTAGAAATATTTATTCGTTCTAAGAATTTAAGATAATTTATATAGAGATTATCATAATTTATTTCTAGCTCTGCTTAATCTAATTCTGACTGTACTGACGTATTTCTTGGTCTATTATCCCTATTTGGCATGTCTGATGTCGGAGCATCGTTTGGTAGCCTCATGTCTAGGCTTTTGTTACGCGGCGTTCAGGTAAGGCGGATTAGCTAAACTGGAAGAGAGATACGAGACGAGAGAGAGCTGAATATTTTGACCTTTATAAAAGTCTGCGGTGGCTTTTTAAAAAATTATCCATTAATGGCTTTTGTATGAAACATCAAAAATTATAATTCACTCAGTTGCCTTGTTCTTGCAGATATATTGTTATAACAATGAACACGTTTGGTTGTTGGAATTATCTGACACAATCAGTAAGTTATTCTCTCGGAGGGAAATAGATTTGAGATGTATAATCAACCGCGTGCGTACCATTTTTCAGGGTGAGGAGTTCAAATCTTTGAAGCTTCTTTTGGAGGTGCCTGTGGTGATTTTCAACGCCTTTCTTTTTATACGATTCGCTTTTCTGACCATTTATTATACCTGGAAAAAATTTCGCTCCCCAAGGGAAGAGGTTCGTCGATTACAAGTGAACGTTTTCACGTTTCGTTGTGTAGAATTTGCGAAGATGAAAAGTTTGCCCATGCGCTGTTTTAAAACATTATATTTTCTTGCATTTAGGATGACTGGTTGAGAATTGTTGACATCTCAACTGTGAATTACGTTAGTTGTTTACTGAACCCATTCAAAAGGTTTGTAGCTAATATTTTTTTGGCAATTTTGGACATGCGACGCTCCTTGCAGAGTTTTAAGCATCCACATCAAAGAGAAGTTGAGTTACGAGATGGCGAATTTCATGCCTAGCTCCACGTTTTGGAATTCCTATGTTTTAAAATGTATTTTCAATGATTTTTCCTTGCGTTTTTTTGCAGTACCTTGCATGAAAAAAAGGGAATATTAGCCAAATTTTCGTGTACAACCGGTAAATATTCGAGTCATTGGCTTGTCGTATAGATGCTTCAAGACACATACAACACTAGTTTCTTTTTCTCTTCGAAGTCATTCTAAAATACATTCAAACATTTACCTAATGTACGTCTATGTTCCAGGTTTTAAATTTTCCAGTACAACTCTGGCAACATTTTTGGTATCTGTACTTCTAGTCTTTAATGTGAGTTCGTGCAGTATTTGTGTTTTCTAGCTATATTTTTATGTAAGAATGTTCTGGTATACTTGTGAATATTGTGTTGTACTATTGAAGATACTGTAGGCTTTTTCATCTTAGGCATCACTAATTGTAATTCGTCAAGTTCTCGTTCTGGAAATACTCAAGTTTCATCCTCTAGATATCATCATTAGAGGTAAGTCCGCGATTGAAATTATTGAATACGGATTCATTGGATATAGAGTTTTTAAAGGTGTTTGCTTCACGATAGTGCGAGGCGATGAAGGTTGCAATGCAATGTGAAACATGCAAGGATAAAATAGCCTCATTTTCATATCCCTTGAAACCTATAAGCCCCAAAATGTTAATCGAGATCTCAGAAAATTGTTAGAATGAAAACCATGCGTGTTATGTTTACTTAACAGTACCAACGATAGCATCTGTGAGCGTAGCCTCCCTGATCACGTGTGGAATGCTGGTTCATTTCTTGTATTGCCACAGGTAGAGTCTTTCATTATATACAGTAAGTTGTTTTATCATGATTAAGGTTGTTGATAACAAAACGATCTTTTTTATTAATCCTGTTAGGAGAAATATGTTGCGAATGTTCCAAGGTGATAAATCATTTCTTCCTCCGGATCTTGGCTCCCCATCTCATATTGTGGTACGTGTCTATGTTTTATTGTAGTCTCAGGAAACAATGAAGAAAGAACAAAATGTGACCGTTTACCATGTAGCCTTTGGATTATGGTTTAACCTGCTGTTATTCCTTTTGTAGGGTCGAAGTTTACGTTTTTGTGGCTATCAGGTTGCCGCTGCTGGATGGGGTGAGATCATATTTCATGTTTGTTTTAAGATCTCCAACAAGCAATTCCTGCCTTAAGTGAGCATCCATCCATCAACCAATGGACAGAGCATATAGCCTTTCACAAAACTAGCCAAATTTGAGATATTTATTAATCTTGTCCCACTGAATGCCTAAAAATTGAGTCGCTGAATTGAATGGATATCCAGTAGATTTCAGAATTATAAGGAATTTTCTTTCTACAGGTGCTTTGGCTTTAGGAACCATTCTTACAACTGCATCATGTATCTCCGTGGCCCTGGTGCATTATTGGGAATATATAATCAGTTCTGAAAGACTTGCTGTGATAAAACGTTTCGTTCTTTTTGTGATTCTGTGAGTAAAACACTAAATATCCAATGCTGGATTAATCGAACACCCTTTCTTTAACAGCAAAGTTTGTGATTGTTTTGTAGTGTAGAGTGTTTTGTAACTGCTGTATCATGGATCGCGAATATTGTGCTTATGTCTGTCATATTTGTTATTGTATTCAAGTATTCCTTTCATTCATAGTCCATTCGCTGGATATTATCTCCTGATATGGCTCATAATCAAACTGCTTGCAAGATATGTGTTTCGAGACTTCAAACACCCTGATAGGATTCTGACTATAAACAACAGGTATTTCTTCAAAAACTTATAGCAAGATTCAGATTTGACTTTAAGCTCGTGTGATTGGTTAATGTTCTCTCCTCTCGCTGATCTATTGAGCTTGTGATTGGTTAATCTAATAGAATTGTCGCATTTGATTGGTTCATGTTCCATGACGTCGTTCTGTTTTCTAACAATGTTACATCTTTTCTTTTCATTTCCAGGAAACTCTACAATATATCCATATTTTTCTTCTATTTCCACACAATTATAATGGGAATTGCGGGTGTGTTAGCCCGCACGTTTACTGGAATATTTCTTGGATTATTTTTCCTATCTCGCACGGACCGCAACCTCATGATTCAAGGCTTTCATAACTCCGACCGGGGATATGCCTCCTATATTGGATACCTTCACGTGATTGCGTTGCACAGGAACCCCGTACGTGTTGTGTTCTGCCAAATATTATACGATCTTGTATACAAGCAGCATGTCGTCGTGAAAAGAGGTGAGTGGTTTGATCCTAAATCCACGAACTTAATCCTAAATCCACGAACGTAATTCTAAATCCCAGAACTTAATCTTCGAGATTAAGTTACAGATTAAGTTAGGATTATGTCTTAGATTAGGTTTTTGGTTGATTACGATTAACCTTATTCCTAAATCTAATCTTAATCTCAAGGATTGAATTCGTGTTTAGAATTTTACTGAACATGGGATCATTAGCGGTAAATATATTTGCCGGCAAATATTTGCGCGCAGGAATGTGAAACAAATATTTTATTTTATGCCAGGTAAATCTGGGACTGCCTCATACCCGCGGATCTCAAAGTTCGCTTTAAACCGTTGGCATTTAGCTGTGACACTTATACGTAATCCCCAGCTTCAGCGACACCGTGTGCATTCAGATGTACCTAGGAGTCGCCGTCCAACAACAGATGTACTCTATCTAAACGAAATTGATTTGATATCCCTTCCCTCCCTCAAACTTCACCTGAATAATGACGATAAATCTCTAGTAAAATAATAAGAAATTATAAACACGATATTTTTTTATAAAATAAGACATTCAACTAAGACTTTTGGCATGATAAATGAAATCGAAACCCACAGGGTAAAGAAAGTATATGTTTAAAATTTAAATGAGTAAAGACTCTAAGGTTTGATTGCAAAATGCTGGAAAATATTTTCTGTATTTTGCCATGTATAATAATATATTAAAGTTAAATATCAGATTATTTCCAAATATTATATACATCCATTGTTATCATAGAGACTTTCACGTAAACACTAAAATAATTAGGTTACAATCGTTTATAAATCATCATCCAAATATGAGCTTTAAAGTTCATCCTCTTTACAATAACAAAATCATGTTCTGTAAAAAAAAAATCCGAAACAAGACATCTTGAGAGTAAAATTTTAGAATCAAGCAAGACACAGATGGAAACTGTAAATCTTCGACTTTATTTCAAAGTCATCTTCACTCTTCAGACAGAAAATGTACAGTTTTAACCTGTGTCTTGCTTGATTCATATTTTGACTCTCAAGATGTCTTGTTTATTCGAAATTTGTTTTTACTGTACTTTTTTAAATTGTCGGCTGGTCATAGTTTTTAAATCATGTTCTATTAGTCTTCATTGGTTCGTTGCTAATTTGAGGGGTTAATTTCTTGCATGAGAATTTCCTAAATAATCCTAAAATTTACACTACTACTACCAAGATATAATTCAGTTTTTTTCAAAATTTTGCATCACTTTTTGATCATCATTGCACTATATCATTAATAAACAACCATGTTCGTTTGTTTATTTGGTTTTTTCAAAGATCATGGATCCATTGCACCAATCGTGCTTACTAGTGTCACTTTCGATGAAAAACGTCGCATTTCACTGGCAAAATCTGTATTAAAAACGTGAAAACAAATAAATATTTTGGCGCAAAGATCTTTGATAAAAGATATTACAGCTACAGTGCTTGAGTCAATGGTATTTTATTTCCTAAACACAACCACTGGTGGTAAATTGAAAATTATATTTCTTCTTTGCAAGAACTTACCTGGACCAAAACCTTGAAATACCTATTGTAATTTGTTAAACTCTGGTCTTAAACTCACCCTTATACAGATATACTAAATACCTATTCTGTACAGTTCTTTGAATTGTATAGTTCTGTAAATGAAATACTTTGTGCAATCACTAATAGTAAAGTGAATTACAGCTTGAAATTCGTCTAATCTACAGCTATAATCTCAGGAATTTCTGGTCTGTCTAATATACAGCTATAATCTGTGTATGTTTAGTGCGTTTATAAAGTTAATCATGAGAATTAAATTTAATTTTTATTATAATCAATCAATCATTCGAGGTTAAAAAAGTTACTGATTAAAGCCACATTTATTCATTGATTTCATTCATTTTTTATTGATTATCAATAACAATCAGAATATAGTTAATTCCATATTACAAAATCAATGATGATCGTGATCTACTAATTTCATGGGTAAAATTTACCTATTTCATTGAAACTACAAAATTAAATTGACTGTCATTTGTTCTGCTTACAGCATTGGTTATTCTAAGAAAATGCATATTTTTAATTCGATTATTATACAGTGCAAACATAGTTCTGGCAGCTTTCTTTATCCACTGTCAAAGTGCTCCTACAATGAAATGGTGCGTTATTTATCTCACATTGATATTTTCAAATGACTTACATGAAGTTTTTTTGGAGCGCAGGCACGGATCATGGGAATATTGAATATTCCCATCGTTCTACTTTTCCCAAAAAAATTCATGTAAGCATGTTTAGCCTGAGAGATTAGCACAACCAGTTGGTTATGCTAGCGTGCTCTTTTGTGCAAATTCTAGAAGTACTACTTCACATGCTCGCCTCATGTTAATCACGTTTTCAGCACGTTTTGAACACGCGAAAACGTGGGTTTCGTCATGTGAACATCGGATGTCCATCACGTGAACATCAGGTGTTCATCGCGCAGCAATAAAAGAAAAACTCAAAACAACGCCTGGCGTTCCTCACCCTTCTCCGTTTGAAATTTTTCATCCATGTGCATCGAATTCCCGGAGACTGACGTAGTTGACCCGTTTCTCCCACGGGGGTTTGATGCCTGGCGGGTATTTTTCTCCGGTCGGAACCACACGACGTAGACCTTCTGGCCGAACATCCCGGCAAGCAAAACGGTCGCGTTAAAACAGGAATTTAACAAGAGCACTGAGGTTCGATAGACCGCCTTTGTGCCGTAGAACAGAGGTAAGAAACATATCCACTGAACACATGTTGTGTACATAGTTATCCCCACCAGCTTCGCTTCATTGAAATTCGCGGGCAGTTTGCGGGTTAGAAAGGCATATATTGTACATAGAACTAACAAGAGTACATTGTAGCTTATAGATATTATGTACTCCATACCGGAAGTGCGACAGATCAAGTGGAAGTGGCGCGGCTCGTAAAACTTCGTCAATTCCGAAGTTGTTCCGAACATCGATGCAATCAGGCTGATCCCAACTTGAATACACACCAGAAGGGCGGTTATTAGGAGCTGCGGGCCTGGCGTGATGAACGCTGGGCGATGTCGACCGCGAAAGATACGTGCGATGCGATTGGTTTTCACAAGTATGGCGGAATAACACACGGCCAAAAAGACGCCCGACCCAAACCTCTGAAACACACACCTGCGCCGAGAGGGCTCACCTAACATCGCAAATCCGAGACAAAACGAAAGTGCTATGCCAGCAAGCAACACGAGCATTAGTTCGCGACCTGAAGCCATGATGAGCGGAGTGGAGTAAAACTTGTACATCGTTAACGCGACAAAAAGGGTGCATAAAATGCCCAGGCTGGCCCATATTGTGAGCAAGACGATCACCCACGGGGTCGGGCCATCCTCTGGCAGACGCTCGCACCCAGTCCTATTCTTCGTGGGGCGCGAATCCAATGCACAGTTTCGGCAAGAGAAATCAGAATCGACGTATTCTTTGTCGCGACATGGTTCACATTTCCAACAACATCGCGGATTACCTGGCTCTACGATACGAGCTAAAAGATAAATAAATTTGAGCATCATCGCAAGAACAACCGATTAATTGAATCTTATATTGTATACTTGTGACTTATCAAAGACCAACTGGCTTGACTTCAACAAGACTTTTAAGGTTAATGGGTGAAAACCAGCCTCCAGTTTAGGGGTGACTTACCTTCACCGATTTTACATTCTTTGCTACACCAGGAGCTATGGTTTGACAACCTTTTACGGTTTTCAAACCAACTTGTATTTCCTAATGAAGACTGGCATTGACTCCACTCCGTTATCTTACTGTATTCCCTTTTCTCATAAAACATGATGTCATATCGGGACATCCCGTTGCCATTCTCGTCGAAGCTGACATTCCCGCTTTTTCCGGTGAAACTTGTATTCTTCAGGTACTCGAACAAGTCAATCCCGTTTTCAGTCAACTGATCCAAACGCTTCCTCAAGCTTAACGACTTGTTGGTGGTTCGTAGCATCGCATCCAAGCTGTGGCCAAGGGCGTAAACCGCATCAAAAACGTACGGGACTTTGTCATCATTCGTGAACCCTATCATGTCCCATGCTGAAGCTTCGGTCTCGTTGCACAGCGTCGCGTATTTTCCCGCGTTCGTGCTATTTTTAGATATGACGCATTTGAAGTGGGACTCCCAAAACATGTCGAACCATGGATTTCGCGGGTTCGCACCGGGTCTCAACGCCCGAAAATACTGGTAAAATTTTTCCAACGACTCTAAACGCGGCCGGTGCAATGCGATAGAAATTGCACCGTCAGCGATATCTTCGACGCCTCGCAATTCCTGACCAACCCCCCAGGTATCCGTGGCCAGCCAACGGAAGCCACCGACATGACTCATGGTCTTGTTTTGGATTTTTTTAACGGTTTTAAGAATGACATAAGTGTGAACGCTCTCAGTCAACAGCACAACCCCCCGTACAGATTGCCTCTTGTTAATGCGCTCTAAAAATGCTTCAATTTCTCGCTCCTGTTTAGAATTTTGCAAACTTCCGTCTCCTTCAGGAGCGCCGATTTTTAATTCGTCGACAATGCACGGAGAGTCGTTTTTCAATGCATCGAGAAAGCATTCCCGGATGCGTTCGCCGTAATTCCCGGATGAGCTGATGAGGAAGAACGCTGACCACCCTAGCTGGGTGATAATGTCGACTAAGGCCTTAGCCTGGCCATCATCGGAGGGGACCGTTCTCGCGAAGTATCCGAACTCGTCCCGATTGCTGAGATCGGGACTCGTCGCCCCATAGCTGACCTGGGGTAACCGAAATAGCCGCAGCAAGCTCGCTACAGTTATGGAGGTTTGGCTAGAGACTGTACCGACCACGCCCATGACGGGGGGAGGGAGATTATCAGGGTCGGTACATATCTTCCCCCCCTGACCAAACGCGTTTAGTACGAACTTGAGGCTTTCATCCAAGGCTGCATTATCAGAAAGACAGTCATCTCGTATCTCGGCGCCAAGAGTTATGTTAGGAAGAATGCTGGTGTCATTGTTTATCTAAAAGGCAGCAAATTTTTTTTTAATATGACGTCATTATTATTGGTCACTACCATGACACAAAATATTCCTTTCTAAAATATTTCTATCCCTTTCATTCATCCCTTTCTTACTTCTTCCAACCTTTCTTGCCCCCCTCCCATTTTTTCCTCTCTCTTCTGCCTTCCTCTTGAAGTATTCTATCAGCAGCACTGCTTACAATACTAACAATACAACCCAATATATTTATACTGCTGTTGGCAGGAAAGAATGTTAAAAACTCTCCTTTCCCATCTTCTCACTATTCCCCACCCTCCTTTTTCCCCTCATCCTTCATGGCCCCCCCTTCCCTATTTCCCCTTGCCTTCAGTCTCACATGATTCTCACCATTCCCACCCTCCTTCCTTATTTCAACCAAGTTTCCCTTCACCCTTCATGGTCCCCCCTTCCCTATTTCCCCTTGCCTTCAGCCACACATGCATACAGGGAATAAAGCTTTTTATCAGCCATTGTTCACCTCCTCAACAGCATACAACATAGCTTCAACTCTCATGATATTCCTTGGGCTGGTATGTTGATAACACTCCATGTCCAAATACCTCCGGTGGAGGGAGAAAAGCCCCCCAAGAATCAGGTCGCCATCTATTGCAGCCAACATGTCATTTTCGTTGGAATGTGCATCACTCTGCATCAGCATATGTGGTTTTAAATGCTGTTCCAAAGTGTATCTGCGGCATTTTGATAATTCCAAACACGTCAGAATGTACAAAGAGGTCTGTAGGATGTACCTCATCTTCTATGGGATGTTATCATTTTTAAAAAGGTACTTGATCGTTGGTTGTATCATCTGAAAGTTTTCATACTAGTTAAAGAGATATTGGACGGTTTTATACGCTATATAGTTCGTTGTCTGGCGGGTCGATGTGTTTCGTCTTAAGGACCTTACTTCTTGTTGTTATTGTATTAAAAACAAGGAAGTTTAAATCATAGAACAAGTGTCCTCTTTTAAATAAATTGAAATTCATGAGAACAGATCTAGATCTAACGAGTAACATAAAAAAGCTCGTATCACATAGCGTGGTGCTAATTTTCTATCTAAACAGTCAATGTAAATAATATACGTTTTCAACTTTGAAACATATTAGATTAGATCCATACACGAGCCACTGAAGTGGCGCCTTCATAGCGATTCCTGTTTCCCTTTTAAGTTGAAACAGCAAAAGCTTTAGATTTTTAAGAAGAAAACAACACAGCCAACACCTAACAAAGTGATCGGAGAAATACAGTAGAAATACTCACAAATTCCGTGGGGTTTCTGTATGCCTTTTGCTTTTTCGATTGTTTGTTTATTAATTCGAAAATTGCGACTTTCAAGCCCCCCCTAATTTGCGGGATGGATGTCCATTTGCCCGGGCAGGACGATTCTGCAGGCAATATTATTCTTTGTTTAATCGCATTTAGTTTCTTTACTACGCGTTAAAAAACGAGTTTATATCACTTTAAAACGCATAAGTATATAAAATTATTATAACGATGTTGTTTAGAGAACCAACGACTCCAACGAGTCTGTAAAAAGTGTTATTTTTGCCTTAATTTAAATATGAACGAGAATAGCGATTAGCGAGTCTTTGCACTTGTCCCGCGGTCGTGCGCTAGCTGTCATGCGCGTTAATCGACCGTTGCTGTTTTGCTGCCAGTAATTTCAAATAATTCTTCGAATCGAATTTCATTCAAATTTAGGAAAATTTCGGCCGTTTTTTGCCTATATTTTGATGAAATGTACCGTAGAAGACAACGACGAGGTACGTGCTTGCTGTCCACTTTAATATTGTGCAGTTGTGTCTATTTATCGGTTCAAAAAGCTAGTCTTTACAATGAAATCGCCATTTTCTTGGCATGGACTCATTTTCTGCCTGTATGTTTTAATAAAAACCAATTAATTTTGCTCGCCAATTTTTGTGCCTATTGTTGATAAACAAAGTGCATTTTCTCATCTCCTGCATTGTATATTCTGAAAAAACTATTACTTCTTTATTTCTTAAAGAAATATTGTAAATTTTCAATATAAATTGCTGAAATAGGCATATTTGTTATGTAAATATTTTGCATACATAGTCAAGATGTTTTCTTCATTGTGTTTCATAGTTGGGTCTGTTTTGAACCCATTTTCATACAATCATACTTCAGATCAAATATTTTGATTGATTGTTATCGAAATTCTCACAATTTAGATAGCGAAATTGTCAAAAATGTATGCTCATTCTGTGGGGAGCCGTCAAATGAGAAGAAATATGGGAAATTCTTTACATCCAAGTTGGGATATGCTGTTCATCAGTATTGTATGGTAAGTGTGGAGCAGAGATAAAGAGTGATAAATAGTTTGTTTATAAATTGCTGGAAACAAGCTTTAAAGATGAAATACAATGTGTACTGTAAACACTTTGTTCCCTTTGAAAGGCTGTATTCTTAAAGTTTAAGAATTGTTTGTTGTCAGATTTAACACTGTTTGCTTTGTTAACCATCACTATAACTCTATTGCTAAACCACGTCTATCAAAAAAGAAAGTTGCATTTAAAATTGTAGCAAAAATATGTTAAATATCTTGTAGAAGGAAGATTTTTATCTCAGTCAACATAATTCAGTAGAGATCTGAATTATGGGGTGTTTGAAGGCCTTTTTAACTTCTCTCCTATGGTGGGATGAGATTTCTACCAGATTTAAAAATCACCAATGCCTTACCATCTGACTACCCAAATGCTTTCGAAATTGGGGTTATGATTCGCACTGAATCATTGACCATTAGCATGTACAAAATTTGGCTTTTAAAAAAGAATTTAATAGGTACTTGTATAGACTTGAAGTTTTATACTGAAAGCTTGCTGATAATCATTATATGTTAAATGTGTGGTGTTAAATTACCAGTTCTTGTACCAAGTGCTATATAATCAATACCAATAGACCTGGATCTCGCACATCTGGTGAAGTCATAAATTTAGAGGACAGCTGTTATTCAGATTTTTTCTTATGTTCACTGAACTATATGTATATTGATCAGTGACAGAATGTAACCAATTAGAACACTCAATCTGGGGTAGCAGCAAGGTGCCTTTAAAAGTTGTCTTCGGAACAACTGTGATGTGTGTCTGTATTCCAGGTTTATTGATATTATGTATATAATGTATTTACATGAAGTATTCTTGTGAATTGTTGACGCGCGAGGAGCCTCTTGGGAAACGTCCTACTATACTTATTTTTATGAATAGCACTTGGGTACAAGGTAACAATAAATACCATTCATTAGCATATTTTGATATCAAGGCATTGGTGGTTCAGTGGTAGAATTCTCGCCTGCCACGCGGGAGGCCCGGGTTCGATTCCCGGCCAATGCATCCTTTTCTTTCCTCCCGTTAAAATGTTTTTTTTTCTATCGTAATTTAAAACAAATGTTCATAACTATAATTTAAATGCATTTCTAGTACCAACAAACTACAAATAAATAAGAAATTCGTAACATTTCATCGCTTTTTTCGAGATATTTTTATGGAAGAAGCGTAGGCACCAGGCCTCGATATTTCATGCTATTCGGGCAAGCTTTGTTTGCAGGCGTGTAGGCAACGAATATAAAACAATGAGTAGAATAAAGTTTAAAATTGTTGAAATTTGGTGATTTTTTGATACTATTTCTAATATATATGGGTTTCGTAGCGGAAATAGTTGAATTTTATAAAATGTATTGCTTGTTTGCTTCAAACCTTCAACGCATTTACTTCAGTCAATGTAATTCTGATAACAATGTTCTCTTTCTGTGGATTTCATATGAAGTTTTAGTAAAGAAACAATTTTGTCTCAAAACAAAAGGACGGGGCTCAGGCGGGAATCGAACCCGCGGCCTCTCGCACCCAAAGCGAGAATCATACCACTAGACCACTGAGCCTTGTTGAGAAAAGGGAAAACAATCGGTCTCTATAAAGAAATCACTCTCTGTACCTGTAAAACAACGTGGCCTTTGTTGACATACCACCTGTTCGCGGGGAGCACGTTGTCTTGACAACCACAGGAAGTGTGTTAACTGGGTTTAATTCGAGTTTTCGAGTCCAAAAAAATGATGCGTTGTCGGCTTCTGAAATTTATAGACCATTTCCAGACTCCAGTCACTTCATGATCAGGCAAAATAATTGAAGGATGCGAGGCTTTTGTATCATCTGCTATACTAGTTTGCTTTCATATTCTTATATAGTTCTTTTCGGCCGCCTTACCACAAAACGGCAAAGATCACGAAGGCTTTGAAGGATTTTTAGAGCAAGATGTTTTGAAGGAAATCAGGCGAGCTAGTCGATTGGTAAGATTACAAAACCTTTATCTCAATTTCCAGCATTTGGAATCTGAATTTTTTAACAACATTGATCTTAATCTTAAACGTAATCTTAGCTGAAAGCCTTACGCTAATCCTAATCTTAATCTCAGGACCTTAATCCAAATCCTTTATCCTTCCGATTTGAAGGTCGTTGAAGGATTTATCCATAGATATATATATATATATATATATGGATTTATCAGTTGATAACGATTAGGATTTGACTGTTGTTATTCTTCTTGGTTTAGCGTTGTAATTTGTGTCAGAAGAAAGGCGCATCTGCTGGGTGTTGTGACCAGTACTGCAAGAAGGGATTCCACTTCACTTGCGGTGTCAATCAAAATTATCTATTTCAATTTTACGGGCAGTTCAGGTACCTTGGAATTCGTTACGTACGACCGTCTAACCCCGTGTTTTGGGCAGTCTCTATGGGGGTAAAATATAGGGTGTTCGTTTAATGTAACATGCTTGCTAACAAAGGTACCGTAATAGTGAAGGTTGACTGAGAAACATATCCTTGTGGTGTGTTGTGACGACGAGTACTCACGATAACATTTTGACAACGGAAAATTGAGCTGCTTCGCTCATAGCTTTAGAGGTTGCCAAGCCATAATTGGGCTTTTTAATGTTTCAGTTAAATCATCGCCTCTTTAAGACTAGTTTGCCTCTTACGAAAACGATGAAAAGGGTGTTAAGACAGTGTATAATTGGTGACCATGCATGTACGTGTTTTGAACATGAACGGTTAAATTTTTTTTGGTCTTAACAAATTGCGGAACCTTTTATAAAACGTGACCGCGCAATATGGTGCTGTCAATATCGGTTCGATTGTAGCTTGATTTGTGCAATTATTATTCGGCCTCGTTATGAACAATCGACTGACTCGCAACCGCGCGCGTCTGAACAAATGACGCATCTTTCCAGGGCGTTTTGCGATCACCATCGTCCATATCAAAGTTCAACGTCTTATCCGTCAAAGAAAGTATCATGTCCTATCTGTTTGGAGTCTGTACCATGTTGTGTTTCACCCGACGTTCTGGCCACGCCCTGTTGTAAGGACGTCTGGCTTCACAGGACTTGTGTTCAGGTACGATTGAGTAAGAAAACAGCTTACCCCATCTATATACCATTAGTCGAATGCACTACATAGCATAGATATATAGGATGGGTCACGTGTAAAAAATAAGCCATCTGGTGTGTGCAAGTGTGTTGTGTGGTTCATACAAACGATTGCTACAAAAACCCTGGGAAAATATTGGCAACCTAACAACCAATCGGGCTAGCTGATCACGGTGGTCGAGCACATTTTTCAGCATGCCCGGTTTGTTACTCGGAGTAGCACCATCCAGAAATAATCCACCTTAGTTATACCCACAATCATTATTGCCCTGGGCATTTTAAAACTCTTCATAAATCACATACAAAATTGATAGCCATTGTACTACAATTCTTGATGCATATTAGGTTCATTTCTCATAATTACCGTATTATAATTTGCCATACAACGTCAGTCGTTAGCGCTCATAGAAGCGATCGACTTGGTGTTCAATTTTAGGGCACTCATCCCCACTCATCATACATTTTACCCTAATCAAATACTGTCTTACTGCTAAGAATCATATACTAGTATTATTGCTATATGTTACTGCGTATATCGAAAAACATTCTTGTAATTCTTATTCAGGAACAAGCGACGGTCAGCGGTTACTTCTTTCGTTGTCCGGTTTGCAACGACAAGGAAAAGTTTGTAAAGGAAATGAAAAGAATGGGAATATACGTCCCTGATAGGTACTAGTTTTTCAAGCAATATTTATCATTCCATAATATACTCCATAATATTGTTACAAAAATATGTCGTTTTGTTTTGCCTTTGACGTCATGATCTATCGTTAGGCGCCATCTTGGTATATGATATGGAACCAAAATGGCGGCAAACACATGCAAGCCACCTGTACCATACATGAACGTCCACATACGATGTTTTTAAAATTCAAATCAACGGTATTTCTCTAGGGACGCCGCCTGGGAAGACGGCAATAATTTTGCAGAGTTACTTGACAAATACAGCAGCTGTGATTCTCCAGCGTGTAAATGTCCATTAGGAAGAAAATTCTCGGCTGAGAACGGGTGAGTTAATTGCAGTGAACTGGTAGAAAATAAGACTGGAACGATAGCTCTGCGAAAAATTTGAAGCCAAGATGGCGGAATAATATGAAGCCTTTCTTGTAGGTATGATCCAGGCCACCACGTGGAAATTTCGTAGGTAAAATGGCGGCAATTATGATTTTACCGCGCTAGAGGCCTGGTCATGCCTACAAGAAACGCTTCCTGTTCCGCCATCTTGGCTTCGCTCATTAATGAGGGAAAAGTCAAAGAGCTAGCGTTCCAGTAACGATTGAAATATCATAGGCACAATTCAAAATGTTACAGAGGCATGCACCACCATAATTTAACAATTACACCTCTCGTTCATATTCTACATGCATTTTATTTCAATTTTTTAATTTTCTTCGAAAATAGTGAATGCTAATAACGAACTTCCACTTTAGGGAGTGGGAATTGGTGCTATGCAACACCTGTGGTCAGTTTGGTACCCACGTAGGATGTAAAACCTGGACGACGAACCCCCCGTCTTTGCTGTGTCCAACCTGCCGGCCTGCAGTACACCAAGGCAGTGAGCTTATTACACGCTCTGCTTTAAAAAAACAAAGCAATCCGGAGGGGAGGAAATCGATTACCAGCCAGAAAGGTATGTTCGGCATCTTGGCACTTCCTTTAAAGATGGGGAGAGCTCAACGCGTTTTTAAAAACGAAGCATGCAAATTTCATCGCTAATCATATTAGTTGTATTCAAAATCTTTGAATTAAGTAGCTAATTCTCTGTTGGAATCTTCAGTAATCTGCTGGTCAACATATTTACCAGCACGAGAATAGATTTGCAGACAAACACATCATGGAAAAGCAACGTATTTTGTTGTGTTTCAGGCAAAGGACCACTGAAAAAGAATCATCAGAGTGTCGATTCCGACACGGACTCCGAGGACATCTCGAAGGTGCTGAACGGACTCAAACGGCAAACCGAAGATGACTTCTTAAGTTCCGACACTAGTTTTTTTGTGCAGCGGGCCATAGCGGCTGGAACCGCTGCCATCGAAAATAACGGGCCGAAGACTCACGCGAGCTCTAGTGTTACTTGTAACCGGAAGCGAAAAGCCGATGATAGCGAAAGCGACGATGAAATAATGATCACAAAATATGTTCCTGGTCAAAAGGCACAAAACAAGTGTCAAGTTTGCCCTAAATGCAATCGCCGAAAACGAGCAAATATACCCACTAGCTCACCGGCAAAAATGCCCCGGAAGGATTTTCCTAGTACCGGGTATACGTCTATATCGGATAAAGGTTCCCACTCAGGTTCGTCTTCGACAAAGTCCAGTGTAGAAATCACTGAGCTCGGGTACGAGTCGGAGAGCTTCGTGCCGGAAGGCAAAGCATCCAGACGCGCGAACGCGCATGCGCGGGAACCAAAGGTAGCGGACTATGAAATTATAGAACTTGCCGCTGACCACACTCACCGGTCGTCCGTTCTGTTGCTGCCGTCTGAAGAGAAATCGGGAGAATTGGAAGACAAGGTTGAAAAGGACGAAATTCTGCTTTCGAGTGATGATGGTGCCGAAAACGAAGCGGTGAGTAAGCCAAAAAAGTCCGGTTCTTTTTGGCTGAGTTCCGTCGAAAGGTTGTTTCAGTTTCTGAATCCGCGCTCCAGTCCGGAAGCTGGTGACGAAAAAAAGCGGACATCGAAAGATAAGGAAATGTCTGAAGGAGATGTGGAGGCACAGCAGCAGCGTTTATCCTCCGGGGAAGAGTCAGAGACCTTCGTCAAAAAATCGATATCGCTCGACAATACGTCGGCAACTGACGAAAGAAGATCGCCATCGCTCGGGCAGAAAGCGGAAGGCGCCGGGGGAAGACATTCAGGGGAGACGTCCGAAGCAATCGGTGACAACACAACGTCGTTTGGAAATAGGTCGGAAACTACGGAAGAAATGTCGGAATCTCATGTAAATACATTAGATAATATGGAGGAAAACTCCGGCAGCATCGCAAATACATCGAATTTTGCAAGTTCGTTATCGAGCTCTAGAAATGGCAAGAGAAGAGATTTTGAGTTCTTGATGAGGAAAGCTGTTTTAGAAGAGGTTATTGATCATGCTATTGAACTAAAGAATTCTGGCAAGGAGCTTAAACATAGATGTGTGTCAAGCTGTTAGACGGCGGCATATTTTTTCTATTTAGGGCAACATGTTTTTTTTATATTTTGTTTATTTTTGCTCAAGAATTGCGAAGACAGGTTCAGATAAACTGGAGGAGATAATATTTCTTGTTTATATCGTTCTGCTCGCAGACCACGCGAATATAGTTGATGCGGTTAGAAGTAAGGTCGCTCCGAATCAGTCAACATGAACATTTTTGACCGTGAAAATGTAGAACTTACTGTACTGCAAGAAACTGTTACTGAAAGACGATATAGCAACGTGTGTATGGTGGTTGATAGGAACCCACCAGGAATAGCTACTAGGAAGGAGAGCGGATGGGGGAAATTTGTTTTCTTTAAATGATCATTTAAGCAGTTACGATGAACAGTTCTCTAATAAAATGACTGTACACACTGCTATTATTTTCATATTTCGTTTCAATATAACACGTCCATTACAAGTTTTCTTAAACCGATGCGCAACTCTCTCAAACCTGACTGGACACCACATTATAAAGCATGTTCTCCACTAGGGGAATTTATTTGCGCGAACAGATAAAAGCGATTCTACTTTTTCGCCGGGAATTTTTTCGCAAACCAATCACATCACTGGATTTCATATATCGCGTCGCGCGAATAAATTCGCCTAGTGGAAAACGGCTTAAAACATGTTTGCATTGTTCGCAGACGCTGTAGTATAGGGGTTATGTATTTAAGTTATATGTTACCTATGTATAATATTGTATCGATATCTTTAATTGCTTCTGTTTGGTTATTTATTTCCCTGCATGATACCAAGGCCGGATTTTAGGGTTAATATCAGGGGAGGAGGGATGAATGATTTCCAGAGAGGTGCGTAGTGGTCTGATTCTTAGCCTTTTTAGGGGGTGTATGGCTTCACAGTGCCTCCGCTATAAGAAACTGTTTAAACTTTAAACAAGCTTCTCTATCACAGAGACGTCTTAATTTTATTAGTACCTAAGAATTTAGACTTTGTCGTATGTTTTTGGATCGAAATAATTTTCAATTTTAGGGGAGGTTGAAAGATATGTCAGGGCGGCACCTTCCCTATAAAATCCGACCTTGCGTGACACATGTAAAATGTGCGAACTGTTCATATTTGTAACAACAAATGTTATTTTAAAACTTAAGAATGAAGTTCATTTCAATTAAATATCTACTATGCGCGCAGAATGAAACGTGATAAAAAAATTGCATGACATTTTGCGTGGTCCATTGTTATACTAAGATCAGTGTAAATCGCAAGAATATATACTGGTAAATTTAAAATCAGATAATCATGGTCCACTTGGTAGTCCTGTTTCGTATAGAGATGAATGCGTAAAAGGCTTTCAAGCGTTTAAGCTACACACTCGACCCAGACCTCATCCGCCAGAGGACATGATTTCTGTGTGTAGGGGCAGTCGTGAATATTCTTCTCCAGACCCCCACAGTACACATTAGTTAGCCACATGTAGCCACTGCTCCTAACCTTGTCCGCGGGCGCTGGGTACGTGGCCTGAACACCAGAGGTGTAACCCAGTTGTACGCAAGCCACGTGCGCGTCACGAGGATCCCAGGAGTTGGAACAGATTCCACCGAAAGCGCCGTACCTGTATAATTCGAGACGACCAACGTTTGGCCTTGCTCCGTCGACCAATCTTAAGGTCTGACACGTCACCGTCGCGAGGTGGGTGCAGGGCTGGGGTACCCCGGATTCTTGACAGTCATCGAGGGCAAGCTCGTCACCCTTGCATTGCATACCACCGCGGAAAAGGATGGACGATTTCGCTTTCTTGGTGGCCTCGATTGCGCCGGATAGTCCCCGCTCCCGACACAGAACATGCGCATCGCGGATGTCCCAATCGTTTGCGCAAAGGTCTAACCACGATCTCTGGCGAAAAACGCGCACAGTACCGCTGTGATCTTTAGCAGAACTACCCACTATATTGATGGCAGTATTTGTTACGATGCCAATATCATCCTCGTGTGTGCACTCTGATGTGTCCTCGGAGTAGGCGCAATCCAATATACTGTCCACTAAACCAGGGCATGTCATATTCAAAATTTTAATCTCGCCCGTTCCCCTACCATATCTGCGCGTGTTCCATCTATTGTAATAGAAACTTCTATCTAACTCGAGCCTTATCATGTGGGCGTCCGCATTAGTAAAATTTTTATCGCACATTGTACCCCACGTGCCGTCCTTGAACAGTTCCACTCTTCCCGCTTTTCTGCTTGGTCCATCGACAAGCCTCAAGATGGTACAACGAACGCCGGCATCATTCGCGTGGGTGCAAGTGCCGAGCGGGGTTTGGGGGCAGTGGGATATACGGCTTTCGCTCCCATCACATAGTAGCCCATCGTAGTGAATCGTTCCGCTTCCTTGTCCAAAATGTGCTCCGTCGAAAGTTCGCAACCCACCGTGGAAGCCAAGCATTCGACAAATCACTTCGCCATCTGTGATATCCCACTTGTGATCACATACTGTCCCCCACGATCCATCCTTGTATACCTCTACCCTGCCTTCGTAGTAATGTCTTCCACCTGCAAGGCGGACATCCGCCTGGCAGATAACGCCGGCGTCTTCACTGTGAGAACAGTCGCTTGTTGTGCTTTTTGAACAATCATTGAGAACAGCCTCTGAACCTGTACACGCCATGTCGAATGAGATTGGTACAGTTCCTTCAAGAAAACGTTGCAGTCGATTAATCCTTGTGAGCGTTACATAAATATGTCAGGGGCCAGTTGGACAAAAGCCTGGATAGTGCTATCAACCGGATGGTGTTTTTCAATCGTTTTAAAACTGGCCGTTATTCGGTATAACTAAGACTGAACCTCTCTTAAAAGTCTCTTTATTTAATGTTGGCTAAATATCTGTAGTTTTAGTGCTTTTTGAATGCCTTTCATCGATGCAAAAGTCCGTGATCAAAAATAGGATAAGATTTGGCTTGAAACTTTGCCTAAACTAGGCCTAATTTGACTTAACAACGTTTCCGAACTAAGAGCCTTTGTTGGGAGAGTTAGTAAGACAAGCTCTCTATCGTTTTACTGTCTAGAAATTAGCGAACATTTGTATTTACCTGGTGGAAAGTAACCACCCTGTTTGGATGCGATATACCCCGGAAATCCAAGTTGTTTACAAACGACGGTTGCCTCCAGGTCATCCCAGCTATCATCACAAATCGTATGCCATCTCCCGTTGTGGAAATGCTCCACGCGACCTGTGAAGGTAATAATACATCACATAGAATCGCTGAGTTGATTTTACAAATTGTTATACAGCGTTAATTCTAATCCAACACTAATCCTAACCTAATTATCTCAAGGATTAAAGTCGTGTATTTAGGATTTACTGAACCTGAAATTGTTACCATCATTTTTATCATAAGTAAGAGAGATATTACTGAACAGACTGTTAGTTCATAAAATCAATTGTTCGAATCCAAGTTGTTATGAAATTAAATTTGTATCATCTTTTAGTTAAACTTTGAACAAAATTTGACATTCCAGATCTCATGAAGAGCTCACAATTTTCCGCTTACCCTCGTAGTAACCCGCGCCGTCGACCAGCCTGATTTGCTCGCACGTGATGCTTATATCTTCACTGTGTGCGCAATTGCTTGTCGTCACGTGCGCGCAGTGTGACACAGTCTTTTCTCTTCCACTGCATACGACGTCATCCATCACGATTGGAACGCTGTCATCAGCGTTATTACCAAAACTACGGCCGTGTTGAAAGCCGAGCTGTCTGCAAGCAACCTGTTCAGATATTTTAAGTTAGAAATCACTTTATTCCCATGTGATTTGAAATGCCCGAAGAGAACTGTGTCTTCTTGCCAACAAATCCATTAAACGTTTTCAAATTTTGCGTCAGAGCAGTAAGAGCAGATAGTTCTTATAGATAAAGATTATCGCAAAGATTTGACTAGTTTCGTGAGGAATAACGCAAGATATAATACTCTAGTACTGGTCAGTGGAATTTACCAACGATAAATTTCTACAAATATCACTGAAAATCGCTACGGTGGGATCTTGTTCAGAAAAAGACTTTGTGCCTGCTACTATAGTTTTCCAAAACTTGTGAATATGACTATTTAAAGCAATGCTAAGAATTGTAAATGTACCTGGGTAGACATCGGAGTCCAATAATCATCACAAACTGTCCCCCATCGTCCACCAGTGTACGCCTCTAGCCTACCTTGATAAGAATCTAGAGAGAAATGAATCGATTGTTTTCGAAGACATCATCAAATTTGACTACAAAATAACTTCAAAGATGGCGGCCAAGTAACCGTCAGTTATCGTTCTACATATGATTCTCTAGGTACACGTGCATTCAAATTATTAGTGTATCACGTCATTTCCATGTGGGCCCCAAAAGGAGCTCCTATATCCTGTCACAAACAATTTTGAACGTATATTTATTTATGTGACCAAATCTTGCATCCAAAAACTAGACAATTGTAGAATTCACGATTGATATTGAAGAATGTTTACTCACTGCCTGCAACAAGTCGTAGATTCTGACACACGACACCAGCTGTCCTCATATTTGAAGCATACAGTGTTTCTCCGTTAACAGTACAGTCGGATAGTTTTGCTTCGCTTCCACTGCACCGAACGTCGGTGATAAACACCTGTACGTAATAGATATATAAAATATAACCAGGGGAGCTCTTACTGCCAACTCTAGAGAGTTAACAAGCGAGAGTTTACATGAGTGTTTTTTAAACTATCATGTCCAGATCAAACGAGGATGAGAGTTGATGAGAGTTAGCAAGCGAGAGTTTGCATGAGTGTTTTCTCAACTATCATGTCCTGATCAAACAAGAATGAGAGTTGATGAGAATTAGCAAGCGAGAGTTTGCATGAGTGTTTTCTCAACTACCATTTCCTGATCAAATGAGAATGAGTGTTGATGAGAGTTAACAAGCGAGAGTTTACATGAGTGTTTTCTCAACTATCATGTCCTGATCAAACGAGAATGAGAGTTGATGAGAGTTAGCAAGCGAGAGTTTGCATGAGTGTTTTCTCAACTATCATGTCCTGATCAAATGAGAATGAGTGTTGATGAGAGTTAACAAGCGAGAGTTTACATGAGTGTTTTCTCAACTATCATGTCCTGATCAAACGAGAATGAGTGTTGATGAGAGTTAGCAAGCGAGAGTTTATATGAGTGTTTTCTCAACTATCATGTCCTGATCAAACGAGAATGAGAGTTGATGAGAGTTAGCAAGCGAGAGTTTACATGAGTGTTTTCTAAACTACCATTTCCTGATCAAACAAGAATGAGAGTTGATGAGAGTTAAATTTTACATGAGGTTTCTATTGATCCGATGAGTTGTTTATTGTGTTTTCTAAACTATCATGTCCTGATCAAACGAGAATGAGTGTTGATGAGAGTTAGCAAGCGAGAGTTTACATGAGTGTTTTCTAAACTATCATGTCCTGATCAAACGAGAATGAGAGTTGATGAAAGTTAGCAAGCAAGAGTTTACATGAGTGTTTTCTCAACTATCATGTCCTGATCAAACGAGAATGAGTGTTGATGAGAGTTAGCAAGCGAGAGTTTACATCAGTGTTTTCTCAACTATCATGTCCTGGTCAAATGAGAATGAGTGTTGATGAGAGTTAACAAGCGAGAGTTTACATAAGTGTTTTCTCAACTATCATGTCCTGATCAAATGAGAATGAGTGTTGATGAGAGTTAACAAGCGAAAGTTTACATGAGTGCTCAGGTTAAACAGATTTTGAACATAGAATTTTGAACATTTTGAAGAAGAATTACCTGCACATAATCCGCAGGCAACTGTTTCATTATTTCTAAAGCCTCTGGGAAGCCGAGCTCCTTGCATGCAACATTGCCATCGTTCATATCCCATCCTGCGTCCCCTACTGCACCCCACTTTCCACCACTGTATATCTCTACCCGACCAGCGTTATCCCCTGGACCCCCCACCAGACGGATTGGGTGATCACCGCTGGTGTCAGAAGCGCCTAAAAAGAAGAAGAAACAGGCTCTTTTTTATATCCGGTGGTTTTCAAAATTAAACACTCTCCAAGAACACGTTTAGCAGAGATAAATCAGGAAACCAGGAAACAAACCAGGAAACATTGTTTGCTAACTATGTTTCAACAAAATGTGGACAATCGCGGAATCATACGGATCTTTGACCTACACCTGGTTGCTGATCTACGCCTGGTTGCTTCAAACGGAACTAAGTCTCTTCATCACTCACATGTTGGTGGCTCTCCACTCCAAGTTCCGTCTGACAAACAGTTGAGGTTCTCATTTCCAGCAAGCGTGTACTTAAACTTGCAGAAGAATGAGGCTGTATTTCCTTCAACACGTGGTCCACGTCTGATGCCATTGGCCGGGTGCTCCAAAACAGGACATACCACTATACAAATAGGATATTTTATTTGTGGAAAAAGATGCTACGAAATCATGCAGTCCTGGGCAGATGACCACTGGTAAATTTTGTCTAACTAAACACATAGAAAGAGCTTTTTGAGAGAGAAAAATATCAAGAGCAATTGTTTCACATAATTGCCAGGAAGGTCATGATATAACTTCCTTGTAGCTTTTCAATGCAGGAACTTACTGACAACTTTTACTTGGGTTTTGTTACTCTCAACAACGCCAAGCGTGTTCGATGCTCGGACATGGTAAAATCCCTCGTGTGATTTCTGTATGTTACGGAATACAAGAACAGCTTTGGTTTCTTCCTGGTAGGTATCATACTGCCCCTCACCAGGGGTGATTTCGACGCCATCTTTAAACCAAGCGTCGACGACTGTGAATCCTGAGAGTCGTGCAGATATGGAAGAGTAGAATATAGAGCCAAACTCGACAAATCGTGTAGAAATTGTTGCAGTTGGCAAAGCTGCAAGGGAACATTGATAAATCATTAATTATATTCCAATGGTGGTCACCGTAGGAGTCGGAAAAATGATCGACAAAGAGACAGAATTAAGCTTCTGGAGCATTTTCCACACAGCGAGTAGAAACTTTTAAAATTGTGGGTTTCTTTAAGTTTTTTAAATGATGATTAAAACTACCTCCGTTAAAGTAGTTCATTTTAAAGAAACATGTATTAAGGTGAACGGCTGGAACTGCTATTATCTCATCACTTCGGCTGTTTTTTGACACCCACTTGTTTAAAACCCACCTGAGTATAACTCAGCTACTAACCTGCAACCCCGACATAACCTTCATTAGAATTAACTCCTGCAATTCGATTTAATGCAGTACACGAATATAACCCACTGTCTGTTGCGATGAATGGTTTAATCTGCAAGCTTCCGTTTGGAAGGAGGCTGAAGCGATCGTTCAACGCCAAGTTCATGATATGGCCATCTTTGATCCATTTCCACCATTCCGTATGTTGCGAAAAACAATCCAGTGTCACGGTGTCGTTTGGGTGCACCTCTCCTCCTTTGGGATGGACTGTTATCGACGGCGAAACTGTAAACGTAAATATGATATATTTTTGGTGACATGGCTGGGTTTGACCATGCAACATTTATTGGACGACGGAGCTGGGATGTGCTTGAGGTGCTCCTGTCCCTGCTGTCGTTTACTGGCAGGCCTAGGGGCAAGGTAAGGGGGTACTTACTTCCACCTGTTTGGCGCAAACGTTGCCGTAGAAACCCAGGTCAACACCAAGGTGTTTACACTATCGCATGGTGTTGCCATGGTTACCTGTTGTTATGAGGCTGGCCAGATTCAAAGTACGGTCAGTGGTTTAAAATTGTATTTTTCGCTAAGTGCTGGTCTGGTTGGTTATAGAATAATATGGTTTGGTGTGGTTTGATCTTGAGGTCCAGTTGTTGTTACAAAGCATACGATCTGATATTCTGATACTCTTTATTTAATAGTTTCAACCAACCCACTTTAATATTGAGGGGGAATGCTTTTTATTTGTCTGTCCATAACAAATACGCGAGGAGATATGCTTACCGCGCAAAAGACAAGCAAACTTTCGCTTCTGGCCGTCCCACAAACAAACACACGTACCTCCTACTGAGCAGTTCTCGCCGAGAAAACCTGGTAGGCAAATACATTTTGTCTCGCCTGTGACACAATCTTGAATGCACGACCCATCGTTCTCACAAACCATTCCGACACACGATGTCTGTTGAAATTATCAAATAAAGGCTATGGTGTTTGACTGAACACATATTTCACTTTCATCGTAATATCAAACTTTCATATTTTACAGACTAACTTATATATTCCTAAACGTTGTTTGTTAAACCGCGCCAAATTGCCACCTGTGTATTTTACGGTCCTTACTTTTAAATTATTCAGGCTCTTATGATAATAGACCTGCAGACTCGCCACAATATGAGTAAATGTGAAGACTCAAGGTTCTGGGGCATGTTTTCGACTGAATTAAGAGAAACTTCTCTGTCTTTGTAGCTAGGATACTACTTTTCTTTATCCGTCAGTAACCATTCAGTAAGAAGCTTGTAGGACTAGGTGTGAAAGGGCTAGGAATGAAGCAGCAATTGGGGGCCCAGGACTAGGAATGAATAGAATATTCAGAACAATCGTCCTCAAAATTCGGAAAGGACAATGCTTTTAGACACAAGGCAAGCTTGACTGTTGATAGTCGATATTATATCCCCTGGTATGCATCCCCCATACCTTTGACGTTTCATAATGTGTGTATCCAGCGCGGGCACTCATAGACGTCATATTCTTCGTTTTATCCACCAATTCGCAACCGTGCAGTCCATCATCGCCTGCATCCCGTTCAAAGTTGTAGGATAAGCACTTACCGTTATCCAGACACTCGAACGCGCAATGAATGGGCGATATGACTTGGTGCGTAGCGATGATGCCTTTGTCTATCGCGTGATCTAAGAAGAGTCAAAATGAGGCAATGAAGTTTTTTAAAAGTCGTCTTTTATTTGTTTATGTATAATATAAAATCATACATTGATACATACCGACATCTTTTTCAGCAAAATTTCCAATATTCTGACAGCTGCTTCGCATCGGTCCTTTTTCGAGGGAATTTCTCGCTTGTAGCCAAACAAAAAGCAAAACAAACTTCATTGCGATTCGAATCACGACTGGCGACTTTGAGACATTGTGTCTGCAGTGTCTGCTGAACGATTTGCGTGCGCTAACTCAAGAGACACCTCGAAGAACCTGCTAGACAGCCTAGACTGATGATTATAATTAATGTTTAATGTATTGCCGGGTATACACAATTTAGAGTTTCTTTGGTAACTGTGAACACGTGGTAAATGTTTAAATGAAGCAGCCACTGACAGAATTGCATAGTTGTTTTGTTTAGCCGTTAGTTAACCGCGTGGACCAACGTCAGTGACGGAATGAAGTCAGACTGATAAATTACCACAACTCTAACTTGCAAACATATTGGTAGATTTTTATGCAAAAATATTCTTTAGATATGAATAACCAGTAGCGTTGTTATTAAGGCGTTTTGAATTGTAAACCAGGCCGTGTTATTTATTAGGGCTACTTTCTACTGTCGGGTTTTTTGCCGCGTACGTGCACGCAAAAGTTTAAAATCATTTTAATGATACTTAAGAAATCAACGATTGAATAGACGCATAGGGTTGGATTCTGTTGATGATTTGGTGTGTTTTTTCTGGCAGAAATAAATAATACAACAACTTAGAAGGTTTTCAGCTTTTACATGCGTGCAAAAACTAAAAAACGCGACAGTGGAAAGTAGCCCTAAATTGTCGCAAAGTGAAGAGGAAATATGAAAGAAATATGAAGTTCTGTTTGACCAAAGTGGCAGCACTGCCGGTCAATTTTAAAAAAATCCATCATGGCCACTTGTTGTGGTTACGGGATGTCCCAAACTTTAATCATGTTTGTTCTTTAAATACGTCCTTTTCTATGATGGAAGAAGATGAAATATTGATGTCGGAGAAGCAAGAAAAGATCATCGAAGAGCTTGTAAGTTTTATAAAGAGATCGGTGCAGCTTTGGGCATTTTCCGCAGAAAAGTTTGCTCGCTAGCAGCTAGCTAGTGTTGTACAACAAGTCTCAGTGATAAATATTTCATATTTTTGTATGTTTTTTGTGCTTCGATTTAAATGCGCATCGTTTTATGTCTATGCAAATGAAAAATCTTTATTACATCTGCAAATAGCTCGTTGTCTGTCGTGAAATGATGGCATTGATCATGTAATAAATACCATATCATAATTCATTCATTGATATTAAAAAAATTGTCGTGTTTATATATTTAGCGATCACCCGATCAAATCCTTTAGCTCCCATTATAATTCAGCAATTACGTCCCTTCGGGTTATGCAGAGACTTTGGTGACAGCAGAGCCTAAACTTGACTGCAGGGCTCCAAGTACTGACCCTTGACCCTTGGGCCACATAACTACCTATGCCACTGGCCTTGGAAAGACTAACCCTTCATATCCGTCTAGTGTATTAGCAATGGTGTTAACTATGACAAGCTGAAGGATGGCTGCGGCAAAAGGGTCAAGCGTCTGGAGATGTTTTTCTCAGGATTTCCTGAAATTGTCGGCATGTTGTATTTTCCCAACCTCGTTATTCTGCGCCTTGTTGGACAAGACACCCTCGAGAGACTCGAGGGATTGGACAATCTTGTTCATCTGGAAGAATTGTGGATATGTGAGGCTAGTGTCCAGGTAGGTACAGGGATATGTGTGTACAATCATGGGATAGAATCACATACAAAGACATGCTGTAGTAAAATATATTTCTCTGAATTATACAATGTGTAGGAGATTTGTGGTCTCGGCAATTGTGGGAAGATGAGAAAGCTGTACTTGTATGACAATTCCATCTCGAAAATAAACAATTTGTCAGTGTTGAAACAGCTTGAAGTTCTCTGGCTTAATGACAACAAGATTGAACTAATTGAGGTAATTAAGTTGATGAGTCAATTAGATAAATGTTACCAATATTATAATTGCGACTATGCAAATAAATATTGTAAATATTTTAGTTGGGCGTTCTCATATGAATACTCAATTTAAAAGGTTGTATTCATTCTTGTTTTAGGGTTTGGACAACTTGATTTATTTGAGAGAACTCAATCTATCCAACAACAAAATATCTCAAATTGGTGCGTAACCATTTTACTGAAACATTTTGGATACATTTTGGGTTAACCTTTTCTAAGTTTCACTTGGTTTTAATGCTTTGCATTTATTCTTAAAAAGGCAACTCACTGGAAAAGCTCTGCAATCTTGAAATCCTTCATATTTCTGGCAACAAAATCCGACTCTTAAAGGTATAATATTATTTTTTTTTATATATCTACCGTTTGACTGCTGAAATCATTCATAATTTTTCATAAACAGTATATTAATATTTCAAACTGAAATATGGTTTTACCTTTTAGGATATAAACAATCTGATTCAATTGCGAAGCTTGCATACACTGAGTTTAAAAGATCCGGTTTATGGCGCGAATCCTGTCGCGACCGTGTGCAATTATTCCACGTATATTTTTTATCATTTACCACAAATTATGCGTCTTGATGGCTATGACGTTGATAATGAATCAGTCAAAAGCCTCGCTGTGGTAGGTAAAGATATTGGACCTCTAGGAAGAGCAGTTTAGAACGACTGGCAGAGCAGTATAAAGTTATTATTTAGAAATTATAATCCCGAAGAAGGAAATTGTATTCCCGTTTACCTTAGACAACAGTTAAAAAGAAAAAGATGTACTACAATATGCGTGTGAAAACATTAGAAAGAAACATGAGCAACTTGTTAAAACAAGTTGAAGTAGAGAAAACTCGTTTGGAAGAGAGGCCAGCTTTAAGGATACGAAATTTATCAAACATCCTTCGAACTGTAAGTTTTTTGAGTTCCACTACATTCATTCATTTAAGAATTCTACTTTTATTGATATGAACATTTAAAATGCCCTAAAGGAATTTTAAAGCAATTTTTGAGCGTGTAACTTTGTGTATTGGTTAGCTTGAACGAGAGTTAGAAAGTACGTCAGCTTCTCAATCTATCGACGAAAATAAAACCACTGCTGCTTCCAAGCACCAGCATGAACTACAACAGGAAAGTTACCAGGAATTGGTGAAGGCTAAGACACTGAACTTCATAGATCGTATTCGTGAACTGGAGTCTGCTTGCGACGAGTGAGTAATATAAAATGGTTTACATTTTATCAATTCAAAGTTATTCTTTAAGAGCTGGTTTTTCGACATAGTCGAACTCAAAGAAATCGCAGCCTGAGTTAAAGTCTCGTTTATCGTTTTAGGATTAATAAGTGCTCTTTGGAAAGCCGTCAGCAAGTGGAGAAGATTTCTCAGTCAACAATTCAGAGATTGGTTCTTGAACTGGAAACTGGTGGAAATGTTCGCTTCGAAGATGGAACTGTAAACGACGTGTGGTAAATTCTTGATCCAGTTTTGTTTCAAGCAGTTCATGTAGCAAGCCTCTGCTGTTTCTCAACCGCTTTCGGCTGTAGACAAAATTTGAATGGAGCCACACAGATAGAAAATCTTTCCCTCAAAATCAAAACAAGCAAAACTGCAGAGTTTGCAAAATGTTGGGAAATATTTGGAAAATATTCTATGCTTTTTTTTAAAAAAATATTTTCATTCTCGTAAGGTATACATCGTGTCACGATTTGGTTTTATCCAGATTTTGTGCAAACGACTTCAAGGTAAGTGTGGCTGCGCTGAATTTTTCAAACAGTTCTTTGACGAAACAAAAACAAATATCTTAATTCTTCGCGAATAAATCCACTGTTTTTTTCCACAAGTTGATGTTTTCCAATCTTAAGACAAGAAAACTCGACAGTAGCTAGTTCTACACAAATACGAATCCATCTTTCAAAATATTCAACCTTTCAATTCTCGGAATTGCCATCTTTTTTCATGAAAAGGCATACGACATCACTGGCATTAAAATTCACCGAATCACTCGTGTACACAATCGAGTACTTCGTGTTGCATTCGATGAAAAGGTCTCCGCGTTTCTTGCGAAGAATGGCGACCCTGATGCCGCTGAACAGTAAGTTTTCGGGAAATGAATATCATTCTGCATTGATCTCAATAGTTACTGGAATGATAGCTGCTCAGTTAGCGAATCAACGTGCGGACACAAATTTTACGCGGGAAAAATCTTTGCTTCATTTTTTCAATATAAACAGCTACCAATTTGACAGGCATATGTTTTGGCTTCAAAATTGGCGATATTTCGTCTTATGCAGCATCCAGTTCTTGTATGTAAGTCAGTGATGGGGAAATGCAATGTATATTCTTTAGAAAAGACATGTACGCAAGTTCCATAGAATATCTCTTCACTTCCTGGACGGCAGCACTAAACTCCAAAGACGGCTTACTTCGGCTTTTGGATGGAGGATGTCAGGAGATAGCAGGGGACGAGGTAGGATATATAACTCTTGAATTGTCAGCTGATCCCAATCCAGCACTGGAGCATCCTCCCAATTTGTATGTTCTAGGTAAATGGGATTCGTCTGTCGAACAACGTTTTCAATAGTGACCGCAAGAGACTGGAATTTTTACAAGAGCAAGCTGCGGAAGAAAACACGAATGATCTTTGTCCTTACAGACACGGTATGATACTTTGTGTTGACCTTTAAAGTCTGTTCCCACGACCAAATTTTGGCGGATTCAATTCACTTCTGATGGATGTTTTATAGTCTGTTGACTTGGATTGTATATGAGTAGCAAATCAACTAAAACCAATGCAGTACTGCTTTACCAATAACAGACTACATTCCATACGCCAGAGGTGAATTGGATCTGGTAAAATCGAAGCAGCAATAAAGAATTGATTTTCTTGACTTGTTTGTTTCTGCCCCTCATATTTAGGTCAAATTGTGATTGCCAAAGTATTTATTGCCAACACGGAGATGGCAAAAAAAGATGAAAGGTTTGAAATAAAAAAAATGTGTTCGTTATAGAGAGAGTAGTAATACGGAAGTTAATGGAGAAATTGATGATTTTCTCTCCTGGAACACCGATTTTGAAATCCTAAATTTAGTCGTTCTTGTAATTTTTCTTTTTCATCTTACTCTTAGCTGTTTGTCGGGCGTCAATTTTCCCAAAGAAAATTCCACTCCAGGCCCCTGCACTGCGAACGACGAGGCTAACGAGTATATTCGAACGTTTACGAAGGTTTCCGATCCTTCTTGCGATTGTCATACGAAGCAAAGTGATTGGGTAATACACGACGGTGATTTTGTCTTACCCGAGTATGTTGTTGATTTCGAATATCTCACCAAGGTACGATATATGCTTTTAGACCGCGCTGGACTGTCATTTCCGAATTTGATTTAAAAGCAGACGTTTTACAACACTACAATTACTTCTGTTTTTTTCAAGATGAAGCCACTATCCTCCCTAATTTGTTACTATGGTACGGCGTCACGTGACTGTAACGATCCTCCTTGCGATGACATCATCGATCCAGATTCGGACATTTTAGACATGGAACCCCTTGTACAGCCAAAACCCCGGTAAGTAAACCCCGGTAGGTCCTTTTAAGAATGCTCTACTCCACAGCCTTTTTGTTTTTGTAAATATGTAGACCTGTTCCACAATTCAAGATTTGTATCATTGTGTTTTAAAGATTGCTAGAGCTTTCGGAAGATATTTTATTGAAATACTGCTCCGTTGATTGCACGAAGAATATAACAACGCTGAACCTTCACGACTCTGGTTTGACTCGACTGAAAAATATCAACCATCTTGCGAATTTGAAAAAGCTGGTCGTCTCGTTCAACAGTTTAACCAAACTGGACGATATTACAAGCATGGTATGTTTCATGAACATTGGAGAAGTTTTAGATTATATTCTCATACATCTTACTCAAGAGTTAACCCTTTCTCAAATCTCCCTGGCCTAATATATAATAAAAAGTCCTTTTTATACAACTAATAAAGTCATTTAATGCACTCTAGCCTAATTTGAGCTCATTGGATGCAAGTTTCAACTGCCTGACAACCTTGGATGGACTAAAGGTTTATATCTCCTCGTTTTTCATTGGAAATTTTCTCTGATTGATTACATGAAGTATATTTCAATATATTGAGCCCTCAACCAACTGGGTCTTTGGCATTATGCTATTTAAAATATTTTGATAAATTACTTGCTCTACAGGCATGCCCGGTATTGACTGGTCTCGATGTAAGTTGGAATAGCTTGCATCACGTTCGGGACGAAATCGGAACACTTCGTAAAAACACGACAAGCTTGATATCGTTCAATTCACGCCATAATCCTTGGCTAAGGGTAAGTCTTTTTCAAGGCAACACTAACTTGGACGTCTAACTTTCACCACAATCGTTAAAGAGCATAAAAATAATGATATAAATTCCGAATTATTCTTTCAAAGCCCGACAACTTCCGGTCGTATACCATCGGTCGGCTTCGGACACTTCAAGTTTTGGATGGTCAATTCATCACCGAACAAGAGCATGCCTTTGCATTGCGGCTTGCTGCTTCCTCACGAATCACATCGTTCACAATTCTCGCTCATTCGCGAACGAATGTCGATCGTTTACGATCATTGACCCTCGCTTCGACGGCCGCAATCCTCTTAAAATACAGCAAGAGTAAGCCGATTGTGTTGGATGAAGATGATACGAACTGGATGAAGAATGTAAGTGAAGGGATGAGATTATGTAGGGCTTGGCAAACTAGGGAATATTCTGAAGGCTTTTATATCGCTTTCATTTTTAAGGTTACCACCTTACAATTGGATGGTCAGGGAATTTCGAAACTTTCAAATTTGGAGAAACTGTCACATTTGCGATGGGCGTCCTTTAAAGATAACAATATAAGCAGAATTGAGGTATTTGTGGTTTGATTCTACGAAATATATGCATTAAGTTTGTTTAGTTTATAGTTGACCTGTTTTTTGTTTTTGCAGGGCTTGGAATCGTGTGTGATGTTGGAAGAGCTTACATTGTCAAGAAATTGTATATCAAAAATTGACGGTAAGCGAAGAATCGCCCTCTGTATTGAAAAGCATTTAGCCACAATATTTCAATATTCTGTTACTGTCGTCATGTTACGCGAACGAAATATTTTCTCTTTTAACCCAGTTCCTAACCGCCACACTTTCCTAACCGCAAATCATAAAATCCTTACCTATACTCTTCCTTAACTAGGTTTATCAAAGCTTACGAATCTTTTGCGTCTTGATCTTGGCTATAATGATATTACGTTGTTAGAAGTTAACACGATGGAAAGTTTGACAAACTTAGAATATCTGTCAGTGGAGGGAAACTCAATTCTTTCTGTACAAGGTCTTAAGGCAAGCACAGCTATCTTGAGTTTATATATACACTAACAGTTGAGGGAGAATATTTTTTCTATCTCACACGCCCAGCCGTATACAGTATGGCGGCGCTAGGCAAGACAGAAAGGCACCAGACGCGACAGGTTGGCGCCAGGCGAGACAGAAAGACGCCAGACGCGACAAAATGGCGCTAGGCGAGACAGAAAGACGCCAGGCGTGGCAAAATGGCGCTAGGTAGACAGAAAGGCGCCAGAAGCGACAGGATGGCGACAGAAAGACGCCAGGCGCGACAAAATGGCGCTAGGCAGACAGAAAGGCACCAGAAGCGACAGGATGGCGCCAGGCGAGACAGCTAGATGCGACACGATGCTGCCAGGAGAGACAGAAAGACGCAAGCTTCTAAAATTATGTTTTGTGCAACTACGCTGTTTCTGCCGCGTACTTTTGTCAGTAAAAGACTGCAAAGGAAGGAAAAGACTGTAATATTTTTTTAAAATAAAATAAATGTGCTTTTTTTCAGAAATGCCTCTCTCTTCAAGAGCTTTTCGCTGGAAATAACAAAGTCTCAAACACGCGAGAAATTTTTTATTTGAAGGTAAAAGTAATAGTGTCGCAGAATTAAAAAATAACATTTCTGAACCGGTTAAAGCATTTTATTAAGCGGTTAAAGCATTTATGTGGTAACATTAATTTTACTAGGGGTTGCAGAATTTAGATATCCTAGACTTGAGTGGAAATCCGACAGCCTCGAATAATGAAAGTCATCGGCTATTTGTGATTTATCATCTGTCATTTCTGAAGGCTTTAAATGGCGTGGCTGTGGTAAATATCATTGTGCTGCTTTTATTATTGCTGAGACATTTGGAAACAACTGTTTAGAGCTGATAGAGCTATCCATTGCCAATAAACCTAGTCTAGTTTTCCTATTTCCATTTTGTCTATTGCAAATATTGTAAATAATTTAAAAAAGATATTCATCTCTTAGACTGCAGCTGAACGCTCTTCAGCAAAAGAAACGCTGGGTGGAAGGTAACTCATAACCATGCAGTCAATTTCTAGTGTTATTGCTGATGATGTATGTTTCAGTTATACGAAGTTTCATTCAGCCCCACTAGTAGGAATGCTTGTTAGAGATGTTTATTTTAGTTTCTTTTCATTTCATCTCGTTCAATTTGTTTTCATTTCATTTCATTTCATTTCACTCAATTACATTTAATCTCATCCAGTTTCATTTCATTTCATCTCATTCAATTTCATTACATCTCATTCAATTCATTTCATTTCATCTCATTCAATTTCATTTCATCTCATTCAATTTCATTTCAGAATGACGATGGACTTCGTTGCGGAACGTTTAGGCCACGCAAACTTCGCGGATTTACAAGAAATCGATCTTCCCCATTGCGAACTCCGAACAATCGATGTAGGAAATGGTGATGTGTTCAGAAACTTAAGGAGGTTCGCCACAACTAAATATAATCTGATTAAACAAATCTCCTGGTTGGTTATCTTTATTGAACATGTCTAATGTTTTTCTGTAGTATCAATTTGGAGCACAATAACCTAACGTCTTTTGGTGGTCTAATTCATCTGGTTAACCTCAAGGTTTATTAATTAACTTTTCTCTCCAAAGACGTTTCTAGCTAAATTTTCTTGCAAAAAGCAGCAAGGTTCTATTGCAAAGGTCTGATTCGTTGAATGAATTCCCCGTAGGTACTGTGTTTAAACCACAACAAGATTGAATCTGTTTTTCCCAAACGCAAGACAACATCTCCAAGCAACAAGAAAGGGCCACCTGTGGCTCATTCGTCTGATGACGTCACGTCTCCACAGTGTTTTACTCCAGTGTTGGAGAAACTTGAAGTACTTCATTTAGGGTAAGATATTTGTAACTGGATTCTTCCTTATTACAATAGTTTTTTAAGGAGCATAATAAGAGACTGATAAAATTGTCTTCTGTTTTATACAGATACAACGGTATTTCTAATCTCAAAGCATTACATCTGTCAAGGATACCAAATATAAAAGCTCTCTTCCTGCAAGGTAGATATCTTGGGCACGTCGAGTTTCACTTGAGCAGCACGAAAAAGATAAGAATACTGATTTCACATCATTATATTTCATGTAACAGATAGATAGTGTTACAAAGTGGAAATATTTTTTTGCTCTTTTTAAGGAAACGAAATTTCAAAAGTCGAAGGCATTCAAGGTTTACAAGAACTCAGAGAGTTGGTTTTAGATCAGAATAAAATTAAGGCAAGTGTTCACTCATACACACAGGGGACATTCCACGACGATGCATCACCAGCATCTTCAGGAAAAACCTCACTTTGAAATTATTTCCATTTCTTCCACCTTGTTGTGAATGATTTTGAGATTTTTTTCTGTCAAATTCAGACACTCTCCGAGACCTCGTTTATTGGTCAACGCAGACTTCAAGAACTTCACATTGAAGATAACAGATTGAGAGATTTATCTAATTTCGAACCATTGGTCAACCTTCAGAGATTATATTTAGGAATGAATAAAATTCAGGTACACGATAACAAGACGAAAAGTTCCTACATGAAAAAAATTAGATAATCCTGATTCATTTTGAGACCAGTGGGTTAAAACTAACATACCTTGGTACATTTTTGAAATAGGAACTTCCAGAATTACATAAATTGGAAAGAATGACAAACCTTTTTGAGATCTCCCTCATTAGCAACCCGGTAAGCTATTCATTTTACGAATTTAAACGTTTTTTCGACAAACACACTCGTCAACGGCTCCTCGTTAAAAAATACGAAAAAACTCTCGCAAAATCCTTGTCAAAGCCTTCGCCTCATTCAGATTTTTTCTGCGTTGCATTCAGATAACACGACGGCTCATGCACCGCCCAATCTTAGTATATCGTCAACCAAATATACTGTGTATTGATGGTATTCCAGTCACTAACGACGAACGATCCAAGGCAGAGGTGTATTTAATGGATCACCAGGTACAGACATGGTCTGAGGGGAATGAAGCGAGGGAAATCATCATGTCTGGCCTTCGCTTGACATTACGCGAATCAATGGTGGTGTTTGTCACTGGTGACTAAGGGTGGTCATTTTTGGATAATAGAAAGTTCTTTTTTTATGTTTATTTTAGTTGGGTTCTGTTGTCAATCCAGAAATCGCAGAATCGCATCACAACTTGCCAAATTTACAGACAAAACCACAAGCCCCTCTCAAGGTAATAACTTCTGTCGTCTTGATTTGATCTTGAGACCTCCTGAACAGAAACTGAAAAACAGGATATTTTAGGTAACGACGGTACAATTGAGTACATCGACGGAAAACGGTTGGAGTATTGGGCAGAGATTTGGCCAAGTGGAATATGTGGAGAGCCTTACTCCTCACTCGAGATATAACGAAAAAAACGATCCCAGAGGTTGGTACATGCGCAATCACAGTAGGGGAGTGATCAGAGTTGACAGTGCTTCGTGGTACTGGATAGAAACTCGTGCCAAAACAGTCCCATGGTGCACTGCCAATCTCCGAATGCAAATTCAAAATTTTCACTTCCAAATGAGCTATAATGGCTTTGGCTTCTAGCCCTTGGCTCAAACCAAGCATTTTTCCTATTTTTTAGCCAAGCTTCGTGCTTCAAATTCTTACCCACCACAACATATTCCGTCTTCGTATGACGTCACACGTCACGGTCGTCACCACCCCCCTTCGTCGTCTACCATTCACCTCGCCAAACCTCAAGGACACCTGCCTCATGCGGGTTCGTACGTCTTGCGAGGCAATTCAAATTCCAATTTCCCTCAGCCGCCGAAGCCCAAGTGATGAAAAGATTTGGCAAGGTAATAGAGTGACGCGTGCCCAGGCGCTTTCCGGAGACAGTAAGGGCCTGGGTAGCAGTTTGGTACTACGGTAATGCGTGGGTATACGCGTGAAGCACGCGCAGTAACCGCCAATCAATACTGGAGCTTGAGAACAAGGCTGATGTGTCGCGATCATTTTTCGCATACACGACCGAAACCTCTTGCAATCCCAGAATGAAACCACACAACAACATCTATCCTAAAGTGTACCTGTTGATCTATAGCGTTCAACAACGCCGTTCAGTAGTGTGTACCGAAATGACAACAATTGTCCTAAAATTTCCTCCCGAAGGTTAACATAATGTTAAATCAGTAGCCCAGAATGTTTTCTATAAAATGCTTCATTTTGCTCAATTTACCGCCATAACTTAGAAGAAGCTATGTTATATAAAAATTTAAGCGCAAAATAACTTACAAATTATGCTTTTAAATCACAGATAAAACCAAATTATCCATAAAATTCTCACTCAATTGAAGAAACAGTTAATTAGTAATCTAATTGCCCTCATATTATTCTGTTTTTAAAGCTATAAAGCAATTAAAGCTATAACAATCTTTTTCTTGTGTTTTCAAACGTCATTTCACATACTCAAGTGTATAAACTTCTCATTCAGCAACGGCTTGTCGAAATATTTCACGGTCTTGTTCTTGTTCACTTGGATTGCGATTCGTGCGATGAATAGAATTGCTACAATGATTACCAGGGCCAAGGTGAATCGGGCGCTGATGCTGTTTGGATCCCAATTTTTGGCGAGGCTTGCAGAGAGAGCCCACAGAATAACTGGCCAGTCGGAGTAGGTGTAGTTGATGTAAGGTTGGAACGTGAAATTCTGCAGAATGAACCATAACAGCGAGATAATCAGGAGGGCGGCCAGCACCAGAGCGCAGGCTGTTGGCATCGGTACGTTGGATTTGTAGGTCAATACCATACCAATGTTTAGCAACGAGGCAATGGTCACCCAGGCTGTGTTCAGCATAATACCTGCAAGGAGAAATAAAAATCAATCAAAATAAATGGACAGAATTAGTTTGGATCAATGGTCTAAGTATGGACTATGGACTCCAATGAGTGACCTCCAGAGCTCCACGAAACGCGTGCTTCCATCTCGAGGCTCGTGTGTTTGCAATACGCGTTCTATCTTTGTGAGAGCACTTCCACGCGTGTCTCGAGGTTAACACACGCAAAACCTGCCTTCAGTTTCCGGAAAGAAGTACAGCAGGCCATGCTATAGCTCTGGGACCGGTTGTATACTGCATTTTGCGTAGTTAAATCGTAGTTAACTCAGAAAAAAATGACTCTGATTGGTCAATTCTTTCACTAACTATAGTTTAAAGTTAACTACGTTTTTATACAACCGCGACCCCTGTAGTTTGACCAACTTCCCCACTTACCGTTTTGAACCAAGACAGCCATGCATATAGCATCTGGTTTATGCTGTTGCTCCAATTCTTTCTGATACGTGCTGTAGTTGAGATAAACTACATACAGCAGCGCATAAAGGGAGATTTGATTTCCGAGCAGTAAGACACAACTCGAGACGATGGATTCGGAAGTGAACGCGTACAACCAAGCGATATTTGCGATGTCACACAGGATATAGAGCAGATAAAACAGACCATTTAAAACAGGCGGAACGTCTCGACATTCCGTGGTTATCGCGTACACAACATATGCGAAATTCCACGTATAGATTAGCGCCCATATCGAGAAAGCCCAGCCAGCCGGAGTTATATCCAAGACGAAGATATCTGATACGTTTCCCACCGAATGAGAGAATGGTTTTCCTCCAAGGCCAGCCAAAGCGTTTAAAACGAGCTTGAAAATGAAGCTGCCAAGGGCAAGAAGCGATAAGATGATCGTGTCTGCTTTGAGCTGTCGCATTTTGACGAATTCTTTGGTGTACTTTTCGCAAAATCGATTGTAACAGAATGTTGTTTTGTAATCTCGTCTGCGAGGTCTTGCAGTGGCTCGTGATGTAATGAATAATGCAAATAGCACTGCGCATAATCATCTTGATTACGTAATCAACAATAGAATTGGAAAATCATGTTTCTGCAGTAAATTGCATGCCGCATCATGTTGCAGCATTTGTGTTCGCACACCTATCTTACCACTAAAGGCATAATATCCATTGTTTTTATATATAACGAATTATAATTATACTAAACAATACAGTATAAATAAATGTTGTCATTCATAATGTATGTCTCTCTCCAAGGCTATGTTAGTTGCAAAGTGGACAATATGTCTATCATAATTACCTGACCACTACCTAATTTTAGTGTGCAGTGATAACCAATTTGTGCAGTGATAAAAGTAGAATGTGCAGTGATAAAATGAGAAATGTGCAGTGATAAAATGAGAAATGTGCAGTGATAAAATGAGAAATAGGGATAAATTGTATTTTCTCAACAGACCTCACTCTGCTGAGGTAGATTCATAAGTAGTTGTCCCCCAGAATGCTGGAAATCAAGTCATAAGAACTCAAAAATACAGAAAATTTTCTGCAAGAGATCCTGCAGTCCCCTACACCCCCCCCCCTATCTTTACATTACCAATTTCCAGTTAGGACCATTTTTATCATGCCCCTCTCCACTGTACTATTGTGATGATATGTGCAGTGATAAAAAATTCTTAAAATTAGCTATGTTAAGACTGTCTTGTCTGTCCTCACCACTACCTGACTGTAGCGTTAATACTGAAAATATTTATTGATTATTTATATTATGTGTTCTATGGCTTAGTTATACATATCGGTGTGCTCGCCCTGTGAAATAAGAATAACAACTTTCTTCTTCTCTGCCTCAGCGCTGTCAAACATCTTCTGAACATCGTCGTTATCGCTTATGTGAAGGTTTTCCATCCCAGGTATCGTGGTGATTTGTACGAGTTTTTGAGCTTCGAGTTTTACACCTGTGCATCTCTCTACTTCAGCCTTTAAACTAGATAAGGTTAAGGCACCCGTCATCTCGCATCGACGCCCAGCGCTGTCATTCTCTGCTCTCACATAGAAGTTTCTTTTTTGACAAATTGTGGCCTCTGTAGGGTGTTCGCTTGCTGGATTTCCTGCTCCTAAACTGGGGTTGATGCCGTAATTATTTTCATTGTTATTGCCGCCGTCTGTAACTTCAGCAGGTGTGTTCACCTCCTTGGACTTAACTAGCGGCACAGAAGCTACAGGTTTATTCACTTCCTTGTGTTTGGCAAGATTTGTAGCAATTTCTAGAGCTTGTTTGGCATCAGGGCGTTCCACTCTTTCTTTCATCAGCAGTTGGATCAGGTCGACCAAAGTCTTGTCATCTTGATGAAACAAATCATCAGAGCAACGCTTTCCAGCTTTAAATGCCCAAATTTCATCTGCCCATTGCTTCTTATCATCAAGGTATCTGCTGAGAAAGTATAGAACAATTCCCGCGCTGTATAAATCAACCTTGTAATCATATTCTCCAGTATCTAGTTCAGGAGCTCTATATAGCTTATTGCCAACGTTGGAAGATAGCTTTTCCAATTCCTCGCTGTTGGTAAGTGATGGTAAATCATCGATTATTGGGCCAATTTCTCTGGCGAGACCAAAATCAGCGATCTTGACAACAATACCACACATTTGTTTTGGGTTTGGATTTGCTATGAGTATATTTCCGGGGTGAATATCTCGATGTACCCAACCAATATGGTGAATAAACGCTAAGCCGCTCAGGATTTGTGGGAACACCTGTTCGTAAAATCGAATTGGACCATGAACTTTAATGATAGCGCCATCTTGAGCGCCGGCATCAACGATATTGTTATTGTACACAAACGCCCACAGGTTAAGTCGGCATAGTTCCATTCGAATGCATAAAAAGGATCTCTTCCCGATGTTTATTGGCCACGAATTATAATACTTGACAACATTTAGATGTTGAAATTCCTTGGTTTTGAGGACCTTTAGTTCTCGTTCCCTGTACCTAATTGCTTTTGCATCATCAGATGTAGAATCCTTTCTATCTACCAAAGGATTTATAGGCAGAATCTTGATGGCGTATCGGTTGTTTCCGCTTTCAAGGTCTTTGACTTGAACTACTTCTAGGCGAGCGCTTAATTTACCAAGTGGCAATTCATATTGATAACCCCGTTGCTCTAAGGCCTGTATGAGCTTTCCCTCTACATTCTCTTCTTCCTGCTCACCCATAATAACGAATCTTCACTATATATATGAGGTTAAGTACGTCTAAGACTGTTCACACTTAATTCTTATATTTAGCGTGTGTTATATGTGTTCGATTCTGAGAAGGTTGACAGGAAGTTGTAAGAAGATACAATTAATGTGTTTCCGTAACTATGGCACAACAGCTGAATGTCTAAATTTAGTTTAGGGAATTATAACCAACGCCATATATGGATTAACAATTATTTTATATTCCAAACAAAATGAGGGGCGTTTCAACGTATAGAACATTTCAATGCTCAATGTTCAATTGTAATAAATTCTCAGCTAAAATCCTCAGCACTGAACTTTGCTATATATCCAGAATGCCCTGGAAACGTGATTGCACATACTATTTTGAGAAGTATAGCTGATACACATTTTGTCAAAAATCAAAATACACCGTTACGGTAAAAGATACAAGAGGAGGTGCAGGGTATACCTATACAATTAAAAAACCAATTCTCCTGTCTAAATTTAATTTACAGAATTCAAAAAAGGTCATGCATATATAGATTATTATTGGCATGCAATTATAAGATATTTTACTGGTGGTACCAATAATACTGGTGAAGTTTTAAATAATATAACGTTAAGTTGGATTATTATGACGAATGTTATATGCTTCAGTAAAAAGGTGAAGTATTAAATGATATATAACGTTAAGTTAGATTATTATGACGAATGTTATATGCTTCAGTTGAGACAAAATTCAAGTTTGAATTTTTAGTCTATGCTATTGTTGATGCTCATCGCGGACGTGGAAGCGGGCGAGATCTCAGTCATTTCGACGTCTTCTATCTCCGTCACAACTACCACAACTTCTTGCTTTTGTTTTTTTGCGACATTGATTATATTTTCCACATCATTATCATTTTCTATTTTGATAAGCTTCGTCTCACCATTTATCATACGCTTTTGTCGTAGAACTTGCCGGCGTTCCGGAACATGGGTACGATCTGCAATTGCTTCTTGCATTCCGGAGAACGTGAGCTCCTTTAAAATACACTGGCTTAAATCGTTTTCATCCTGTTTTCTTGCAAGGAATCCGATCTCCAGAGGCCAACTTGTAGTAGTTGCTCTTTTGGTTTCAGGAAACATATACTCCTTAGCAGTGGAAGCAGCAAGGCGTGCATTTGGATCTTTCTGAATTAGGTTCTTTATCAGGCCGCTTAGTATTTCGTCATCTTTGTGAAACAAACCTTCATCGACTTGCAGTTTACCTTCTTTTAACTTTTCCAGCTCCGTAAACCAAGAATCTTCATTCTCAAGATAACAGCTAATGAAATATAGCACTAATCCAGCACTATAAACATCTACTTTGAAGTCGTATGAATCGGTATTGAGCTCTGGTGCGCGAAAACATCCACTCTTTGAGAAAAACGACACTTTCGGAAGTTTAGCGATGATTGTAAGCCCCGCTGTTTTGTCCAATTCTATTCCAACATGCCTTGCAAGTCCAAAATCAGCGATTTTGATTTGTAGATCATTTATTTGCTCTGGATTTGGATTGACAGTGAGGATGTTTCCCGGATGAATATCGCGATGAATCCAGCGCATGGTATGGATAAAAGAAAGGCCGCTTAAAACTTGTCGAAATACCTGTTGATAAAACCGTGGTGGGCCATTTTGTTGGATGATTTTGGGGCCACCAATTTTGTTTCGGTAGATGAAGTCCCACAAGTTAACCGAACACAATTCCATTTGAATACACAGTTGATCTACGCTATCCACTTTCATTATCCAGGATTTGTAATATTGAATTATATTTCGTTTTGCTTCTTCCGACATCTCGAGAGATGTTGTTATGAGAGCCTCAAGTTCTCGCTCTTGATATTTCACTTGTTTGCCGTCCTCGTCGTCCGCTGTCATCGGGAGTATTTTAATAGCGTACGACTCGTCTGAATTTATGCACTTTACTCTGACGACATGACCAAAAGCGCCTGCTCCAAACCAATTACTCCCAGTACAATTAAATCCATGTTCCGTCTCTAAAGCTGTCTTGATTTCTGTAAATTTTTTGTTTTGCATCTTCTCGTCCATGTATCTGCAAAAAGGATGTTCTTCAAAAGTAGTTACAAACTGCTGAGTTTACCTCTGTGAGTCTGTGTATATGAATCATCGATGCGCAATAAATATGCAAAGAGCCTCTAAGTTCTTGAGCAATGTCATGTTTTTAATTTTGAGCATTTCCGTTGTTTTGTGTTTAATCAGAATATGCTCAGTGGTTGGGCTCAATTAGCCCATATTTTTTGAATTCTTGTCACAGCCTATTCACGCAAGTAAACAAAGCGATTCTTAATATATAGTTGTACTGCAAATGGTAAAGTTATTTACTAAAAGTTATTTACTATATCTTATTACTTTTGAAGAAAATTCTTTTCTCTGGCAAAAGCAATGGAAGAAGACATGGAAGAGAACATACAGAAAGGAATTTTTTTAGAAATTGAGGCCCATTTAGCACATTCTCGTGAGTTTGATTCTGTTGAATGGCTTGATAAAGGTGCTTTTGGTTTCGTTGTCAAAGCCAAGCGCAGGAAAGATGGAATATCACACGCCATTAAAATAATCCAGATGAGCGAAGAAGGGAAAAGAGTAAAATATCAAAGGCGAGAACTTGAGGCTCTAACGAATGTCAAGCGGTTGGGAATAGAAAGACGGAATATAATTCAATATCACAATTTCTGGAAAGTAAAAGTAAGTGGCGCTGATTACCTTTGCATCCAAATGGAATTGTGTTTGACTAGTTTGTGGGATTTTGTCTTCGAAAACGAGATGGGCGGCCCAAAAATCATCCAACAAGATGGCCCACCACGGTTTTATCAACAGGTATTTCAACAAGTTTTAAGTGGTCTTTCTTTTATCCATGCCATGGGCTGGGTTCATCGCGATATTCATCCGAAAAACATTCTCATCGTTAACCCAAGTCCGAAAGAAGTAGGTGATATACGCATTAAGATCGCCGATTTTGGACTTGCAAGGGAGATTAAAACTGATGACGAACAAATACAGGAGCTTACAGTTATTAATAAACTTGAAAAAGTGTCTCCTTTAACAGTGAGTGGATATTTTCATGCACCAGAGCTTAAGACTGATTCATACGACTTTAAAATAGATGTTTACAGCGCTGGATTAGTGCTATATTTTATTAGCCGTTACCATAAGGATAGACAAAGCGTTCTTATGGAAATACAAGACTTGAGGAAAGGTAACTTGCAAGTCGATGAAAATTTGTATCACAAGGATGACAAAATCTTAAGCGCTCTGATAAAGAATTTAACTCAGAAGGATCCAGTTGCGCGTCACAGCGCTTGCAAGGCCGAAGATTTTATGTTTCCTAAAGCGAGAATTTCAACCAATTCTTGCGAGTTTGAATTCTTAGCGAGGAAACAGGAAGAAGAAGACCTAAGTCTGTGCACCATGAATGAATTGACGTTGTCAGAAATGGCAGAAGCCATTGAACATCATACCCGTGTCCCGAAACGCCGGCAAACTCTACGACAAGAGCGTATGGTGAATGGCGTGGCGAAGCGTATCAAAATAGAATATGATAAAGATGTGAAAAACATTTTCCACGTCGCGGCTAAACACGGACAAGAAGTTGTGGTAGTTGTAAGCGAGAACGAAGAGGTCGAAATGACTGACATCTCGACCGAACCAATGTCGGTGTGAGTGCTGGAGATACGAATACTTCTGCCTCGGCGACGAACATTGACAACACTGTTGACTGAACATTTCAAATTCGTGACACTTCTCTGCACTGAAGCATAAAATTCGTTCTAATAACCTTAATCTAACTTGATATTATAACATATAGAACGTTATAACATATAGAACGTTATAACATATAGAACTTTTTGATGAATATTTGACCGTGTTAAACTGAAACATTTTATTCTAAGAATCGGTCATTTTCTTACAGCTAGGAAGGGCATCGCAAAATAAATATAATTTGTAAGTTTCGTTTTATAATGTTGTAAATAGATGTAAAACATATAGCCTTGCGAGTTGTTGAAAAAATATATTCTTGATAAAAATTACACTCTTCACATTATGATTTAAGATTGACTAACGCTAACAGTTCTATTGATATATATATTTCATCCTGAGTTAACGTCTCTGATCATACAATTTATTAATATTCCAGCATCCATATATATCATTTGTTTCTTACAATATCTTTAATTAAACATTATTCAGTAAATTATTCACAAAAAAATTTCGTATCGGATGCGCAATACATTAGTCATCACTAAAAAGTAATGGGGCTAATGCTGAGGTTTTGATAGTCTTTATGAGGTTTATCTGTAATTTTAAACGGTTGTATAAGATGAGATATGGTTTCTGACAATCTGCAAGGCAACTCGAACAATGAATGCAATGACAGAAATTATTAGCAGCGCCAATGTGAATTTCGAGCTCGTTAGACTAGGGTCGTAATTCTTGGCCAGGCTTGCTGAGAGTGCCCACAGTACTACAGGCCAGTCGGTATAACTGTAGTTAAGGGGGCTTTGGAGCTTGCTGAAGTTTTCCAAACTGAACCAAATCACAAGCTCGACCAATAGAATCGCAAGAACGATGTTGCAAGACAGCGAGAGGTCAACGTCCCATTTGTAGTGCATCACCATGGCAACGTTGAGTAATGTCGCAATTGATACCCAAGTCGCATTCATCATTGCACCTAGATGAACGAGTATACTACAATTAAATTTATACCCAAGAAATGCTAGTAGCAATGTCATTCCGCCTAAATGGACCACTCAACATATGAACTTTGGATCAAGAAAATTTTCTAGGTAGAAAACGAATCCTATTTTATATCTTGCACGGTCTTAAGTTTTTCTGGTCATGCGTGGACGAAACCGAATGCAACGTTTATTGTTTATGCAGTATCGTAATGCAGTATCGCTTACCGTTTTGTGCTAAAATTCTAATAGCCCAGGCATCTTTGCTAAACCGTGTCTCAAGCTCTTTCTTGTGCGATTGGTAATTCTTGTATATAATGGCAAGGACCGTATACAATCCTAGGGTATAGCTGATTATCGCAGCACAACTCCAACCGATTTCCAAGTAGGAAAAAGCGAACAGCCAAGCAATATTGAAAGCATCACTGACTATACAAGACAGGAAGAATTTGACGGAAAATATCGCAGGGAAATCTCGAAATAGCGTTGATAAACCGTAGATGATGTAGCCTCCGTTCAAAGTGTAAATTACACCCCATATTGAGAAAGCCCAGCCGGCTGGAGTGATTTCTAAGTAGAATACATTCGAAACGTTTGTATTGCTCCTTGGAAAAGGTCCCTTTCCACCGCCACTGAGGTAGTTCAGTATCAGTTTGACGATGAAGACCAGCAACGCCGCAATTCCGGCAGCCATGTTTGATGGTGAAGCTTTGGACATTTTGCCTTCAAAAGTTTTCAATTCTTCGTGTGAATCGTGAGCTGTAATTCTTCTTCGGAAGGTAGCCGTTGTGACTTGTGATGCGAGCTGCTTGTCGAAATATAGTTATATGGTGCCGGGGTCTCAAGCATATCAGTTGCTGTGACACGTGAGGGTACACGTGAACGTTACTCAAAGTTCAATAATTGTGCAATATTGACTAATTAACATAAAAACTTTCCGACAATGAAAGAACCTGTGGTTACGCGTGCCATGAAAGTCACGCGTATTGATGATTCAAGAATGATGTGGTCTCGTGGGTTGTAAACGCCACTGATGAGTTACACTGTTTTACGCAAATAAATCTTTTGGGCAATCTTTTTTGAAAATGCTTTTTAGTGGAGGACAGGCAAAGTCGACTACCGTTCGCAGTATCCTGATATTTTTTAGAAAATTAGAAAATGATTATTTTGCGGCTTAAATTTTAGAATCGATATTTTTACTGCCTAGTGTTTATCTTATGGTAAAACGTCTTTTGCAAAGTTCTCATCAAAGAAAGAGGCTTCAATATTGGAACGAGAATGGGTGAAGAATAACCACATAAGAGTTTGACATTTGAGTTTCTCTTAGTACCATATTGCTTGATGTGATGGTGTTTGAAGTTGGAGCATTCGAACATGCACTGGTGATGAAATTGTTCTCTGATCCTGCGGTCGCGTGGTACCATCACGTGCCTGAGGATACCGAACTAGGATTTTGTGAGAGATTGCGAAAGCGTGTGTGCGGTTACGTAACAATGTAATTATTATGCAAGATTGTTGACTCAACCCACTTCGGAGGCTTCCGACGACGCACCCCGAGCAAAACACGTGTACTAGCCCACGCGTGGCACTAGCACACACTTACTTGGTGCAGCTAGTTTGAACACATTTGGCGACCCAATTTGGGTCGTTTTTAACTCCTTATAGAATAATATCGTCTGGTCAAAGCAAGAGCAACGTCAGTATAACAAAGTCGATTATTCTCAACTATCTACAGTACATTGTGAAGAAATCTTTATCAACACATTTTAATTTAAAATCAATGTTTCACTAGCTAATTTTTACTCCTAAATTGAGGGCAGTTTTTTTCGACGACCTCGCTGCGTCTCTTTCTTGTTTTCGTTTCTGTTGTTCGAGGGCTCGTTTCTCGCGTTCTGCCATGCGCTTCTCTTTCAAGACATTTTGCGTTTCCCATTCAGTTTCCTGATCTGGAATCTCATCCCAGGCATCCGGTTCTTCACTCCAGGTTCCCAATTCAGTCTGAAAACGAAACAAATTTTTTTATGGATAAACTGACACATTTAAACTAGTATTTATAGACTAATCATCTCCCTTCATGTTCAGGGAAAAGTATATTTCTGAGAAAAAAGGTAAAGTTGCAAAGTTTTGTGAGTATTAAACCTACCTCAGGAATGGATGTGAATGAATTAAATTTAAGTCTATCTGATGGTTGATTATAATTGTTCACTACAGGAACTTGAGATTTCAAGCGAATCTAGAAGAATTGATGTAAAGTAAAATTGTGTTAGAGAGAAGGGTTACATTGCCTCGGTGCATTGGTTTTGCTCATGACAATTAGTAGACTATACTTGATTAAAATTGCATGTTTGATGTTTCCTACTCTTCTGAACATAAATTGCTGTTCATATTTATTTGGAACTAAGGCAAACTAAAATAGTATTAAATGTTCATTTTATAATCGGAATCAAACCTGTTTGGTTTTTTGAAAAACAGGTTGCATATCCCCAAAGAGATCAACTTCTTGGGTGTTTTGTTCTGATTGCTCATTTTGAGACTCAATTTTAATGCTAACAAGATCGGAATCGTTTTGGCCCCAGTCATCCCATGCTTGCAGATCCTCTTCCTTGTTGGCAAATAGAGAGCTTGTTAGATATTAATCAGGATTCTAGCCATACAAACCAGCTTGATCCAGGTAAAAAATGGGTTGCTAACCATTCATCTCATGAAAGATTAATGGCAGAATAAACAACAGTGGAATGAATTTTAAAAAAGGGAGCTCATTTAGAGAGGAATTGCGGGGTTTCCACCAGGTTTCCACATAGAACCTATTAACTTTTTTGGGGGGTACCTAAAATTATATATAAACATTTATAAACATAGCTATCTTCTAGCTATTATTTTTACATTAATTACAATACAAACACTCAAGGCAATGATCACTTTAAAACTTTTGGTAAAATATTGTTTATATTTCGTTGACATAACACACGATCCTTATTTGTAAAAAAGATCAACATTGATGACGTCAACACAAGGCACACGAGAGGTTGATCGACCCGTGTTTACCTCTGCGGATTTTTGAACCAAAACACCACTCGGGGCTTTCACGTTATTGTCTTCATCTTTGGTCTTCTTTCGTCCAAAAATGCAACGCTTAATGAAGTTTATGAGGGCGAAAATGCAGGAAAAAAGCTGTGAAAGCCTCATTTCAAAGCGGACATGTTTGTTTGGGTCGACAAGAAGGCACGGTTACTGAGCTGTTACTGGGATTATTACTCGTTCACTGCGATTGCGCAGGATTTCTTAGAACTTAATTTGAGTTTTTTTCGTTTTTTAATAGCTTTTAAGAATGTTTAATAAACGTAATAAACGTTTTTTACACACTGCATTTACTATAGGATAAAACAGTTTGATTTAGTGAGGAAATTAAGTGAATAAAGAACATTTAAAATTATTTTGATTGATTTCATGGAAACTAGTGCACATGTGCACGAATGACCACGTGCCATTGAACTCAAAGGTTGTTGTGGTTTTTATATATGATTCCATGCGCAGAACCCAATTTTCAGCACCTTTACCTTTTTACAATCACTGAAACCTGAAACCAAGCGGTATTTAACGCCGGTAGTGTCGTAACTCGTATGAGAACGGAGGTTTGCATCTACCGGAAATTGTTCCGAATCAAAATGTTGTTATCGAATGTTTGAATGTGCGTACGAAATCACGTACTATTCTTGCTCAAAATGGTGTGAAAATGAGTTGGAAAATGGCCGATCTGTAGCGGAAACGAAAGAAAGCGCTTCGATCTTGTAATTGTAAGGAAACAACGATGTCGGACAAGGTTAAAGTCGCCGTTCGTGTTCGTCCTTTGAACGGGAGAGGTAAAATTTGCCATCGATCTCGTGAAGATCGATGCTGTAATATAATTTGTAAACACGATAACCGACTGATGTGAATGGTGATATATTGGGTAATGTTACAGAAATTGACTTGGCTACAAGTGTTGTTGTCGATATGGATGAAACACAAACGTGGATCACTCATCCATCTGGAAAAGACAGGCAAGTCCTTGGTTGGATTTATTAATACCGCATAAATTTGTTTACATTTGTCGGAGAATTGTCTAGCTTTTTTGAAATTTATTGAAAACTTTTCAAATACCGGTTCTTTTCGCCTATTGGGGGTTACAATGATTTAGGGTTGGGTGTTTTTCAAGCCGTTTTTATGCAATGTAACTTTACCTCGAAGTACCGGTATAAGGTTAACAAGTTCCATCATTAAACATTAAATCATGTCTTAAGTCGTTGCATAAAATTGGTTAAAGGTTTAGTAGATTTTTTGCGTTTCTTTGCCATTAATATTTCCGTTTTAGCTTCTGCGTTTGTTGTAAGGAAATTGGTTTGTTATTTTAAAACCTGATCGCTATTATCCCCCCACAAACCCTGCGTATTTATAGAAAGAGTTGAGTTACAATCGAGGTAAAAATGTTGCAGACAATGCTACGTGGGGCTTTGTTATTAAAATGAAATCTATACTAAGGCTTTTATAACAAAATAAAACGAAAGTATTTAAGCTAGAATCCTCAAGAGCCTTCACATGACTCTTGAATTTCTACTTGATTGGTTAGTAGTTATTTCATTTGAATAAAGATATATTTTATATGCCGCCCGTATAACGAATTATAACGAATTTTAACGAAAAGTTGTTAAATAGCCTTAGGTTATGAATATGTATAATGTATAAGTTTATGTTCAATCAATTGAATACATATATATTTACTGACTTGGATATGTACTGTCAGGTACATGAGTGTGATCCACATGTTTAATTTTTCTTTATATGAACATATGTTGTGTACTTTTTTATATTGCTTATGAATTGGTATAACCTTGACCTTGCCTAAAGCCTTGAATATGGAATCTGCTATGAGAAATTGCCTGCCATTATATTGTTTATTTATTATTTATTCAAACCAAGTTTTTTGCAACATTGTTGTTGCTCTGCAGAGTTGTAGCTAGAATTTTAACTGGCAGGGGGTTTGTATATTCATATATTTATCTGCTTGTAAATTTAATGCTATAAATTTAATATTTCTCCTTCAATTTCAGGAAGGAAAATATAAAGGTTTGTAAAGATCTATTTTAATGTTCAACCATCCATAAAAATACTATAAATGTTATGTTTAAGCGGTATTAAATTACAAAAGAATTGTGCATATGAATGCATCTGTTGACAAGCAGCATTTGCAAATAATTTAAGCAATAACAAGCAGGCCTTCGTAGGGTAAAGATGACAAGCATTTTCCTGGTTGCACTTGCAGTAACATAACTAAAATTGCATAACTTTATATTTTAAGATATTGGTTTTTAGTTTTTAATGGTAACTTTTAACCATTTCCTAGACTTTTACGTACGATCATTGCTTTTGGTCAATGGATGAAAATAATAAGAAATTTGCAAGTAAGGAGACATGTAATATGTTTCTAAAGCTTATGTTACTCCTAATTAAGTTAAATCTGTATCAATGATCTGTATATTTTTCTCATATTTGCAGATCAAGAAAAGGTTTATAGATGCTTGGGAACAGATGTCCTAACTAATGCTTTCAAAGGCTATAACGCTTGTATATTTGCCTATGGTCAAACAGGTGAGTGCTTCATGATATTCAAACATGGTAATCATCTTGCTTAAACAATCTAACGAACAGTTAAATGTTGCAAAACAGATACTCCACGTTAATTCTTTTAGGGTCAGGGAAATCGTACACAATGATGGGAAGTTCATCTCAGACTGGAATCATCCCAAGACTATGTGACGACCTCTTTGAAAGAATTTCAAATGTGTGTTAAAAAGAAAATTCTCAAAGTTTATAGAAGAGAATTCTTGAAAACTTTAACTTTTGCAAATGCTGTTTTTTTTCACAGAATGAAGATGATAATATCTCCTTCAAAGTAGAAGTATCCTATATCGAAATCTATAACGAAAAAGTGCGAGATTTGCTCAATCCGAGAGGGTAATATTGTATTGTATTTTCGAACGGAAATAGAAATTGAAATTGCACAAAAATTTGCTTTTGAAATCGTAACTCGAAGTCAATCCTTACGTTGTAGTGGAAAACAGACGCTGAAAGTTCGCGAACATAAAGTTACCGGGCCCTATGTTGACGGTTTAACCAAACTTGTTGTGTCTTCGTTTCAGGTTAGTATTTACAAATTTCAACTGTCATGCCACAACAACATCAATCCAAGTTTTCATACAGAATATTCCTCAAATTATCCTGTTTAAAAAAGATTTGAGAAATAAAAATTACTTTTAATTGTCGATTACAAGTGTATAGTTATTTATTCACGAGTTGTGATGGTCGCTTGTGAGTTGAAAATAGAAATATTTTTTCGTAAACACACAGCGAGTTTTAAAATAAATACAGCTGGCTTAAAAAAGCAAAAAAACAATGAATTATTACCGTTATGTTTCTTTGTAATTATGTTCAATACAAATACAGATGTAAGTCTTTCTTTCCAATATATTTTATGGTTAAAAATGGTACAATAACCAGGCGAAATTGCGGAAATGCTTCTTATTATATTCACGCTCACGCTTAATTCGACGCCATTTTGAGAAATATGCAAACACATTCCCGCCAAAATAGTTTCTTCTTCAGGTAAGAAGAATCGCTCGTCCAATCAAAATCCAAGTAGGAAATTGCTCGTCCAATCACATATCGATATTTTTTATATACATTTTATGGGGGCTTTCAGTGTAATTTACCAAAAATAATCGTAGGAAAAATCACAAAACAGTTTATTATTTAATTTTTCCCAGGATATCGATTCTCTAATGATTGAAGGAAACAAATCGAGGACTGTCGCTGCAACTAACATGAACTCTGAGAGCAGTCGATCACATGCAGTATTCAATATTGTGCTCACTCAGGCAGAATTTGATGAAGAGACCCAGGTATGACTGTCGCATAACCTAAAAACCAAAATAAAGTACATTTCAAAGGAATCTACCCTGTTTCAACCGAAAAATGAGTTTTTATTCTTGACAACTAGTCCCCCTGCTATTTCAGTTGCAGGGGGTTAACGTGATTTTATATTTTAACACCTTTTTTTAGCACTTTTCAAGCTTTCAAAAAAAGAGATGAAACGTTGTTCCAACACTTTTTTTTCCGTTTTTTAAGGCGACGGGAGAAAAAGCGAGTAAGCTGAGTCTTGTGGATTTGGCTGGTAGTGAGCGCGCGAGTAAGACTGGAACGACAGGAGACAGACTGAGGGAAGGAAGTAATATCAACAAGTAAGGCAGCCAGTATATTTGTCTTCAAGTGCATGCAAGACCACTGCAAATTAGGTTAATGTTTCCCGTGCAATAACCGTATAACGTTGGAAATTTAGCTATATCGGTATTCATAAGTTATAACGAATTTGCAGCAAATATCCGAGTGAACTAACTCGGTGTTGGTAACTGTTTCATATCTCTCAAATATTTGAAATTTTCACGATACGTCCTTTGAAACTCAGCATCAGAATCGAACTTCGATCACATGTTGTATAACATGGTTCTTATCAATCGCCGTCAGTCGTTAGCAGCCGACAATATATTCTTCATGCAATGATGACCAGAAATAGCTATTGCCGACTGCGGTGACCTGTGGATCAGTCTTAGCAACGTCACCGATATGATTGATATTAAAATTTAAAACTGCATAATTCCACTTTCAATTGAAGACATCTTGACCTTTTAAAAATAATTTAGATGCAACAAAAGTATAAGCGTTTTGGAATTTTATAAAAATCGAAATAGTTCAATGGTCTAAATTTGAAAACCAATTAATGAATTGTACAATTTTTGCTACGCCAATTTCACAGCACCCTGCGGAATTTTTTAAATATTTCCATATTTTTGTTTTTAAATATTTCCATATTTTTGTTTTTAAATATTTCCGGCTTTTGAGAAGCCATGACCTGTCGGTGCTGTGTCGTTTATCATATTTCGTTTATCATGCAAGTCTAGGCGAAGACTATTGATGTGACATAGAAGCACGAATTTCCGGTCGGTTCAAAAATTCGTGAATTATGTACCTAAGTGCAAAATGTCGAGCATTGAGGCAACAAATTTAACAAAGATTTATTTACTAAAGATTATCATGAGAAAAGAAAGATAAGTTATTTATGAAATCAACTATACAGTGTGAAATATACCAGCCTAGAAATCGATTAAAGACAAACCAAATTACAGTCGAAACCACTTCTGGAAAATCTACAACAAGTTCTAGAATCAGAGATGAAAAGAATCCTGTGTTTTGACAGAGGTCTCACCAAGGTCACGACCCGCTTGTTTGGAAATTTATTCATAACCAAACCAGACATTATTTAATATTCTATTGATGTTATTATTTTCATCAAGACCTGTCGCTGCAAGAAATCGTAAATTACTAAATATAGTTTATACGAAGGAGATCTTGCAATTCTGTATATTTCTCAAAACCTATCGTTTCGTTAAGGATTTCAAGAAAGTGTTAACACAGACATTTTCCAAAAACAGATAAAGCGTTTCTGAAACTTACCGAACGAATTTCATTACAGTGAAACAAACGTCATATTAAAAAAGCAAACGAAGCTTGTTTTGTTTTGATACGCTCAATGGCGTAAGACCTGATGGCTATGGCGTTGTATTTACAAGGCTACGATGAAAAAAGGTTTGCGACAACAATTCATCGAAATTTTCTCTGTTCGATTTGCCTCAACGTTTTGAGAGATCCTGCTCTGTGTCCTCGAAATCAGCACTGTTTTTGTCGCAATTGTATTACGAAACACCTCGGGAATTCCCAGAGATGCCCTACGTGCGCGGACGAACTAACCGAGGACATGTTGCTTCAAGCACCGAGAATCCTGAAAGATATGCTCAACGAACTGAATATTCACTGCTTTTACATCGACAGAGGTTGTAAAGAAGTTGTACAACTGCAATATCTCGGCAACCACGAAAATACATGTGGATATGCACCGGCGTCTTGTACAAACCAAGGTTGCGATGCGATTGTAAACAAGCGTGATATCTTTTATCATGAGAATGAAGTTTGTTCGTTTGGAAACCGCAACTCGCGCGAGGAAACTAAGGTAAAGTTGGCAGATATGGAGAAGAGAATGGGGAATATGGAGAATGGTGTCGCTACCATGGAAACCAAAATGACGAAAATGGAGACGAAAATGGAGAGAAATGCCGCCGATATGGAAAGAAAACTCGAAACAGTAAATGACGAAGTGAAAGGATTGCAAACGACGTTGGTTGACGGTTTTGAGAAAATGGAAGAATTTCTTATCACGATGGAGGACAAAGTTGAGGAGAACACAAGTAAATTACGAGATGCAGCAAGCGGTGATGAAGAAAATATAATCGTCGCTGGAGGCCACTCAACTAACTCGGTAGAAATGTTTAACTGGCGTCGAAAAACATGGTCGCCTCTCCAGTCAATGCCAAAGATTTGTTTTGGAGCAACGTCGTTTGTCTATAACAATCAACTGACAATTGTTGATGGTTTTAGCGATGGCTTTCTCAATGATGTGATCAACGGGGTGAACAGTCGGCAAAACCCTGATACGTCTGCGGACTGGAATGGCTCTCCTGTTAAACTCCCAGCTAAGTTGAGATACCACAGCAGCGTGGTGTATGAAGATCAGTTGGTAGTTACCGGGGGTCAGAATGCGACCGTCGTATCGGACAGTATTCAGAAAGTCCAGCTTTTTCCTCCATATGCCTTGCAGACCTTGTCGAGAATGCCTGAACCAAGACGGGATCATAGCACGCAATTATTCGATGATAATTTGTTGATTGTTGGTGGTCGTAAAACAGTCTTTTCCAAAGACTGCCTCGGTAGTGTCGTTCTCTATGATTTGAAGCAGAACGAGTGCAAGAAATTGGCACCATTGCCTTATGAAGTGTACGAAATGGGCGCGGTGAGATGGGGAGACAACGTTGTCGTTGTTGGTGGCGCCGACAAGCAAGGCAAAGTTTTGGACAAAGTTTTCATGTACAATGTGAAGACAGAACGAAGCCATATGCTGCCATCAATGAGCTGCAAGAGGCGAGGATGTACCGCAGTTGTTATTCGAGATTGCATCGTGGTTCTTGGCGGGTCTGGTGAGCAAGGATTCCTGAAGTCAGTTGAAGCTTTCGACTTCAGAAAGTTTTCTTGGGAACAACTTCCCGAAATGTCTACAGCAAGATGTCTCCACACCGCTGTTGTTGTTTGAACAATCGGTGAATATTGTGCATGCAAATGACAAACGTCATTTTAAATTTAGGATATACAATTCGCATATAAACACAATTATTATAGGATCACTTTTAAAGATAGTTAGCTGAAGGAATATTGCATGGATTAATAAAAAATTTCAAGTTAATTAGTTCAGTCATCGTTTATACAGCACACATACATATACATTAAATTGTAAAAATATGACGTCAAAAACTAACTTACCTTTGACAAAACTTGAATCACAATAATAATGGTATGATTTTGAAGGTTAATCCGTTTGGGAATTATTTATTTCAACACTAATAATGTATTGACTAAAAGAATTGTAAAAAAATCATTTGAAAATACACGTATGGGATTAAAAGACAAATTGTTGTGTTTACTTATTATGATCGTTGGTTTTCCCTGTTGAAATGCTTCCAGTTATCGAAGAAATAATAGAGAGCTTAAGCATGCGACGTTTTTGTCAACACGGACGTCACGCGTACAAAATTTTGGCGTTATAGATGGCGTCAGCCGTTTTTGTTTAAAATCAGAAACCGCAGTCCGTGCAGTTTCCCGTCGTAGATTTTAAGCAAGAACGGCTGACGCCATTTTTAGCCGTTAAATTTTGTACGCGTGACGTCCGTGTTGACAAAAACGTCGCATGCTTAAGCTCTCTAATGTACACGCAAACAAACCTCGGTGATCAACCTTTTTTTTATCCATTTAATCCAAGTAATTTTTTTTGTCTCCCAGGTCTCTTCATACACTGGGGTTGGTTATATCAGCCTTGGCAGATCAGGTAACAAATAACAATTAATGTTTCTTTTAGTTTTAGTCTCTTTCCCTAAAATAACATCGTTTTTTAATTATATTTTAGGCTCCAGGAAAGGCAAAGAAGTCGTTTTTCGTTCCGTACCGTGACTCGGTATTGACTTGGCTTCTAAAGGTAACACGGACAGAAACGTTCTTGGGCTGATCCAAGCAACTATACATTTTGTATATTTTTAATATTCAAACTCGTTTTCCGTCGTTCCTTCTCAGGATAATCTTGGGGGTAATAGCAAGACTGTTATGGTTGCAACTATCAGCCCAGCGGCAGATAACTATGAAGAAACGATGTCCACATTAAGATATGCTGATCGAGCGAAGAGAATTGTCAACCATGCCGTTGTCAACGAAGATCCAAACGCAAAGGTATCTGTAAGACCAAAGACACCGTTCCCTTTCACTGTTCTTGTACAATTTTGTACAAAGTCTTGTTATGTGAAATCAATCTTGAATAAATCTATGGAATGTGCTTACAGATAAACATATGGCAGATTGTAACTGAATATGTTCTGATGAAATTTCAGATCATCCGTGAACTTCGGGAGGAGGTGGAACGTTTAAAACAAATCCTGAAGATTAAAGGTTTCTCGGATTCCAAAGACGAGATCAAAGAAAAGTTGACGGAAAGCGAAAATTTGATGGAAGAATTTACAATGTCTTGGGAGGAGAAAGAAAAGAATTCTGAAAAGATAAAACAGGTATTTCTGTACAGATTTCCGTCTACTTCTCATGTGCTTCTCTCGTGAATAACTTGTTTCACTTTAACTCTTCGTTCCACACGTTCTTAGGTTGTTGTATGAGTTTCTTTTTCTCTTTCATATTTTTTCTTCACTTCAACTCAATGACTTGTTTTTTTTAATCATTTATCTTCAGGAACGACAAAAGGCTCTTGAGGAGATGGGAATATCCATTCAATCCTCTGGCATTGCTGTTGAAAAGAGTAAATTTTATCTTGTCAATTTAAACGCTGATCCTTCACTCAATGAGCTGCTTGTTTACTACCTCAAGGTTTGTTTTATCGCCTTGATATTCTGTTATCTCTATGAATTGTGATCCAGCTTCCTAGGCGTCCTTCATCTCGGAAACTCGTGTTTTTTTGCAGGAACACACTGTTGTTGGCAGACACGATGCAGTTCATCACACAGTGAGTCAACTCGATCATAAACAATACACCAATATTAAATCAAAAACTAATCATTCGTTGCATTTTTCTCAGGACATTCAACTGCAAGGTCTTGGCATATTGCCTGAGCATTGCACTCTAGAGATAATAGATAACGAAGTCTTCGTGACGCCAATGCCAAATGCAAGGTACATTACCTAATATTAGAGATTTTAGAGAGATATTTTGGTCTTAGAGATTCACCAGTTCAAATCTGGAACTGATTGTATAAAACTCTTTCGTACACTTTTGATAATAGTTAAATCGTAATCAACTGCGAAATTCGTGATTCTGATTGCTCAATTCCACCACTATGGTAAACAAATTCCTACCTTTTTGGGCAGTCAGTCCCTGAGTTATGAAGTGGTCTGGTCTAAGGTTTGGAACGGTAGAGTTGACTCTGACCAATCCTGGAGCTAAAAAGCTATTTAAGAGTGAAGTATTAACATGTGCATAAACGTAACTGGTGGTTCATCTTTCGTTCCAGGACATGTCGTAATGGCGTGGTAATCACCGAGAAGGCTGTGCTCCATCACGGAGATCGTATTTTATGGGGCAACAATCATTTCTTCAGAATAAATTGCCCTCGTCCACCAGGCGCAGGTTCGAGTGAAACTGTTTTAAATCTTTGTCATCTCGAATAATTTCTAATTCATTGTTTTATTTTTATTCAAATTGCATTTTTCTTTCAGTAAACGAGCCAGAACAACTAGTTGACTACGAATTCGCTCAAAGGGAAATTTGTATGAATGATCGATCCTCAGGTAGGCCTCAGCCGAGATATCTCTACAACGTTCAATTAACACGGTGTGTTGGAACGTTATGTTACATTAACATTGTGTATTTTCTTTTCGATTCATACAGATATAAGTGATGATGCGTTGGCAGTTCTTGAGGAAAAACACAAGATAGATAAAGAAGGTAAAACATTGTGAAAAACATTTTCTTGTGAGTTGTGTGAAAGAGATGAGTTAACTTAACACGTGGTGTGTATTTTTACAGAGGCGCTGGTAAAACAACGTCAAATGTACGAAGAAAAGATCGAACGAATGCGATATGAAATGAGCCCAGCATTTCGCCCGGAGAGGACGGTCAGCCTGGGGTCTTTTAGCTCATCCGGGATTAGTTCCTCCCGGCTCTCTTTCAACGATGATCTAGAAAATTTAGAAAACGAGAGATCTTTGGAGAAGTTGAAAGAGGAAGTTATACATGCGAATGCTTTAGTGAGGTAGGTCGGTTTATGGACATTGGTTGACCTCGTGTTTTAAAGTCAATACAATACAATACAATACAATAAATATCTAAAATCTAAAGTCTAAAGTCAATACAATACAATACAATACAATGACCTCGTGTTTTAAAGTCAATACAATACAATACACTACAATCGATTTGGTGAACTTTAAAGTTTAATCTAGTTGAAATGCTCTAAAGGTGGATCAGGAGCAACCTGGGTACAAGGCTTGGTAGATACGTATTTATAAATGTTTCTATTTCTCCCAACTGTTCCAGAGAAGCAAATCAGCTGAGCGAGGAAATGAAGAGAGATACGGAATTCGCGGTGACGTTGCAGGTATAACTAAATATTTTGTTTACGGTGAGATATGATGTTCATTTGCCTCGTCTGAAGTACTAAAGAAAACCAAATGATTGTTGACATATTTACTTCTTTCTCAGATTCCCACATCAGGTCTGAGTTTGAACAGAACTCGCGCGGCCTGCGCCAGCGAAGTTGCTATCGTGGTGAAACGCAAGAACAAGGGAACTCAGTGTAAGCCTAATATGAAGCACTGGTGTTGCATGTAAAAAGATTTATTGTAATTTCGACAGAATTTTCAGGCGAAAACTTTACATGATCTGAATGAATAATTCGGAACAATTTTTAAAAACACACGAAAATTGGTCTATATTACACGTTGCAAAATCAAGTTAAAACGTTGCATTGTGTGTTTTTTCTCTTCATTTAGTCTGGTCTCTTGATAAGCTTTCTAATAAAATATATGACATGAGAGACGCATACAATCAGCTCGAAGAAGGGAACCCCACAAAGGTTGGAAAAACGTTTTCTTCGATTTCATTCAAGACTATTCCTGCCAAAACATTTGTAATTGAAAGCAAAACAACACGGCCATATTTACTCTTTCGTTTTCTGTTCAAAGGTTGATGAAGATGATGATCTGTTCTTCGAGGTGGAGTGCCATACCTTGATTGGTGTTGCTAATGTTTATCTGGAGTGTATCTTTCTTGATGTTCCTCTTGATTACGCCGCGCCAATAATCAGTCAACAGGGAGAGGTCTGGATTATATATAGTCGTGTTGAAGATGTCGTTGAATCGTTTTATATGTCGTGTAGTTGATGCTGTTGATGTGTTGTTGGTTATTTTCTAGTTGTTGTTATGTTGTTTGTGATGTCGTTGTTGATAATGGCTTTGTTGTTGCTGTTCTGGCTCTCATTTTTGTCGTTTTTGTTCGTGTTGTTGTTGACCTCGTTGTTTGTGTTTGTGTTTGTTGCTGCTTTCATTTGTAACTTATCGTTGTCTTTGTTCAAATGATGGGGTTGTTGCTGTTATTGTTGTCACGCGATACAGCGCTTATTTGAATTTGGAAACAATCATTCCTAGGTGTGTGGACGACTAAAGGTTCAGATCACTCGTGCCATAGAGGATGGCGGAAAGGAGGCTGACGCAGGTTCATTAAGCGATGACGAAACCCCGGATTTAATGGTAAACAATGAACCAGAGGAACAGTTAGGAGTTTCTGATCACGATGAAGAAATCTCAGTTGGACAGACAATTGCTGTGAAGGTTACCTTGTTTGTTTTTACCAAACGATACTTATTGCTTTAGTTTTGCCTATTTTTATTTGTTTTTGTTCATTTGATATTGTGTAGCAAAGTATAGCAATAATGAAGCAAGTTCTTATATGTTTAGGTGAAGATTATCGAAGCATTTGACCTCCCTCTGGCGTATTGTAATTACGTGTTTTGTCAATATCAATTCTGGGATCACTCCAATGTCGCTCAGCTCTCTTCACCAGGCTCCAAAAGTAACTCAGTCGTTTTCTCCGAGGAACAGGTGAGAGAGAGTCTTCGTCGCTTCATTCCAGGATCATGAAGTGTTTCAGTCCTACTTTTCTCTTCTCCAAGGTATTTCAATTTGAAGCGACTGAGGAGTTCCTCGAGTATATATCAGACGGCGCGTTGTCCATTGAGATCTATGGAAACCGCAGCAAAGGATTTGGTCAGACATCATGGACGCCAAACATTGAACCAATTGCAACGAATTCTGAAGACGGGTAAGATTTAGGGAGATTTCTACTCTTTGAATGCGTGTATCATCTTCTCTGCAATGTCTACCACCTCGCATCGTGTGATCTCTTAATGCCAGAATATCTCTGAACAGCTCGTCTTCATCTCTTCTTATTACGTGTCCATATCATCTCAACCTTGCTTCCCTCATCTTCTCTGCGATGTCTACCACCTCACATCTTCTTCTGATCTCTTCATTTCATAATATCTCTGACCAGCTCTCCTTCATCTCTTCTTATTACATGTCCATATCATCTCAACCTTGCTTCCCTCATCTTCTCTGCAATGTCTACCACCTCACATCTTCTTCTGATCTCTTCATTTCATAATATCTTTGACCATCTCTTCTTATTACATGTCCATATCATCTCAACCTTGCTTCCATCACCACAATTGTTTCTTTTAGATGGAACGACCTGAAACGCAAAGTTGACCTCTGGACTGAGATCCACGAGCTGAACGACCAAGGTGTATTCTCTCCTGTGGAGGTCAACAGTCGCAACGACAATGCAACTGGAGGTATATTCCAGTTACGTCAGGGTCAAAGTCGGCGGATTGTCGTCGGTGTACGACCGCTTCCGAAGAGTGGTTCGTTACCGGTCGTAATCGAAACGATCTCCGCCATTGAAGTCGGAAGCGTGTGCAGACGTGATAAGAATGAGGAGGCGTTAGATTCATACCAAGACATAGATCTTTCAATGTAAGTATTCTTTATTTTGTAACACGCTTTGTAGGTGTCATCTTTTGAGGCTGTTGAGGTGATTCTTCATCTAGCTGATCTGATATGATGAAATAGATCACCGGGTTGAGCTATGCATTATTAGTACACGATGCAATTGTTTCTTAGATTGCGAGAAAAGTTATCAAACTCGTTGATGAAGAAACGGGAATATCTTGATGAACAGATTCAGCTGGTTACGGAAAAGAAAGGTATTGACATTCATTTATACATGTAGAGCTGTATTTGTTTGTATTGTCGGTGGGATATAGCGGTTTAGTGAAAGTAAATACTTCGTCCGATGTCTTTAGAAAAATCGGATGAAGACAAGGAGCGAGAAAGCTGGTTGATTGACCAATGGGTGAATTTAACAGAAGAAAAAAATTTCTTACTCCATCCACAGCCAGGGAGTAATGTTCCTGGGTCGCCTTCAAACAGGTCAGTTCTTAATGTATCTTATGACCTTTCAAGATGGCATTAGTTTAGTTCTATTGTATCTAAATTGTAATAGGAAAACTCATTTTTTGAATCGAAGGTGTATAAGCGCTTCTCAGCATATGAGGCCAATAAAATTCTGGTTCAAAGATTGAGAACTTGCATTCATAAAATTGACTAGTATTTTTTATACTTTTAATAGAAGATCTACTCTTGGATTGGAAAAGCTTGTTCCAGTTATATTTCTTGATTTAAATGGTATGTTTAAAGTAATGTTTCCTATGTAATACTATTACATTTGATGTAATACTACATCTGAATGTCGTTTCTTTTAGCTGAAGGAATTCACAATTCGTCAGTAGATGAAATGGGTGTTGCAGGACTAGAAACCAGTCTTCCTCTCGAAAAAGACGATAAAATGAAAGAACTTCCCACAATTAAATACGACCAAAAGAATGTAAGTTGTGCTATAAAGTGATTTTACTTTTTAACTCAAATCTAATGGCATTAAACTGTAGTTATTTCAAGTCGTATTTTACCAGTGCTTGCTCTTCCATCTGAGGAAATTGGCTGTTCTTCGGTTCGTTAACTTCCTTATGAAATATTTCCTTAATTGTGTTGTATTCTCTGCAGGTTTGTATCACCGTCTCGTGGGACTCTTCAGTTCACGACTCGCCTTACCTCAATCGAGCGACTTCGAGCTCAGAGCGAGTATACTTAATAATCAAGGTGAGACAACACTCATTATTGTCGAGTTTTGAAGTTGAAAAGCACAGCTCAATTCAGTTCCGAAGAGGAAAATCTTAATATAATATTTCCAATTCATTGGGAAAACATGGATTGATTTTATGGAAGTGCTATTACTTTCTGTAGGCGCATGTTCGTCTGAGTAGTCCGCTGACAATGGATCTCGTATTACGTAAGAGGATATGCGTGCGCATTTACAAACGACAAAGTTTGAAAGATAGTTTAATGAGAAAAATTTGGAAGGTAAACTTGGGTTGTTCTTTAGATTAAGATATGAACGTTTCGTCAGTTGTTTTTCTCTTAAATATATGTGTTTTTAATTTCATTTAGGATAACAAAACCCGTTGCTGTGTTACATATGAACTGGTCTCTCACATACCAAGAGTAAGAACTAAAAAATAGTATTTCTCTTCTCGCTTTTGATAACAGTAAACTACATTATCGGATGTTCAGTTATATCCGTGTAATGTGGGCTTGATTTAAAGGAATATAGTGAATGTAAAATTGATATGTGCATTGTTTCAGCAACCAGGCGAGGAGACTGAGGAGAGAGGCAATCTCGCTGAACGAGCAGCGGCTGCTGTCAGTAAAAACGACGAAGAACATGAGATAGTCTTGGAAAAATATCATCGTGGAATTTCCCATGTGGAGGGATTACTAAAATTGGATAAGTTACGACAGGTAGGAACATGTGATGATCATGTGGTGAACGTGTGTTGATCACGCGAGTGTCATGTGAGAAACATAAGGAATCATGTGAAGAGCTTGTTGCTGTCTCCCGCCGAACATTTTGAATAAATCACGTAAAAAAATGGGGCATGTTGTTCTAAGTCAAGCTCTTTCCACGATACAGGAAGTTGTGGTGAAGGAAAAACTTGCAGCAAGTGGAAAACCTTTGAGGAAATTTGCCAGCACGCCAAACTTACTACAAGGCGTAAGTACCATCAACTTGGTGTACTTTCCGTGAAGTTTCAAAATGTTTGACATTGCTGCACTTGTTCCTGTATAGAGTTTTGACCTGTCATCCATTGGATCCAAAAACGACTCGTTGGATGTCGACTTCGGTCAAGTAAGTTTGAAAAAAATCGTTATTTAAGTAGAGTTTCTAAACAAACAGTTGAAATTTCTAAACAGTTGTAATCTTTGACTGCAAATCGTCAACATGTTAACAACACAGTTGTTCACGAGATCTAACAAAAACCTCTGACTAGGTTTCAATGAAGAGGGGCTCGCCTGGCCCGCCAATGCGTCACGTGGCCGTATCATTTGACGATTGGGACAATCCAAATTCCCTGGACACTAATCTTCTGACACCGACACATGGGTCCAGTACTCCGAACAGCACGCTCGAAACGGTCTTGGAACAGAGTGCGCCTTCTTCACCGCAACCTGTTGTCATGGTAACAGAGACGAGTTTTCCGTATACGCCTGAGAGGACTGGTCCTAGTGTCGCGCGATCTTTGGAGAACGAATTTAAAGATGAGAAACCAGCTCAACTCGTTCAGGATGCAAAAGAGCCGTTGATTGCAATCTATGACGACGAAAACAAACCTTTAAACGACCCTTTAGGAAATATACCGGTTTCAAGTAAACTCGTGGAGGTGCCGATTGACTTTGAGATTTCCAGTGAAAAGAACACGGGTCGCAATGAGCCAATGACGAGCCAAGCAAATGGGAAATTTGAAAATGATTTAACTGCACAGTTAAACTTATTAGAATTTGAAGATGGACCGAATTTAGTACATAACTCTGTAGCTGTGAGTCTTTCTGATGGGTCAACGACCGAAAATAACCACCGAGCAGTCGTCGGAGGGTGGTCGTCGCACCTTTTGGACGATGGGAATTCATTATCGAATTCTGTTGACTCTGGCCTGCATGAAAGTACTGACCAGCTATTGGACACACCCCCGAGAGTTGGGTGGAGAAGTTGTGGATAATAGTGGATCTGCGGAACAGAGCGGTACACGAAAGGACTCGGAGTGTGAATTCAAGATAGGGCAAGTTATTAGTGTAGGTGACTCTAAAAAGGGAACAATACGATATATTGGTACAACTGAGTTTGCATCTGGGGACTGGATTGGAGTTGAATTTGATCTACCAGTTGGTAAGAGATATTTTGAATATTCACCTGTTTAGCTTTGTATTGATTACAGTTTTCTTTATTTTGATCACAAATTTTCTTTACAGGCAAAAATGACGGGTCGGTCAATGGTAAACGATATTTTACGTGTAAACCAAGATATGGTACTTTTGTCCGGGCGGACAAAGTTACCCTACTAAACACTCGGCCCAAGTCAACATCTTCAAGTCGCGTTATAGTGACTAACCGTCGGGTGTCTTCGGACAATCCCGGCACTTCGTCCCCTCACAATAAATCCGGGGTACAAACTCGTAGTAAGCCCCGAGGAGGCAGTTCGTCCGATACTGCAAAAAGGAAAGAAGTTAATAGGCGCTCAAATATTTTATTTTAGAATTCGATCAGAAAATGTTTTTAGTCTTAAATTATAATAGAATATTATTAGTTACGTACGTATTTCATATCACACAACAGTTGTTTACAAGCCATTATATGTTGGTTGTTCGAAGGACCTTTAACTGAACGTGTGCAAGTCAAAATACATTTATTAGTTCTAATAGTTTCGTACATTTTGTGAATTTACTAACTGACATAAAATTCATTCACTAACTGATGTTGCTGGTTGTAAAATTGTTCTTCGACATTTTTGACTTCCACGATTCAGTTAAAACGACCCTCGAATATCAGATTTAGAAGGTTCGGCCGCCATTTTGTATGTTTTTAAAATCGAAGACAGATCATATTAAGACAAAATGCAGTTGTACATAGTCTCTAAGATGCTTTTCATACGTGCATTAGTACAGAAAAAATAATTTGAAGTCTTATACTAAATATATCGCAACGTTTTCTTTTACTTTTAGTCTTTCACAATCTTTTGTTTTCACAAAAAATATTACAATAGTAAATACAGCTACAGCCTACAGTGTCAGTGTAGAAACGGCGAAAAAATCGTTATTTGAAAAGAAAACCTCAAGATTAGTATTTCAAATTCCGTCTAAGCAACGAATTTTTTACTGTTCAGTTTTCTGATTATATTTATTCAATATTTTATCAGCCAGAACAAAACTGAATAAGAATATAAGCTATAGCGTTGTTGTACATAAAAGTCTTTGACTTTGCTTCAAGGCATCTCATCAAAGTAGTCAATATGGTCGCCTGATTTGTAGCGATCTTGTTTCAACATCAGAACCAGTTTATCAGCAGAGGTTTCAGGCTCCAACACTTTGTCCTAGACGTTCAGAAAAAATTCACAAGGAAATCAAAGGTGGAGGAAAAGACCCGTTTTATAAACTGCAGTTGCCAGCCGCCATGAAAACGTGAAGGAAAACAAAGCGAAAAGAGCGATATCCAGGATCAACAACAAGGTACATCTTGAATATTTACCTGCTCTTTCATTTGAACGAACATTTCTTTCAATTCGTCATGGTCAGTTTGCAAAACATCTTCAAACATATCTGTTTTCATCGGCCCAGGAGCATAGTTCAGTACCCTTGTATCTTTCTTAAAAGAAAAAATCTAGTCTATTATTCGCACCCAAAGTTTTATAATGCAAACCCTTTTGAATAAGCGATACATTTCTGCACCATAAGACTACGACAGCCTTACGTGGAGCTTTTTACATACATTTATTGATCTAGCTATGGATGCTTACTGATTCGTAGGACAAAACTTGGTTAAACATGTTCCTGGCTGCTTTCCCAGCGCAGTAGTAGGCCATTGATGGAGTTGGTTTGATGGCACATATTGATGATATGTTGATCACGTAGTTTTTCGTCGTTGAGAAATGGTTGAGAAAATGCGTGCTGAAGGAACGTGTAAGGGAGGTATTAGTACTGAGAAAGCTTAGAAAGGGGATAGAATGTGTGTACGGGGGATGAGGGAGGAGAGATTAAGAGGGAGGTGTAGGGCTAAAATGGGGTGAGAGGTGGGGTTTGAAGGTGGGAAAGAATTGAGATACAAAGGAATGAAGGGGCTAAGTGAAGTGATTAGATAGGGAGGGGGGAAATGTAGTGATGATGGACAATAGGTGGGTGAAGGTGGAGGGTGTGGTAGAGGGAATGAATTTTGAATTTAATCTTGATGAGACCGACACCTTCACATACGTGAAATAACAAAATGAAGTAATATTGAAATCCATATATTTCCTTATTGAATTAACATCTGTATGGTTGGTTATGGACGTAATCTTGTCACCAAGGCTTGCAGCATTGTTTATGAGAACAGCAGAAGTGAACTGCTTTGAATCAACCTGTTTATTAATCAGATTATAGATTAGTGTGCTTATCTAGGCAGAAAGTTCACTGTTTAGGTCAGGATAATTCAAATCCACCTACATTTCTAAATATTGATGCAGTTAAATCATCCAAATGGTTCACGTCTCCCAAATCACCAGAAATTACATGGACTATAAAGGCAAAAATATGTTATTGATTACAACACCATGAAAACATACAATTCAGGAAAGTTATATATCATCAGTGACACATTCTCCATGATAAATATTGGATGTCTGAATTAGTAAGCTGTTAATGAACTGAAAGGTGGCTGTTCTGATATTATCAACAAATTTTATAGCATTTATCCTCAATTATCTTATGTAACAGAGTTGATTTAATCAAGTGCACAGAGATATGAAAATTGTGCTTCAATAATAGGTTAATTTCTATAAAGGTTTCCATTTTAATTGATATTATCAAAAACAATACACCAACAGATCTGAGCAGTATGCAGAATGATTTCTGACTCATTCTGGAGGCTGTAGCGTATTACTAAAGGGGTAGAGTATCAGATGGTCATGGAGTCCACACCCTACCTCTCCTACCCCATCTTAACAGACAGCCAACCTACCATGTAAATCGCCGTATATTTTCTCAACTGCACGTCTTGTTTCGTCAAGACCTTCCTTCGAGCGTGCGACCAAAACCAGCACAGAATCTTTTCCAAACTCGCTTTCTGCGAATTCTTTGGCAAACGAGCATGCCACAGCACGACCAAAACCTTTGCTCGCACCAGTCAAAATCACACACGTTTTTCCTTGAAACATGGCAAAATTTCACAGACTTTTAATCGTGAGTTAAATAGATTAGCGACAGCACAGCCTGTAGCAGAATGATTACTAGTAAACTGGCTTTCTTAAAATGTCTTTCTAATGGAAAATCCTTTCCCAAGTGGGTCATTAATAGATTATTTATTTACGATATCAGCTTTCGAGATAAAAAAATTGCCACATCAGTTCCGCTAATCAAGGAAGTGTGAAAAAATGCATAAATTTCATTGGGTGAAAATTACTCGTAAACACATAAAACGGAGGAAGAAACATCTTTTTATCAGGCCATGAATAAGATGCTCTTTCAGGATAAATTTTTTATACAAAATACTGTTACATACAACATACAATCGGTTCACGTCGGGTAATGCACGAGGAATATCAACTCCATGCAAAAGGAATTTCATCAAAATTTTAAAGTAGGTGCTCGTGGGCTCCACGCGCGGGAATTTTGAAAACATGTTCTTTATCAAAATTTGTCGCAATGTATGTTCTAATCATTGGTTCTAATTGACTAAAAGATCGTTCTAATTTGTCTAATATGTAATTTGTATACTTGCCTAATTGGATATCATGGATTAAAAGTTTTGTAATGCTTTAAATGTGTAAAACGTCGGCAAAATAATATCAGATGTGATGGCAATCATGGCATTTGAGGAAACTTCTGACTGGTCTCAGGTGTGGTTATTTCAAAGGAGCATTGACCGTCAAAGATGGATGTTCGAAGCAACGTCGCTTGCGACTTGGGTGAGTGTTTTTTCGCGAAATTTTGGGATGTTTTTCGGCATTTTATCATGTGAAACGACCGTGTAAGGCGTGTGAGACTATGCAAGCAGTCGATTTATTATTCAAACACACACACATACACGACTGATCACGGATACTAGCGGCCGAGCGGGGTATCGGAATTTGATTACTGATCAAGTATCATTCGATATTTATACAGATACTTCACCCAATGTAATTATTTTCCGATTTTTCCTCTGCCACAAATGAGTTCATTCTATAAACGCGCGAAACAGCATGAACACTAAACATCTATGGCAAATACTTCAATTATAATTAACAACAATGCTCAAAGAATAGGTGGTTAACTTTTATTCGTTTATGATTGAATTGTCCAAATCAAAATCGTTCATTTTACCCATAGCTACATAGAGTTAGCTACAATTAAACTATGCTCAAAATGTAATACATATTACGATATATTATTATACTGCTGTACAAAGTGCCCCAGCATTTGATGCGATATTTTTTGCTCATAGACAACCCGAGTTTTTTAAATCCCAACAGAACAACAGAGATCTTTTTATAGCTCTAATAAATACTGATTAAATACTCTTTATACTTCTAAAATTTTTTATAATGGTTGCGTGCTGCTGAGAATTAGGTTGTGGGCTGTGGCGTTGTTACACTAGATAATTCCTCAGGGCATCCTGTCAAGAAATTCTATATGATCGCCTGATTTGTAGCGATCTTGTTTCAACATCAGCACCAGCTTATCAGCAGAGGTTCTAGGCTCCACCACCATGTTCTAGAACAATGGAAAAAGATTCAACAATGAAATCATTCTTGTCGGAAAAATATCCTCTCCACTTATTCGAAAATGTTTCTGTTTATAATATTCCCGTTTTTGAAGTAACAGGCGCGATCAAACAGTACAAATAGCTTAAACAAACACGCGCTTTGATGACGCTTTCTGTTAAATCGTTCACGTAGTCGTGAAAATACTTCTGTAATTGACGGTTAATTGACCGGTATTACCGGAAATGGTACGAGACTACAGAAGCGGTGGGACACTTTTTCGTATTTTGAATGTGAGTTCTCACCTGTTCTCTTAGTTGCGTGTACTTTTCTCTGGTGTCCTCGCAGTCAGTATTGCTCAAAATATCATGAAACATTTCTGTTTTCATTCTTCCTGGTCCGTAGTTCAGGACTCTTGTGTCTCTCTTTAAGAGAAAAATTATCGAAATAAGATTGACATTAATTGTAGTCCATTATGCACATTGACGGATCGAGGAACGAGCTAGTGTATCATCACATGACCTAGCTATGGATACCGTAACTTACTGATTCTTGGGACAAGACTTGGTTGAACATGTCCCGTGCTGCTTTGCCAGCGCAGTAAAAGGCCAGAGATGGCATTGGTTCAATGGCACATATGGACGATATGTTGATCACGTAGTTTCTTGTTGTATAGAAATAGTTCAGAAAATGCGAGCTGAAAATGTGGAACGGAAGCACTGGTTAGTAAAGGAGAGAGAAGGGATTGATAGGGACCAGGGAGGAGTATTAGGAATAATAAAGAGGGAGATGCAGTGTTTAAATGGAGTAAGATGGGATGATTAAAGCAAATGATTAAGTGGGATGGGCATAGAAAGAAAATATAAAAAATAACACGACATACGTAAGATAAAAACATGAAGTAATGTTTAAATCCATATATTTCTTCATCAGATTAACATCAGTATGGTTGGTTATGCATTTAATCTTGTCACCAAGGCTTGCGGCATTGTTTACAAGAACAGCAGAAGTGAACTGCTTTGAATCAACCTGTTTAATGAAAATATAAATTAGTACTAGTGCATTGACGTCATAGTTCATACTATAATAATTCTAAACTTGAAACCGAGTCTACCTACGTTTCTAAATATTAATGTCGCTAATTCATCCAAGTGGTTCAAGTCTGCCAAGTCACCAGCAATAGCATGGACTGAACAAGAAAAATATTTGATCGAATTAGAGAAACAATTTAATATGGGAAAACATACCTTGAAAAATTTGTGATATAATTCAGTATAGTTATATTGCCCCAATTATTGGATACATTCGACAATGTCTATCTATACGTATTGTCAGCACATTAGACTAGTATTTTTCTCAGTACATTGTACTTGTTTACAATCAACTAACCATTTAAATCGCCGTATATTTTCTCAACTGCACGTCTTGTTTCGTCGAGACCTTCCTTCGAGCGTGCGACCAACACCAGCAAAGAATCTTTTCCAAACTCGCTTTCTGAAAATTCTTTAGCAAATGAGCATGCCACAGCACGACCAAAACCTTTGCTGGCACCAGTCAAAATCACACACGTTTTTCCTCGAAACATGTCGAAATTTCAGAGATTTTTAATCGTGAATTAAGTCGATTAGAGACAGCACAACTTGTATAGCAGAATGAAATTTACTTGAGCGAATATTTCTTCAAAGAAGTAAAGCGAACAAAAAGCATTTAAGGTGAAGTAAAGACAGTACTACCTCTGCTGGTTTCAATGTGAGCTGTATCTGGCTGCTGTGGTTATATATAGGCACAGTGCACGCGTTTGTGTTCAGGAGGTCTTTGTCCAGAAGTTTTTTTGTGGCCGAAGAAGTTGTCTTTGTTTCATATCACGTATTGCTCTTTCTGGAAATAACTATAGATCTTTATATATAGCTATAGATTGTATATAGTATATATTGTAGCTATAAATCTTTATACAAAAGTCATCCGGCGATTTTACGTATGTGGTTTGTGGTCAATGCATGCTTCAGGTTGGCCAGCGTCCCAAATGACCAATCAGGATCGTGCTTTGTCTGTAAACCATACGTCATAGCACGACACTTTAATAGTGCGTAATTTTATCATTTTTTTTCATTTGGACGTCAATAACATCAAATACGTTTTTAGGCTTTTTTTTATATAAAAAATTATGGAAATGTAGGAATATACATATTACCAGGAAGCAGCGTCGCAGCGTGTTCAAACAGCTAGCATCAAATGTAGTATAACAACTGCCTAAAATAGACAAAACACTTCTCGACATTTCGACCTGAGGGTCTTCGTCAGGAGAGTTAGTATGAGAACTGTAACTCTCCTGAACTCTCCTGACGAAGGCCCTCAGGTCGAAACGTCAAGAAGTTTTTTGTCTATTTTAGGCAGTTGTTATACCACATTTGATGCATTATCATTAAGTAGTGGTAGCCGCTTTCTTGAAAATTAGATCAGTGAAACTGATTTCCGAGACCAAAATTTAGATCACGTGGAATGAGACAGGACTAAAATAATAAAACGTTGATATGCATGGTCACATCCCAGCAATTGGAAATGTGGACTGCAACGTCAGTTTTGGGCGGATAAACGTACGAAAAAGGTCAATATCGAACTCTCAATTCAAGCAGACTATACACTTGATATAAAAATAGCATGAAATGAGTCGAAATGTCGAATACAAAAATAATACATTTCCGGAATCTAAATTTTTACCGGCATCGAATCGGCCAGAAAGTGATACTTACGAAGTACGGTTTTCTTGGAAGGGTCCGCTAAGAAATCGATTATTTTAGTCGAAGCCAAAGTGAAGTGCAAAAAATATGCGGATCGTCAGAAACGGTTTTTGCACTGACGTTAGAAATGGCGCGCCCATCTCACGTGATTCCATCATGACGTAACCAATGACGAAATATAATTACGTATTTATAATTCATAAGTTCTGTAACAGAGGAAGAATATGCGTCTTTAGTCAGTTGTGTTTATGATTACATACCGGGACGCCGGTACCGGTAGTATTTGAGTAAAGTTTCTCAGTCGTTAATTCTGCCCCATATTAATTCAAACGTTGATTTTCGTAGGTTATAGTTGCAATATGCCAATATATATATAGTTGAATATTCAAACAGTAATTTCATTTTAGCTCTCTTAACACCGCTTGTGCCAACGTTTGTGCTCGGTCCTTTGACAACAAGATATGTACATAAAAACCTTAATTCACCCACTAGTTTTCACGGGGGGGTGCTGAAATGGAAGTTCAAAGACAAAGATATATAGCATTTACGCTATTTACAAAATATTCTATGTCCAGAAATATCAAAATTAACTTGTTTACGATGCAAAAGAAATTTTATCAAAACTTAAAGGCCGGTGTTCGTTGGCTCCACGCGGGGGAATTTTAAAAACATGTTCTTTATCAAAATTTGTCGCATTGTATGTTCTAATCATTGGTTCTAATTACTCCGGCGTCAGCGACGGAGTTGAAAATTCGCCCCGGTTTTGTTTTGTTTTTGTTTTTTTTTTTTTTATTTTTTTTTTTATTATTTTTCGTCGTCGCAAGTCTGTAATGGCGCGAAATATACTAGTATTTGAATAGTGTATGTGATCGTATTTATCTACGTCCCAGTCTTATCTCCCAAGAGTTGTGGTGCACAGCTTTGGCTAATTTTCCAATGCGCGATTCGATTTCGCTCGCATGATATGGCAATTCCTCCAAGAGGAACAAATAAACCGTTCTTTTTATGCTGTTCGATTAAGTTTAGATTGAATTGGGGTAAGAATATATTTAATACATGTAGACTCGGTCCTATTTTAATAATATCGCTGCTATTTCGCCGTTTAACAAGATGATGTGGTCGTGTATGGGCGCGTTGACACGTCGCGTAGTTTGCACAGGATCGAAGATTTAATACAACTATATATAAGCGCGAATTCCAAAGGCAAAGTGTAAGACGAAGCGAATGTATCATGCGGTTTATTTACATTTTTGAACAATTGAACTTCTATACTGCGATGTGCTTCTGAATTTTGCGATCGAACATTTAGGTTCGCAAGGCATCTAAATGCGAATATGTATGCGAAACAATACGCGAACTGTATTGTTTATGTTCAGAAGCTCTATATTGAAGACTGGCACGTGCGCCGGAGTTAACGCCAGAACGGCGTCTTGTTGACTAAAAGGTCGTTCTAATTTGTAAAGACAGTCACTATTTCATTGCCTCTTTCAATCAATAAGGTGTATATGGCTGCTATGGTTATGTATAGGCACAGTCCAACCCTTTTTTCACGAGGTCTTATTGGAAGAGGTGGTCTTTGTTTTAGAGTATTACGCGCATCTCTCTTTCTCGAAATAACCGGCTTCTTAGGTCTTTACATAGATAATATTTTAAAATAGCTATGAATCTTTATATCATAGTTATCGATTTTACCTAAGGTGTGGTCAAAGCATGCTTCAGATTGGTCAGTGTCCCAATTGACCAATCAGGATCGTGCTTTGTCTGTAAACAATACGTCATAGCACGTAGGACACTTTTATAGCGATCTATATTTAAACGTTTTAAGTATCTATTTTTTTTCATCAGGACGTCACTGAAAAATATACATTAGATACGTTTTTAAGCTTCTTTTATATAAAAAATCACGGGAATGTCAACGCTATGCCGGGATTGTTCGGTATAAAAAAATGTACCGTCAACATCAAACTCTCACTTCAAACAGACCACACCTGATTTGAAAATATCACGTATACACAGCAGACAACAGGATACATAATTAATCCATTTCCGGAACTAATACATTATCGAATATGCCGGTCTTGCCGGCAGTGGCGTCGCTAGGGGGGGAACTGGGGGGGACTCGTCCCCCCCATTTATTCTAAAGACCACTTTTGGGATTTTTCTAAATCTGAAGAGAAAAGGGGGGGGGGTACAATGATTCTAATTTCCAACAGCAGAGTGAAATAATAAAGAAATTTTCGAATTAACATTACTTTTGATCACGTAGAGAATAGCATTAGAATAACATAGTCAGCATATAGAAAGAGACATTGCTGATAAAATTGAGTTGGATGCTCTTGTTGACACATTTAGATTAGGCTGATTAGCTAACAACAAAAAGTTCCCCTTGTAAAAACTGTTTGTTTATAACAAAAATCTCCGATCTGTGGCTTTCGGATTGTCATAAAACTTGGCTGAAAATGCGGGAAATAGCGTTTTAGAGACCCTAGAAATAAAAATTTTCTCGGGGGTGAATGCCCCCGAGCCCCCCTAGAGGTCTTGCGCTTTGGTGCCTCGTCCCCCCCAGTCTGAGCAACCTGGCGACGCCACTGCTTGCCGGAGTAATTATGTATTTTATGAGTTATGTTTGCATCGTGTCCCAACTCAATCCCAAGGTCTTGTGATTATATCGACGCAGGTAATAGTATTTTACTAAAGTTTCTCGTTTCTGGCCCGTATTGATTCAAACGTTGATTTTCGTAGCTTATAGTTATTATTTCGACGTGACTACTGAAGAGAGTGAAAAAACTGGTTCGCATAAAACGAACGAATATAGTCGCATTAAACAACTATAACTTGCTTTTTCAAAATTGTTCGTGATTCGTCGATTTCTGATGCTCTACCCTGACCAGACACTGACACTGTAATTACTTTTTTTACCTCATTGTATAATATTGTCCCGAACGAACGATTTCTGATATTTTTCTTAGCCAGTTACATTGCGCAAAAGGAGGGGGGGTGGGGACGAGCTGAAATGGAAGTTCATAGATGTATAGTATTTACGCTATTTACAAAATATTCTTTGAAGTTGATGAGTTCACGGCAACCAGGTATATAATCCATCGCAATTATCGCTACTCTGGTTTTAATAAATGAAAGCGGTAATCACCACACAAAGATTAACTTTCACGATTATCTTTGTCCAGAAATATCAAAATTCACTGGTTTACAATTCTTTTTGATCTTGTGAAAACTTAATTATATAATATATAAACAGACTCAGACATTTCCTGACTTACTTACTTGATCAGTTAACAAAATATAAGATTATTACTGGTATACACTGATTGTAATTCATTTATATTACAATTACCACCCAGCACGCAGATTTCGGTAGCGTCTTCACGAACAGACGCCCACTAAATTTCTGAATGAAACAAGGTTTTGACTAAGCTAGTTCTAGACTTTCCGATGCAATTGTAAACATATAAAGCCTTTCAGTCCTCTGTAATCTGCTTTTCCGTTTCTAGAATAAGGAAATCCAAATCAAGTGCGATGGAAGAACGACTGGGCAATGCTCGCCTGATGCATCATGACCTTCATGCAATAGGAAATTATTCGGTTTGAATAACGTTTTTTGACCTATTAATTATATACATACGTCAGTTTGCGGTTACATGAAATACGTCCTAGCCATTTAATTAAATTTGTTTCTCTCAGTCAAAATACTTCGCCGTGTTTAACTGGACAGAATTCATGCATGCAGATAAATTTTTCGTAAACATCGATTTTATAAATCACAGCATCGGCCAAGGCAAGAATCACATTGGCAAATTGCAAGATTATGTACGGTACTTGCTTCATGATTATATAATTGTATACTAATTCAAGCATTCATTCATGAGAATTGTATTGTCTCAGTGGAGGGTCGATTTCAAATTTCAAAATATTGTTCCATGATATAAATAATTGAAAACACCGTAACCTAATCTAGCATACAGATGAGTTATCTCAACGTTTCGCGGCGTCCCCGAGTCATGTGAATCAATCATTTGTCTTTTTTTTATGACTTACTTACGTATCAACCCAAGTAATGCAATATATATTTATGTTTTCTGCGAGGCATTTCTGTCCCCTTGACATTGCTTGAACCCTTTCTATATATATATATATTTGAGCATATGCATGTTTGAAACGTGTCAACGAGGAAAAAGTGCATGCGTGTCGCAAACCTATACGATGAAACCAATAGGGTGCTCAGTGCTAGTTTATTGCCTTCCTTCAGTGTCGGTCTTGACTGCTGAAGAGCACGACCATCATAGCCCCTCTTAGATGAAAACCGATATTCACAAAGACACTGTTTCTGGTTAACTCTCTCGAATGGATGCACTAGAAAATATATACCTCTCCTATATGCAGATGCTTGCAAATAAGCCAGCATTGCATGTATATCATCTAATTAACACTGTACAGTTAACTCAAAGCACTGCTTGAGAACCACACTCGAAGTTGGAGAGTTCAGAGCACGCCGCACGAGTGTTAACCACGAGCGGTATTTCAATCAATTTTGCGATGGATAATTTCATTGGGTAGTTTGCATGGTGAAGTGATACCATCTTTCAATACCGCGTTTTACAATATCTATGTTAACTTCAAGTTTTTAAGTGGCTATAAGCAATATTAACGTTGAACGTACATATATTAGTTTAATTGATTTGCCCTTGGCCTTCATCGGATAGCACTACTACCCAATCAAATACTCAGTAATGGTCGTGTAATATTTGCTACATTTATTCCCTCAACGCCACCGGTATGATTGTGTGAACGTGCTGAGGTGCATGCAGGCATTATATGCATGGGCAACTTGAAGAAATAGAAATCACTTCTCGTAACACGGATATCTTCAGATATTTAATCATTTCAATGAGTTTTTCTTGTTCTAGAATCCTGGGTATTGTTAGGTATATAAGTACATTGGCACACGTTTTGCCAAGTATATTTTGCCAACTATTCATATCGTTGACCTAAATTACATGCATGCATTCGTGCATATCATAATCGGTAAAAAATCTGCCAAAAGTCGTGCGTAACAGGTTCTAAAATAGATTTTTTATATAGCCCTATATAGGCTGAATTTGAAAAGAAAGTTGAAAATAACTTGATATATAGAAATTAACATTTGATTAGTTTCAGTGCTCAACGTTCTAGCCAAATTAAAATCGAAAAGTCATTAATAAAAAGTCAATCTCTTCCTTGCTCTATATAGTCTTAGACCATTCTTGGCTGTTGCGTAATTGCACAGCCTTTGTTTCGATCTAACACAATATATCCTAGGATTTATCAAGACGTCTTTCACAGTTCAAACCATGAATTGTTTCATATATGCAGTATATTTAGATTGAACTTTATCCCACTTCCTCAGTCGACTACATAGTACAATTCACGTCTTTTATTTTCACTACAAAAGGAACAGCATTAATCGGTGATACTTGTTACTTAAGAGGTCGAAATTCAGGAGAATTCAGTTGACTATTTCTGTTTAGAAACATGCTTATAATATATATTCCCATTTTTCATGATTGTGGACTTTGTTGACTCCACCGTATATAACTTTTCCCGGCTTCACCAGAATATTCACATGAAGACGTCGCAGCAGCCACCCACTCGTTTTCCTCAAGTATGGGAGGGGCTTCCACCGGAACGATAAATGCATTCCACTCTTAAAACTTACGTATATTTGGCAGCCGTCAAATAAAAACATTATATCAAGTGTTGAGACTAAAAGTCATCGAGTGGACACAATATCTAGTACAATACACTTCGTGAGTTTTGACATACAACGGGTGATAACAATTCATATAGAGCACAAAGGCCGGCCACAAAGCAATACGGATATTCACACCTCATAGCGCGGTAGTTATATACATGCAACGTATGATACCAGTCATACGACAATGGTATCTATTATTGACATAACGTTTGTGTTCGTATTTTTAATCCACGTATGTGTTTCGCAAAGCGCTTGGAATGAGAACAGCGATTTGCGAGCGAGCAGAAGCGCTCTGATGAAATCCCTTGGACTAAAACGTGTTCCTCGTAATGTTGCAAGCCAAAGTGAGTTTCTGTTGAGAAGATATTCTGCTCCTAAGTTCATGATGGGCCTGTTCAGGGAAGTCAATAGCGACCGATTCAGCCATCCTGTGAATTCTGCTCCTGCGGCCGCCTCTACCAAGAACAGCAGCTACGGGAACGTTGACCATTACGAAATTGAGAGGAAATATTTAGACGAAACTAAAGTGGACACCGTAATTAGCTTCTTCAAATATGGTAAGAAACTTCAACTTTTATCTCTTGACAGTCTTGTTATTTTTATTGGATTTATTTTCAGTTTTTATTAATTGTAATCCACTCGAATCTTGATTATGCGAAAATTACCTGATTTTCAATCGATTCCATGCCACCATATACATATCAAGTTTACATAGCCATTTACGGGTTTCGTTGTCAGTAAATATTAGTATAAATCAATACAGATTACTCATCTCGAGGAATTTTTTTAAGTGCTTTCAGTTAAGTTATAGATGTCTCTTGAACTGCTGAAATGTTTTTTGAGATTATGTCTAGAGCTAAAGTAGTACTCTTCACTTTTTAAACTGTGATGTTCCTTCACCTGCACAAACAAAACATGTTAGAACAGCATTGTCGTCAGCCAGCAAATTGTTAAAATGCCAACGATCAGAAGAGTTTTGGAGATACTGTATCGTAAATATGAGAAATTTCGTGCAGTAAGACATGCAGTTTATATTCCTGTATTTGAAACTTTGAAACTGCAAAGAGCTCGTGTCGAAGAGCAGATGAACTGAACTCGTTCTGTCTGCATGGGAATTTTGTGGTTTCTCAAAAAAAAAACAATCACGTCTGCTTTGTTTATTTTGTCTATGTGAACATCAGAATGAACCATATATACCTATTTTAATTGTAGCTACATAATTGCATGAATTATTTTTGAAACAGACGTTCAAACAAACATAATTTCAACGCACTTCAATTTGTTTATCTCGTTTAAAAATCCAACTGTCTCAAACACGATTCCTATGAAGATTTTATATAATTGAGGAAGAATGATATATAAAACTTAAGTTTTCGCATTTTTGCATATATTATATATAATACTACGATATTATCAGACACATTAAATCATTATAGTTGTTATTCAAACACTTTTCTATAGGAAATTCCGGCTTCAATTATCGGTTCAGTTGTCTACATAATATGTTAAATAATTTGGCTTTACAATTGCAGTAATATAAAAAAATGAATATTATGGGTTAACAATTACTAGGGGTTTTTTGTTCGAATTACAAAGCACCCACACAAATTCATACATCATGTAAGGTCGAATATTATATACACGAATGAGTCTCAAAGTAAATATATAGTTTATATATAGTAGCTATATAGAATATATGCATGGTTTGCTTTTTATCCTCACACGGTTGCGTAACTGACCTGGTATTCAAGAATTGTTTTTGAAGGTCATCAACATGCATAACATTTCTATAAAAGTGTCGCTTTGTAGAAAAAAGAAGAATCTTTGGTTAACCATTAAAATTTTCCACTTTGCCACTTAAAATATGATCTAATACGATCAAAGACTAAATAGTCTTGGCAAATTGTCCGGCATTTTTGACTTGAGCGCCAAAATAGTTTCGAAATCAGATGTTTTCTTATGCTTTGTCACAAGGTTGTTAGAATATATGCATGCATGCAGATTGTTTTAAATAATAAGTACGTGGCCATGCATTTCAGACTGATTTCAGAACTGCTGACGTCTCATTGAATTTTCCTTGTTTAACCAGCTATAGTTTCTTTCTGAAAAACAATATGACTCTGTATTATAGTCTGATAAGATACTTAAACAGGAATTAGGTGATCAGGAAGCTGGACCAGGCTAATATCGTCAAAAGCGTATTTTTTTATATTGTCGGCACGTTGAGAATTTGGCGCGAAAATGGACGCGGAAGACGACTGCAAGGTGATGACGTGCATGATAATATACTGCGAGAAAATGAAGCTTTATACTAAGTCAAAATACTGAGTTATCTGTTATTAGATATAGTTGAAACTACGTTTGCCTGATAAATGCATTAAAAGTAATTGGAAAAGGCATCTTGACCGCAGCAAACTATAATGTTTAAGGGGAAAAAAGGTCGAATATCAATATCTATGTATAACTTATCATCCAATATGGCGCCGCAACTAATAGCCTGTGATTCTTTCGAATTTCGTACGTTAAATGCGGTCATTGAAGGGCAGGACTTGCATTGTAAAAAGCATTATTATAAAGAAGAGCTTTTCTCCATGCAGGAACTTTTATTGTTTTCCGATAGTTCCTCATACTAAAAACACAAAGGAATCGAGTTTGTTTGATGTAGAATCATCAAACAAATATGGAAGTATTTGTTGTGAAATGTGAATGACAATATATAGTGGCTTATTTGGATGTAAGAATTCTTTACAGCTGTAACTAACTATGCATCTATCTTGCAAGTCTTTGTTTATATTATATCTGTGTAACTTTCATTTCTACCTCTTGACGTCATTGGCTAAGTAGTGGTGAATATGACCGCCTCTCATATCAACATGTTTTCAAAGACCGACATATCTCATCTTGACAATCATGCATGCTTGTTATATTTGAATGCGGAGTCGATTTAGCCGAGCCCTTAAACCAATAACTATTGTATGTTCGGAAATAGGGCATTTCCTTTCCAATATTGTCCAAATATCATCCATAAACGACTTTGTCAAACCACAGATTGTGGGACCAGCAATATACTCAATAGAAAATTTTCTGAAACAATGGAATATTGCCTGTTTTTATACACAAAAGTTTATATTATAGACTTTCTTTCAATATTCATTTCAAATTGAACTGCATGCCTGTTAATTAATACAGTTTTATAAAGATGTTTACATGCCCTTGGCCTTTTGTGAAATCTACATGATTATTACAAAAAAACAACGACAATTGTCGAGCCAGACAAAATAAAATATATTCATTTGATATAGGATTGAAATATAGTAGGATTTGCAATCGAAAAAAATAAAGCGAGAAAATAAAGAAATAAACGAAATTTAACTAAACAGGGCTTTTGATGTAAACACAAAATATGTACATATAATTCAGCAATGATTTCACTTATCATGTACGTGAGATTTTTAGTTCAATCAAATCAAATTTTACAAAGTTATTTGATCACAAAAAGATGTCAAATTTTTGAAAGCACCAAACATATAACATAAGGAACGCCCCGAGGGTAGAATTCATGTTTATGTTATGACGTTATCTCGAATTATTTCCAAATTTTTTTTGCACTCAGACAATGTTGACATCCTCAACTATAATGAAAAAGCGTAAAATGAGGACCGAATCTGTCAAAAAAAGCTTTCAACGCTGATAAGAAAATCTCAGACTCAGTTTAATAAAATCGGATTAACCTAAGTTAAACCAGAAGTCATCATAAAATGATAAACAAACAGTCCATATCAATAATAGATCGATAGATTGCTTATGGATGGATGATTTATTTGACAAAAAGGCTAAATTGTTAAGGCATATAGGCTGATATAAAAACTAGTTGATAATATGTTATATGTTCAAGAACAATACTGACTATTTATTTTAATATTTTTATGAAAATCCTTGAGCTAACCATTGAGCATTATCCTCTGTAGACCACGACAAAAGCTGGAATCGTATTCACAAAGAGTTCAAAATAAAGTTTAAGACAAATTTCAACTCTCAAGAAGATATTGTAAAAGGCGGGGAACTGAAGCTTTTCAAAAGAGGCCCGAGGAATCGAAATATGACCCACGAATTGTGTTCTGTTGCTGTTTACCTTATTACGGCGGAGGAAAAACCGGCGAAACTTCTCGATAAGCGCGAGGTACACGCGTGGAAAACGGGTTGGCAGACCTTCAACATAACCGACGCTATCAGAATGTGGGCTGTGTTTCCGCAGACCAACTACGGGCTCAAGGTAGTTGTTCATCACATCCACGAGGAGTTGAGCCCAAGCGCTTTTGGGATTGTGGGTACGCGCGGGAATTTGGCGAAGCGGCCGTACATCATTGCTTTCGTTGCGACCACACGTGTTTTTCCCACGTTCTCATCGGAGCTCCTGGCGCACTCGCGTGATCGTCGCGACACGCGTGAGAAACGCGAGGACTCAACGAACAACTGCAAACTGAAGAAATTTTATGTTTCATTCAAAGAAATCGGTTTAGACGGGTCGATAATCGCACCAAAGGGATATGAGATGTCTTTCTGTCAAGGTTTGTGCGTCCACCCTTTCGATGCTGTTCCCCACACAAGCCATGCGATAGTGCAAAGCTTGTATCATTTATATGATTCTTCGACCCCAGAGCCGTGCTGTGTCCCAGGTCGTATGAAATCTGAAAATCTGCTGTTTTTTGACAACGACAAGAATATCGTTTTAAAACAACACCCGGACATGACTGCCACGTCTTGTGCATGCAATTAGCGTAGCCTACGCCTACTTCGATGGAAAATCTACGCCTACTTCGATGGAAAATCCCTAAATTGAAAAACAAAGTAGTATGCCGTCATCCTTCGGTACCTTCTTGGTATATGAGGGACTGATGTGAACATTAGAGGGTTATTGAGGGTAGATTAGGGGAATTGAGGCGATCATTGAATCTTTAAATCCATCTCACGAGATAACGTTTTCTGCAACAAGGAGGGATTTTGGTTTAAACTAATCAGCAAATTTGTTTACATTTTCAGTAACCTAATAAAAATACATAAACTCAGACTACATGAGATATAAAGGTACATTATTTAGCATTGTAAATAAAATATTAAAAATTAGCAGTCTGATTGATTTGTAAACAAGTTTGCCAAGTCATTTCATGAAGATTACTGGAGTGATTACAGTACACTCCATAACTGATAAATTTAGCCTTTTTTACATCATCCACGTGGTAGCGACCATGAAACGATTACACCACGACCTGTTAGCATTCGTAACGTAAACATATATAATCTATATAATAATTTTATTATAATATAATCATGTACATACATATATTAATGCTTTATTATATATCATATATAAAATGTAACTATGCATATCATTCCGTGTAAACATAAAAATATAGCAGGATTTATTTGTAAGATATATTTCTATCATAAATATCCGTAATAAATGTTAATAAAAAATTCTGGCGTTGTCATTTCAAACTTTTATATCATCTAAATCCAAATAGATTTTAATGTTCCTATTTTTCGGCCAGTGTGGATATAAATGTATGTAAGTTACAATTTAGCTAAGTATTGATCCATTTAAAAGTATATGACATTTTTGAGTTATAACAATATTGTTGCAATATATCACGACTAATTGTTACTTTTTGTAAGACATTTGCTACAATTTGCAACATATTTTTGTCACAATTCATCACGACATACCTCATTCGCAGTCTTTTTACTGGATGGTCTAATAAACATGTTTCAACTCGTTTTGAGCATTGAAGTAACTCGGTAAAGTAATATAATTTTATGTTACAGTGTTTTAAAACACAAAGTGCCCTATTTCCCGGTCTATAAACTGACGGGGACTTCGCCTAAAATAGGCAAATTGGTAAATGCGAAAACATGCATGTATATTTTACAAGTATTCGTTGCTTTTGGGCAAAGTTTAGCTTGCCAGATGACCGAAGTGCCTGGTTTAATGGCAACCGCATGAGTTCACAATCATGTCCTTAAATTTCTTCAAAACGACATTTTTGTTTTCATCGTAGAAGAGAACTGAGATCGGGTTGAGTGTGGTCGGCGCGCAGCAAGGTGCTGGGGCCGAATGAGGGTTAAGGAGGTTCACCAACGTTTGGACGATCGCGTGATTCGTCGCGTTCCGTCTCGTGTACGTCGCGTACGTGCATTCTCCGGCGCAATACCAGGAATCGTAGCCGTCCGGGGCGATTATCCAACTTTCCCATTCCAAGTCTTGAAAGTCGACGTAAAGACGACGCTTTTTACATTCGGTCGAAGACGCTGTGTTTCCATATTTCATGTGACCCGGGTTGAACAGCGATCGCTTTCTCCTGCGACTCGAAGCCTGAATGACCACGCCCTTTTCTGTAGGATCCCCCTTGAAAAAGCTCACGATAAACGGCCGCTCGTCATAGGGTCCTTTAAAACCGATGAAACCCAACTTACTTGGGTCGACTGGAATCGAGAGCCCCTTTGCGCGGGGAAAGGTAACCGACAGCTCCAAACCATTGTTATTTCCGGGAGAAATTATCCACAAATCAATCGTACTCTTGACGTCGAAGATCTCCCAACCAATCTTCGAGCCCTGGATGTACCGCTCCACAAGGGTGGTGCTAAGCTGTCCTGGAATCGTGACTATGGACAGCTTGACCAAGAACGTGGCGTTTTGCATCCACGTGCGGCTGGGGCCGGTTTTGTAAATGCGGAATTCGGCTGCTTCGACGCTGTCACCAGCTTTGATCTTTGCCGTAAAGTTGAACTTGAATTTCATGTGGAAATGTGAGGTAACGTTGTCCGGAACTAAAACAAAATGAAGTCATGGATTAACTGAGCTCTCTCATCATGGAATTCATGTAATTGGTGGATGGATTATATTATCGGAGGAGTGCATGACGATCAAGATTTATGTGGTTAAACAGTCTCAGGGGAACCCGACATTAAAGTTATTTTCGTAGATAACAAAAATATACCAGTTTTATACTTGCCGTCCAACTATGCATGCAGCTGTCGCTAACAATGACCGAACAATGTGCTTAAAGACCGCAAATTAAAATGATGGCAGTGTAGCTACATGGAATTCTCCCATCAACGAATTTAACGACACCCCGAATGAGGGAATAATCTTAGCAGATATCTCTAGAAGCATAGAACGTTTTCCGTCAATGAACCAAATGCCCAGCTCATATCTCGCAGTTTCATTGTTCAGAAGTTGGACACGAAAATATTTGTGCAATTCCCACAGCATTGCCGGGTGAAAAGGTTTCAAGACGCGCAAAAGGCCACAAAATTTTGATCTATGTCGGGAATTTTTAGGAAGAAAAATATTTGACAGGACAGGCCACCTGTGTAAATGATAAGAAACGCCATCGTAATGAAGTGTCACGTTTTCAGAGATAAATATCTCTCGCTTATCTTAAAATTAATCAGGAATGGATGAAAGAAACTCGATCAAGGTGTGATCGACCATTTATAGCAATCCGCAATTGCTGTTCGAAAACACAGGCATGTGTGTACCGTGCGAATGTGAAGCATGTTGAGGTGAGCATTGCTGTAGTCACTGGATACGAGGTTGATCTATGACTACCCAGCTTTCAGGAAAGTCTCGAAGAGTTAGTCGCTTCGGTAAAGCTCTACAGTCGCTATTTTAAGACTAGCTTTTTTGTAAACGACTCAAGAATCTGAGTTATGCGGGAAAAATTTTACAAATACCTAACAGCAATGATTTGTATATAATGAATCAATGAATCAATTGGTGTATTGATTATGGTTACAAATATACCACCACTTTTAGCCATGAATTAACCTTGTACCACTCTATCGCGCTGTAAAAATGATCCATTTATTGCCTCGGACAAAATGTGGCTTTAAATTAACGATTGTCTCATTCGACACACTCATTAAAACTGCCTAATCGTGATTTAATGATGCTGGTATTCATTAAAAAAACGGACAGGTTGCAAAGAAATATAAACAATATAACATCATCCATTGTACTTAGGAAAGTAAACTTAAAATCACTTGTTTTACGTGTCAAAAGATTTTTTAAACTCGTCTACAGTTGTTCTAGCAACCATTTTTGGTGGTAAACAACTTCAAAACACAGGAAGTACTAATAGAGGAGACTCTTTAAATTCGGCGCATTGCATAATCAGTTTAAATCATTTACAGATAAACAGATGGTTGCTTTCTAGAGAGAAAAAAGCAGTGGCATTTTGAAAAGCTACTTTCGTAGTTTTTTGGGCATTTTATTCAAGTACGCCATAGGAAAGGGTAGTTTGGAATCACAATGTTCAATCTTTTGATGAATTGGTCAACACTTGAAAATCTTGATATTGAAAATTCTGGTCATCGAACTCTGCATTAAATTCTTGACAAAACGAAGGATCGACAGTTTCTGCTAAGTCTGACCGTTATTACCCCCTGAACCCCCCTAAACCGAATACCAAATCAGGTTCTGTGAAATCCAGGCAAAATATGTTCAAACAATCAATCACTCCATCAATCATACTTTATTCTGAAGATCCTCTTAAAGCATTTCCAACACGATTTTGCCATAAACACGAGGGATTTTTCATTTATCTTATTCAGAACGCAATAAAATAACAAACAAGTGTATGACGCGATTGAAATACTTAAAATACTTGAATGATTTGAGATCATTAAATTGTCATTATGTTTTCATGTTATTAACTGCTCAAATGGGACTCCCGCAAACACAATTGTTAGGCAACGCTAGGGTCCTTGTATAAGTTAGAATTGTCTTTGTTTTTCTAATATTCACTATTAACCACAGCGTTTTATTGATTTCGCTCGATTATTTTTAACTGCATGCATGACATGTGTGACAGCCAGTGGCTAACAATCGTTCGGACCGCGCATCAACTACGATGTTGAATTGACTGGGGGCTACCTACCTAACATAACCAGATTTGACCCCATGATTTGTGATAGCGTTGAAAATGCGCAAAAATCTTCATTGGCAAATTTCAGCCGATTTAAATCGAAACTAAACAACTTATTCTTCGAAAATTTGTTTTGTTTGAAAGCTGAATCCACAGTATGGGGTTCCAAACAAACACATTTTTTTAAAAATTCAGATGCAAATGATTCACAGACAATTCTTTTCTATAAATTAAAATATTTTATCAATTGAAGTGGATTATCAGTGGTAATTCCTTATCTGTGCAGTCTGGTCATTTTGTATATCGTATAGAATAAGTTTATCGTACAATTTGAGAACTATTTTGTTACTTCTTGGCAAGTAAATATCAATTGTAATCTATTCGCTTGCAATGCGCTAAGTTTTATGATGTAATTTATCAATAAAAGCAGTAAATTTGATATTTATATAATCCTAAGAGTATACAAATCAATACTTCACATGCACATAAGAATGTAGTAATAATTCTCCCAGGCTATTAACATCGATCAGATATCGGAAGAGCAAATTTCCTTCAAGTCTGTTCCTCTCAGATATAATGGCGTCAAATACATGATAAACCTTAGTGTCGGTTTTGCTCAAACCCCGTCAGTATGCAAAATATGTAAAAATTGTACGAAGAACGGATTGTTTAGACTCGCAAAAATTGTCGTGGTAGTAGCTATACATAAGACGCCATTGTGGTGTTTAAGCGCGAGCAAGCACCAAAGCCAGATCTCGCTAGAAAATCTAACACTTCATTCCACTAGAGTAAAGAGCAATTAAAGGTTATTTATGAGACTATTAAGTGGGAAATTTTATCGGAAAATCAATGGACAATGACTAACTCCTTTAAGAGCGAGCACCTTGGATGCCCTGGAGCTAAAATCTGCAACTTCTTCATGCCAACAATGACAACGCAAACTTCTTCATGTGGGAGACCAATTTCCTTGCATCCCCACTTGCTATACACTCGAAATTTATGTATCTCGATTATACATATCCTGGCAGCCGTCGTAGTATACAAACTATACATGATATAATATCTCTTTGTAACGAAAAAGATGTTTAAAGGTGTTACAGATTGACAAATTATAGATAAGCATATTGGTCCAACTTCATTAATGCGCTGTTACGTAGCTGAAAAACGAGTTAAGACAAAGAATAAACTTTCCAGGTTGAAGGAAAACAAAAGAAAGAATACCACCGAAACTAAAAATTTTGATGGTATCCTAGACCAATTGACTCGCAAAAACAGGTTAGTTCCCTGGTGTCATGAGTGACTACCTCTCGGTAGAAAGGCTTTGTCAAGCTCGCAGCTTTCCTGCGGTAAAACGGGCCAAAACCAAACGTGGAGTTTTTCAATGTGCGCTTTATTTTTTGCGCTATTTATTTATTACAGCAGTGTGCAGTTATTGAGACTCTGGGAACAATTGGCGACAAGCTGAGAACGAGCGGAAATAATCACGCCACGGCTTCGGGATGTTTCAATGTTGATTTATGAACCGATTCGTGTACTTTTTGTTTTGAATTATTGCCTTCATTACCAAATCATTACCTACGCCAAGCGATCTCTCGCGCCAAAAATTGATGCGTGCGCTATATACATCTGTTGACGCGCGATAAATCTCGAACCGTCTAGTAAGATAATAGCTACACTCTCAAACGGTGTTTCGAAATAAAAAATTGACAGGGTTGTAGTAGATGAACCTCGTATTTCCCCATAATCTGGCAATCCAGTATGTCTGAGACTTTTAAATATAATCGTGTTTATTTTTTACCATATATAATTGACACGCACATATATAAACACTGTCGTATATGGTAAGTTATATTTTATAACCATGCATTTGTTCTGGCTAAATCATTGATGGCTTAATCCTCGTACAGGGGTAAAGCTTTTCGACGCGTGAAAGACCACTGTTAAAATATTATATTATATAGCTCTTTTAATCTCAATGAAAAAAGACTCTTTAAACCATTTAAGTAACAAAACTCGATAATATTTATGTCGTGGTGGCAAAGGTTACAACGGTTCATTGCAAAGTCCTAGTGAATATCTCAGTTTTGGCAACGGACTGTTCTAAACGTTCTTTTATCCCTGATTTGTTCATGGAAAAGACACTCTTTGAACCTTTTAAAGGAACGTGGCATTATTTAAATTGATAATATTTGGCGTTTGGTCGTTGAAGGTTGCAATGTATGGTTGCAAAGTCCTTTTAAATTGAGCTGCTTTGGCAACGGGTTGTTTTGTTCGTCAGTTTATCCCAGACTTAAAATATTTTTAGCCTTATAACGATATGTATGTCAACAAAGCAATCAAAAATTGCCAAATATATCCATAGTACGGACCAAAACGCGGTACAGCCAATACTAGGCTGTTCTATAAAAATACCAACCAGTTGCGTATGTCGTTACATGTTAACTCGTTCAGTCTGTTGGGCTGTTACACTGCCCATAGTTCTTTAATATTAACACTTTCTTAAGTGCAGTCCTAGCATTGAAAAATGTCTAGAATGTTTCTAGAATTTCGCTGTATCAAGTTTTTGAGTAAAAGGGCATAGGATGTTCATGTGCGCGCCGTTTTGGAATGAAATTTGTGAAGTCTTAAATTCGTATGCAAAAATACAAGAGATTTTTGATACGAAATTGACCTTAAATGTTCGATCTATTGACACCGTGTTCAGTGGTAAATCGCGTATAATGGAGATATTTAGCATAATTCCATAGCTCTTATATCGAGTGTCATTACATTTAACATCAAACACCTCGGTTAGCGAAGCGAATGAAGAAATATCGAGTGAAGTTCACCCACATCGAAACTGGGTAACGCATAACATGTTTCCGAAACACGCATTCCGTGCAGCATAAATCCAGTCAAAACAAAACAAGGAATAATAATATGAATTAAAAATGCGATTTCCTATCCGAAAAATTTTGTTTATTTGCCTTCTGACAATAAATATAAACAAGTTCGCACGCAGACATAACTTACCATCGTTTAATATACCCATTATCGTGTCTACCTTTTCCACGCGTCCGTTTGCGGTTGTTATATTTGAAACATTAAAGCCAGGCGAATTATCCTTCGTCACATCCTCGTTCAGATTTTCATACAAATTCCTCATGTATCGAGCTGCGGCGAGTTGGTCTGTGAAGTTCATACGAAAAATGTTGTTGTCGTTCAAATGCGGTTGCACAAGATCCATGGAAAGAATTGGTCGGTTCACCTTCACTTGCGTGTTGGTAACCTCTCTCGGAAAGACACACAGAATTAGAAGCAAAATGACAGCGAAGTTTGTCGAAGGAGATGCGAGTCTTCGTGCGAACTCCATTATTTGCGTTCCGTTTTAACACGAAGCTCCGCTCAGCAGTATACGTATCCTTCTCTGTGTAAAATTACAATTCCACCAACAACGTTGACTCCTTTTTAACACTTCCCCACGCGTCGTATCGAGAATCGACTCGCGTAGAATATAAACGCTTTCGGCTGTTCCCACGTTCCTGGCAAGGAAACGCTCAGCTTTTAAGCTGGCAGAAGCCCTGTGACATTCTGTTAATCTGCGGCGCAACCAATCAGAAGTCAAGCAGAGTTCTTACATTATCGCTCATGCTTGTCTCCGATTGCAACTTAATATGTCAAACACACCGTCAAAATCGCGAGTAAACGTTTGATAAACTCTAAAGGGGCCGGGTTTCATCGCGAAGTTACCCCACAGGGTACTCAGAACATTCAGCGACGCGACTCTTTTCCTCTTGGCATAACCTCAAGCTTTTTTACACAAAAGCGACGGCTTCCCCCACAACGTTTTAACAACAGGCCACTTTAACGCCGATATCCTTCCAAGCTTCCAATTTTTAAGGATTTTTTTTATATTTTTCGCCTCGATGCGTTTCGTATTTCAACCCCCAACGGTCGACTGTGTCAACTTATTTAATTATATAAGCCTGGCATGTTGATACAAGGTATCAGTTTTGTGGGCCAACAGCAGGGTTTGTGTTGTTCCTTTGTATAATATATTCGTATCACACGTCGGCCGCTACTGCATTGAGAGAGTTTCCGCAATCGCTCTAAGCAATTTGAGATGTTTTGGTGAGCGTGGGCCGCCTGGCTTTGTAATGAACTCCAGACTTGAAGCAGGGCATGTAGTCTGACCCCTACACGCTGAAGACTTCTGTATTTTCGTGTGTTGTACCTCGTGGCTGAGTTGCCAAATACACCGATTCTACCGGAATTCGTATTATATCAACTATAGCCACGTTTATAGTCAATATGGCTGCAATCACAGACAGGTGTGAATGCCGACAGCATGCAGAATGCCTCTTCATTTTTAGATACAGTCGAGTTAAACAGACAAGTTTTGATAAGGATAATTAATCAGAATGCAACTTTCTTCAAAATATAATTAATTTTCAATAATAACTAATCGCCCATTGGTATGGTCATTACTGTCGATTGCTTTCAATATAGGTTGCAAACACTGCGGAAGAGCCTCTTACGCTGTCCGTCATGTCGACGAGCGTAATGAACATCAGGAGACGTTTAGGAGCGGTGTTTGGCGTTGTGATTCCTGTGTTTTATTAATGCATTACGTGTATGAAGAACTTGGCCACAAACTCGACAAATTTGTCCTTTTGTGCAAGAGGAAAAAGCGATGACGAACTTAGACGCTCACGTTTCCTTGGCGGTTTTTTTTTCACGAAGTCAGCGTCTTTATTTATTTTGTCTAGCTAGCTTGCCCCGACTTCAGCCAAGGTCACTTCAGCTCTAACTTTCAACAGATTAAAAGCCTTTTAATGACGCTCCTTGTAAATTAGCGCTCTTTTAGTTATGAAGTATGAACTTTTGCCTTCTGCTGCAAATTCGATCCTGGAAAGCCAATCGGTCGAAATTTTGTCCGCGCAGATGAAGAATTTGCACGGGACCGCATTTCCTCACAAATTTTGACGTAGAAATATTGAAGAATTCTGAATACTTTAGCTTTCAGTATTATGTATTAATTAAAGAAGTTTTTTTCATGTTTGGCGCGAGTATATGATTGCATATAACTTCATGATCCATAAAGTTTTGTAAATCATTTCCTTATACGTTCATGATTTGATTCAAAACTGGTTCTTTCATATTCAGTTGGTAAAAAATACTGAATTAGATTCTTTAAATGTGAAATATCATTCCTGGAAAAGTCATTTCTCATTCTTGTTATACAGGCAAAAGTTCCTTAGGATTCCTAGATTCATATATTCTTAGAAATGGTTCTATTCCAAGTCTATCACATATACCCCAGAAAAGCCCACCAAATCTATATTTACAACAAAAAAAAACAAAGCTTGCTGGGTTTGTTTACCCCATCGAAATCTCTATGGCCACAGAGGGAGTTTTGACTAGATAAACCCTTTAGATCATTAAAGAATTAATCGAATTACTTCTCTAGAAACTGTTTGAGGATACTAATCTTGAGCAGAATCTAAATCCTCCAATTACGGATACTTGCCAAGTCTACCAGACCTCTTGACGTTGTGTATATATTAAATAAGGCCCGATACTAAATTTTAGGAAGTGTAGGCCATTAGGGCGAGGGAAGTCTCGAAAAGAAGGTTCCTTTTTGATTAAATATTTCATTGAGATTTAGTCTTGAGATTTAAGTGAGGGCATGTTTGAGGAACGACTGAAAATGTTATTACTCTTCAACATTCACGAGATATGTTAGTTAAAATTATAGAACACAATTCCATTTTGTCACTGAGTGTACGAGCTTTAGGTGCACAGTCATTTCAAACTAGTGAAAAGATATTGGAACTCCAAGTGAGGAAGTTGAAAAACAAAAAAATCTTCAACAATTCATGGTGATACATGATATATTAAACAAACGAGTGATTTTTAAAGAACTTTTTCGGGCTCGACTTGCTGAAATGTTTTATGTGATATCCTTAAAAAACTTCCTGGAATGTTCCAAGACGACTAGTATTTTTGACTTGACAACAATTGTCATGTTTTGACTCGTCATTCAGTCGAGATTCAAGTGTCTTAAACTGTTGACCTCGCGTGATGACACCCATTTGTTTTAGACTATTTTCGGTCATTCTTCGGATTGCGGAAATCTTGCTGCTATTATATTCTAAATTTCATAAAATTACGAAAATGACTTCGAAATCAAATAAACGTCTCATAGTTTTATTCGGAGAAATGAGAGAATGAATAAGTATATTTTTATTTAAACTATTGAACTACTTAAGTCTTAAACAAAAAGATGCGAAATATTGCAGCCTATAAAGTTAAGTACACTTAGTCTATACATTTAGATATTTTACAACGATAACAAATATTACAAAGGATTTTATCCATTTATGCAGAGTAAAGCAGGGTATGTCCTCAAATGATCTCCATCAGTGTTAATTGTGATTATCTTTTGACATTATCACCAAAAATAATCATGAGAAAACGTTTCGGTCCGTGATTTTTTTTATCGTTTGATTCGTAGTTCATTCAAGAGCATATTTTTGTATTGTCGTTCGTCCGTTTCACAAGTGGCTCATTATATTTTTACGGCGACGAATCCAACTCGATTTCTAACGAATTAAACAAATATAAGACGTTTCTAAGATTTCGTAAACAGATCTAAATAACTTCCAATTAGTTTAATTAAATAAGAAAATATCATTTTAAGAGGATTAAAATTAAAAAAAATATGGAGACATAAACGGACCTTCGGAATTTAGTGCATAGTAACGAGGTCGCTTCATTTCAAAACACGGCAAGACAAGCACCATCAGAGAGGACCTTATATGACCATCGATAGAGTTAATCGGACCCTGTATTTTCGAATTCGTTCTATTATTATAATATTATTCTACACACGTAATTGCTTGGATATTTTTAGAACCAAATACCGGATTTTTATAGTAATTCGAGTTAAATTTGTCATGTGTTTTGCATGGTATTGCTGACACAAGTTCATTTAATAATAGTATTGATCCAATTTTTACCTCGCTTGGGGTCTCCGACTAGTGAGACTACTTTTATTATTTCGAGTACTAATGTAATAGCGGTCAGCGGACAGTACCTTAATTTTTACCGCGCTTCTGGTTTCATTGAGTTCAAAAGAGATTTTTACGTTTGTGAGGGCTGTAGAAAGTATAAAAGTCTTTTTGAAGCCTCAAAATACTCAGACGGAATCTCAAACACGCCGTTTTTCGTAATTTTTTATGTAATTTAATTTGTCGGCGGTGTTGTTCTGATGATATTTCAAAAGTACGTCACAGACGTCAGCATGATGACATCATCTAGCACAAAATATTGTCATTTGTATCTAGCAAAATCTAAAATCCGGAAAAAGGCCACTAGAGAAAGGGTAAATGTACCATTAGAGTTCATAGGCGCTAACAGAAAACGGTGTCTACGGCAATGGCATTGTTTTGTACCTATTTGTCTGAAATATCATTAACGGATATGTTTTTTTCTGACACAAGCAGTAATTTAATAAAAACACGTTGATTTGACATCCGCCTGTAAATCGATTTGATAAATGATTTCCCGTTTCACGCGCGCCAGGGGAGAGACGGAAAGGCGGAAACCATTATTAAATCATTACGCCGAAATTTTTCTTAAACAATAACTACACGCGAATTGCAACGTGGAGAAAGCCATGTGTTTAGGCTCAATGCCTTTGCGGGGATCATAGTGTTGAAAAATGCAACGATGTGACGAAATTTAAGTTAAATTTCATTCATTTTAAAGTCTATACAGGTTATTTTATATCAAGATTATTTGCTTCAAATGTTCTCTACAAAGATCCAAAGTTATAGGCTTATAGGGGTGATATCTGATATATTTTGAGATACCCACATGTTCTGTCCACATTTCATTGTTTTTTTAAAAATGCACGTGTTGAAACAGTTCCTGATACTACGATCCAAGCTATTTACCTTCTATGATGATAATTCATGTTAATACCACAGACGGAAAACTAAACCGATCAATTTCAAGGGCTGTTGTTCGAAGCAAGCTTTAGGTAAATCACAGATAGTATTCATCGAATTGTCACATTCCTCGCAGAACTTTGCTTCAATAATTCAAATCATCTGGAGAAATAACTGTTTGATGATTCTATAAGTTTAAATTGAATCAGGCATGAAAATAACTGATCCTTCAATACCCTCAGGGCTTGAAATTGATCCTCACATAAGTCCACTGTTACTAAAGGTAGAAATCTAAATATATTTTTTTCTGTACTTAATAGTTTTCATCAGGTGGACAGCGCGTGACTGCGGCAAATTCCTGCTAACATATGCTGGTTTGGTTTAGTAATTTGTTGACAACTTTCCTTTGTTTAAAATAACATTTTTTTCACAACGTTCCCATAGGTTTTAATATAAATCCTATTTAAAAATGATTAGCTTTGCGTGTAATTAATTGGTAAATCATCTCAAACAACAGTTTTTTTCGAAGCTCTATTTTAACATCCTGATCTGAAATACCTACAATTCGCGTCCTTTGAAACAACGAGGTTTTATTGGGTGTTTGTCGTCACTAATATATGTTCCTTTGAAACCTGAAATTAGTAATTTGTGGTAAAATTAATCTGTATCGATTGGTATGGATAGCCTGAAACAGGCTCATGTTTTTTTATCATAGGTTATGCTGCCCTAAAATTCGCAGGCAACCCACCTAGACATTTTAGGATGGGCGGAAAAGTAGGGCTGTTTTCAGGCTAAAATTGCCGAAATTGTGACATCCACGTTGACCAATCACAATCGAGCTTTCCGTTTCGCCTTTAATGACGAAATCACGAAAACAATATGGCGGAACAGCGAGAACAAGTCGATGTGAACAGAGGGGAAAATAATGTCCAAAATATGAACTATAACCATCCCGATTACTCGAATTATCAGCAGTATTGGCAGTATTATTACTCCTATTATATGTATTACTACAATTTTTATTATTACATGCTTTTGTGTCAGAATAATGCGGGGTTTATTGGGAATGTACCTCAACAACAGTCATTGCATCAACAACATGGAACAGTTCCTACCGCTCAGCTGAACGGTGCAAGAGTTCAGCCAAATAATGAACCAAATCTTGGACGGCGATTCTTTAATGGCGGTCTTTTTGGAGTTTTTGCCGTTGAAAGGAGGAGAGAGCCTGAGGAACGTATGTATTTGAATGCAGCAGCATTTTTATCAATGTTATATATCAAAAATAAACCTGTTCTTTATACTAGAAATAGTCACTTATCACAGATATAAATATACCTAGTTTGTGCATTCATCATTGCCATTTTAATCCACTATGCATTGTGTAGTTTCTAGGGATACTTACACACATGCAAACTTATAAACCTTTCTTTCTTAAAGGATAATTAAACTCATTTCTTTTTTAAAGGATATGAATATAGAGTTGCTCCATTAGGAAAAAGAGTGTTTGCTGAATTCATTGATTTTGTTTTCTTGTACTTTATCAAGTATTCATTATTTCTGTTATATTAGTAAGTGCAAGTTTTCTGCTATCATTCTAAATGAGTTTTTCTCCGTATGGAAATTTCCGACAGATGTCTGTTTACATTTGTACTGTGTGATAAACTTTATTGGTCCAGTTGTACAAAGATCAGGTAGCCTCATCCAACAAATATTGCTATTGAGTCCCATATAACTGGACCATTCCTGTGTAAGTTATCTGTAAGGGCTAAAAGGTTGTGATTTATTTCAGCAAGGATCCAGACAAGCTCAACACCCAGTTTCAATATATCCTGGTGATAGACGATAACACAAGCATCAAAGATCTGGAGGATGTTCTTTTTCAAGCCCTTATTTACCGGTTCATTGTGTTTCTTTATGAGGTATTTACATTTGATACACATATCTTGAGATTTCTCAAGGATAATAGCCAAATTCGGATTTAAAAAGCTACAATGACCCCACACTTAGCATCAACATAAAGGAATTTTACTTTTTTACAGGCTCTATTTATTGCCATGCCATTTCCATGTACAATTGGTGGGGCAACATTGGGGAAATACATGATGGGAATAACAGTTGTCCAATATCTTAGTTTTACACCAATTGAAGGACACAATTTACGTCGATTTACAGGATATGCCTCAAGGCTATCACTATGGCAGTATGTATTGAAAGATTTATGCATCACTATCATTGCTAAACCCTTCATAAAGTGCCTCAGGCAATCTTCATTTTAACATGTACATTGAACATTTTTTTCAAATCAATAAACCATCCAACAATACAGCTGTGTTTTTCATTATAGAGATCTTAGAATGCTGTGATTGTTTACTCTTTCTGTTTTTATTTGTATTTCAGATCATGCGTTCGAGCTACGTTGAAGAACTTCATGATTACATTTTTCTTTCCCATCATATTCACAACTATGTTCTTGCAGAATTTCCGAACGCCTTATGATTTTGTTGCGAGCTCGGTCGTTGTTGATGCTTATCCTAGAAGACTCAATCAACGACAAAACTAGCTGTAACAAACAGCAATCCTTTGCATCTACCTTTTCAGAAATAGAATAATGTGCTACAGAATAATAATGGTAGAAAACACTCTTTTGCTGGAGCGATTGTTAACCAAGTTGTAAGTAATGAAACACACTAAGATCTATTACGCTTGTACATGCTAAACGCTAGTGGAAATGTCTAGAGGTTGGAATAACTGGAGGACTTTCAATACAGAGATGCTTCCCTCCCTATAGACGTCGCTATAGTTGTATGCAGAATAGAGGTGTGATTATACAATTATATATGCAATTATGAGGCTATTAATAATCTTAGCTAAATAGCATAATATAAATAACAAAATAACTTTAATATAATATCTGTGCAGTGTACATAGTATCTATAAATCTCAAGGCACTCAATCACTCAGTAGTAATCACAGTTGCTACAAAAACATCATCTGTCGCTTGTCCTAATTTACAAGAATGATTTCACTGTTTTCTTTGTAATCGTTTTATACGGAATGCAAGGCTTGAATTTGGTTCAATATCCGCTTCAGTTACGTAGTGGGCGCAACCACCGACAGGACATCGCACACGGTTCTGCCTCACTCTGATGTGGTGGAGAATTGCAGCTTTTTCGAAACTGTGATGGCATTTCTTACTTCGCACTGGTTCAACCATTTGTTTTTGGGTCAGTGGACAGATAACTGACTCTTCCGAGGCCTGTAAAAGAATTAATGTCCTGGGATTGAATTTAGCTATCTTGACCAGACTCTCTAAGACCTAACCCCAGAGCTCCGATCTCTGGAGATATCTGTACATCCTGAATTGGTCATCAATACCTCTAATGCTCTAGAGACTACAGGCTGACCATGGACGAGGAGGAATATATGATGTTACATGTGTACACAAGGTGATGAACTAACCTGTGCAATCATAATATCTGAATCAATGGTGGCATTCTGATCTGTAGGTAAAGGCTGACCGCTATGGTGCACATTCCAAACTTGCTTGACAAACTCCTTGATGTTCGGATGTTCCTGAATGCTTTCATTCATGCTGTTCTCTTCCGTCTCATTCAGTTTGTTCATGAAGATCTCCTCAATGCTGGGTACATTTCCACTTAAAAAATTGAGGGGAAATAATTCATAATTGGTGATTCAATGAAAATTATACACATCTTGAAATTTGTCCAAATGCAGCAACCATCTAGGTCTAGTGACAATAGTTGCAAACATAGCACATTGCTGCAATATTGCTACTGTCTTTAATATATAATTAATCATGTGATTAATTTACGTTTGGCACAAATAATGTTCATCGATGTGTGCAACCGACGGTAGAACTATTGATTAACCTTAAAATTCGCTTTCTACGAATAATTCAAAACAAAACACGTACGCTTTCGCATTCCTGTGCTCTTCTTGAAACGCTGTTTTAGTCGTTTCTGCGGCCTGAAGCCATTGCTTGAGCTCTTTTTCCATTTTAACATACTCCAAAGTGATGTCTTTCAGCTGTTCGATTTCGGCCGTTGTTTTACCAGACTCGTTACATTCCTCGATGTCGAGGGCGATTTCCAGCGTTGTCGAGTAGCCAACATCGAGATATTCTTGCATTCGTGAGAGTTTACCAACCGCGTTATCGACAGGATTGTATTGAAAAGAACCCGCCATTTTGAATCGCTTCGTGTGCTAAAGTTTACGCGGGAAAGGTGCGAGATTGGCGGGAATCTATAATATAATATAGATCAGGGGGGAGCTTGATATAAATTTTGCAAGCGTTTTCATTACAAATTTTATTTAAAGTCCATAGAAATGAAGTTTTTATGTTGGAAGTCTTATGGATGTGTATGTAAATTCAGAATTCTTCCAAGAGAGTTCTTGAATTCGATAATTTTGCTTCTATTGTGGCATTTTGTTAAAATTTAATGCCTCTGGTGATAAAAAATGTGGATATTGTTCCCCCCCTGTCTTCGTTGTTTTTGCTTACTTGAGTATAAAAACAAGATGGCGGACCATAGAGGAGTGAGACATCATCCGATGTCAAATTTAGCGTTTCACAATCAAGCTATGAACTTTCCGCCGACAATTCAAGTGGAAATGGCCGATGCTTTACCCATTGATGTTATGAAAACGAACATCGCGGTAGCCGTCGAAGGACAGAATCTCGTACAAGAGATTGTTCAAAAAGCCACTGCGCTGTTTAAAACACTGCAAGACTGCGAAGTGTTGAACCTAGAGAAGGCGGGAAGCAAAGATAAGCATCAGGAGTTGTCTAAGACGTCGAAGGAGACATTGCATGGTTTGAAAGAACTGTTTGATAAGCTAAGAGTTGTGTATGAAGAGTCTAGGAGAAGGATGCCAGAAATCCATGATTTGTTGAGCTCTGGAAATATTGAGGTACCAAAATGAAGCATTAAAAGGTCTGATTTCTCAGTGATTTCAAAGGCATTGTGTTGATATTTCTGCTCTTGAATTCCCTGTATATTTATTGCCATTTTCAGCACCTATTGCCTTTTGAGAATGATCCTAGTCAAATGGTAGGAATGGATATGCAAGATCCTGAAAGAGAAGGCCTGATCAAGGTGAGCTTTTGTATTTGCCGATGTTGAATCTCCAGGTCAGTTTAGTCCTAAGAAAGACTGTTGGTGTTAGTAGTGTTGGCTGACAATTCAACCCTGTTTATCTGAATACTTTAATCTGAATATCTTGAGCATGATAACTACTGCACCTAACTATTGTTTGAATTTTTTTAGGAAGTACAAATGAAAAATGCAAAGATAAAAGTTCTTATTGAAAAATTTCGAACTTTGATACAAGATCTAAGCTTGATTGTACAGCTTGAGACATCTCAATAACGGTGACTACAACCCCCATTATCTAGCTCAATACCCCTCCCCCCCTGTGACTAGAAGTCAGCAACATTAAACAACGTTTTGTAATAGATCATTGTATATAATCCTTTCTCAGCTAGACCAGAATGTTAAATTTATGCTAGAGCAAGTTCGTTTCAAGTTTTCTCAAAGAGCTATTCGTTCCAGCTTTACTGCAGAGAAAATAAACTATAAAACAAGATGCATATCTTAATAAGCTAAAAACAAACACCTTCATACACGAATTATAGTAAGATTTATCATTCACTTCAGGTTTCTTCATGAAGAAAAGCAAGTCCTCTTGAGGAAACCTCTTTCACTGCAAATTTCTTTCCTCGCTGTCTCATCCGATATGCTTGATAAATCACGTCTTCTCTTTGATCTCCATACGACAATACAGCTAATATCGCCTTCATTTGTTCCTCGCTATGAAAATCAATCATAAAATAGAAGAATGCATCGCGCAAGAACTTCAACTTCAGTTGATTGTGTTGGTCCGTCTCTTTCTCTCGTTTCTCCTTGGCTTTCCATCCTTGCGCCGACACAATGGCGTTCTCCATAATTTCTTCAGGATTATTTTTTTGTATCTCTTTTATAAGTTCATCCTTTTCCACAAGTTCCATTTTCAAATCCAGGAGTTCTTTCATGGAAGAACAACAAGCGACAATATCGTCTGATTCACTGCACGGCGACTCGAATTCCTTGATTCGCTCCGAGAGTTCCTCCACCGTTTTCTCGGAATCCAATAATTTCTTCTTCAATTCCTGGATTTCTCGGCAGCGTTCCTCCGCCAATGTGGATTTTCTCTGCCATTTCATTTGCTCTTTGTGAGTTTGTTCTCGAGCTATAGTGAAATAAAAGTAAGAATTCACATCACGTCAACATAGAGCTCATTTTTTGAGGCAGTTTGGAAAAGCTTTAGTTTTCTACCATTCCCACAATAAAGCACTTTCGCTTTGTAAGATCCTATAAAACAGTCTCACACCCCCCCCCCTCGTCGGTCGATGAACAAAACCCATCTGAACCACCTTAATAGATAACCCCTTCCCAAAGTTGATTGATAAAAAACCTTCTTCCCCTCGCGGATTACCTCTCTCAACTTCTCTTCTAAGGGTGGAGATATCTTCATCTCGTGTTTTAATCAACGCGCGGGAGTCCCGCAACGCGCGTTCCAACTCGCCGATAGTCCCTCTCAATAACGATACCATCGAAGCTTCTGTGTCATCCTCGACGTCTGAGAAATCATCTTCGTGTAATATCGTAAACCTGTTCAGCTTCCTCGAGGAGTTTTCTGAACCGGAGGCCTGTTCCTTTTGTGATACCTCCTCTTGTAACTCGGCGACGTTTTCTGCGACTTTAACGTTTTCACTTTTTATTGAAATATCTTTTGCCATAGTGTTTTCATCGCCTGGTTGAGAATCCGTTGTTAAAGCTTGTGCTAAACTAGACTCAGGAAGAATTTCCGATCCTTTGCATTCACCAATATCTTGCGAAAAAGCTTCATCATCGCTTTCTAAAATCACCGTAGTTTTATCAGATGTTTTCCTTTCGAGATCAACGGTCGAATCATTGCCGTCATCAGCTTTGCTTTGTACATCTTTTCCCATTTCCGATGAAGTATCCTCTTCTAAATTTGGCTCCAGGATTTCCGACTTGGCGTAAGGTATTTTGGCAGTTTCTGAGACGATATTCTGATCCGTAATATCAATTTCACTAAATTCTATCGTTTCTTCCATGATACGTTGTGATTACTCTTTGTGAAATAGTAAAATTAATCTTTTTGGATTCGTTGAGAACTCTTGAACTTTCTTTCAGCTTTTTGGCTTTAGTGAGTGTAACTTAAAAAGTGAAATCTTCAGATTATGGTTAGAAGACTTCACCGAGGCAAGATCTGATCAAAATTTAGCATTTGCGACAGCGACTGAAGTTGAAAATTCAAACGCCTCGAATTTACAACATGACTTAGCAAGTGCCATTCAAGCGAAAACAATGGCAATGCTGTCATATGACTGGTCAAACTGGTGGTTTGGTGCGGTGTTTTCATCGAGGTGTAAATCTGATTTTGGAAGCATGAATTGCATTTGTTTGAACCTTAATGAACTGCATTCATTCAGAGTCAAACAAATGAATCTGCCGTAAAAACGGATACCAAATAAACTGGCTCACCAAGGGAACATATATAGCTAAAGAAGCTGTCTGATTGATGTTTCACTCTCATCAGTTCCACATATTCATTGAAATCCCTAGGAGGCTGTTGTAACCTGAGTGGTACATGAAAGGGGTCAGGCTTCCCTGCAAAAAACACTTGAGCGATATTGGTGAGGGGGGTATTTGCAAGAAAGGGAGGAGGGGGGGTATTCATAAAAATGGCGACTTATTTCTGTATTGACACGTACGTGCATGTTCTTTGTGTTTTTATATGTTTTGTGTCTGACGTTTCTCGACAACTCATTGTGCTATTCTTGGAGCTCATTGGCTGTAGTATAATCCCACAATCCCTTGCATCCTTCGTGCTCGTGTTTATCAGACTTCGTTCTCATTTCAGCCGCGTGCGTGCGCGTTTTAGTCACGTTCGTGTTTACGCGCCTGCGATTTTACGTACATTATGAACTTTGTGTTTGTATCGTCACATGACTTTCTAACAAAATCGAACGTTCTTTAAATTTACATCGAATTTTCTCGTGTTTTTTATTGAAATCATTTGGAAATGACCGACGTGAGTAACTTTACAACCAAATATGCTGTATAAGAATTTGTATATTTGCGTATTTACTAAATTGGGACGCCTAATCTGATCTTGATTTTATTTCCGTTTCATCAGTGGAAGTGTATATCCTTACTTTACAGAATTTTCTTAGAATATTGTATTTATACGTTTGCATGAAACTTTGATCCATCTCTTCTTTTAGTCATACGAGGAAGACGAGAACTTTGGCAGCTACAGCATGGTTGGTTCATTCCCGAAAGATTTCTGGTAAGATCGTTGATACAAAACTGATGTGAAATCTTTGAGAGTAAAAAATGCTGTGCTTGTTTTGATATTTCGTAATGGCTACGATCGTTAATTCACCGTTTTATTCAAGACAATGCGATGGTTTCACATTCGTTGTTTGTTTTGTTCCCTTGTGTAACAAATCCTTGTGTGTTATCTTAATGATATGAGCACAAATATTTGGCAATATTTCCAATGATGGTTGGAGAAAAAATGAAAATGCTGCCAGACACTTGTATATCTTTGGAAGTCGACAGATTATAAATAATTTGTCACAGTCCACCAGTAAAAATATCTGGTGTTATATGGATGATATCTAAATGTCTGTTCTCACAATCCAATTTTGTCCAACCAATTCACTTTAGAAGCCAGTTGTATAGACGTCTAGTTACCTTTTAACTATAATTAGTGATAGAATTGGCCAAAGTTAAATAGGATGTAGCTATGCAAAATGTAGTTAGGGACTTTTATGCAACCAGCTCCTGATGTATGGTGTGTAGACTGTTATTTATAAAGCAGTACTGTAATGGCTTTAGTTGATTTGCTGCACATACACATTGCAAGTCAACAGAGTATAAAACATCCATCAGAAGTGAATTGGATAATATTACTTTCAGCTATGAACCAGGAGGAGATAATGAAGACTATAACACAGCACCGAGTGATGAAAAACCAAGAATTTTACTTATGGGCCTGAGAAGGTGAAATGTGAATTCAATGCATTCAACCTACTTCCATTGATGAGTAAAACTATCTGGCATTAGATGGAGTTGATAGTTTAGGAAGGTGCAGCCTGTGTGTATTGTTAGCTATTCACATAAATTGGTCTTGTTCTTCTATTCAGGAGTGGCAAATCCTCAATACAAAAAGTTGTCTTTCACAAAATGTCTCCAAATGAAACTTTGTTTTTGGAAAGCACAGCAAAAGTTGTAAAAGATGGTATCCTTTTTTATTAGACTTCTTTTATATAAAAACAACTTGAGTTGTTTCATCTCTTATGTTTTATTCCTCAAAATCATAAAATGTTTATGTGCCACTTATTTCCTTGATTCTCTGAAGACATTTCAAACAGTTCCTTCGTACAGTTCCAGGTAGGATTACATACAAATCAGTTTATTTGTTTTTGGTTTTCCTCTCCTAGTTAGTTTCATTAGTTTATCATGCTACAAGCAAACCTGACATCTTTCCCTAGATTTGGGACTTTCCAGGACAGATTGACTTTTTTGACCCAGCTTTTGATTCAGAGCTGATATTTGGAAACTGCGGAGCCCTAGTGTTTGTCATTGATGCACAAGTATGTAAAATGAAATAGCATATATTACATTGTTCAGTATTGCAGTATGTTTTGCATGATAAACTTCACCAGGCCAAAATATTCTACAAATATATAATATGAAATTGTCGTTCAAGATTTATCTTTATTTGATTGTAAAAATATTCTGTTCTCTTTCTAATTGTTAGAGTAACGTGTTAACTACAGTGAATAATGAAATTGCATGTTCCAGTCTATTTTGGTTGGTATAGAAGTAACTAACAATTCCTCTTCAATTTAGGATGAATATATGGAAGCCTTACAGAAACTCCATTCAACAGTTACGAGAGCTTACAAGGTAGAAATGGTGGAAGTGGGTGAGATACAACCTAGCTATAGTGTACAAGTTTCAACTAATCATGATTGGCTCATTATAACTTTTAATCAACCTTAAAATAATTTAGTTTCTTATTTTGCTTATTTTAGGTCAATCCAAATATCAAATTTGAAGTTTTCATTCATAAAGTGGATGGCATATCAGATGACCATAAAATAGGTTTGTAAAATACAACCTGTGGTATGTCCTTCATTACCCTCATATCACCTTGAGTACCCTTTTATGTTCCTCAGAACCCCCCATGTAGCCTTCAGTACCTGTTTTAAATGTTACACATTTCTGAATAGATATTCAAAGGGACATACACCAAAGGGCGAATGACGAACTAGCTGATGCTGGTTTAGAAAGTTTATATTTAAGGTGTGAAAATACTTCATTCGAAGGAAGAAATTTCTAAATATTTTATGTTACAAATGCTCTTCTGGTTTCTTTTGCAGTTTTTATTTAACAAGCATCTATGACCATTCAATATTTGAGGTATTTAGATTCACTATTCATATCATATGTCGTATGCATGTAGTTAAAAACTCCTTTTAACTTTATAAAAGGATTAAAATTTATTTTTAAGTGGAGTTTTCTATTTTACAGGCATTTAGCAAAGTTGTTCAAAAACTAATTCCACAACTGCCAACACTGGAAAATTTACTGGACATACTAATTTCGGTAGGTATTGGTTGCTTCTTTGATCCATGCATTCTGGCCACGCTAAAACCATCAGACAACGCTAAAACCATCTCAATTTCTTTTTAAAGAGGTCTGCAATTGAAAAAGCGTTTCTTTTTGATGTGGTTAGTAAAATCTATATCGCCACAGACAGGTAAAAATTATTACACTTGAAGATGTCTTTTTTACTGAAAGAATTTCCTTTAATTTTGATAAATATTCTTTAAGTTCTCCTGTGGACATGCAGTCATATGAGCTATGCTGTGACATGATTGACGTTGTCATTGATATATCCTGTATTTACGGGTGAGAATTGTCAGAATTACCACACAATGTTTAGGGTCATTTCGTATAAAGTTCATTTAGAATATATGCGGTATCACTAGGTAAATAGGATGATGCTTACTGGAACTCTAGAAAGTTTAGAAACTCTAGAAACAATTTAGAACTGATAGAGCTATCCAGTATAAATAAAGTTAGTTTAGTTTAGGTTTCCTCCTGCAGTAACACTGGAGCAAAACTGTTCCTCAATTTCGTTGTTTTTTCTTTCTTGAAGACTAAAGGACGACGGGGAGGGAAGTGCCTATGATCAAGAAACATTATCAACGATAAAAATGAACAACACAACAGTCCTTTACCTACGGGAAGTAAACAAGTATGTTTAGAAACAAAACAACCATAAAGTAAGAGCTCATTACGGTGATACTAAATGCATTAATATACTGAATGTTTTTTGTTTCAGATTTTTGGCATTGGTTTGCATATTAAGAGAGGAAAACTTTGAAAAACGAGGTCTAATAGATTATAATTTTCTCTGCTTCAGACACGCGATACAAGAGGTATGTTTCAAGTTCTACTGCATCGAGAAATTACATTTTGCAAACGAATTTGATTATTTCAACCAAAGACTGGGGGGCAACTGAAAGTCTGAGATATTCTCATTTTTAGGTTTTTGACGTACGGAATAATTCCCTCGAGAGTGGAGCCGAGTCCTCTAATTCACGCGTCAATGGTGCAGCCAATTCACACTTAAAAAGTCGGGACGAGTCTGTCGTGGTGTGAGCCTCAGAAAGAGATATGTTCAGAGAACACTTTGATCCTAATTTAATTTCAGAAACCTGAGCAGGCAACAACTATGTTTTTGCCATATTTCTTTTTAGTTTTTCTCCAGGTAATTAGGGCAAAAAAAAGTTGTTTTGTGTTCCTTCAAACACTGAAAAAAGTATCTCCTACATTGATTTAAATGATGCACATACAGAATTAGTGAACTAAATAACTAATAACTATGGTAAAATGATTACACAAATGGATACTAATGAGCATAGAGTATTGCACCCCCAAAAATCATGGTTTCACCCCTCAATTAGGATGGCTTTGCTAGTCCTTGATGATAGACACAATCTTAAAGACTTTATATTGAAATTATGTCTTAAGTACTGTCAATCATAGTATATAACATGTATTTTTTAAGAAAAGTGAAATTTTGTAAAAACAATTTTGTTTGGGTAGTCCAAAATGCATTGTGGTTTTATTTTCTTATGGTAAGTTCAATGGTCTGAACTTCAAAACAAATTGCCTGTTGACAACAAAGCTCAGCATAATCTCGTTGATTTGCCACATTGAAAACAGCAAAAAGCCAAAAAACCCAAATTCGAAGTTCGAACGTAAAAATTGTAAAACTAAAAAGAAGCTTTACGCCCGCAATTTTTTTTGCCAGCGCAGACAAAATTCCCACCTCTTCATGTAATACGAACGAAAATACGAAATGAAACATTCTTTTATTCATGTTTTTCCAACGCTGTACAATTGTACTTTCATCTCCATTCGTTAACCGAAGTTTTTCCAGATTTTCAGCAGTTTTTTTTAACAACACACATTTACTTAGAAGCATGTATACCTACAGCGAACGTGGCGGTCAAGATACGATAGAATATCGTGGATTTTTTTGTAAGTTTGTACTTTCATTTTTAAATTGTTACTCTTGTCAAATGATACATTGCGTATATTAAACATCGTATTGGAAATGACCTGACATCAAATGTGGTATGACAACCGCCTAAAATATACGTAAAACGTCTTGTCAAGATAGCACTTGCACTTTGAACGAAATATTGAAAAGTTTTATAAAATAGGCCCCCTGGGATGTTGCCATGTTGGTAATCAAATAGCCTTGAATTGCAATTTTAATCATAATTTGAATGTTTGGAAATATTCGATGATTTAGTAACTTTTTAATTGCGTTTACTTAATGTGGAGAAATAGAGCATTTCTAACAATCCTTTTTTTTGCCTAGCTGGACCAAATGGTTATATTTCCCCAATGCATGATATTCCATTGTATGCAGATAGCGAGGTAACTTATTGAAATATTACACATATTCATATAAAGACACTTTTCCACTCTTTTTCAATCAACTTGCAAGCTCGCTCGTAAAAGGGGGCTTGCGAGATTTTATGAGGGCAAAGGGGAAGGAACTCAGCAACTTTTTATAATCTGTCTTTTCAATCTATTATAGTATATTAATGCGTTAAATGCGTGTGTTTATTAAATATGGCGTGTTGTGCAACCTTTTAGAAAAATATTTTTAACATGGTTGTGGAAATTCCAAGGTGGACCAATGCAAAGATGGAGGTACTAGTTTTTAGTGAATTGCATGGATAATGTTCAACCTAATTTCCTACATTAACACAAGGTCTAGTTCTCGGTACAAGACATGCAGTGGTATGAAGAAGCATGCATGCAAGTATACCTTATGAGAAGTACAGGTGCCGTTATACCCAGCTATAGTGAGCTCATGTATAGGATTATAGGGTATCTTTAATTTCCAAGTAAATAAATTTAACATTTTGTAATTTTTGTGTTCTTTTTTAGATCAATTTAGCTGAAAAATTAAACCCTATTAAACAGGACATCAAAAAAGGGAAATTAAGATATGTCAATAATGTCTTTCCTTATCATGGTTATATATGGAATTACGGCGCTCTGCCGCAAGTAAGCAAATCACATGATATCAGATATCCAAATAAAAGAATCCACTAGTGCTGAGAATGGTTTTGCACACAAGCTAGGCAATATGTTGTTTCATGTTGTGTGATATTTCTGTTTGTAGACATGGGAAGACCCAAATGAAGTAGATCCTGACACAAATTGCAAAGGAGATGGAGATCCTATTGATGTTTGTGAGATTGGAACAATGGTAAGTCTGTAGATTTCTATTTTTTCATCCATATGGCTACTATTGTGAAATCATTAGTTAATAATTGCCTAGAAGACAGTTGTAGTTATACTTATATATATAGTCTCATATATGCAAAGTTAGGTATTAATAGTTTGAAGTTTAGGCTGAGTGAAAAACAAGCATTATTTTATATTCTTCTAAATACTACTTTTGGCATAATTAATATGTACTCTATACTATAATAATGGCTATTATTTTCATTTCATTAGGTAGCAGCAAGAGGTGATGTGAAGCAAGTGAAAGTTCTTGGTGTGATGGCATTGATTGACGAGGGCGAAACTGATTGGAAATTGATTGCAATTGACGTCAAAGATCCACTGGCTTCTAAAATGAATGGTATTATGGCATGTTTAGCATCATCAATTTGTATCCATAATGGAATTATTGTATAGTTTCCAAATGTAAAACAATTTGTCTTTCTCATTCCTTAGATATTGGTGATGTTGACAAATGCAAGCCTGGGCTCCTGAAGGTAGATGAAAGTATATTATAGGTTCTTCTGTGACATTCTCTCATATGTAGTTTTTGCTCAAAATTGCCACATATTTTTATAGGCCACACATGAATGGTTTAAAATCTATAAAGTTCCGACTGACAAACCGTTTAATACATTTGCATTTGATGGAGAAGCCAAAAACCAGGTGTTTTAATTTTGAAAAATATATTGTGTTTCATTGTTAATTGTGTTGTGTTTTTGATTGTTAATATTGGGGTAGCAATTTGCTTTTTGTTCACTGATTGTCTACTTAATGTGGTCTAATTTGATATTTGAATTTTTCCTCCTTTCCACAGGCCTTCGCTTTGAAAGTTATTGGAGATTGTAATGAACACTGGTCCAAAATGATGGCAAACTCTCAGCCACCGAAAGACCTAAGCCGGTACCATTTGCCCTCAAGCATACACATTAAAAATTTAGAAGAAAAAATTTTAGGAGTATATTTTTGAAATGGCCTGACATTTACTGTTTGTTGATCTTTATTTCTAGCGAGAACACAACTCTAAACAATACCAGTTCAATCACGGCAGCAGCTGCACAGACAATTGTCGATCAGGTTTGTTTAGAGATTCATAAAAAAACCATTATCATATGATATATAAAAAACCCACCATTTTTATGTTATAGGTCCCAGCAACAGGTAATCCTGGGGTTGTTAGTCCTGATGGTAAGCTAGTTGTTAATTCCTGCTATAGGGATTTTTTTATGAGGCAATCTTGTTGTTGACAATGAAACCTTTGTATAACTGAGGCAGTTTTTAGTAGAACAGTCAAAAATCCACCTTGAGATTTTGTTCCTTGTTTTGAAATTACTCTTGCAAAGTTCACAAGATGTAACTTTATCTTATTAACTTTCAAAGCCTTTTTTTGCAGTTGATAAATTGTTTTATGTGCCACAAACTTAAGCCCGGAAATTCTACAAGACTTTTCTGAAGAGGAGACATCAGACTTGACATCAAAAGAATCATTATTATCTGTTGTATTAAATAAATAAATGATGCTGAACATGTAACTGTGTTAGTTGCAAAATATCTACATGGGTTGAGGTCATCTACATTGAGTCATGCTGGTTTGAGAATGTCTTTAAGGTCAAAAGGACAATACATCAATAGTTCACAAGATGTTTCTCGGGAAATGTTCGTTTATAGACGGTAAATAAGTAAAAATAAATACATGGTGATTTATGCACTCGTAACGTCACTGAGCCACCTTAAATAATCATCTCGTTTCGGCCCTAGACCCCCGAAGACGCCGTCCCGGGATTCAACGCGGGCGACGACTACAACACGTTCTTTCCACAAAGTAATTTTTTTTACAATTTCAATCCAAATTTCTTGAAAAAACCGCAATTTTTTCAACAATTCTGGTGGTCGTAGCAAGTTTCAAAGGCTAACAGCCTTCGGAGGGCTTGAAATGCCTCAGAAGCCGTACGGTTCCGGGGCGAATGCCGTCCCTATGGGCAAACTTCACCCAGTATTGGCGGCGAAACAACGTGCAGGACAGACTCAAGGAGATGATGGTCAAAGGGCCCCCTTACCTACGATGAATTATGGCCCTGCAGCGCCGTATCAGCCTCTCCCACCTTCCTCAATGCCTATGGCTTCCCAGCCAAGGCCTCCTCTACCCATTCAACCATTCCCCGAGGTAAATAATGGCGCTTCAAAGAGAAGTGGAGACACAAACACAGGTTAGTTCAAAGATTATTACTCTCCATGTTGAAGGACGGAAAGATTAATGTTCTTATAGCGGTAGTGGTTTAGTTGTTCATATATACTTTGTTTTTTTCGTGCTTGAGATGGGTAAGAAACGTGATAAGATGGGGTGGTATACGTGGATATCAGAAGCAATCAATGGTTTATTTCAATTGTTTGCAAATAATTTTTCCAGCAAGTGAACTGCCAGCTAGTTCACCCCACAATATAATCTATATCACATAAACCATGGTTAAAATCAAAATATCTGAATAACCAGTGTTTATTGGATGAATTGTGCTTTACGAACCTTTGTCCAGTTAGACTTTAAAAGCACATGGATTTCTAAGTACCCATACTAGTTTCATTCAGGCAAATTGAGGAGCTTTCTCTTCTAATATTGGGGGTTTTTCGTTCAATAACAACTGGTGTATGCATTAATGAAATTTATATTCTGGGCCACAATACCATTGAATACTCAGCACAAGTTATTTTTCAAAACAGTAAAATCATTAGCTTGAAGTTATGCAGAAAGTTATATGGTATGGGTCATATGGCACTTATTCAATTGCCTGGAGAAAAACATTGCACATAGTTTCACAAATTAAGTACTTTAGTAAATTAAAAATAGGCAGTAAGCTTCTGTGATGAGCAGGTGCTATTAGATGGCCATTTTTTTTTAACTCAACTTTGATAAGTTATCAAGTGGAGGTTTTGTTGTACTTAAAACTGTCAGGTTCGACAGAAAAGAGAAAGAGAAAGCGTAGCAGATGGCAGAGCGAGGAAAAGAAGATGATTATTCCTGGAATGCCAATGTGTTTGCCGACAGGAATGACCGAGGAGCAGCGCACAACATATATCAGTATGAATGAACTCTATACTTTTACGCACTGCAAACCACAGTTATAGTAGACAAGAATTTAATTTAAAATAATTCATCAAATCAGACCATCCTAATTGTGAGTTTCTTCCTCCACCTTCAGCTCACCTAAGAATAGAAGAAATAAGTAGAAGATTAAGAACTGGAGATCTGGGAATCCCAGACAACCCGGAAGATAGGTAGGTGAAACGTTTTAACCTGGTTGTTGTTTTTCGAAACCTGTTTAAAATGTCCTGTCGGATTGTGCGTCAAAGTTTAAAAATACCCAATGCAATGAAATTTCCTTCCAGATCTCCGTCGCCAGAACCTATCTATAATTCCGACGGCAAGCGCCTCAACACCCGGGAATTCCGGGTTCGCAAGAAGCTGGAAGAAGAACGTCATGTTTTGGTCCAGGACGCCATGAAAGCTAACCCTGACTATAAACCACCGGGCGATTATAAGTTAGTTTTTCTGTTGCTATTCTGTTCTTTCTCTGTTGCTATTCTGTTCACTCTCCGCTTTTCTGGTACTATTCTAAATACCACCATAGCACCATGATACACCACTTGTACCACAATTCCCCCCACCTGATTGATTCCTGTATTTGCCCCCTTTTTCAGACCTCCGGCTACTCGCATCCAAGATAAAGTATTTATTCCGCAAGACGATCATCCCCATGTAAATTTTATTGGCTTATTAATTGGTCCCAGGTAATTTGTTTCTTATTTAGTAATTATTTTATCTTAAGCTGAGCTCCTTTATAATTTGTGTACATAAGGACTTGAATTGTTCTACCATTAAACTCTTGTTAATTTTTCATCTTTCCAGGGGCAATACCCTGAAGAAGACAGAAAAGGAAGTGAGTATGTTTGTTAGGCATCATCAGCAACCATTCTCCACCAACAGAGATGGGAGAATATGAACCAATACAAAAATCATCTTACTACCAATTACTTGTATGGTCTCTAACTATGTAGAAATCTTCCCTTAGTTCTTTCTCTTACTCTTTCCAATCATATCCTAGACAAATTGTAAAATAATGATTCGTGGTAAAGGATCCGTTAAAGACGGAAAGGTGAGTGTAGTAATAGCACTGATTGTGGTCTGTGTTTCACTTGTGTAACAGTATAGTTGTTGCCTTTTTATGATGAACATATGATGAACAAAAACGTTCATGAAGAAACCTATTTTTTAGGGTCGTAAAGACGGTCAACCTCTTCCCGGGGAAGATGAAATACTTCATGCTCTAGTGACTGGACAAAGTCACGAATCTGTAAAGAAATGTGTTGATCTGGTAATGTTTGATTCTCTATCTTAGCCCCATTTAATCATTTCAAAGATTTTTTAAATTATTATTTAAAGTGTTATACATTTCAAAAAAGCTCAAGAGTATCCAAGAATCCTTGTTCAGCACCAGACTCACAGCATTTTCTGATAGGATTCTTACCCTTTCCATATTTTTTTAGATTAAAACAATAATTAAACAAGGTGTAGACGCTCCGGAAGGCGAGAATAGTTTAAAGAAACTTCAATTACGTGAACTGGCAGCTCTGAATGGCACATTACGTGATGAAGAGATAATAAGGTGTAGGAATTGTGGCTCGTCAGAGCATAAACACTGGGAATGTCCTGAGCAGCCTAACTTTACTGCTACGTTGACCTGTACAAAGTGTGGATCTAGTGGTCATATTGCTATGGATTGTACTGTCACAGAGAAAGAGTGAGTTTTAATAGATGTATGATGTAGTTAGATGTTGTCCAATCTTTCCCCCTCTTATTGCCCTTTCACCACCCCTTTGTTGCTGTTTGTTACCCTTTTGTTACCCTTTCAATACCCCTGATACCCTTTCAAAACCCGATACCCTTTATCACCCCAGGACATATTATAGGGATTATCATACAGTTTTCTATGAAATTTTATGAACTGAGGGATCTTATTTTTACACAGGATTACTAACATTTTATCTGCACCACAACCACAGGATAATGCGAAGATGGATAGCGAGGTATAACACAAGCACCCTTTGTTACACAATAAACTAAAATACAGTGCAAGGAAGACTAAAGTCTAAGATCTACTTGCTTAACAAGATTATTGTTAGCCCAGCAAGCAGAAAAAACCTTTACACTTTTTTCTTTTCTACAACTGACGTTTTTCATTGTTTTCTTAGTACATGTCGTTAATGGCAGAACTTGGTGAAGGGCCTGAAGGTGGGGCACCGCCTGGCCCACAGGGGCCGAGGCAGCCTTTACCTTCCCCACAGAGTGCTGGTCCACCCCGACCTATGAGAATGCAAGGGCCAGGGCCCATGATGGGGAATAACCCACCTCCCTTGAATAGGCCACCCCACGGTGGAAAACCACCTCGAATGGGAAGACATGTAAGTAAAGTGTTTTCAAAGAAAAGCTGTTAACAAATAATTTGCAGTAATTTTTAAATGTATTATAATTGTTTCACAGGGTGGTGGCCATCAAGGGGGAGGTATGCCACCGTGGAATTCTGGAAGAAACAGTGCCCCAAAGCCACTAATGAGTTCCCCCATACCTCCACCACCCAACTTGTCGAATAGGGGTCCACCCCAAGGTAACCATCAGCAACACTGGAATAAACCTTCGCCTGGTAACTCTGGACCCCACCCTCCATTTGGCATGCAAGGTAATGGTAATAATTCAATCCTAGTCAATGAAATATTGTGCTGTATCTAACTGCACAACACTTCAATGCAGAAACAATCATTTTGAATATTTTTTAGACACAAGAAGCGTGAATTCAATCCTAAGCAAATAATGTTCTTCTCTTCTAGGTCCTCATGAACCATACCAAATGTCAGGTCACCCCCCACCTCCTGGCCATGGTCCCTCTCAAAGTCATGGACCTCCACCACCCCCTGGCCATGGTCCCTCTCAAAGTCATGGACCTCCACCACCCCCTGGCCTCGGTCCTTCCCAAGGTCATGGACCACCCCCACCTCCTGGCCATGTTCCACCACCACCTGGTCAACAAAACTCAGGACAACCTCCCCCACCACCCCCAGGTCAAAGTGCGGCCCCACCACCGCCATGGCAAGCTCAGTCAAGTATGTATAATAGTAAATAAAATTGTCTCTAGCGCTGGACTCTAAATGACACTGGAGTGACATGAAGTATGGTGGCTAAAATTATATTTATGTTTCAGATCCCTGGCAAACAGCTGCTGCATTCGCTTACAACCCAGCTCCACCAGGTTACCCTGCTTATGCAGCTCAACCTCCACCTCCTCCCCCACCGCCTGCAACAACAACGGAGTCTCAAGCAGCCCCGCCTCCTTGGGTAAGTTCCACTTTCCTTTCAATTATAAGAAATTTCAAAGATCGAAAACACAGACTGGTCTTCTCTTTTTTATGTGTCATACAAATATTTACATTAATATAACATAAAGTATAACCTAATTCTGTATTTCCTCAACTAGGCCCAGGCCCTCATGGCTGCCTCGCAACCTCCGCCACCACCTCCACCAAACTAAACACACATCTCAGCTCAAGGACTGATCTCATATGATTTTATTTTGCTATCTAGAAGATGGACATTCTACATTCATTGCATGGCTTTTGTACTGTAGACATTAATCGAGTACTTTAATGTACTTACTGTATAGGCTTAATTGCACACAGTACACCACAAAATGTTGAATATTGACCTTCTATCAGGTTTAATATTGTCAGGAGAAATATCTCACTGGATGAAAGGGGTTTTGGTTGTGTTTGTGGCTATGCTATACATGTACAGGATTTTGGAAAAATAGGGATTTTTACTCAGGGTCAGAGTTTTATGGTGATTGTACATGTGGATCAAGCGTTATATATATATCTCTCAATTTGGTCTGGCTGAGGTATGGCTTAGTAAGGAAAGTCTTTCATTAATGACAGCATGAATCGCATTTTCATTACAATTAGGAAACCTGAAATGTTTGTTAGTCCCGTAGAGACACTTCAGCTTCCTGTGGGAAATAAATTTTTGTTGATATCGACCATATTTCACGGCTGGGCAAACGAGACACGTTTAAGAAAGTACCGCGATTCACAAATGTCTCTACAAAGACTACAGGAATGTTTTTAGTTTGCCTGGCTTTCAACTCTTCGTAATTCTTCATATAATTCCGGCTAAATAGCACTTCCATAGGACAATAGCCTTTCAATTGCTCGTTCATTGTTAGCTCCAAATTTGTAGTATAATTGCTTTATAAGCATTTTTAGAAATGTTTAAGCATTTTAAGTATAAGCATTTTTAGAACTGTTTAAAAACTGTCCGGCAGGCAGTCAGGTGCGCCTATCTAGCCTAGAGTTGTCAAGTTTCTATTTTTGCATTTATTTGTCGAGGGCGCTTTGAAAAATCCTTCAATTTTTTAGATAACATAGACGAACCATAAACAATCAATAGTTATGATTAGCAAGTGTTCCTACTGTTTGCGTGGGTTAAAATCGCAATCAATTCAGTATTGAGTATTGTTTTGGGTAATGATAATAGTTTGGGTACTATATGATTTTCCCTCAGCAAAGTAAACATTGCAAAAAAAAGGGAAGTCAAGAGGTCTCCGGCAACAGTGTAGCAATATTCTCAGAGCTAAAGTCGGAAGAACTATGTTTTCAATTATTGGCATTGGTATTTTTCTGGCTGTGGATGGATATTTAAGTCAAAATTATTGCTGAATTGGAAAATCGCATTGGAGAATTTTAACTGCGTCATTGGGAATCATGTTTGCATCCATAAAATGTACATGGCTTTTGGCATTGATGGTTTCTTTTCTGGACGTAAATAATGTTTCTGGAAATGTTACAGAGTTGGTAAATTCAACAAGGTTTGTTCCACCTCGACAAAACACGACTCTCGTAGGAAAAAGTAGAGTGAACGTAACTGTCGAAGACAAAACATTAGTTTGCGAGTTTTGTTTAAAGGAATTCGAAGTGTCAAAATTCATAGAACTGAAGGAACACAGCCAAGTTAATATTGTGGGACTTCGTTTTATAATAAATAATCAAACGACGATATCTCTGAATTGGACGAACAATGTTGGCCGAGAAATTTTATCGTATTTGGACTTGAAGCCAATTTATATTACCACAACTTTGAACGCTGGTCGACGCCTTATGGATATGACCGTAGAACTTTCCCCGAAAGGATGCCGTTGGCGCGCGAATAAATCCGAAGACGTCGCTCAGTTGGTAGACAATGTGAGTAATCACTTGAAACAACCACAAGAAGAACTTTGCTACGAGTTGGGTCCGAAACAAAGACGGTGTTGTAAAATTATCCATCTACATGGCTTCAAAAAGAAAACGACGTGCTATACAAGCATTCCTTCACGATTTGACATAGACTTCACTTCACCTGCGATCTATCTCCCTCTCTCTATATTATCCTTGAACCTCCTGTACTTTCTGGTCTTATTGCTCAGGCAGTTTCCATATGATGGTGATTACTATAAGCTATCGGAGAGTCCAGTTTCTTTCTCACGTCTGTTCATAAAATTGGCTTGGGAAGGTAACAAGGTCATATGCGTCTGTCGGAGAATATTTTTACTTATTTCATGCTTTCGTATTTTGTTTTTTTCCATAGAAATCCTTTCAATTTCAAAGATGAACACCATTAACGTATTTCTATTTGTTCTCCTCATTTTATGCTTTTCATCTTTCGCGCTTGAGTTTATAAGAGTGCTTTTTCGTTGCGTATTTGACTGGGGATTTCAAATTCCTGCTTGCCTTACAAAACGCTACAACAAATTATTCAAAGCAAAAAAAGCCAACGGGAGATTCGGAGACGAGTTCCAATCAGCTGTCTATTTCGTAACATTACTCTTCAACAAAAAGTTCTACAAAACAGGCATTAAAAAATTAAGCAAAAAAATATCCAGGAATTTTGTTTATGTACCTTTTTATTTTTTCGCCTTACTCGTATTCGCAGCCTTTATTACTGGCATAAATCTTGGTTACAATGCTGTAATGCTTGCTATCACGCTTTGCCGTGGTTTCGAAACAGTTGTTGGTCCAAATTATCTTCTTAATTTATTACACTTCAATGCTTCTCATTACATTCATTCTCCTGTTATCCGTTGGTGTCTTATGGCTCCTTATACCCACTGCTATTGTTCCATTGGTTTCAGGTTTCTTTCTTAATTCTTATCACTACTTTCCGTATCTTACTTTAATATCCGTAACTGGCTTTTATACGTGGAGTTCATGGAAGTCGCTTGAAAGCGAGTATTTCAATTTAAAACTGCAAATCTATAAAGCAATGCAACATGAGAAGCAAGGCGCCATCTTGGATGACGTAACTCTAAAAGACAATGAATATATTGTTCGCGTTGTCCCGAAGAAAATATACAACAAAATTCGCAGAAAACTTCTACCGTATCATTCGAAGTTTTTCGAGTTTTGGCTAAAGGTCGTACTCATCGCAATCTTCGCCTTCAGCGTCTTCAAGCTGGTCAAAATGTTGCAAGCAGTCGATGCTTCGCCCGCTGTTACGGTTATCGCGACATTGACAACCGGGGCTTTGCCGTACTTCTTGAATATCGTCATGGGAAGGATAAGTGAAGAAAAAAAGAAAAGCAAAACGCAAAATATAAAGACGAATGTCGAAAACATGGTAACGAAGTTGGGAGAGAAAAATTCGGCAAGGACTTTTTTGAAATTGGAAAAAGTTCCATGTGTCGATTCTGAAACCAAGCACCTGGAGACGGCCGTTTAGTCGTCTACCAACACACGCCAGTGCGCATGCTCAATAAAGACATATCACCCACAAAATTGACCAACAATAGTTCGTAATAGGTATCTTAGACTGTATCACACTTTTTTCTGTAAATAGAATCACTGAACACAATAAAGTTTTACTAAACACACTCAACACAGAGCAGTTTTAGCGATTGAAATTTGATAAAGCCACTTGCCGGAAAAATTGTTTCTTCAATTTCTACGCCTAGCGTATCCAATTTTACCTTGAACCGAAACGATCTTCTCGGCCACTTCCTTTTCAATCAAGTGTCAATTTCGTCTCCATCGTATTTCATTTCCGGTGCTTTCTCGTCATTCAATGTCTCAGCCATCAAACTGTTGACAGTTTACGATTGATAACTGCCCAAGGGAAGCTGACAGTGGAAATATATATACATGGAAAGTGACACCGTCGCACCGCCCTGTCGCCCGTCGAGGGAATTGCGTTCGGTCGCAGAAAACGGCTTCAAATCATCGTCTTTTGAATGTCCAGGTAAGAACCACAAAATGACACATCGTTCGTGCTTTGTTGCAGTTCAAATTACCGCTGTCTGTGTGCGGTTCGATATGATTAAGTGCAGCGATTTACAAATAGTTGCGATCAGACAGACGAAGTACTGCCATACGCAAATTTGCTGTCACAAACAGGACGCTCGTATGACTGTTCTTTATGGTAAAAACTGAGCAAGATTTCCAGCAATTCAAAGCGTATTTTCGAGGTTTATGAAAGCTGTGAAGTCCGTAAAGACATTGCTTGAACGAACAGTGTCAGTAGGACGGTAAATGCGTATATTTGCCGTTAAAAAGCTGCCAGCTTTGGTATTGTTTGTGTAAGCTTTGCTAATGGCTGTCTCGTTGTCTTGTCGGAAACGCTGTGTCTGTTTCGTGAAAAAACGTGTGCGCGCCGACAGAATTTCCCAAAGAATTATTGCTTGGATCTTGCAATTTCTAAGCATCGATTTGTGCGATATTCGTTGGTAATGTTCCAACTTTATGCGTCAATGAGTTTGCAGGCTTGTTGTTTTAATAAATTTTGTTTATTTTAAAACGGCTCTGGTATTCATCAATTTCTCTAAGGCATTAACCAATGGTGGTATATTAGGAGGATAGTATAAAATGGGCTGGTGTTTTCTCATCATCATAGGCTAGTGATCATGTTTTAGTTGGCAAGATTGTTTAGTAATAGAATGATAAAGTTCAGTTTTATTTCTTGAGCAATATTCAAATTGTGCAATCTCCTTAGTGAACCACTTGTTAAAATCACCCAAAGCTGTGATTCACTGCTTAGTGGTTGTGAATCAGCAGCGCCCTAGGGGCATTGTGATTGATTAGTTTTCAGTCCTGTTCAAACACCAAAACATCCCATTTAGTTAATTGCATTCAAAACAATGGATAATCAGGTGAAATAGCTTTATTTCTTTGTGAGATTATCTCAACCAATAAATGAGGAATGTTTAAATGCATTTGGCAAATAATTGCAACATTTTAGACAGGGCCATACACAGTTTTAACATATGGTGAAGTCGTACTGTAACAGGCTTTGAGACAAGTTTTTAAATTTGATATTTCAATGTTAAAGGTTTGCTTAAAAAATACTGAAAAATATAGTTTAATTCATCATAAAAATTTCAACGTTATTACTGTGACTAATTTGTATTAAGAATTGGTCATCCCTTTGAGATTGAGATCATTAAACATTTTGAACTATTTGAATCACAGTGTCCATCATGCCTCCCTATTGTAAACTGTAAACTGTAATTTTGCCTGGCAAATAGATTCAAATAAATAATAAATAACTAATTTAGGAATTATTTAACTAGGGTATGTGAATAATGACGGATGGCAAAATCTGACAAGACCAAACCCTCTGAACCAGAGAACATTGACACCACACTAGACACAGTGTTGATCACTGCTCTACAGGAAAACTTTGAAGTCAAAAGCGGTTGCCATATAGACAGAAATGAAATTCTCGAGTTCCTTCGATCTGTTATCGTAGAACATCCGGAACTGAACTTTGTTTTACAGCATCGTGATACAAAGCTATCCAGTAGGATTTACAAGGCTTTTCCAAAAGTGACAACCAAGCGTGTTGCAGTACCAAATATCCGTGGCAAGAAAACGTATCTTTATGTAGTAACTTATCAGATTATTTTAGATTCTGTAACCTTTTAGGCACTGTGGATGTATCTTCGGCATTAATTACAGACACCTTGTCAAAGTAAATTCAAGCTTTACATTCAAGTATCATGCTTAGGGAACATAATGAAATATATATGAATAATATTTTGATTAATCTTTTAGTTTCCTGAGCCAACTTACCCTAGCTTTCTTTGTAAAATACCTGCTAATATGTAATCTGTCAAAATCTGAAATGTTCTTTCAACATTAAACTTAACTAAATCTCAGATGGACATACACAAACTTGAGACGTATCGCTGGCGTAAAAGACACTCAAACTAAACAAGACACTAAACCTGGTAAAACTCCTGTGAGAAAGGCAGGAAAAAATGAAGAAACGAAAACAAAAACAGAGAAAGCTGTAGAATCATCAAGTTTGGTGCTGGGTCTTAAACGGGAAAGAAGACAGGTTAAGAGCAAAAGAAACATTCAAAGTGCTTCTATGGTTCATCGAAATTCATTTTTTGAGACGTACAAACAAGAGAGCAGTAAAAAACGTAATCGAATTGTTGGCAATGTTCCTCATCATTCCTATCTTGGAAGATTTAATGATATGCTCAACTGGTAAGAAACCTGTCTGCCATCATTACTTAAATACTAGCAAGTATTATTGCAATTGTAAATCTATTATTTCATCACCATTCAATATTAATAATGTAGTTATTATCATTACCATCATCATCATCACTATTAGATCATGATCATTATTATTGTCAATGTCATAGTAATGTCTGTGATTATTGTATTCATTATTTCGATCATCAATATCAACATTACAGTCATCATTATCATCAATATTTATCGTCAATAAAGTCAATATTATAATCATATACATCATTATCATCAACATTATCAATATTATGATCATAGATATCATCATCATGATCATCATCAATATTATCAATAACAAATCATCTGTCTCATTACTATCATCATTGCAAATATGTTCATTGATGTCAAACAACATTACAATCAATAATAAACATTCATGACAAATTAAAATTCCCTCTCATTCATAATTACCTCGCACAATTTCCAAAGGGTGAAGGAACACTATATACTCGACAAAAACTCCTCAGTCCAAGTGAAACATATCGTGGAATGCATCAAGACCGAGTTCAAAATCAACATCACCTACAAACAATCTCACAAGCTTATATTTGCTGTCTTTCCGGGAACGACAAGTCGTGTTGAACATCCTGTTAAAATCGAAGCTCATGGAGGGTACTACTCTTACAAGGGCGTGGCCCCAATGCCAAAACCGGGATCCGAAGAACAGGTAGATTATACTGCTGTTTTATGCATGCAATGCGCGTTGGGAAAATCAGTGGGGGGAGTCGGTGGGGAAAGTCGGTGGGGAAAGTCGGTAGGGAAAGTCGGTGGGGAAAGTCGGTGGGGAAAGTCGGTGGGGGTAGAGACCAGAAAGCCGGGTCTCTATCTCGTAGCCAGAGGCAGAACAATAAATAAATATGTCTAGGTACGAGGTTGACAGTTAGCATTGTACACCATTGATCAATAGGCTGCAAGCGCACTTTATTACTTAAAGAACTTTAAACCGTTTATCCCACGCATATTCCATGACTAACTCAAATATCCTCTTTTATCCCTCATAGACGCCTATCGCCCCTGAGATGAACCATAGCCCCGCTAAATCAATCGAAGCACAATTATCTGTCACAAAATCAGTAAATACAAAACAGACGCAAAGTTCTCAGAGTGGCTCAGCAGCGTTAGACGACGGCCGCAAACGGATATTTCGAACGCGGAAACGCTTCATCGAAGCATGCGCTGTGCTGAAACCAGCCGAGGAAGCTTTAACCTCACCGGACAGTTACGATGTCTTACCGATGAATTCCGATGTTCTACACAAGGCTCACGCTATTATACCGAGGGTTTCCGATGTTTCGCCTAGTATTTCCGAGGGAGCAACAAGATTGGCCGAAGGGTCTCTTCTTTCCGATATGACCCCGAGGTTTTCCGAATTGTCGCCGAGGCTTTCTGATGTGTCGCCGAGGTTCTCGAAAGTAACACCGAAATTTTACGAACTGCCTCCGTCGATTTCCGATGATTTACAAAGATGCGAGAGTAACTGGCAGCGTCTTTATGAAGAGTTAAAGCAAGAACGAGATCAGGCAATCGTTGAACGAAATCAAGCGATGGTTTCTCTCATGGAAATCGAACGAGAACAAGCGGCACGAACGCCTGACGACGTGCCACGATGTCAGGCGACACCTCCCGAGGTTGTGCTGAGTATCTCGCGAGCAACTGCGAAGTCAAACGACCGCAGACGTGAGAATCCGGATTGGCTACGAAGTTTGATCAGCCGAAGTAATTCCATCCTCGGGGAACAAATGTCTGAAGCGAACGCCGTTTATTTCCCTGGATCAACTTTACAGGTTCGATTAATTTAGTTAAACTGTTTGGTGTTTAATCCAGTTCAGATCAGTTGAGTTTAAAAGATTATCCCTAGAAGGGTAGAGTCTGATAGGGTCTTGATAGGGTCTTCATAGGGTTTTCATAGGGTCTTCATAGGGTCTTCAGGGTCTTGATACGGACTTGATAATTGAGTCGAATCACTGACGATGAATCAATTCTGACATTTACAGAGAAGCAGTCCCGGATTCCTTAAACAATCCGGAAACTCTGCTGACTACCCGGATTTGGAAAGATACGAACAGTTGAAACAAGAGCGAGACGTGATCTGGAAGAATTGCATTGAGAAATTACGAACGGAGAAGGACAATATCATACAACAACTTAAGCTGGAAAAAGTGGAGGTAGGGTGTGCTTTTTGTACGAAATTTTATTGCGTTAACATGTCTTTGTTACTTTGTACACAGTCGCCTTTCAGTGTATGGCTTTCAAACTTCATAGACATTTTAAAGGTGAAAAAAATGAGAAAACTTAAATAATAAAATAATATCATTAGGGTATTTTGGAAACCGGAACGTGGGGTGAAGTGAAGATTGCAACTCCTTGTAAATGCTCACCCCGCCCCTCCCCCCTTCAGGCTGGGTTGTGTGGGGGGGATTGTGCCATTGCCCCTAAATTTTTCACCCTTTCTCAGGTGATACAACGCATGGAAATGGATAAGAGTGATGCGGTTGAATCCGTTGAGGAGAAACTGACCAATCAGGTGACGATATTGACGCGGGAAATGCGAGAGTTGAAGGAATTGTTGAATCACACGATGAACGAACGAACGCTGGCGATTGATCATGCGCATAAGCTTATGGTACGTCAGACGTGATGTCGTTAACACAATCACAATCAAACAGCCATTCATTCAGTTCGTATTTCGCCTCCTTTAGAAACTTGTTGGTGAAGAAAAACTAAAAGAAGCTGGTTTAGATCATCTTCCTTTCGACGTTACCAGCGATCACATCGTTCATCCTCCAAAACTGGTAAAACATCTTAAAACTTTTTGCTTCTGTAAGAAAAAACCTTTTTAAATACCCTTCTTCGATATTCTGTTTTCTAAGAAAGCACTTTATTTTTGTTGTTTAGAATTCTCCAGATGAAACTGTCAGTCAGAAGCCTTCGACATCGTTAGCCAAGGGAAATAAAAGGTTTGTGCTCTGTTTATATATCTTTTTCACTTCTATTAGGAGTACGATTTAAGAATGCTCAGAGAGTTTCGAAGTATCATGGAATTTTCAGCTTTGTGTCTCTGTGATATTCTAGGAAGCAATCAATGCCTGCGAAGTTGAAGAAAGTTCCGAGACTTGAAACTTCTGTGAGTACGGATTCCGAGAAACAAGATCTTAATATTTCTGACCATCGACAAACTGTAAGTACGGATTCCGAGAATTTATTAATTGATCTCGAGTTTTCGTACGTTGGTCGCGACACGGTTAATAGCGATATTGGGGGAGCCGATGCAATCATCAATACTACCGATAGAATCATCAATAATACCGATAGTGGGCGTATCGATAATCGGGCTATCGGCGATGAATCGGATGATAGTCGGAATAGCGATAAATTCGATCTTGATAATGACGCGTGTGGTACATCTGATTTCAAAACTTTGGAGGAAACTGTCTGCACCCCGCCGCAAAAATGTTCTCCAACCCCTCCTGCCGATAATTCTACGTCACCTAAAGTCGTCTTTGCTGACGAACGCACAAATTTGAATTCATCCATGGAAGTGTTAGATTCCGAAAGCATCTTAAATTCCGAATTTTCTAGAAAGGGAGATTCGAACTTGAATATTTCTAAGAAACCCGATAATATAATCGCCTCGTCTGCTTCGGAGAAAAATGATGACTTGACTATAACGAAGCTTGAAGTCACGAATTCTAAACTCCAAATAGACGTTTCGGGAAATGCCAATGTGATCTCAAATTCTAATCAAGATATTCTCGAAAAATTGAATGCATCTGAGAGTTCTTCCACTTCTGAAAATTGCCAAATTTCTGACGAATGTCAAACCTCTGAAAATCTTGGTGCTTCGCTCAAATCGCCTTCCCAGACCAATTCCGAGAAGAAATTCGCCGCATCGCCTACCAACTCTTGTAATATAGACACAAATTATGAGAATTCCTCGACAGATAGTCCGCAGAGTACTGGCAGCTTTCCCGGAAAATCTGGAACTTCGCTTGCGTTGAACACTCCGAAGTACTACTTCGACACGTCCGGGAATTTTTCATCTGTAACTTTGAATTCTAAAAAATATTCGCACGAACTTCAACAGCCTTTAAATTTCTCGAAATATGTAACGGAAATTCCAAGAAATGTGCTACATACAGAAGTCCAGAAGGTTGATCCTGTAATAATGGGTGACTCGGAATACATCAAACATGAGAGCACGAAAAGTTTCGAAGAATCGATAAACTCGACTTTTTTGAAGTATTTCCCAGAAATACCAAAGAGCTCGTTCAATTCCCCGTTAACAGGTGACTCTGGGAAGTATTTTCGGGATTTGCAGAGAACCGTGCGTTCGTCTGTAGAGTCGGATTCTCAGAAGTATATTCAAGATCATGGAAACCAAGCTCTGGTGTTCTCGGATAAAGAAGGTATCCCTGAACAAAGTAAAGTATCCTCAATCGACTTTTTAAATTCCATGGTCGAAAATATTGGAAAGCCGACGGTGTAACGAAACTCAGTTCACTGAGCTTCATGTGTATCTGGAGTAGCATCTCTCAATGAGCTTTTAATGTGGCTTTTTACTGTAATAAAGAACTTTGCTGGCAAATTCTTATATCAAGTATCCGACTAAGACCGGAAAAGACCGCCTGGCGGTATAGTTCTTAAGGCCTATTTAGACTACACGATAAGTTGTATGCAATAATCATTCTGACGGATGCAAAAGAGGGCCTATGCCACAATCTTCGTTCATATTGTTCAGGGTGGAATTTAAAGTGTCACGTTTGTACGTGTGTTCATACGTTCACATACGCCAGGGTACGAATCGTATACGACAAATCGCGTAGTGTAAATAGGCCTTTAGACATTTTTGTAATGGATGACTAAGTGAGAAAATTTTAACAATTGTACTGTTTGAATTATTTGTGTTTTTTCACATATACCTCACACAAGGCATTCCTTCGTGTTCTACTTGTGATGATAAAAACTCCTGTCTCTTTTTTGAAAGAGTTTAATGAAACAGCAACACCTCTGCATTAGCAAAGAAATTTAGTAAATCAGAAAATGAAAGTGAAATTTTATACAAATCAAAAGAAATCTTTATCACATATAATACAAGATTGATTAAAAATGTATTGCTTATGAGATCTTGATGATATATTATTGAAATACTCCAATTAAAATTGAGATCGTTTTGTGCACTGGTTAATGAGCAACTAAATCTAAACCATGCATATTCCGGCTATGTCCACACGAGCGTGGTTTTCGAGCGTTTTCAAATTCGTTTTTGTCTATTTTATCGCTTTGACGCCCTGTCCACACGACGGGATCCAAGGAGAAATATGTTTAAAATGTTAAATTACCTTCAACGTCTATTGTAAAATGACGGTGTATGAAAAAGAATGTGAAAACGCTCTAAAACGTTACTGTCTGTAGCCTTAGTCTCGAAGTGAAATTCGATTGTAAAAGTGTGTAATCTATTCTATTTGATCCATCCGACTATTGTGCTGTAACGATGGTGAAAGAAAATTTGGAAAGTAAAGGCGAATCCAAAAGCAATTCTTCTGTTTATAGTCCAACCTCGTGTACAATTCCTCTGTCCATTGGAAAGTAGCTGTATCGGCTTCTTCCAAGATAATTTTTTGGAAATTCTTTTCTTGTGGACGTGTTGAGTTCGCAGATCTTGTATTTCTTGGAAAAGTTGAAGGACTTGCATTGTGCATGGAGCTGGCACATGGCCAAGCAGTGATAGGATTCTGTGACTTCCAATTCTGTTTTGAATGTTTTGCCGTGTAAGGCGTGGTTGGGCCTGCTTGGATGTGAGATTGCTGGACTTTGTCCAAGTGCGATTGTAGAAGCTGAAAATTATACAAAAATGTGCTGTATGTTGCATTACGTGTTATAACTCATTCTCGTTTGACCAGGACATGATAGTTGAGGAAACACTGATGAAAACCCTCGCTTGCTAACTCTCATCAACTCTCATTCTCGTTTGATCAGGACATGATAGTTTAGAAAACACTCATGTAAACTCTCGCTTGCTAACTCTCATCAACTCTCATTCTCGTTTATCAGGAAATGGTGGTTGAGAGATCAATCATGTAAGTATACTCTAGTTTGCTAGCTCTGTTCCTCGTTTGATCAAAATAGACTCTCGTTCGCAACCTTTCATCCTCGTTTGACAAACATATAAGTAGACATTTACTCACAAGGCGCAAAGCAGAACTTGTAATGACTTGATTCTTTTCGTAGATTTGGAAAATGGTATGTATAGTAGGCGGCACATCTTGTTATATCTACATCGTATGTTTCCGCGCAATCGTTAGTCGTATTCTTCAAACATACTTTTCTGCTAACAATACCGTCTTCGAGTCTCGGATGTGTTCCGCTCAGCCAAAGCTGACATGGTAATGGCAAATCGGGTGAAGGCGATTTAGGTGCTTTTTCTTCGAACTATGTACAAAAAATATAATAGGTTGGCTAGTTAGTGTATCAATCTTCATTTTCATCTGATAGAGAAAGCGAGGCGGGGAATGGTTACTAGCATATATGACTATATATGACGCGCTACATAACTAGTACCAAGCCCCCTCCTCGCTACCGTCGCTCTCGAATTAAGGTTGTTCTAGGATGATATGGCTGGCACAATGGCTTGGCTCACCTGACCGTATTTCATTTGTTTTTCATCGTAAAAGCTGTACCATTCGTGTCCCATGATTTTGAAACTCGTCGCAGTACTTGATGTAATAAAATCAAATCTCTTCTCCTTTTGGTCTGTGCACACGCGTAACTTGCCTACGTTCATAATAAACGATATTTTAATATCATTAAAATGAGGAAGTTTGGCAGTGACTACGAGATTTGTCATGCTTACGTGTTGTTTGCTCACGCCATCTGACGAATCTCGTAGCTGTTGAGTTTTTCACGACGAGATTAATCAACGTACAATGTAAATTACGAATAACTTAGCATCAAATCTGGTATAATAACTGCCTAAAATAGACAAAACACTTCTCGACGTTTCGACCTGAGGGCCTTCGTCAAGAGAGTTATTGAGGGCCTTCGTTGGGCTTAGGACTAGTTATGTAGTGCGTCATTTTCATACTAACTCTCCTGACGAAGGCCCTCAGGTCGAAACGTCGAGAAGTGTTTTGTCTATTTTAGGCAGTTGTTATACCACATTTGATGCTAAGTTGTTTGAAGACGCTGCCACGCTGCTCCCTGGTTATATTGTAAATTACGAATTGTTTAAACTTGTTTTTGCTGAAATTATAACTTATTGTTGTCGCAAGTAGTAACATAATAATCGAACTCACTCGAAACTTGAACTTTCATCAACATTGCATTGTAGCCAATTGTGTTGTTTCCCCAGCATTCGTAGTCGCCGCTTTGATTTTGTCTTACATGACGTAAAGTCAAGGTACTCGATCCGTACGCTATACGTTTCTTGTTTTTTACCCATGAGAACACGGGGGCTGGGTAAGCGTTGATGTCACATGACAATGAAGCATCTTTACCTTCCTCCAACCAAACGTGTCTGTTCGTTGTTTCGTAGTTGATTTCGGCTTGAAAAAAAAGGCCATTTTGTTATTTTGGAATGATATCAGTGCAGTTGTTTTTTGATATTTGAGCACGAAATGGGTTCTATGTTCTATGAGATCATTGTAGATCCATAGAAAAGCCTGAAGTAGCAATATTTTTTGCTTGAAGCGAAGTTTTACTTTGGCCTTATTTGCCTTAACAAAAACGCCTGCCTCGAAACGCGTGGTCTAATATTGATTAGCAGGAGAGCTAGCAGGTAGATTTGCTATCCCATTAACTGGTATTCTCTGCTACTGACGCGTAAAATTGTTTAACGTAAAACTAAAGTAGTGATTCTGTTAGGGGGAGGGGGAAATAGATCGCGCGATCCAATTTTTTGCGAGGCTTAAATTAAGTATACTTACGTCTTGTCTCTTCAAACGCAAAAACTGAAAGTATTTGCATTTTTGTTTCCTTATTGTATTGATGCAAGTGTATGTACTTTGTTAAAATTCTTTCCGTACAGACGAAGTGTCTTGTTTCATGAATGTTCGGCATGTCGTGTCTGCCAGGAATACAGTCACTTTGCAAATCGGGATTGGTGTTTAATCCTGTTAAAACAATTGTTAAAAAAAGTTTTTTTCTCTCCTGTTGCATAGCAATCCCCTTATATGAGGACAGTCATATGCAAAAAGTTGTGGAAGTCCTTCGCCGTTTAGCCTCAGAGTTGGAATGGATTTCCACTTACTAATTTATTTATGCTGTTAAAATTCTTACGAAAATACACAAATATTTCGCTGGCAAACTATTTCTCTAAGTGAAAATCCAGCCTTAGCCGTGTAGATCGTGGGCACTAGCTTAGAAAACATTGCATACGTGAATACTTGGTGTAAAGTCTGGCGCTAAGACCCTCCAACTAGAAAAAAAGCTGATTGAATGACGTACGCACGACTGTGCATATTATTTACTTACCAAGCTTCAAGGTAAATTGTAAAAGTGTGGTTGCAACGATATATATCATAGCAATATTGAATTGGCCTGCCAACTCGATCCTGATTTTCTTCTCTTGAATCACCGACTCACTCACATACCATGTTTTAAGGCTCAGTGAAAATACGTTTATCGCTTCTTTCCCAGACGATTCAGCTCCTGGGGTCCGGGTCGCAGCTATCGCTTCAACACTCTCTGCAGAGAAAATCGTGTCAATAAACAATAGACCTATTTAAGTTGTGATTTCAAACACGTCCATTTAAGTTGTGATTTCGCCATGTTCAGGAGCGATTTAGTTTCACAAAGAAGCAAAAAGAATCAGCAAGGTTTTCTTACAAACAAAATCGCTTCTAAGCAGAGCGGTATCGCAACTCAGTTGCTTCATAATCAACTACCGTCACACATTGTGCGCTTGAAAGCTAAAAGGGGAAAGGTCTATTTGCATGCTACACTAATTTCTAATCTGAAGAGGAAAATTTGAAATAACAACAGTTAGAAAGAGAATACTAAAATTAGTAAAACTGTGCAGACCTAAAGCCTATAGGTCAAACAACTAGGTGATTTGCATTATCTTCGGTGCATGAAGCGAGCGACGTTTGACCAAGGATTTTTTTCGTGAAGGGTGTTTCAATCTTGTGAAATATCTCACTTACTTCCATTGTTCGTATTAACCAATACCTCAGCAATGAATAAAGAGACGAGGCCTTCTCTGTGAATGAAGATTATTTGGCCAAACATATCACAGTAAAATGATCTCCCTTCGCCAACGTGTAATGTTGCAGTCGTACATACTGGGTTGTTTAGTAATTCAGTAGAACTCCCTAAATCATATCAAGCATTCTGTAAGATGGTGATCATGATGGTGTGAGTATAATCATGATGATGATCACGATTCGATACATGTCGCAGCTCTCGGAAGCTTTCGTCCAATTGGATAATGCTTTTCTATGCTTTGTAAAGAACGAAGCTATGCCATTGGTTGAAACAGTAATGTATTGTAAAATTCAGCCAATGAAAATCATTCTTGCGAGAAGCTGCGACACTACCCGGGCACGATTCTAATTTTTTATACAAATGTAAATTGTCTATATACCTATTCGAATATTTACATGATGCATAGTTCCGATGTTGGTTTTCCCCGTTGAGGCAAAGACCAACACCTCATGTACAAAATAAACGTCTTGTAAATCAATTCTCAGCCAAGGTCTCGTATAGGTCTTGCTTTTTAATTGTGTCCCCATATCAAGATCTACAGCTCTGTATGGACCACCGTAAGATTGAATCTTGTATGTCTTAGTTCGTTTTCGCTGTGCCAGGTTTTCTAATAATACAGAACGTATCCTTGTGTTAAACGATGATGAACGTGTCCTTGTAGGACAGGGACTTGGGATGTACCAAATTTACGACGTAGAGAACGCCGGACGTGACATGAAAACTGCTACTAGTGTGAGGAAACCAGCATTAATTTGTTTTACATATGGCTCTGACTTTGTTTGTCAATAAGAGTTTATAATTTTCATCTCTGTTGGCCGGAAACTGTGGAAATTAGAGCAGTATTACTTCACATCCGCCTCGTAGATCTGGTGAATCGTAAAATTCACTATCATTTTTTCACGGCGCAGCTACCAAAACGGCTGGCGGCGCCGAAGGAGAACTGGTAGGATAAAAAACAGTAGAAAAAGAACTAAAAAGAACTAAACCAACCTAAGAAACTCAATGCCAGTGCTCTAGCCAAGTGGAATAACTCATGGAGAAAGCTCAAAGCGCAGATGTTATTATTACATGCGTGCAAGGCCGGGCCGCGGGAGCATTTTCAAAAAGTAAGGGAGTACCAAGACCTCGACGCAAGACAGCCGCCCTTAGTGGGTACACCTCCCCCCTCTCCCCCCGTCTCGCCACGATCAAATCTAATTACGAAGCCACTGACTGAAAGACAGCAACCATGCACATGGAGTACTTCTTACACTTGGCCTCCCTGCTAGCACACCTTGTCAGAGTCTTCTGCCCTTTACCCCCTCCCTTCACCTGACTCATATTTAAATACCTGGGGGCGGTTGTTCAAAAGGCGTTTAGCTTAAACGGTGGATGAGCCAAAATTCAAAAGTACTCTCGTACATCTTGTGAATGACTGAACCTGCATTTTTTTACATTAAATATGTACTTTCATTGAAAATTAAGCTATTTACATCGAAATATTCCAGCTCATTTGTCCAGTAAAGAGATAATTTTGTTTTTCATTTTGAACTTATCCACCGTTTAAGCTGCACGCCTTTGAACAAACGGCCCCTGGTCGCCGGTCAGGCCCCACCATCAAATTTCTCGCGGCTCTTATAAGTTACAAGAGCCAAATCTTACCGTGAGGCAGAGTGTAAGCGGCTATTTCACAAACTTTGAGCTGCGTGCTTGATTCTTCCCGTGAAATTCGTATGTAACGAATATTACGTCTAGGGGATTTCCGTTCGATATTTTTTATGGTCTCAATTTTGCCGTCAGCTAGATTAGGACCCTCCTGGGTGTCTGGAAGAAAAAAAGTGTTACAATAGTGTCAAATTTGTAATAACTACTATGGTGAAACCAATATACCCGCTCTTATTATTTACTTCTAAAATGTTTTACGGATTTCATCTCTCTGGACGATTGATCCGTCTAAAGGCTGGTTTTCAGTCAGGGAAATTATCCCCCGGACCGGTCGGACAGTATGGCTTTTTGTGTGCGTAAGACAATTATTTATGTAGGTACACCACGTAAGTATTAAATACTGCAAACTGGTTTCTGTTCGTCAATCCCCGGGCCTTCTTCAGCCGCAATTGATATAATGCACTGATGAAGGCCCAGGTTAACGCACCGAAAGCTTTGCAGGATTAAATACTTGCGTGGTGGACGGATCCTTAGTCAGACGGATCATTGCATTGTATGTGAAGAAATTAACGGATTGACAATGTAGGCGATTGGTAAATTAATGCAATTATATTTTGTCATTAAAACATTTCTTTTTCCTGAAGTTTTCACGCGTAGCGATTTGAAGTTTTTGTTAGTTTCTCTCGTCACTGAGTCGAACGTGAATGAAGTCGATGATTTTAGCTCGTAACTCACAACATTATCTTGCATGACTTCAGGCAAATACAATCACGTATATACCACGGTCAGCATTCCACATAACCTTATTCAACATTTCAACTTACTTGAAAAAGTAATCTTTATATTGGAATACGATGAGGAACTTTTGGATAGAATAAAAACAACAAAATTTATGAAAATATCATTTCCAAGGTCGACCAGCAAGTACGGAGTGTTTGAAACAGTTGTCATTGCGCATTCCTTATCGTCGTTTTGCTCGTAATTCCCGTCCGTTGCCAGCGATGCATCATGGGTACCCTCGGTCGATGACTGCGTCACTGGCTTGCCACGTGACTTGCACGTGTGATAGGGATCTGAGGAGAGAAAGGGGTAACTAGGATTATGTGTGCCAGTGACTGGTAGGACTGCATGGGATCGGGGATAGCCTGGATTTCTTTAAAATATTTCAGAGTTGCAAAACCAGTTAATCATCTCGCGCTCATATAAGTTATTTTTTAGTTAAACAGTAATCCGATCAAGGTTTATTAGCTTAACGTAAGGTATAATTGATATATTTAGCTATACCTACCATTGTATGGACTTGACAGACATATCTGAAGCAACCCAAGTGTTAATAGAAGCGACAAAATCTGGAAAAAAACCAGAAACCTCGTTTTTCATGACGTTTAACGCACAGAAAATTCAGAAGTGATAACAATTGAAATTTTGGGATTGCAATTATTTCTTAAGCCAGTTTTTTCGGGCACGCGCGATAAATTTCCAAAAATTCTTCGCATTCCAGATGCTTCAAACGCATTCGACGCCGGCGAAAAAAAATTTGAAATACCAACGAGTTTCGAGTGTCGACCAGTGCAGTGTTAATATTTCAAACAAAATTCAAATTTCCACCATTCATGAAGGCATGATTTGAAAACGAATAGCTAGTTTCTTCTCAGCGGATCCCCTACAGGTAACATCTGCCTTCTGAATCAGACAAACCAGATTTACTCCCAAAGCAACTTTTTATTTAAAACTCCATGCACTTACTAAACAATGAATATATTGTAGCTACAACACTGTATAAGTTGTATGTATACCTTGCCTACTAAATGATGACTTGACATCTTTCGCGAATCAGTTGTAGATTTAATCGATGTTTGACATTGGCCACTGAACCGTTTTAAAATTACCAAAAGCTTGTGTTATTAATACGTATATATGCATGCATGGCAACCCGAAAAGTTGGATTTCAGCAGCCACCTGTGTCGTTTCTGACCGCAGTTGCTGGTCCCTATAATTATATGTATGCATTGGCTGACTGGAAAAACATTGCTGCATATTTCAGCACCATGCATGCATGATTCAAGATACAAGATGTATCAACCTTCGTTTAAAACTCTATGCTATACTACTTCAACTCTGCTTTTTCGTTGCAGCCCAGAAAAGAGCCGCGGTAGCCTACTTCTAGCAAAAGTTTTGCGACTGTAGTTCTTAACTTCTTATTGTTTTCTTCTGAAAAACATATACAGTTAAGCTTCGAGCTTCTATTAAGCCGTGGTTTTTCCCCGATTTTTCAAGCAACCGGGTCTTTACTCCAAATATAGATGTTCAAATGCACGTGAGAGATAACTATTATATAACTGCTAAAGATTTTGCAAGGCAGTTGCCTTCAAAAATTCACGAAATTTGATCCGAGGATGAAATTTTAGACGCGAGAAACAGCTTTCGAAGTATTGAAAATATAACACCCTCGCGTGGCTATCATTCGTACACGTATGCAAATTTACAGTTGCATTATCTTGAAATGGCCGAGGCTAAGAGTACAGAGTTGAATATTACTCAGTGACGGTTCGAAGGATATGGTAAACGATGATCTCCGTGAGATCTCAAATCTCTTTGCTTCTGAGTTCAACAGTAGGGAGCTACATGACCGGGTGTTGTGTTTTCAATTCATCGACGATGAACTAAGCGGTAAACACGAGGCAAAATGTGTCGATGACGATGATCTAAGCGAACCAGGACTTGCAATTGGGTCTAAAAAGCGGGGATTTACTGACGAAAACGAAGATGAAACAAATCAGGAAGAAAAACAATTGCCTCTGGATAACAAACATGGTAAAGTTCTCAGTTTAATAATACCTAGTTTACAATGTCAAGGTGGCTGATGCCTGATGTTATATGAATAATAACTATGTCTGTGCATGTCTGTGTACTCACTACAATGACCGATTTGAATACTTAAATAGAGACAAATTGGCATCCGGACGAGGGAGAGCTCTAGAAGTCGTGTTGAAAATAAAGATTACTGTTTTTAACCTTTGTGTTAATCTTTCCAATGTAGTTAAACATTCTGTATATGACTATATTCTTTCAGGAAATAACGTCCGGGTTACTAGCGGCCCGGAAGCATTACAGGATAGAATTTCATGGGGTATTGTCAAACTAATAATCCATATTTTATTAGACGAAGAAAAAAACGCAAGGAAGGGTATCGAGAAAGATGACAACGAGCCACAAAACAAAAAACAACGACTTTATGATAATAAGACCGAAGGCGAAGGTCAAAGGAGCCATGAAGATCCAGAACGCTCGTCGAAACAAAGTTTAGATAAGACACGGAATAAACGATCGTTGATATCAAAAAAGCAAGACAGTGGTAGTGTGGAAGAACAAGATCTCCGGAAACCACAGAACAAACAGAAGCAGGGTCGTGGGACGGTTAAAAGCAAAAAAAACATGAATAAAAACGACAATAAAACCAGAGAGTGCGAAAACTCTGAAGATGAAAAAGATGAAACAGCAAATGAGACAAAAGATGAAGAGAAACGGACAACGAGTAAGTTGTTCGTTCACAGCCAGTGGCTTGCGGTTCAAAGTCCTTATTTCAAAGCACTTTTCTACTCCGGAATGAAAGAAACATTTACCAAAGAAGTTGTTATGATGATCTACGAACACGAACTTCTAGCGCATCTAACTTTAATCGAAGCAATGTATAAATTTGATGTGCTCGATGGTAAAGATCATCTTCTTATTTCGAAAGTCCTTGTTCTCGCTCACAAGTACGATGTACGTCATGTAATTAAGAAGTGTAAGTATATCTTGTTGTCCACAACACCAAGTTTGGAAATCTGTGAATTTATCTTGAGGGAAGCAGCACATCTTGAAGGCATGACAGAGATCTATAAAATTATAGAGAAGTTCCTCGTTAAGGAATTCACACCGATTGACAAAACTTGGACAATGGATAAATTCGCTGACCTTTCCGAAGCAGCCTTAAAGCTTCTTTTAGGGAGCGATAATTTGGCTACTCAATCTGAAAACACGATATTTGTTGCACTGATGCGGTGGGTTGAATTGAATATCGGCTCGTTTGTAGAGGAAAAACCGGATCTGTTAGATGTAGTAAGATTTCAGTTCATGTCTGTGGATTTTCTTCACGACGTAGTTCAAAATCATGTTGTCGCGAGCAAAATTCCTGGCTTTAGCAAATATCTTGTGAAAGGTTTGGCATATCACGGATTCTCGAAGATCAGACGGAACCAGCTCGATCCTAAGCCAAAGAAACGACCAGCACTGCCGAAAGATGATGGCGCAACATTTTCTTGGGTGATTGACGAGGAACTCCAGAAAACCCTTTCGGATTCTCTAGGAGATTCTATTTATTCAGAAGAATTTTGGTTTCAGGGATATCAAATGCAACTTGATCTGAGCTATGAAGAAGATCAGAGTAAATGTAGTTTTTATCTCTCGATTCTCAACTTGGGGGAAGAGTCATGTTTGAATGTCAGTTATAGAGCTGAGTCCATTTTATTCGCTAAGCGGATTTTAAGTTTACCAAAGACTTTGTTTACAGACAGCAATTGTGATTGGGGATGGAGTAGAATAAAACGTAACAATGTCCGTACGGGGACGAACTATACAATAGACGTCTGGGTTGATATCGATTAAAACACCTGTTCAGGCTGTTCTTTTGTTTATTATTCTATTCTTGTTGACTTATTCTATTATATTGTTGACATTGTGCGTTATACCGACTTCATACAGTGCTAGAAATATTTTTTTTGTCCTATACATGTTCAATAAAACTTGTTAAGGAAAAAGTAACAAGGAAAAAAGTTCCCCCGCATGTACCGGAGTTTATTGCATACAGACACTGGCCTTAGTAAGTATGGCTGTTACAGTAGAATAACTAGGATTTTAGTAATAATGAGAGCAATACTCAGAAAATTGTTTTGAAAAGGTGAGATATTTGACTCTGTTTTTTAAAACAGATGGTTCGAATCCTACATGGGAAAAGTGTTTTCATCGGGTGGGATAGAAAAACGTTACTGCATGAGAATTGAGAATCGCAAAATTTTCTTAGTCTGGTATCACTCAAGGCAATGCTCTCGGCAAATCAAATAGTCCCGATTTTGGAAAAACTTTCTTGATTATGCTCATTAGAAATTTGTAAACATGCGAGACACGCGTACGTGTACCACCTTTAGTAATCCACGCATATGATGTGAGCTGGTGGTCATCATGCACCATGCGATGAAATCAACAAATATTGAAGGCGTGGGTTAGACGTCGCATTTTGGTCGCGTCGAATGAAATTCAAACAATAGATAATGAGATGATAAACCTCGTTAAGTTTCATCACCATCTCATTATCTATTCAGTTTGAATTGCATTCGACGCGACTAAAATGCGACGTATAACCTAGACCTTAATCACTTAATCTAGTGTTTTCTATTATACTTAAAAACTTTTTTTAAAGTCATCATGACAAACATTTTCTCCACGAGTTGGACCAACGCGACGGCAACGGCTTAAGATGCACCAGATCTAAAAAAGGCTATGTTATACTCTGCCATGGTCGAAAATATACCATATTTCGGTACACTCCCTTTTTTGTCATTGCTTGATGGTGCTAATAAAGGTGTTTTTTCAGTTTGTTGAATTAATCCCGCTTCAGTGGCTAGAGACGATGGATTATCAACAGAGTTGGTAGATATATGCAAATATTTGAGGCCAAATTGTCATTAGTGCTATCAAGAAAACAAAGAAAACAAAAGGCAAAGACAAAGGAAACAAAGAACTAGTGTGATGTTGTTTGGCCTCAAATATGCAGCTATCTACCAACCCTGATTATCAAGGACAAGTTGCCCACGCACGAGGGAAGTTCAAACTTCAAAGCAGCGTGCTTGCATGTACAGGGTGTCCCAAAAAAAAGTCCCCTCTATTGAAATCAAGCCTTTGTTAGAATCTGATTGCCTTAATATTATGATAAACCAAATTGAAAGCAAGACGCTTTATTTGAATGCCTCAACCTAATAACTATGCTATTTACACACTACTGCGTTGATCATGCATTCAAATCAACAAAGGCTTCATTTCAATAGGGGGGACTTTTTTTTGGGACACCCTGTATAAAATAGGGTTGCATGTGTTCCTACAGCAGAGATGTTTTCAATCGTCGGGAAACAAGGATGTCAAGTGAAATCAGGAGAAATCATAAAAAATTGAAGTAATGGCGTATACGAGGTTCGTTTAAAGCGTTTATTAGCCAAACCATTACATTAAATCCATTGCAACTCGTTAAGTTTGAATAATGAGAAAAGATTAGTGAAGTCTTATGGCCGGATGCCCTTGAAACTAGTGTTCTCTTTTGGTTGAGATTTATTTTAAGTGTTGGTAAAGCTTATAGAAACTTCTCTTCTTTTTAAGCTCCTTTTGAAACGAACTACGTCGAAGAAAGTGGAGATATTCTGAGAGCAAGTGAGTTCTTGTTTGTCTTGGTTTTGCTGTAATTCAAAGCTTTGAAGCCCCGATTCCCAGCGTGTCGACTACCAGACCATGCAAGGAGTTCCTTGACTGTTGTTTATCAAACGACTAAGCAATAAAACCATGCCGTTTGAGATTGTCCTAAATTTCCCCGCTAGTGAACATGTTTCAGAAACGTCAAGAACAAATCTGACTGTGAATATTTGAGATATTTCGCTCTTCTTTTATGGGATGGGTTTCAGCAAATTGTTTGAACGTGCACATAATAGAAAATTAAGCCGTATACATGCAAATATCTCTACAAAATTCAAATAATAGATAATAAACAACGCTCTTTTGTTTATTTTTTAGATTATTCAATCCGGCGTGATCATCAGCTGTGATTACAGTCGAGTTTATAAAGCGATACGGCTACCTATATCACTTCGTTTTAGTTTGACTTATAATAACTATTTGCTTTAATCCACATAGACATACATGCACTCTTCCGTTTACCTCCTTGATTTTCAAATTCGTATCACATTTTAGCTCCCAACCCCTGGGTTCCACCAGTCGAGAGCAGTACATTAAATAAGAGTGATTTGGGCCCGATCACTTTTATTTTCTGGACCCTCGAACGACTTTAGTTCGGCACAAAAAAAATTTCGCTCTCGGAGCACGTAAACTTCGCAATGATCTTTAGAAGGAGATAATGGTCGAGTGTTAAGTCTATGCATGCTGCTTTTGAGATAAAAAAATAACATGAATGAGATTGTGTATTTTCAGATGCTTTAAGCGACGAACTAGGTGGATCATGTAAAGAGGAAGGCACACTCAGGTACCACCATGTCATAGGTATTGTAGTTAGATTCAGCCTACGAAACTAATAGAGGGTGATACATGGTTTGATGAAGTCAGGTCTAAACTGAATGCATTTAAGTGACATATTCCTTTTTGCAAATTGTAAAAGGATCCACCTTCAGATGTGACAGCGAAAGAGTGGGTGCGTCAAGTGAAGAGAAGCTCACGCCAGGTACCATTTGTTTTGAAAGCGAGTACTCCTTGCATGGTTGTCTAACCTCTGTGTTTTACACGTATGCGACATTTTTCCTTTTCAAATCCTGTAGGATCTGCAATCAGAACTCAGCCGTCGATGTGTTGTTGGAACAACTGGAGAGGAAGATCACGAAGACTGACGAAGAGGTAGCATTTCATGATACATGGTTGTTATAAGTGATTCTTCTGAAGACGATTACTTCTGGTGGTCTAACCTGAATGCATTTACACAAATGATATTTTTCTTTTTCAAATGTTGAAGGATGTCCAACCAGATGTCAAGCGACGACGGACCTGAGCTATCAACTGGAGAAGAAAGCTCGTCCAGGTACCATTTCATGATGCATAGTTGCTATAAGTTGTCATTTTACACGCCCGGAATATGTGACATATCTATTTTGAAAACTTGTAGGATCTCCAGCCAGATGTCAAGCGACGATGTGGGGCGCATCAACTGCAGAGGAAGAATGCTGACGCAGAGGTACCATTTCATGACGAATACTTGCTATATAAGTGGTTGTTCTGAAAACGATTACCTCTGGTGGTCTAACCTGAATGCATTTACACACAAGTGACATTTTCTTTTCCAAATGTTGAAGGATCTGCAAGCAGATGTCAAGCGACGACGGACTTGAGCTATCAACTGAAGAAGAAAGCTCATCCAGGTACCATTTCATGGATGCAGTTGCTATAAGTTGTTATTTTACACGAATATGTGACATTTTTATTTTAAAAACTTGTAGGATCTCCAACCAGATGTCAAGCGACGATGTGGGGCGCATCAACTGCAGAGGAAGAATGCTGACGAAGAGGTACCATTTCATGACGAATGCTTGCTAAATAAGTGGTTGTTCTGAATACGACTTACTTCTGGTGGTCTAACCTGAATGAATTCACACGCAAGTGACATTTTCTTTTCCAAATGTTGAAGGATGGCCAACCAGATGTGAAGCGACGACAGACTTGAGCTATCAACTGAAGAAGAAGCTCATCCAGGTACCATTGCATGGTGCATAGCTGCTATAAGTTGTTCAGTATTCTGAAAGCGATTACTCCCGGTGGTTTATAACCAGAATGCATTACACACAAGTGACATATTCTTTTTTCAAACGTTGAAGGATCTCCAACCAGATGTCAAGCGACGATGTGGGGCGCATCAACTAAGGTCGGAGAAAGCTCATGCCAGCCAGGTACCATTCTATAATGAATGCTTGCTATAAATGGTTGTTCAGAAAGCATTATTCTTTGCATGGTGATCTAACCTGGATGTATTTACGCATAAGTGAGATTTTCGTTTTTAAATTATTGAAGGATATCCAGTCAGATGTCAAGCGACGATGTGCCGGTGCGTCAGCTGAAGACGAAACCAACGCCAGGTACAGAACGATTTCATAGCTACCATGATTAGATCTAGCACTCAGAACTAAGTGAATAAACGTTGTGGTTTTTCTGAAAGACGTGTGTACTCTTGTTTTATTTACACTTAAGTGACATATTTCCTTTTCAATTATTGTTGAAGGATCCGCATTCCGATGTTAAAAGATCTCCAATCCAATTCCAAGCGACGGGTGGTGGGTGCATCGACCCACTGAAGAGGAAGCTGTCCAGGTACCAGGATATTGTATTGCATGTCGTGTATTATAAGTAGACAATGTAGTTATTCCGGATCCTGGTGGTCGCGCTAAAAATATCCCGCAAAAATATGGCGGTTTTGTGTCTACATAATGTGTGCATGGAGACCATTCCAGAATTGATGCGCGATATCTTAAAGCATTCGCAAAAAAAAAGATTCAAATAAGTTCGTATTAGTCTTGTTTTAAGACCAATACGAATGAAACTGCAAGCAGAGCAATTATATGATCATGTAATTGCTTTGTTAGGACGAAGATTTGCACATTGGCATCAAAAATTGTTTAAAATGTTCACAGAGCATGCTATTCCATATGTTCGGATCAATCTAGGATTTACTCCAATACATTGAATTATCCAAGACAAAATCGTTTTGCATGAACAAGATAAGTGAATATGGAGAAAAGCGAAGTTTCGAATCGAAAAGAATGCATGAATTATATTCCACCTTGGACACAGGACACACTCACTTTCTACATTTTCTATTTTCGGTTCAAAGTTGTAAGTGCATTGTAGTCTTCACCATTATTAATTTATTATTGCATGAATATTATGATCTTTCGCATAACATGACACTCATCTGTTTACCATTTTGATTTTATATTATTGTTTCACAGTTGTAAGTGCATGTAATCTTCACATTTACTTATTACATGAATTCTTTTATCTTTCACATGACATGAAACTCGTCTGTTTACCATTTTGATTTTATATTTTCGTTTCACAGTTGTGCATGTAATCTTCACATTTACTTATTACATGAACTCTTTTATCTTTCACATGACATGAAACTCGTCTGCATGTTTACCATTTTGATTTTATATTTTCGTTTCACAGTTGTGCATTTAATCTTCACATTTACTTATTACATGAACTCTTTTATCTTTTACATGACATGAAACTCGTCTGTTTACCATATTGATTTTATATTTTCGTTTCACAGTGTAAGCGCATGCCATCTTTAAAAATTAAAAGTTAAAATAAAAGTAGCTATAATATTAATAATGGTAGTCGTAATAAATTAAATGACTTTACAATGAAATATATATATCTAAAGTAGTCTAACTGAATATTTAAATCGATAATGGTTTATAATATAGCTAAAATATATGTAGATTTGTACGCTTATCTTTATCACAAAATATATCTTGAGAAACCTTTCCAAAGTCGTAAAGAAACACGTTCACATATTTTGCATGCATCTTGAGACATTGCTATTTGATCCACGTTTGTTAAAATCTAATAGCTATAAGTGCTTTATATATATATATATAGTCTTGATTTCGGCTGGTCCATTTACATTTTTTTTATTGAACGACGGTATTTAGTCATGCAATATCCAGTTTTTATCGAATGACAATAAGTCCAACTTAGCGATGAGAGATACTGAAATAGATAAGATGAAAGAAGAAGTTCAAACAAAAGAGCGTTCTTGCATGTCTAAGCTCTGTTTTCTAATGCAAATTTCTCATTTCTTTTCTCTCGTATGTTGCCAGTGCAAGATGAAGCGCAGTTTCCGGCGTAAAAAGCAAGCTGATTTGCGCGCGAATGCAAAATATAACCTAACTGATGCTGTTTACCGTAGACAATATGCGCGTGCGTGACCACCAGGATCATTCAAAAGATTTCCGTCATTTTTACCCGGGAAAGGTCGGTAAAATGCCGGATATTCAATTTTCAAAATCAAAATACCAAATTCGGACCGCCGGTCAGGAGGGTTTTTCTCCGAGCACTCCGGTTTCCCTCCTTTTCGTTTGGCTTCAACAAACAGTGTCCATGTTTGGGGCCAGACGGCGATAAACCACGTTTAAAGTCGTGGTTGTTTGGCTTCTGGGTTCAAATCCTGGAACACTGTCTCAAATCTTGTACATTTTTGCTACGACGTTTATACATATGCAGACTGCAGTTCTAATATAACTTTCATGCAGCATCGGCCCATTGAGAAAATGACTTAAATGAGTAAAATATCAAAAACTTTTCACATTCAGTTTCTCGCCTGTATAACTTGTTTTCAAAGTTAAAACAAAACATTAGGCAGTATATAGTAAAAATAGTGTAGATTTCATTTCTCTTGTTATTTTGGATTAGTTTTAGGTATAAATTGACGTATTTTCGGATTGTTTTCATGCGTTCATGTCGATATTGTGATTGAAGTTGCCTACCTTGGATATATTATACTATATAATACAGACACACATGTGTAAATTATAGACAAGTACATAAGCATGTATAAATAAATGTGATATTTCATTAATGTCTATTTCATTAGTATTTCTATTTAAAATAAAGAAGAAAACCATTCGCCATTGGGCTGCCTATGATCAGATAAAGATTGGTTAACACTTCACCACAGCACTCGTTCAAAACGAAACGAATGAGATTTAGGTTCTATGTAGTTCTCAAAGTTTGTATTCAGTGACTTTGGGCTACGAAAACGGCGTGTAAATATCATATGTGATTATGTTAATAAATGAATTGTGATTTCTTTCTGTGATTTCTTTTTTCTATACATGTCTGTTTTTATTTTCCAAGTACTGACAACCACTCCGTCATCTGGTTGTATTTTGGGTTTTCACCAAGGTGTTTGGTTACAGCATTTTCTGCACCTTGCATGTAAAAAAAGGGTAATTTCTGACATAAAATCTTTGTAAGGGAAAGGTTTTCAGAAATCAACAATTTTCGCGAATTCGTTTTGTTTGAGAATGCATTTCTGGAGTAAAATGAAGTAATGCGGAAAATGGCCACTTTTTGGCCAGAAATCAAATTGCAGCTGACCACCGATTCATCAAACTGCCGGCGTTGGTGTCTCCCCAGCCTCCAACAGGTCCTCCGCGGCCTTCCCTCAGATATCGACTCGTGTGATGAGAATCTCTAACACTTCATGTTGAGATATTTCCATAAAAACTGGAATCGTGCTTATTGAAGTATATAACAAAAAATAAAAGAAAAATTAAAAAGGCGACATAAAATATTACTAAATGCTAAATACTATCTCTACACTCTAGTTTTCTTCCAAACGTCGACTGAGGCAGAAGGAGATCCGTTGAAATAATTTTTTTGTGCTTTTTTTGTCTCTTGTGACAGAAGGAATTTTTCGGAAAACTGAGGAAATTCAAACTTCTCCGCAGCGAATTTTCGAATTTTTCCAACGAGATTTGTTCAACTTTCTTCGACTTTCTTGTTCATTTCATTACTTTTGTATTTGTGTTTATTTGGCGATCGTTGCAGTGTTTGCTTGCTATCAAGGATGTCTGCATCGCCGTATCACATCTCGTCCTTATTGGACAAGGTAAGGCTTTGTAAATCAACCAGATCACAGATAATATAAATATCTTGTTCATCATTTTGTCTACATCGTGTCTGGTCAGTCTGGGCACTGAGATTGTACATTGTTGTACTGTTGCTTCAAGATCAATCTCCTTGTATCGGTGTAAATGGTTGTATGCGAAGTAGCTTCATGTTTATCCAGTAATTTCATCCCTACAAGACAAAAACTGTCTCGTAAATTGGCATTGCATTAAACTGTTTGTTTATTCAATATGTCAATACACTTGTCTAGTTGGGATGATAGATAAGTCAATGCATACAGATATGCTTCAGGCAACTTTTCTTTTATCTATTTTCTTTCATTACAATGTGTTGGGTTCGAGCCCTTGGATTAGCCAGGCAACCCGAAAACTTTCAGCTGGTACGAGTTTACCCTATAGAAGAACCCAGAAAATTTTGATACCCTCCAGAAGGACCTCTTCTATAGCATTGCTAGTCAGTGGAAGACTCTCTTCAGTCAATAGTAATCTTTCTTTATCATGCTTAACTTGTGTCGTATTATCTGTTGTTCTTACGGCAGATGACATCCAATGATAAAGATTTTCGTTTTATGGCAATCAATGATCTGATGGCCGAACTTCAAAAAGACTCGATAAAGTTGGATGATGATAGTGAACGCAGGGTAAGATTTTTACTTTTCCAAACTCATTGCATGGAACGTTGAGAGGAGATGTGTCAGAGGTGAAATTAAACACTGGGGAGCCTCTCCGAGGTTATTACCATAATATTTCTGTTCTTATGTTTACATTCTAATGATTCGTGGTATTTTTTCAAGGTTGTCCATATGCTTTTGAAACTTTTGGAAGATAAAAATGGTGAAGTTCAGAACCTCACTGTGAAATGGTATGTTTGTACATTTTTTTTCACTATTCTACTTCTGTTACATAATACAATGTTCATAAATGGCATTTAATTCTATTTATTTACACTTATATTTATTCTTTAACAGCCTTGGTCCTCTGGTTGGCAAAGTTAAGGAATATCATATTGAGTCTATTGTGGACAATTTGTGTTCAAATATGTTATCAACCAATGAACAGCTTCGCGATATTTCTAGTATAGGTATGCAAGTATTTTCAGTGTACAATTGAAAGGCAATCAGAGCAAAATGCAGTCTAGATTAATTTAAACAAAATGAGAAATATATTCTTTAATGATTGGTTACTGAAAGGAATCTCACCATCAAACATGAAAAATTGAAAAACAAATGTATATTATCATTCATATTTTTAGGCCTGAAGACAGTAATAGGGGAATTACCTCCTGCGTCATCAGCGCTAGCTGCTAATATTGCGAAGAGGATTACTGGAAGATTAACTGCTGCTGTCTTAAAGGTATTCATTGGTAGCTTGCTTTTTTTAAAGAAAAGTTCATCCAAAGGCTTTATCTCATTGCTTCTTTTTGCTATTCCTTCCAGAGTGATGATGTGTCAGTTCAGCTTGAAGCTTTGGATATTCTGGGGGATCTTCTCAGCAAATTTGGTGGTAAATAAACTTGATTTTACTATTCACTCTCCTCAAATTCATATTCTGAGATATTTTAGACTAATTTGTAAATAAAAAATGTGAATCTTTGCAGGTCTGTTGGTCTCATATCATCAGTCAATCGAGCAGTCACTGTTTGCTCAACTCAAGAGCCCTAGACTTGCTGTGCGAAAAAGATCCATCATTGCTTTAGGTAATAATTTAACCACATTCTTCATACACACAAGCTGTAAAAATTCAGTCCCAATTTCTAGTTTATTCTTGATTCAGGTTATCTGGTCACAAGCGCGAACAGCAGTCTTTTTATTGAGCTCATCGATTCCTTGGTCACTGAGTTGACAAAAAATGAAACTCATTCAACAACAAGAACCTATATACAATGCTTGGGATCATTGTGGTAAGGATTTCCATTGGTTTTGATCAGAGAAAACACTGTTAAAGACCCTTGCAAGCATGTTAAAATGACATCTCCCATTTCACTAACTTTCAATAGATTTTATCTGAAATTAGGGTCGTATAACAACTTACTGAGTTTAACTTTCTCGCATAAATGATATGAAAAATACATCTGACATCATAATATACTTGTGAACGTTTTCATAGTGTACTAGGGCACAATTTAAAAGTTGTCAAAACTCTTTTCAGTCGCCAAGCAGGACACAGATTTGGGGAGCAACTTGAAAGAATAATACCCCTGATTGTGAAATATGCGAAGATTGATGGAGACGACGAACTAAGAGAATATTGTATCCAGGTTAGTATTTCATTATCAGACCTCTTTTACCAAACGAAGAGCAATAATTAAAACACGTTTAACTACTAAGCCGTTTGAAACGACTTTTGTCGTGTATTTCGTCGCCCGTAACAATCGTTGCTTTTTGTGTCGTATTATACTCAGAATTGTGACACATTTCATATGTCTGTGAATGGCGTATTTTGCTGAGGATTTTGTGTGTGTCTTTTCTAAATATATCGCAACCTTTTTGTATTTCATTTTGTAGGCATTTGAATCGTTTGTAATACGATGTCCGAAAGAAGTGACTTCTCATGTTTCAAAGGTAACGGTTGAACATATTTTCCACGTACCAACACATCAGTAGGAACACAGGATAATTGTCGAGACGTCTTACTGTCTACTTGCTTTTGTATAAATATTTTTATGATATTCTACGTTTGGTTGACGAAAGATGAAACGTTTGAGCCTGGTTTGAATTATTTAGCTGTACTACGTCAATGGCAAATATGATTATTTATCACTGCATGTTCTTTTCCGTTTAGATTACAGAACTTTGTCTGGAGTTTATTTGTTTTGATCCGAACTATAATTATGGCAGCGATGATGAAGACGAGGACAGTATGGACACCGATGATCAGGAGGACGACGAGGGGTATATTTGGATTTCTTACAACAGGATCCATACTTGTACCTGGTAGAGTTCTCATGAAATTTTATATCATCTAGGTCAGACGATGAAGAATATAGTGACGATGATGATATGAGTTGGAAGGTAAGAAATATACCTGATATTTCAACCTTTTTACCTTTATCAGTTCTAAGCTATTCCTCACGAAGGTCCACTAACAATCATCTGTGGTTTATTCCTGATTTTCCTCAGTTTTACCAAAGGCTCCCACCCACTGCAGCGAAGACACTAAACAAAACCTTTATCAAAAGTCTGGTTGTGATCTTAAACGTTCTTTTTTCCCTCAAGGTTCGCAGAGCATCAGCGAAATGCTTGGGAGCAGTTTTAGGATCACGTCCGGACCTTTTAACTGAATTCTACAAAACTGTTTCACCTGCTTTGATAGGACGATTTAAAGGTAGATGTTTTCATAAATAAATACGTTTTTGAAGCAGCTCAACTCAACGGTAAATCTGAAATCATTTCAGAACGAGAAGACAGCGTAAAGTGTGACATATTCAACGCGTACAGAGCGTTACTACGACAGACCAGACCTATTGCATCAGCATCGTTTGACCCTGATGCTATGGAAGAGGAAAACAGGTGAGTTAAGTTCTTGTTTAAGCGGCATTTTCGGTGAAGATGATCAGGAAATTAGTTTTGAGTACCTCACGCGATAGATTGGATGCATTTGAATGCATTTCAGTTTTTCTCGTCTCTTTTTAGACCGTTGACTTTACTCCAAGCTCAGATTCCCGCCATTGTTAAAGCGATACATAAGCAACTTCGCGAAAAAAGTTTTAAAACGAGACAGGTAAATATCTCGAGGATTCAAAAATCGAGACGTTGTGTGTATTTTTCTACAAACGAAACGAAGTTCTTTATACATGCAAAATTGTGTTTAATTTCTAGGGCTGTTTTAGTTTATTGACTGAACTTGTGAACGTGCTGCCGGGCGCTTTGTCAGATCACATCCCCGCTATTGTGCCAGGAATTCAATATTCTCTCGGGTAAGTTTAACGGATGATTAAAGTTTTTAAAGCTAATATACACAAGTCCATTTCCTCTCAACTTCAAACCGGTTCTGGTCTTCTGAAACAGACGAAAGACGATGTTTTTATTTGTTTTTTAGCGATAAAAACTCGACTTCGAACATGAAGATTGACACGCTGACATTTCTCAGCTGTATTTTAACTCAACATTCACCGACCGTCTTTCATCCACATATTTCTGTTTTACTACCGGTGAGTGGGTGATGGGATTGCCCCTTCCCTGTGTGGGGGGGAGGTACGACCTGGGGGATCGTTGTTGTTTAGTGGGGGTCTACACAAACATTGGGACAAGACATGAACAAAGCAAGTTTGATCATTGAGAGTATGCTTTTCAAACTCTTGTGTCTTTTTTAGCCTGTAATAGATTCGGTCGGTGATCCTTTCTACAAAATCACCTCAGAAGCTTTGCTGGTCATGCAGGAACTGGTTAAGGTTATCCGACCGTTCAAAGGTATTGACGGCCATATTGAAACTATTACTAGCACTATTTCCAGCGTTTCTACAGGCGGAAACCTAGACTAAACGTTTTTATTTTCTTGTAAAGGTGAAGCGAAGTTTGACTACAAGCCTTACTTTAAAGAGATCTACACAAGTACGTTGTTTCGTCTGAAAGCCGCGGATATCGACCAAGAAGTGAAAGAAAGAGCCATCTCGTGCATGTAAGAATAAATCTTCATAACACAAGTGTTGATTCACGTCTATGCACTTTATGCCTCATGAGTAAACACGTCTTTGAGTACAAGCCTTTGAGCACGTCTTTAGAATTGTCGTACATAATTGAAAGAATATTTTATTCAAGGGGCCAAATACTTCATACCCTGGGAGATGAACTATCGTTCGAGTTAGGAACATGTTTACCGATATTTTTGGAAAGACTTCGGAACGAAATCACGAGACTGACAACGGTCAAAGCTGTCACGTTAATTGCTGGGTAAGAATTTCTTCCCAATTCATCAGATTTTCTGCTTTGTGCTTTGAGTTTTTTTGCACGTTTGAAGCTAGTCAAAGACCGCCAATTAAATGTGTAATATTCTGTCTTGTTCCTTCAAGGTCTCCGTTGAAAATCGACCTTTCCATCATATTGGTAAGTTTGATGTCTTTGGGAAAACGTGTTGCGAGCAATTTGTGAATCAAGAGCTTTTGGAAGCTTACATACTTGTTTATCATCTTTGTTTCACGAATATAGTCACGTTGAAAACATCGTTGAAGTTTATTTTATGATTTCAGCCGGAGACGATGCCTGTTCTGGCAACGTTTTTACGAAAAAATCATCGTGCATTAAAGTTGGCAACCTTAAATGCACTGGATGTCCTGATCACAAACTATGGTAAATATTCGTTCATTTATAATGTTGTAAAACTCTCCCGTATACGTACATCATTATAAAACGAAGTGGAATTATAGAAACGAGACTATAGACTGAGCTGTGTGTCGCTGAAACTCGCTTGGACTAAACTTGAGTATTTAAAACGTTCTCTTCCAGGCTCAAATATTGATTCTGTTGACATTGACGGTGTGCTTGCTGAGGTTCCTCCTTTGATAAACGAATCCGACCTTCATATTTCACAGGTAAATTTTGTATAGCCAAGAATTTTATCCTTTCTAGATTTCTTTATTTATTTCCTATGCTCTTAATTTGTACATACCACTTACTTGTATGTATTTAAAAAAAAAACGTCTTCAATAACTTTGCATTGTGATGTTCACCGAGGCTTTCTTTCTTCCAGAGAGCGCTTGTTCTGCTCACGTCTGTTGCAAAACTTCATCGGCAGAATTTGGCGCAGGTATATTAGATGAAGATTTTCGTATCAAATACAATTATAATACCCAGAACATTTGTGGATAAATATAGGTGGGTGATAAGCGGTTTCCTAGGGGTAGGGGACCCTAGAAATGTTTGCTTGAGGAACGGGGCAAAGTGCATGGCTAGGTTCGTGATTGTCTCTTGTGTATTTCAACCATATTGCTCACCTGTAAATCAGTGAATCATCGTATGATATCGTATTTATATAGGTTCATGATAGTATTTTACCAAGCGCAGTTAACTTGGTGAGATCACCGCTGTTACAGGGTATGTCAGTAGAAAATATTGTGTAAAACAAGGGTTATCAAGTCATTGCGAGCTTTGAAATTCATTTGTGTGATCTACAATAGGAGATAAATGGTGTAGGTACTGACGAGCAAACTATTGATTCAACAGGCGGGGCTCTGATTGCAATGCTAAACTTCTTGACCGAAATCGTTAACGCTGGCGTCTCTCATGTTGGGTTTAAAGACCTTTTTAGTGTAAGTTAAACGAATTATATGCCTAGTATATCACCTTCCTCAACAAAGATATTGAAAACTTGCATATCACCGTCAATCATTGAAGATTCCAGTCACCTCAATCGATGTCATAACAAGTTCATACATAAATTTATATTTCAGATGATGGTAACACCGATCTATAATGACAGCCCAGACTCACCCGTGCATAAACAGGTAAAAATATATTCTTGTGCATGTTTCATTCCTTCGAAAATTTATCAAAATATGTCATCCACCTCATTAGTCTCCACTGTAATATATTTATCTTTTTAACTATCCACGCTCTCCCCGGCAGAATTCAAACCTATTTCCTTTCAAATTCTCGTTCTTAAACACAGCAATTAACATACTATCGTGCGATAATATTTTTCCAGGCTCTCCACTCAATAGCAAAATGTGTTTCGCTCTGACCGTGGCTTGTCCTAACGAGGAAACGGTGTTGTTAATCGTTTGTGAAAGATATCAAGGTAGGATCATATTCTCGCGACAAGAGCAGCTCTTCCTACACAACACAGTCGTCTCATGAATTTTTCTTTCCGTTCTTAAAAGAGCCCAAAATCCACAGATTCTCTTCGTCTGTTTTCGCTTCTGGCGCTTGGCGAAGTTGGGCGACATGTGTGAGTACATCTGGAATTTGTTTATACTCTGTCGTTTGTGATTTTAGCCTCTCCCGATAACTCATGCACCACAGCCGTGTTAAGGTCCTATTTTGCACGACACAGACAATCCAGCTGTAACGTATTATCCCTGGATAATTTCGCTTATTTCTAGAGATCTTAGCAATCAAAATGACCTCGAGTCCTCAATTCTGGAGTGCTTCTTATCGCCTTCAAACGAAGTCAAATCGGCCGCGTCGTTTGCCTTGGGTAAGCGTCAACAGTCTTCGTATTTTCCACTGATATACAACAATTCTCGACAATACAATCTCTTGTCATCCGAGCTACGATTTCAGCTTCAATTGTTCTGTCCTTTGCAGGCAACATCGCATCTGGAAACCTTCAAAAATACATGCCATATCTTTTGAACGAAATTGAAGTCTCCCCAAAGAAGGAATATCTCCTGCTACATTCTTTAAAGGAGGTAAGCGCCTGATTCTCCAACACAATTCTTCATATGCAGAAATACCTAAGCGTAGATACGATATCTCAATCCTGGTAAAGTTTACTTTACTGTTTACCAATTTCTTCGATGTTTCTTTCTCGTGCAGGTGATAAGTTGTCAGTCCGCTACCGCCGAAGATGTCGAGGCATTAAAACCATTTATAAATTCAATTTGGTGAGCCTAAGATTATACTTTATAAACCTGTTGTAAAGATAAGCTTTTCGTGTATACATATAGTCGCTGCTCCAAAATGACCCCCCCCCCTCGCCTGAGTTTGCGCTAGATTTACCATAATTTGTCAATGTGTCACTGCTAGTTCGACTTTCAGTTTGGCAGCCGGGGGAGGCAAGATTACATGTGTGTTTACTTTGTGTCTGCAGGACAGTGCTGTTCAACCATTGCGAGAGTAAAGAAGAAGGGACGAGGAATGTGGTTGCCGAGTGTTTAGGAAAACTAACTTTGATTGATCCAACGACACTACTAGGCCAGCTGCAGGTATTTACGAAGCTCAATGAACGTTGTAAATGATGTTATTATGCATAAAGTTGCGTGAATGATGAGTAAAGTCTTAATCAGTGCCTTATAGCAGCTGTTATGATAACGTTTTGACGTCGCAGTAATTTGTTGTTGTTTTCCAATCTTTTTTAGTCCTATCTCACCTCTCCCTCGCCTCATTCGAGAAGCACTGTTGTTACTGCCATAAAATTCACTATTTCAGATCACGTAAGTTGAATTACTTCTGAAAAAAATCAGTCAAGGTCGAATATTCCGGAATATGATATACTCGACCTTGGTAATAAAAAGATTATAGTGAAGGCTGAACTTACTACTGCATGACTATGTTCAACTTGTGTGTTTTTCACAGCCCCAACCAATTGATCCACTGTTGAAGAACTGTATTGGTGATTTTCTCAAGACAGTCCAGGATGAAGATTTGGTAAGATCCATTCATATTTACAGGATAACAAATTGGGCTTCAATCAGTTGCATTAGAACTAAATATCGAATTTGTTGATGTATAATTCTTTATTCCTGTTATTTCCCAATCAGAATGTACGTCGCGTTGCATTGGTAACGTTCAATTCAGCGGCTCACAATAAACCATCTTTGATCCGAGATCTTCTTGACGCTATCCTTCCTCAACTCTACAGCGAAACTAAAATCCGGGTAAGAATATCTTCCTGAAATATTTCACCACTTTGTTGGAAGACAGAAAACGGCGTTCAACTTGAAGAAATAGTTTCTTTATTTTGCATTTTTTCCACATTTAGAAACAACTAATACGTGAAGTAGAAATGGGTCCGTTTAAACACACCGTTGACGACGGTCTTGATATTAGAAAGGTAAAACTGCAAGGAAATAAACAGCATAATTTTGACGTGGATACCGTTTGGAAATTGTTATATGTTTATGGTGAAGCGGTTGTCGTTTTATTGTATTGAAAACCAGCGTGTAGTCGCTTGAATGAAGCTTCATTTAGATTACGTTGTTTTGCTTTATGTTAGCCTGCGAATAACAGAATCTATTTATTTATGTCTAACCAGCTTTTTACCAAACTTTGCAAACATAGATTGGTGTTAATAAGTTGGTAAGTTTTAATGTTGTTGTTTTTGTTCAAGGCGGCGTTTGAATGCATGTACACGTTGCTGGAGACCTGCTTAGATAAACTGGATATATTCGAATTTCTAACACACGTTGAAGATGGTCTCAAAGATCACTATGATATCAAGGTAAGAGCAATGATTAAACGCTCGTATTCCTCAGGAAATATTTTGGAAATGCTCGAAACTTCATCTCTATCGTTGTATTCCAGATGTTGACGTATTTGATGTTAGTCAGATTGGCTAATCTTTGCCCTAATGCGGTACTCCAACGTAAGTAATCTGCATTGAGGAAAGTTCTGTTTTTCAGTGAAATACCCTTTACGTAAGAAATCACTAAACTGTGTATCTTTAAAACGCCCATTTCTAGATCTGAACTCTCTCATTGAGCCACTGCGGGCGACGATACAGCAAAAAGTTAAAGCGAATTCTGTAAAACAAGAATTTGAGAAACAGGACGAGTTGAAACGATCGGCGTTAAGAGCAACTGTCGCTTTACTCAACGTTCCAGACAGCAGTAAGTCATATTTCATTGATATATAAAAGTGAAAACAATGCTCTCATTAATGCCCAATATGGCCGCCATATTCAATATGGCGTCGCTATTTTCGACATCTTTGCCGAGATAAAAATAGTCTACACTACTTTCAAATTCTTTAATATATTAATCTACGATTTTCACTTCCCTGACAACATTCCTCGTGGTATTCTACGGTGTTAAAACGCTTCCATTTGTTTGCATTTCTGTAGAAACTAATCCGCTTCTAAACGAGTTCATTTCACAACTTCGTTCAAACAGCGAGACAGCAAACATGCTTGACATGATAAAGAAGGACTCGGGCTCAAGCAGTTCCGATGCTATGGACACCAGCTAAGTCCACGTCTTATCATAAAATACTTCAGTCCCGCTTTGCAGGAGAATGTCTGAATGAATTGAGAAACATCGTGGAACTTCAATCAAAAACATGTGAAATTGAACAGTTTTCATGGAGATTATACATAAATTAGTTTTGCATTTTCGCAAATGTGTTGAGTTTGTGAAGATATATAGGAATTTATGAAAGTTATAAAAATTTCGATATGAATTATGATTGGAATACTTTGTATATGTTTTTGATAATCGAAATGAAGCTTGTATGAGCATTTGGGAGTTCTTCCTAACCTGTTCTTGTAGAATCTATGGGAATCATACATGCAGTAGGCTATTTCAAAATAAAGCATGCTGGTAAAGTCAAATATCAATATTGCTAGATCACTTCAACCTTGAGCCATATCGCTGGAAACGTCAGCATTCTTTCAATTGTATTTTTGAGATAAAATGAACCATCTTTACCGTAGTATTTCGTAAATCTGTATCGACACACAGAAAGAACTGATATTTTGGCTACAGTTCTACACTTGTAAACAAGCAAACAACCTGTCATAAATCGTAAACACCAGACTTTACGAATTCAGCAACGAAGGCAATAACAAATATTAGATATGGATGAATTTCGCCTGAGGAAATTGAATAACACAATGTAAAAGTAAGTTTTGGAAAGACGGTAATGTTTCTACACTTCGTATCTATCACATAACACGCGGATATTTCATGAAAGATTCCACAGCACATCGATTTTGCTCTGTGTATTTTAAATTTGCGTTTATATACATATGATAAACAAGTAAATATACTTTCAGAGTTTTACACAAATCAAGTGCATGTCCTAAAAAGTTGGTTATCCATAAAACCGGGAAAATATTGTTAGGATTTAGGAAATAGTTAATAAGTTCTTTTTCTCAATAAATTTCGTGGTCAAGACATGATAAGAAAGATCTCTTTTGATTTAATATTGACAACAATATATTTCTCTCTTGTATAATTTATGAACAATGCAAAGATAATTTAGGTATTAAAACAGAAAAGATTTATCGTCAAAACGTTAGCAACATTTGTACAAAAGTCAGTTTTCAATGAAACATTTCATATTTTATAAACCTATCCATAATGAATGAGCACTATACCGCAACTTCTTGGGCAACGTTAAGAAAATGGATTTGTACAAATTTTAAACGGTGTACAAGCTATGAAAAACATTGCGACCATCCACAACCATGTATATCGTTCGTTAGGATGTATTTGAAGTCTAGATAAATGTTTTTCTGTGGATAAAAATTGTTCAATTGTCTGAAATTTATACGATTGTTTTATTGTTTTTGTCGAAGCTTGGCTAACCGCACGTCTGACATTTATTCGGCATTTACATCATAATAAAGAGGACGAGGTTTCCGGTTATCCTCAAACTGGGGGAGTATATTTTCACTTGAAATATCAGTGTCTTCGGAGGGAGACTTTCCCGACGATTAAGCATAAGATCTTCATACGTTTTTAAGGTGAGGAAATGAAGTTTTGACAGAAGATGTTGACATTACAGCCTGGTGTTCGATACGGTGTGAGAAAATCTCTTGCAAGGTATGGATTTCGTGACTTTATCCTATCGAGACATCTGATAGGGAGAATTGTAGGCGGGAAAATTTTTATATGGGAGGATTTTGTTCTTGGGAGTTTTTGAGAACCTAGATCATTTGGCTTTATCATGTTGCACCTATAAACGGGAGTAAATTGTTGAAGCTAATCTCTAGTCTAGGGAATGTCGAAACCTTTGTTTATTAATATTGAACAGGGTTTTGTCCTAAGTATGTTTTGTCTGTTTTGATTACGACTTTTTCATGCATCTTAAGAGCGTATAATTGGGTTTTTAATATTTTAGAATGGAATGGAATGATGATGATCCTTGATGGACCTCAAGGAGGAACAGTTTAATTTAGTTTAGGTTTCCTCCTGCGGTAACACTGGATCAATAAGAGATGATCCTTACTGGACCTCTAGGAAGAACAGTTTAGAACTGATAGAGCTATCCAGTATAAATAAAGTTAGTTTAGTTTAGGTTTCCTCCTGCGGTAACACTGGATCAATAAGAGATGATCCTTACTGGACCTTTTGGAAGAACAGTTTAATAAAGTTAGTTTAGTTTAGGTTTCCTCCCGTAGTAACACTGGATCAATAAGAGATGATCCTTACTGAACCTCTAGGAAGAACTCTAATACCCAACGCTATTTCATCTCTACAGATGGTTTTCATTGGGTCGACATTGGATTTTATCTGGAAGAAGAGCGATTCTCACGTTGATAGCTCTTTTTATTTTCTTCATCGTTGCACGTCACTTGCGGGTGTTTGACATCCTCGGCTATGGCGTATCGTATGTTAAAATAATTCTCTTCCTTTTAAAACAAGACAACCAGCATTACTACGATGTTATGGTACAAGAAGCTCGGGTGAGTCGCTGTTTTTAATCGATCATGATAGGGATAATTTGTCGCAGGGAAGTATCTTTAACGATGAAAATAAGCTAAGTGTATTTTGTTCTATAGATCTTATGGGACTTGCACGTTTTTCAGAAGAAATACATGGTGGACTGGTGCACGGTAAGACTTTGAACAACGACTGTTTCAAATTTTCGATAGTGGTGCTGTTAAATATACGTTTCATATGTGCTTTTCAGGAGGTGCCTCATAGGGACAACATCACTTGGTTGATAACTTTGGTACGAGCGATATATATAGTGTTATCACCTCAGCTTGTTTAATGTATTAAGTTCAATGTTTGACTGCATTCAAACTGGTGAAATGCTGGAACTCAACATGTAGCTTGTAAACTATATTCTTCTGATATTTACAGAACAATGATGATTTAGCTACAGGAGCTGTAGCGCTTGGTTATATATTGCAAAGATTCTCATGTCATAGGTATGCGTCCAACCAATTATGCTTCTCGCTAATTTCAATAATGGACTAGATCAATTACCAATGTTATTTGCTGCATTGAGCAACAATAGTTTGCCATTTTTCCAGAAAACAGGGCGATTAATATATGTAACTGGTTAAACGTGTGTTTTTTCAGGAAGCTTACAGCATTAGTAACGAAAGATCTTAGTGAAAGTACTCGGGATGTTTTGAAGAAGGTAAACTTGGGTTTTGGGTTATCCACGATCCTTGTTCGTCTGCCTTTCCGCGCTCAAGTTGTCTGTTTGTAACTTAAGGTGGGTTATGAGGTTATGTTGGTTGAGGGTCTGGATTGTAACTGGATGGACCGAAGAAAAGGGAACCCAGGAACAAACATGGGTACGTATACGAAATATACGATCATCATTCTCATGCTTTACCTATCATTTACCTATCCAAATTTGCATACCCGTTTATCCCTATTCATTCCCTGTTCATCCGCATTCTCCCTTGTATCCCCTCCCTTCTCATGTGGCTCCAAATAAAGAGAAAACCCCCATTCTTCTTCCCAAAAGGTATTCCAGGCACCCACACACGCTTCCATGCCTGGAAACTCGAGCAATATGAAAAGGTAAGTGCATGTTGTGTTAGAAGAGGAATAATCAATAGTAAGTAAATTTTACCGTCTTGATGAAAGAAGAAAGACGGTCCAAGTTTCTTCCGAAAAGACCATCCATCTTAGTATATAAATAAGACAACTAAATGTGCGCTGTGTATCTCGTAATCCCAGGCAACAGAAGTCACAGGCCTAAATGCAGTTTTATAATTTTGTTTTGTCAACAGATTGTCTACGTGGACACCGATTTTCTTCCCCTCGTCAGCATCGATGAAGTGAGTATTCGTATATTCTCTCTCAATCTGTATTGTTTGTGGACTTTGTGTGTTTGACTCGAAAAGTCTTTGTTTACTACTGAACAGACGTAGACGTGACTCTCTTAGTTCAGGAATGGAATCTAAGCTTACGAATCTAATTCGAGTTCAAATATCTTTGCATTCAACTTCAAAGTGTAGTTTTTCTTTATGTTTACTGGTGTAGCTTTTTGACGTTCCTGCGGAATTCTCAGCCGTTTATCACCGTCAGCCTGTGAGTTCTTGCATGGTATTGCTGAACTTTTACTGATGACTTCCAAAAAACAATACTCACAATATTTATACTTGCATTGCTTGTCGTTGTGTTCACTGAAATTGTGTTTTTACAGGGAATATTTGACACGTGTTTCAACGCTGGAATCCTTTCTTTCAGGTATATAAATAGACTTCATATGTTTGTTTTAATCGCTTCACTTCAGACAATGTCGTTGTAATAAAGGCCCTTTGTGATTGTTTTTCATTACTCTTTTTTCCCAGACCATCGAAACAAGTGTTTGAGGAACTGATAAGCACTTGGACGGTACGACAGTGGTTTGTTTATAATTTATTGCATTGCCGGTGTTTTAAATAGAGGAGACAGTGAGGAATCTTGATTATCGTTTTGAAATTCATAGGAAATGACCGATACAATTGGCTGTCCACACGACCAGAGAGTTCTTTGGTATTATTTTGCTTTTCAAGGTGATTATTCAACAACTATATGCATGTTGTGTGTCATTTTCAAGTTGCAGAGAAGTTTAGTTTGAAAAGAAAACACTATACCTTTTTTAGGTCGATGGAACCCGCTGCCATATGTCTACAATGTTTGGAGACTTTCGTTTTACCCTCTCAAAGGAATCTGGAGTCCGTTGGTTCGATCTTACAAAATTGATAATAGTTTATATTATCCAATGAAAGGTGATGTATTGTCATTGTGCACGGAGTAAGGCTTTGATTTCCGTGGGCAGAACTTCGCTCAACCAAGTTGAATTGCCCCCAAAGGCTCTTCAGTAGGTCCGAGTTATATCCATCAATATGTCTCGTCTCTTTCCAGCCTATCATTTCGCTGGGTTTGGTGTGATAAGAAAACCGTGGGAGGTTAAAAAAAGACCTTCAAGAGGAGAGTCGTCAGCATTTACCGGGCCACTTTTGAAGTACGTTATCTTTGGATCGTTTCATTAAAGAAAGCTGTCTCCTGAATGAGAGCTTGTCTTCGAAATCACAATGATTTATTCACAAGGTTTAAGGAGATTGAAAATGATGTCCCTAGCTATATATCTCCAGTTTTTTCATATTTCTCCTAAAGTAATCTTTAGAAAGGTAGTATTTTTGCTGCTGCAATCAATAAGATTCTCAGTTCTCGTGTATTGTGCATATCTAGACGCGAAGACACAATCGCTTTATGGTGGCAGATGTTTTACGAAGCAATCGATGAGTTTGACCTTCAAGAATGGTGGAAAAAAACGAAGATTTACAAAAACACCTAGCTGGATATGTTACAATTTAATTTTTAATTTTAGGTAATTTATTTCAGATTTTATTACAATGAATATAGATATTGAAATTTTAATCAAATTCACAGCAATTCACTTGTCAATTCTCTGTAGTCTTAGCGATTGAGGTGAGTAAAAAACTACGAGACCACTGAGAATTGTGATAAAATGAATAACGGAGTGTTCGGGTGGTTTCTCATTTCAACTCAGTCAAAATTAAAAAACACCGCAAAAGATCGGAGATTAAATGGGGATTTTCCTGAAGGTTTTTTATCCACTTTTATGGGGAAATTGAGACACTCAAGTTATTTGCAACACTTAGCATACAAATTTGTAACATTTATCATACAAATTTGCTACATTTTATTTACTAATGTCGCAAATTTGCTACATTTTATACAAATTTGTTACATTCCATATGAGAATTTGCTCATTTTATACAAATTCCTCGCCGTTTTGCGTGGAGCGTGGGGTCGTGTTTTGCCTTGGAAACGAGGCTGGGGAAAAAACAGATTTTAATCAGGATTTGCATAAAGCTACAGCAAATCTTCGAAGCAATTGTTTTGCGTAGTTTTTAGCCAATTTTACCGTGATTTTTGCGATATGAACGTGGCTGTTGTCCTTCTCGATGGCGGGCAGTTTCAAGTCGAAAATTTGAGGGTAAGTTTGCATTAAACGTCCACTAAAAAAGCCATTTATAACACACTTCGCCTATTAAGTGAGCGATCGTTTTGGCACTCACGTCTTGTGTGACAAATGGGCTGAGTTTGTCGCTCAGTTTAAGCGTTGCTAAGTTTTCAACTGTCAAATTGCCCGCCCGTGTTCTCTGCCTTCAGCACCGTAGTTCTGTGTGAATTTCAGCATTTGAAAGACCATTTTCAATTGCGTTTAACGACCTCTTTTATTTGGCTGGAAAAGGTCAACAAAGACTCTAGCTGTCGTGCATTTGACAACATATGTTGACGCGTTTGATCTCGTATATTCTATTGATTTAAACGCGTTTTAAATGGATCAAAGAAAAGATTCAAGCATTTATCCTCGTGAGTTTATCGAGCATAAAAGCATAAAGAATAAAACTACAAAAGCTTAACTTAAATCAATGATTTGTTTGCAGACGATATTTGAATATTTTGCTGCAGATCTGATGATACATATCTTGTAAATTTGCCAAGCTGTGTTTGCTAAATCTGCGTCCAAACGCTAGAAAGAATCCCTAAGATCGTATCGTAGCTTCTCTTTTTGTTTGCTACGGTTTGATGCTTTTGAAACTCCAGACACATATGTTCAAATTATTCATCGTCCCGTTTAAGTTCAAAACCTTTTTGGAATTCTTGAAAATTTTCAATGCAATCCTATCTGTCTCAAACAATCATTCCTGTAACTGTATGTTTTTCAACCCTGAATTTCAACTGTTTCGTGAAGAAAATATCTTATTTCAGACTTACAACATATTGCAGTAGTATTGCTGTTTATACAAACTATTAAATCTTTGATATTTTTAGCAAACGAATTTATGCATTATCAATTAGGCCACAGAAGTGCATTTTCACCACTGAATCTGATAAGAATTTTGCACGAAAATTGCATTTGGTTTTTTCCTGCCTGAAAGTTGTGAATATTTAATGGTGTCCTACCTGATAAATTTGCAGTTTTATTTACATTCATTACACTGCAGCCAATATTTCTCCTTCATTAATAAAGTATCTACTACCAATGTTATTGACAAATGAGAAAGTGATAGATTGTAAAGTAATGTATTTGGGAGAATTTATTATGAAAATGGCTGTGTTGTCTGCCTTTTAATGACTGCTGTAATGGCTAATAAGAATGCAATGAATTTCATGAAAATATCATTTCTATAGAAGGATACATTGGGCAAAGAGATCTTCAAAAATGCTTGCAACAAGATTGGTTTAACAGATGAAACAGATTACTTTGGACTTCGTTACTTGAACAAAAAAGATGCAGAGGTTAGCTTGAAATATGGATGATTTTCTGTGATATGTTATGATTATGTAGGATGCATAACTTGTATAAAGAATATTAAGCAATGATGCTCAATCTTTTCCTTTCACAACCAGCTATAAATAATGCTATTCTCCTTGCCAGTTTGTGATAGCATCACTATTATTGAGAAATTATTCGGCACTCTTTATCTGAATTTAACATCAACTGACAATTACTGGTAATTGCCATGAAACAAGACAATCAAAGACCCATTTACATATGCAATTTTTACTTTGATTTTCATTGAGATTTTATTCAAACATTATGGCCAGATAGATTTCTGGAATAAGTTTCAATTATTTCTAGTTTCAATGGTTGGACAATGAAAGATCAATTAAGTCACAACTTGGAAAAGGTTTGTATTGGCCTTGAATTTTGTAGAAGATGAAGCAATATGGTTCTCACTTCTCAGTTCTCAAGTCAAGATTGTTTGTTTTAATATTTTTAGAAGTAAATGACAATGTGACACATTTTTTACATTTTGCTGTGAAGTTCTTTCCTGTGAATCCAACAAATATAAAAAATGATTTAACAAGGTATGAAACAACTATATTGTGGTACATTTCCCTGTCTCTGAGAGCTGAAATGTAATCTTGAATGTATTGCTGTGTTTGTAATTCACTTATAGCCTATGCAGGCTCCTTAAAGTTGCATTGGGTCTTCAGATATGATGCTTCTTAAAGATATACTGATGTTTTGAGCAAAGCTGGGATGAAATATAAAATAAACTATTTTTGTTGTTTTTTTCAAAGATATCAGTTTGTGCTGCAGCTGAGGGAATCGCTACTAAATGGAAGGTAAGTTCTATTTTATTGTTCTGCACGGTTAAACAGATTGGGGAATGATAGTTTCTTTGATATTATTTAAAAAAATATTTTCATTTGATTTGACTAAGCCTTTATGGGTTTTAGCAAGATGAACTTGTTTTTAAATCAAAATTCACTGTATATGCACATTTAGGAGTAGAAAATAGTATTCCACCATTTTGATTTAATGTCACTACTATGAAATTACAAATTTATAGTATTACTTACAAATCAAAGAAACTCAACCTTGAAATAAGGTTCATAGTTGCACAAGATGTGTTTATTCAGCAGATGCCTTATGTCTTAGTTACAGTAGTAATTAGCACCCACCCAACACTCTCCCCAGACAAGGCTGAACTAACACACAACAGCAGTAGCCCAGCACCTTGCTTCATGCATATCTGGTAGATCATGCCAACTATAGCTATCAAAACTAAATCCTTCCACTGACTTCAAGATGTTTCCACCCTCATCCTGACCCCCCATCACGATCATGGTGTCTCTGACAACCGCGGCCACACACCCCCTCCTCTTATACTTCATGTCAGGAAGCATGTAACTCTCCTGGGTCTTGATGTTGTACATCATGGGTCTATAAAACGCTGCAGGGCCAGTAATAATGACAACAATCTGGAACTATATATTTCATGGCTGAGATTTGGGAGTTTGTAGAACAAATATTAAAATCGTGCAAAATGACTGCCAGTGTTAAGGCAGTTAACTGTTGGAATATTTAATAAGGTTAGGGTAATCAGTAATGTAATATTAGAAAGATACATATACAGATATCTTCTTTATTTTCGTCAGGTTGGAATGCTCTACACCCATATATGCGTTGCTTGGATCGTTCATTGCACAAGGTATTTCATGTTTCAAATAGACAGACAACATTGTGGGGATAACATGTCAACAAATTAGGCTCATCTGAAGCACGTCATTTCTACACCTATATATCCAGTGTAATATCAGATCAGTGAGTTTTCAAATTTCTCTTCCAGCTGAGTTCGGTGATTATGACTCTCCAGATATTTCCGAGAATTATTTAGAAGACTTTAAAGTTTGCCCTAATCAAGTAAGTTATCATTTTCACCGTGAAAAAATAGATCATTCACAGGTAGATGTCGCCCTAAGGTTGCCTGCCACTGTGCTACTTGAAATCCATAGACTCATTGAACAATCTCAGACCATCACACAACACCTTTGTTAATAATCCTTTATTTTTCTCTCTCTTTGTAGCCACCTGAGCTCATAGAGAAAGTCCGGGATTACCACAAAAGGCACAAGTAAGATTTCCAAAAAAAAATTGCAGTTGACACAATGCATATTCAGTATCGTATGAAAACTGTTTTCATCGCCATTGGATTAGGCCAGCTCATGTCTTTTGTGACAACATAAAAATATTTGTAAACTTTATTTTGGACATTTGTGAATTCATCGCTTCCCGACATTTCTTTCCGTATTCTTTACATTCAAAACTTGAGCGCAGCTTTACAATTTATTTTCTACACAGAAACATGACTCCTGAAGTGGCTGAACTGAATTTCCTCGACAATGTTCGGAAGTTACCATTCTATGGAATACACAGACATCTAGCTTTGGTAAGATATCAGCTTTGCTTGAACGCTGAATTCTTCAGATTCAAACATTCACAACTTAATACTTGATTAAGCTTACAAATTCATTCGGTTAGAATGATAAAAAAGCAACTAGTTCAGTTTACCTTTGCAGCTCGTGCCTCGTTTAATAGTATGTTTGTTTATGAAAACCAAGAACCTAAACTTGTGTTTCTTTTGCAGGATGTAAACTGTGAAAAAGTATTTATTGGTGTCTCTAATATTGGTGTAACTGTCTATCGTGGTAATAGTCTTATGTCAACTTTCGTTTGGTAAGTCATACGGTTACGATATATTCATCCTTTCCTATGCATTGTTTCTATAACAACAATGGGTCTCTCAATAAATCTCAGCAGGTCTGAGTTTAAATAACTATTCTTCTTATCCTCCTTGCAGGCCCCAAATACTTAGCATTGGTTTTAAAAGCAAGAAGTTTTATATAAAGATTAAACCAGCTGATGAGGTAACTTTATGAACATCAAAATCTCAACCCCCAGTGCTTGAATTTGCTTTCACTGAAGTTAAATACCTCTGGACACAGAGGAGAGATGGACAGCCGACAGAGAGTCGACTCTTCCGATTTAATGTTGCCTAATATCACGTCATCCTCACGTCATTTCCACGCGCCACGCAACCACCCGATTCCCTTCTGGTAAGCTCTTTCGGGCAAATTTCAATACAAAAGTATAAAAAAAACGCTGTTCGATAGGTGAAAAATTGATTTTTTTTTAACTGGACCGGATTATCTTCATTTTTGGACTAAAATTTTGGAGATGAACGGTGAGTTGTTTGTTTTGTTGGGTTTAAATGATCGTGCTGTTTTTAAAAGCAATATTAAAATCCTTGTTTTGTAAGTGAGTTCTGATTACCCTTGTCGGCTGCCATATTTTTACCCGAATTGTTAAATTGTGTTTGCCAAAGTGAATCGTTGTAAGAGCTGCTTTTTTACTGTTTGTCAACTAGCAGCAGAGCGTTTGCATATTTGTGGGATAACAATATAGGACGAATTTCAAAGAATACTTCTAAATTCGCGTTTGAATTGTAAAATATCGACAAAATACATAGCAAACATTTCAAAACAAAACAGAGTTTTAGGCGTGATATAACTTTAACTCGCAGAGGATATCAGTTTATTAATAATTAGTACCATTTGATGATACAAACATTCAATGAAAACATTGATAATTATGTATGTTTACTTCTCAAGCAGAGTTGCTGTTCGATTACACACTTTTTCAGTCATTTTTTAAACTTTTTTGATCAAATTTTCACCAAGCATATCATCCCTGGGCTTTCTAAAGAAAATATATTTTAGCTCTTACCTTACACTGCAAAAAACGTTTGGAACATTTCAGGCAAAGCGGTTAAACTTTTTTAAATTGCATTTTTACTGGCAAAAATTCCATTTTTTCTTATTAAAAATGTGCTCGGAGCTTACCAGAAGGGAATCGGGTGTAAACGCTTACTAGCGCGTGCGAGTAAAAAAGTGGGGACGCGTGGAGCCGCGAGTCGACTCTCTGTCCATCTCTCCTCTGTGCTCTGGACTAATTTTGTTTGCACGGCTACTTTAGGACGATGATTTTTGCAAGACGAGTGTCGGTTTCAAGCTCTCAGATCGCGTTGCGGCGAAACGGCTCTGGAGGATTTGTGTTGAACATCACACGTTCTTTAGGTATAGAAACAAACCGGGGGGGGGGTTTGACTAACTTTAGGGCAGTGTTGTGGAAATGTTCTTTTTCAAAAGCTCGAAATATCACCGCGTATTTATAAATTATCGATAAACATCGTATATATTCGTCCTCAAGGTTGGAAAATGTTGGTCTGGCCGAGAAGAAAGGTTGGCTGTCTCGTTTTGGATCACGATTTAGTTACAGGTATACGATCATTCTGTTCTGCATTTATAAATTTGATGCCTGCGACTGTCAGGCTGGGAGTAATTCGCAAAGCAACGACATTTTCCACTTCTTGTCAAAGCGAAACTAATTTTTACTTCAGGGGAAAGACGGAACATGAAATCCTGAAAGAAGACCCGAAACCAACCGAAGAACCCTTTATTAGAGTGTCCAGTAAAAGATTCTCTGAAAGAGTTTTGAAAGGTGAGAACTCTCTGTTTATCTTGGAGAATCTCTGGGGATTTCAGAGGATTTTGATTCTGATCGATAAAAAACGCAACCGAAGAGCATAATTTAAAATTCTTCAATACTCCTTCGTATTTCCAGGAAATCGTAAGCAACCGCAGGACACAAAGAACGAAGGCCAGGATTCGCCCAGGATTGTAACGAGGTCTGAGCAGGATATTCCCCAATCCGTGCCTGCGATAGAGGTTTCTTCGGAGGCAGCGGTCCCCTCGACGTCAAATGTCGACGTGGGGAGCACATCCGAGGCGACGGGCGGTAACGGAGGTGAAAAAGTTCCGGAAATAAAAGTCGTTCATCCTTCGCCAGAAATGAAGACGAAATCCAAACAGGAGGAAGACGATGATGAAGAGGTGGAAACACCAAGTGAAAGGACGGAAGAAAAAGTGGAAGAAACGGTGGAGGAAACGGTGGATAAAGAAGAGGAAAATAAACAAAATGGTAATGTATATTTGAGGCAACACTGATCTCAGACTTCGCGATTAGCTGGATTGTGACGACAGACTAAATCAAAGATGTATTACCCCACTTCCCATAAGCTTAGTTTATGCCCCATACCTACTTCACCCCCCCCCCTCCCTCCCCTTTTTACCTGCTAATAAATTCTCTTTCCCCGTAGAACCCGCCGCCACAGATGACAGTCCAGAGGAGATCATTGTCATCTCAAACCCGCTTGCTGGAGGCGAAGTCAAGTAAGTTTCCTCGAAATAGATCAGGGATTCTCTAGTTCTTAATTTAAGATGACGATGATGTTTTCAAACCATCCCTGAACCATATCCAGAGTTGACACGAAGTTTTGAAATTTTAGATCTTTCACCTCTGAATCCATCACTACCACTGTTGTTAGTACCACAGAATCCTCCGACATCCCAGCAGACGAGATCGTCAGCTCATCAACTGTGATAAGTAGCACACAAGTTACAACAGAAACGACGCAGCAGGTCGTCACAACTACAACGACGTCGGAGACTGTCGTCCAAACTACCGAAGATGATTATGATATTGGTTTGGTTTAGTTATATATACTAGGCCTCCTTTACTGTTGAAGGTGCGCACTTATAGTGTTTTCATCAATATCTTAGCCCGTTATACCAGCACAGAAAATTTTCACAATTGCAATATCAAGTGTCACCGTTTCAAAATACGTTTTAAGGCCGTGTTACATGAAGACACTTCAAAATATGCGTGGAAGAAGACACCTGTGGAGTTTAATAGAATCAGACATTCTGTGGTTACAGAATTTACATTTACAAATTACAAATATACCTACATAAAAATTGCATTGCAAGTTGCAAGAAAAAGTGCATCGACCTGATCATACTGGGTCGACCTATAATCATAACAATTCAAAAGATTATTTTTACTTAACCTGAGGCCTGAAGGAGAAACATAACACATTCTCTCAAATGAACGTTTTACAATCACAAGTTTCATTTTCTTCATAGGTCACTGTCGAAACACATCCAGAAATGCATGGCATCGTATAGGCACGGTGTTAGTTTTTTCATCTACGTGGTTTAAAGTAGCTATACCCGTGTTTATGCTAACTTTCTCCTATTTTACCATATTTTACTCAGTGATTTTAATCAAATTGTAACTCAAATATCTTTTATATAAATGCATATATAATCATATATATTGTAACAGTTTGAACCTTGTGTAAAAAGAAAGTTTTAAATAGTTACACCAATACTACTGTACTTCAGGGTGACGTGTGTGAATGTGTTTGGAAGTTTAGAACTCGTCTGAAAATGCTGAGAGGAATGCGTAGAGAAACTATAAATGATTATTAATATAGTTTACCGAACAATGGACAATTTTGGAGCGATGAAAAAAAACACTATTCGGTGGAAACGCTGTTCAACCCTCGTACAACTGACTCCTGTGCTGTCGAACTCCTGTATTATGAAATTCCAGTTTCTCACAGGAACGGATGATTGACTCCGTCAAAACACGCCACCTGTAGGAATGTGCCAACAACTCTGTTTTATACAAATTTAAACTACTGAACAAAAGGAAATGTTGCAGAATTTTGTACGAACAATGTTAATCCTATAAAGCTGTGCTGATTGTTCTTAATATTTTTTGGTCTTAGGAATATTCTGTTCTGGTAGCCTGCTTAATTCATCTTTGTTGTTTTTGCTTTTACCGGTAAGTAAACAAGTCGATAATTACTAAATATTGGATTATAGTTGTGAATCGGCGCTTTCTTAATTGTCGTAAAATGAATCACAAATATAATTTTAACTCGGTCCTAAGACTATCGATACACTCGCACACATCACCACCATTATAGAGTCATCCTATTTTTCAATTATGACTCTAAATCTGATTGTCAATCCTAATCCAATCGCTTGAGCCAAGTTTGATCAAGCCTAATTTGAACTAATCCTAATCTTGGAAACGACCTTTGAAGTGTGTTTGTGAATTCATCTCGTATGGTCGATCTGCTTTGCTGAAACTTCAGTCATAATCCTTGATAGTTTGACCAATATTCCGAGTTAGTTTCATGAAGCTACATCTGGTTTCAAAACCAGTTTTATAGATGCTCACGTTGATGAGAAATGGTGGAATTGTTTATCTTTTTGTGGCCCTTATTCTACTTCGTCACGTAGTTGGTGAGTACCAACGTTAGATGATATCTCCAGCAATCATTGGAAAAAAAGTGTTGATCAAGACGTGCATATGATATACATTTTTTCGGTGAACGATTTAAATCATTGAATGTTTCTGTGTCGCAGGAAAGCCAGTTTCACAGTCCAGTAATCGGAGATCTATAATACCACCCATCATCTCAGGACCCCTGCCTGAATGCGCGGTAGGTAAAGCTCTGGTGGTTTTTCTACTTATTGACGGAGAAATTCATTTCGACGCTATGTACCTGTTCTAACAATATGTTAAAACATAATTTTTCAGCCGATTCCATGGAGCGCTGTAGATCCATGTCACAAACACGAGTGTAAGAAAAGCATTCACTTCGTCGTGTCTGTCTGCAAAACATTGGGAATAACTTGTGGAGAAGTATGCTAAAGATTATATGCCAAGAAATATATGCAAAGTTTTCATCTATTTCTTGTGTATAAACACGAGTTTTGCGTTAAGTGAAACTGTGAAAGTATAGTTTAAACACTCTTATATAGATGTCATTGACGGCATGTTTATTTAGGGAGAATATTTGAAGGTATCGCCATTCGCCGCATCAGAAAGCGACTGTTGCAAGTGTACAAAATGTAAGTACGTTTGAGAATAAGAACAGTCAAATTATGCATCAGTGTTTCCACAGTTCAGACAATGGTCAATGTTGAATGTTGAACAGCTGAACTCGTAAGAATCTGATTTTAGAACACTCCGTGTTTCTGCATGTATCGATTTTCCATGTAGCTAAAATCCTTGAATTACATCTCACCCAATTCCTCTAATAAGTCAATAATTTTTTCTATTTTTTTTCTATATCGAATTCTCTGGTAGTTGAGCGATAAACGACTAAACGTCGACAGGTAGGTAATGAAAAAAGTTTACCAGAAACCGGCGTCGTTAACCTGCACACATATGCGCCGATATTCATAGTAAGGGTGAAAATTAACGAGGCAATGCTTTCGGTAATTGTGTTTGTTTTCTGACCTGCTTTTCGGCCCTTGGAAGCAACCTTTTCAATCTCGCCACCAGCTCTTCCTAATGGATTAACATCGCCGCCTTCGCCGAGTTTATCTTAAATATCATCAGTCCCTGTATATTAAGTCTAATTCATGTAGCGTGCATAGCTATATTACAACGAATATGATTGAAAGAAATGCAACGATTCGTTTAGTTTTCTTGTTCTTGTTCATTGTGAGTCTACAAGGTATGTCGAGGAATGGTCTGGACTACAGTTTACTGCAGAATTGCAAATCAATTGGTCAAATAATTCTGGGCTAAACTATGTATAATTATAATGCATTAGTTCCCGTTCAGTATCAGAGAGCAATATCAGTTTTATCAGTTGCGTTTCTTCACATCACGATCTAAAGAATTTGTAATTGACGGTAGTTTAAACCAGAATTTTACTTCTTAAATTTGTCAAATGAATTTCAAGGAGAGCTATATTTGTAAAAAAGATGAAATTGTATTCAAATGGAAGATTGCGAAGTTCGATACGTTAATATTCGCAAAGGAATCTAGAAACTCCATCAAGAGTCTCGAGACTTACTTCAGTTGGAAATGGCGTAGAAATGTGTTGCTATCATGTATTCTGGTTTTCACAGAGGTCGAAGATATATAGAATTGATATAAATTCTTTACTCTGAAACAGACAGACCCAAAGACTACTGGGTCAAAAGTGAGTAACAAGAGCCTGTATCTAATTCAACTACGGTTTCGTCTCTTAATTTACAGGACATCCCATCGGCGAGAGGTTTCTCCAACTGAATCACGAAAGGACGAGAAGAGGACGAGTTCCAGCAATCTTCTCTGGACCTCTCCCAATCTGCATGGTAATGCAGGCTCGTACAGTGTTTTCATTTAGATCAGTCAAACGGCTGAGTGAGTTGGCCAGGATTGAGGTTTAAGATTAGGATACAAGTTACTTTATCAATTCATTTTACTTCGTTACTGACAATAAGTCAATAACCATGTTTTTCGTTTCAGCCAATCCCCTGGCAGGTGGTTGATCCATGTCACGAGCACAAATGTGAAAAAGGCCAACACTTCTTGGTCTCCGTCTGTGACACAAAAGGAATAACTTGTGAAGAGGTTGTAAAGCTATTGGGTGCCTAGGTTCTCTTTGTCCCATCTCATTATATTCGGCTGTGAAAATACTCAAAATGTGTTCTTTCTATTTGAGGGTGAATATTTGAAAGTTCCATCAAATCCTAAAGTTGCCAGCGATTGCTGCGAATGCAAACCTTGTAAGTTTACTGCATGTAGCTAGCCTTGTAACTCAGGATGGGATTCCTGAAGCGATGAAGAGAAAGCGCTGGAGAACAGTGTTTTCTAGTTTGGTTCTAGAGAGAAATTAGGCACTACAAAAGTCGTCATGTTTTTATTTTTTTTAGTTGAAAGTTGAGCGCAGTATTTGTATAAGATGAGAGCATCAAGTTGAATGACCCGTTGAAAGAAGTCAAACGTTGGACCTCAAACTACCTAAAACTGGACTTGAAATCACGCGAGTTGCGTGGGGTTAATTTTGGCAGGGGGTGGGGTGATTCGCGAGGGACGTGGACTCTCTCTCTCTCTCTCTCGTTGACCCTGTAAATGTGCGCATGTCTAAACAACGAGAAAAGAATCGACCATCAATCTACAAATAATGCCTAATGTGTTCATTTCGCTCGCCCCCGCACCCACCCACCCACAACTAAAATAGGGCCGGGCGTGCGCCAGCGAAGGTAACGTTCCAGTTCTTGTCAGTTCAATGGCGAGGGGGGTGTGACCAGTGAACTCTATACAACTCTATGTTTGTTAACAGTTCAATGGGCCGGGTGCGATTGGAGTGGGTTCTAGTTATTTAAAATTCAAAATAGAAAATTAAAAATGATAATTTATGCATGGGAAATGCGAGTATGCGACGACAGTCACAAATATGGAGGGCAATAAAGACGAAGCTAAAAAATGTCTTGAATTTGCTCGTCGATATCTCGCCAAAGGCGAGAAGGAAAAGGCTAAAAAGTTTTTAAACAAGTCCCAAAGGCTTTTTCCTTTAAAAGAAGCCGAAAGTAAGTGCTGTATATGATTAGATCTCGTGTTTTCTGAGGGTGTTTTATGCCGGTGTACTTTGTTTCAAAGCTATTCTTCGTTTTTTAATGTGGAAATTTAAATTTATAGTGTTTATTTGTATGTTTTTAATTCGAGGTAGATTTAAGGTCGAGATTTTAGTCATACTAAAGCCATTTCATGATGGCTATCTCACTTGAAAACGATCGATTCAAATGAGCACTATTTGGTGTTCAGTTCATCGATTATTTTTGTTGTGTGGGTTTTAAATCATTTGATACATTGTACTTGATATTTGATATTTGATATTTGATATTGAAATAAATAATGAAAATATTACAATTATTGAAGAGGATGAGGTGTGAGGGACAGGCATGCCTCTCCTTTTTACAGAACCCCCCAGGACAATCCAGTTTGGGATTAATTGTGATTAGGTTCTGTATAGAGCTGCCTTGTTTTAAGTTACTTAAATCTTCTCACACAGATCTCTAACATTAACCCTATTGACCTGATATTCTATAGTTGTATTCTATAAATGAAATGTTTAAGATTTTTCAACAGAGCAAAAGCAGAAACATTTGATTTTTAAGACATAACTGGTAACATTTTGGAAAATGCAATTTTCCTGTCCCCGAATCAAACATGCTATCTCAGAGCAGTTGTCCATCTTTCCATCTTGGTTATCAAGCATATTGATAAAGCATCTGTATTTTTGTGAAATTTCCAGGTTTCGCTCAAGAACTGAACAAGAAGGACTCGAAAGAGAACGGCGATGAAAACATTCACAATGGTTCAGCTCACAAAACTGATAAGAATAACGAAAAAAATAAAAATAACTTTGAGGAATGTGACACTGAAGAAAAGACGAAAGAATGTGATTATACTCCGGATCAACTCGCGGAGGTCAAAAGGTACATTGTACAAAGTTTCTCAGAAGAAACACAAGCAATAAACATCACAGTTTACAGTGAATTTAAGCTCTTCGGTCCTCAGACGAAGCTTTGTAATGGTGTGACAGGTTACATGCAACAAAAAGCAGTTTGATGTGATTTTGACTATCGTAATTTTTTTAGAATAAATAAACTAAAAGACTATTATGAAATTCTTGGCGTTGAAAAAGATGCCAAAGATGCAGACCTAAGAAAGGCATATAAGAAATTAGCATTACAATTTCATCCGGATAAAAACAGAGCTCCTGGAAGTACTGAAGCTTTTAAAGGTATTTTTATGTCCAAATTTAAGGCGGAATTGTAAATGCTGTGTTTTTTGCAAATACCTATCCATATCATTAAACATTTTATGCTTTTGCAGCAATTGGTAATTCATTTGCAATTTTAAGTAATCCTGAAAAAAGAAAGAAGTATGACTTGTATGGACCAGATTCACCAGCATTGAATCACAATCATAGCCATAACCACTTTAACCATAATGATTTCGAAGGTAAACAACTCTGAATTCTAACTGAAGTGGACATTCTAAGAAATATACCAATGATGAATCTTCGATTTATTTCGAATGAACAATTTATTGATGTGTTTCGTATTTCAGCTGATATCACGCCAGAAGACTTGTTCAATATGTTCTTTGGTGGAATGGCTGGAAGTGAGTGTTTGTCTATAATGTATATAAAAATTATTTTTGCCAATAAAATGTTTGTGTGCAGCAGTGATATGCAATATGCATGTAGCACTTCACCCAGGAACAGTTAAATGTAAACTATGTATAATTAAACTTTTCCTTTCAGATCAAGTATTTGTTCACAGACGTCATCCCAGGAGACGACAGCGTCGTCGCCATTCGGAGGAAGAAGAATATGAAACACACGAGGTATGTTTATTTCTTTTCTCCGTTGATTTGAAAAACCCTAGATCCTGTCTAGTCGCCTCGTCTTGGTACCTTATGTTCAGTGCTCTGATTGGCTCAATGGATCACCTATTTTCCCATCTATATATAATCCAGTAAACAAAAAATCATATGAAATAATCACAGGATGCTAATTATGTTAAATTGTTTAGGGTGGCCTTGGGAGGGTCATGCATTTGATTCCTATTTTAATATTTCTTGGAATATCCGTACTGACGTCACTGATGGTCCAAGATCCACCATACAGTTTTAACATTTCAGGGTAAGAAGGTTTTTCTCTGTTCTGGTATTTTTGTCTATGGTACTTAATTACTACTTAGTTTTAACCATTGGGGCTGCAAAGTGCATTTATTAAATAAACTAAAATGTGAATTTTCTTTGCAATCAGGCCTTATCGCCTCCACAGAATCACACCAAAATATAAAGTCTCCTATTATGTACAGGTATTGACTTTTTTTGGCTGTTTGAAATTTTTTGGGACACAATTTCATTGACCTATTCAGAATACTATTTTGATGTTCTCTCTGTGTGGTTCTTGTAGAGTGATTTTAATGAAAATTATAGCGGGAAAACATTAACAAGATTAGAGAATCAAATTGAAAGGGAATATTTGGGAAGATTAAGGTCAACCTGCTTCAGAGAGCAGCAGATACGTGAGTACAGAGTATCTTTTTGTTGTCCTGGTTTTGAGATTTTGATCATGGAGGGGGGGAGGGGGAACTCACAGGTGGGTAGGTGGATTTTTGAAATTGGGGGGGTGGATTTTTGAAATTTGGGGGGGGGGTGATTTTTGAAATTTTGGGGGAATGGATTTTTGAAATTTTGGGGGGGGTAGTCTTAATTCAAGGGGGTGCTTCCTTTTCCATTTTGAGTTCTCTGGATTGACCTTGTAGATTTTTGAACGGAGATTTGATTCATCCCACTGTCTATATTTCAGGGGAGGACATGTATGCGAGGGCGAGGTTTTGGAATGACCAGAGTCTGCTGCGTCGAGCCAACAATATGAAGACTGAATCTTGCGATGAACTCGAGCGCATGCGCAATAGGTGAAAATAAATAAACAGGACACGAATATTTAAATTATTCCCAGCGAGAAATATTCGCGTATATATTACCTCGGTCCGTATACGCACTGTCACCCCCCGGCTTTACCCTTCCTCCCCCCCTGGAAGGCAATCACCACCGCGCGATCTCAACTGCAAATCTCCATGGTGACCCGGTGAATGACGCAAGCAAGATATGGCCACTGATCTGTATATATGATGGATACGACCTGAAATCAAATGTGTAATGGCCGATTGCATAATGGACTAGGTTTTCAAGTAGGAATGACTCGATAAAAAATTATTAGTTGGGAAATATTGTGAAATAAGGAAATACTGTCTTGTGCGCGCGAAAATTGATACCAATTCTCCGGAATCTGTGATACGTGAATATACAGAATTTTCAAGACTATATTTTTGCTGTATTTTACAATATTTTGCAGTCAAATTTCGCAAGTGTTCTGAAGTTAGGATGCTTTTGTGAGCTGAGCCTATTCTCGTCTAACTTTGTCTAAAATGCAATCGTTCTATTGAGGTTATTTTATAGATAAATTTGTATTCTCTGAGAGTTTAACTATTAAAAGTGGCTTTCATTTAAGAAGATAAGACAGAGTAATTTGTCAGTGAAAATGCGATAATTTTTATGGGAATTGCTTCTTTTCCATTCGGTTGGCATTGACAATTGTACAATCGTGAACTAGGAGTTGAAAAGAATTTACGATTTTGGGAAAAAGCAGAGTCTCTCAGTATTAGAAACACATGCAATGAATGTAGTAATTCGGCTACAGGATATTAACTCCCCAAAAACGCTAGCCTGGAACTCAAATAAGCCATATGTATGTCACATATCATCTGGCGGTCTCTCAAAGCATTTTAGATCAGTCAATTTCACCGAGAAAAAATCTACTGAAATGAATATAACATTGTAAGTTTCAATGGCACATTGTGAATGTATGATTAAACCACGTACCCAGGATCTTTTTACCTCCGTTTCACTGCCCATTACCCTGGGTACTAGGTTGAGTGTGAATAAGATTCTTTCATTTCGTAGTGTTTCAGTTTCCTCTTATAAAAGCCTGTTTTCACATTACGGATAATGAATCACTTGTCAGATAATCATTCAGCCTGTTTCAGACGTCGAACTTTTCATGTGCCGAATCGAATGCAAATTAACAAAGACTTTAGCTCATTAACATTAGGTTCGGCATATGAAAGGTTCAACGTTTGAAACGGGCCTTAATATTCATTTTTGGTGCAATTTATTTATTTTTGTATATGAAAATGTTATTGCTCTGCTAAGCCAGACGCCACTTTATTCGAAAATTGAATTTGTCTCTTGTTCGAGTACATGTTTGCGCAGTCAAAAATGTTTTTAAGGATTTTATTGCCGCTCTGTACACTAATAAATAAACAGTCAAAATTTGCACCTGTGCATTAATTTAGCCCTGCAAATATTCAAGCATATTTTCCCCGACCATTTTTTCTAGACTTGTTTTATTCGCTTCTGCATGTGTTTGATGAGAAAGTTGCATATGGAAAGTTGCTCTTACCTGCTTTGAGGCAGGAAAACTTTCTTACCTAAGCCATGTCGTAATTCATCGGCGATGGTGATGGTGATGATCAATGAAGTATATAATTTTCTTCGATAGACAAAGGATTTTATGCATTGACAATACCATCACCGATGAATTATGACGTTTGTCCGAAAACCAGGCTTTATGTATGTTCCGCCAAGAAAAATTGTTTGTCGTATAGCCGCGGATGTTTGGACACGATTTGAAAGCAAATTGTTCGTAATATGTGGAAGTCCTGCATGCATGGTAGTGTTTTTAAATTATATGTTTTGGTGTTTAGTTTTCCTCATCAGGGTTTTTGTGAAACACTCGCCTTCCTCATAAAAACCTTCAACGTTAAGTCCCGTTAATATAACTGACGAAGGAATTACAATTATACCCATAAAGCATAACTAAGTGCAACTATATATATCACTATTTTAAAACGAATTTTTTTATAATGGAGAACCCAGGCTGGGGCCGGTTCTACGAAGGCTGGATAGCGCTATCCATCGGATAGTCATTTTTTCCACTGTTCTAAACTCTTAAAAAGCAATAAAATTTCAGCTTCGGAACAAACAATTGTTAAAGAGGATCCTCAATTTAAGAATACTAAGGTTTAATCTAAGTTTTAGCTTGTTTTAGCGTTGTCATCAATATTTACTGACCAAGTACATGTAAACTTTGTTTCACTTTAATTTAAACTTGGTTTCAGTGTAAATATCAACTTAAAGTAATCGATCAAACTATTGCAGTATTGGAAGGGCTTTATTAAAAAAAAATGTGTTAAATTCTTATATCGGTCCATACATGAGCAACGCTTTTAATAAAAATCCGTGGAGAACTTGTTTTGTTGTATATCTTTTATGTACTAAAGATATGCTTTCAGTTTAAATTCACCTGCAAGTTTCTATTCAAATATACCACGTCTGACGTCTCGTCTTATTTTATGCATGCACTTCGCACTCTGTTTCTGGTCAACAATATCCCAGGTGTGTTGACCGTTACGTCGTCTGCAGGCATTCATATGTGACATAAACACCTCGAGTGCATAAACGCAGACATTTTAGTCGCTTTTTATGGGATATATCCATGACAATATATAAGAAAGATTTTATTTGTGAACACGCGCGACAAGAACGCAGATCGATGCGAGAAATTCAAATTTTTGACCAAAGTTCTTGTTTGGAGTGAAAATGTTGTTGGGTTTTGTGTTGATCGTTTTTATTGGAGTTTGGTTTGAACCAGCACAAGGACCATATATTGGTAAAGGTGAGTAGATTAAATTTTGTCTTTTATCTTCAGTTGGTGTGAATATATCGTCAAGTTACCTAATATATAATCGCTGCAGTTATATGCATGAAATTTAAAACTGAATGCAAAGTAAAAGTTTAAAATCTTTACTTCTATGCATATAGGTTTCAACCTGCAAAATATATTTTGTGTTGAGAACCCATAATTACAATCATTTAATACATACATATTACTGCATGACATTATAACGCCGGCTTTAAATCTTTATATATCACTATAATTGTGTAATCGTATTGCGTATTTCTCACGCCGGGAAACTACCATTGCATAATATTTGAATGCTATAGAGGTAAACTTTTTCAGTTGTGATGAAGGTCTGTTGTCGTCTAACCCACCAAAGAACGATGAAATCAACCATTTTTTGTTAAATTTTTATTAAACCAGTAAAATGAAGGCCATTCTTGCGATTAGTTTCTATACGGTCCACTTTATCGCCTTCTTTTAAACTTACATTGCTTACATTACGTATTAAAAAAGAATATAAACGAATCCTTTACACAATCATTAAACCAAACATTTGGCCATTTTCATTTTGTGTTGCAAAGCATCTTGGAATGGAATATTATTTTTTCAGGGCCAAATTTTGACGAATAACAATTTTCAAAAGCATTTTGAGTTTTTTTCTTCTTGTCCGAAAAAGCGCCATTTTTTATCCTCAGGTATCCTGGTGCTGGCTACGATTAAGTGAAATAGATTTAGAATTTGTTTCCTGGGTTACCTGTTAAGTGTCATAATTCTAGCGCAGACCGCAGACGATGTTTTCGTTGACGAAATGTTCATGCGTGTCATACGTGATGTTTGCACGTATGTATAAGTTTTACGGATCTTTTTCTTTTCAAGGTATCGCCATGGATGACATATCAGTCAACATAACTATCGACAAATATGGGAGATTAATCACAAACACTGGTAGAAACTACAGTGTTGATAACCACTGGAAGATATCTCAACATTTCACTTTACCAGGTGACACGAGAAATGTAACAATAAAAGCCAACAACCCATTCTATGTTGGTGGAATTCTCGCCTCCTTCAACAATAACGTGGTCACGGATGATTCATGGGAATGTGCTGATATGAAAGACTGCGGGCTCTCTTGTGATAATGGGAGTTCTCAACCTGCATGGAAACCAGCCGTTACATATGGGAGAAATGATAATGCGACAACGATATGGTATAAGGTTATGGGTGATAAAATAAATGACATTAAATCACATGCACAATGGATTTGGGTTGAGGACAGCCAGGCAACAGACGTGTGGTGCAGAAAGACGTTTGGTAAGTTGGGTATGAATTTTGAATACGTCATAATCGAAGAAATATTTTCACCTCTTGTCATTGGAAAAAATCAAAAATTATTTACTCTTATTGTCGAGCAATGATAGTTAGTCGTTTAAGACTAAAGACAACTGATGTGTAAATAACTAGGCGATAACTGAATTCCTATAATCAAAGGTTTGACATCGAGAAATATTTCAAGTTAAGCCACCGAACACAGTTAAGTAGAACAGTCAAGTATCTCAAACATCTTTAATATTTCCTGCAGCACCTCCTTCGTCCAGTGAACTGACCACACAAACTTCAACCCAGGACACAGGTACTGGATGAATATGGTTCACGACTACGAACATTGTTCACATGTATTTTACCACCATGCATTGCGGTGGGGTTTTTTTAAAAAGAGTGTATTCACAAGTTACAACCTTTAAAGAAAAGACAATTAAAACAAGGGTGATCTCAAGTCTGTTAAGATCACCCGCGAAAAATTGCCACATTGCATTCTGGTTATATGTAAAAATGCTGCTATTTTTTCGCAGTGAAAGAACAACTTTTTATTGTTATTTTTTAGCTCAAACTACATATAAAACTAACAAACTCCACGATTTCTCTTGCAGCACCTCCTTCGTTGAGTCAGCCTCGAACACAAACATCTGCAAACGTTAAAGGTAGAAATATGTGGATTACAAATTATTCTTTATCATTTTATCTCACAGGATATATAAACCGTTCATAAACTATAATAATAAAACCAGCTGTATATATTAGGATCTCTCATTTATCCGTTAAGGTGTCCCTATATATCCATTGTCCATTTTTGGCGCAGAAATTCAATTTTTAATTATCTAGTTTTTCTTGCAGCACCTCGCTCGTCGAGTCAACTTCCTACACAAACATCTCAACACGATACAGGTAGGAATATGTGCATGTATATTTCATACATCAAATAAGAACTAAACATCTTTAATCACCCCTCGTAGTAACTTCATCTTTGAATCATCTCTCAATGATAACAACTTCAAATGGTAAAGGTAAGAACATGACTTGTGTAAATATATTCTTTATATCTCGTGATTGTATAGTTCAATCCTTTCATCAACAATAAATCAACTATAAGATCTCTTATAAGAACTAAACATCTTTAATTTTCCTCGTAGCAACTTCTTCTTTGAGTCATCTTCCAACGAGCACAACTTCACATGGTAAAGGTAAGAACAGGTTTAAATATATTCTTTATATCTCGTGGTTGTATAGTTTAATCCTTTCATCAACAATAAATCAACTATAAGATCTCTTATAAGAACTAAACATCTCTAATTTTCCCCGTAGCAACTTCTTCTTCTCCTACGGAAACATCATCATCAGAACACGACAAAGCCAAAGGTGAGAAACGAACTTTTGGCCATTTTCATTTTGTGTTGCAAAGCATCTTGGAATGGAATATTATTTTTTCAGGAACACGTTTTGGCGAACAATAATTTTCAAAAGCATTTTTAGTTTTCTTCTTGTCCGAAAAAGCGCCATTTTTTATCCTCAGGTATCCTGGTGTCAGCTACGATTAAGTGAAATAGATTTAGAATTTGTTTCCTGGGTTACCTGTAAAGTGTCATAATTCTAGCGCAGACCGCAGGCGATGTTTTCGTTGACGAAATGTTCATGGGTGTCATACGTGATGTTTGCACGTACGTTTTACGGATCTTTTTCTTTTCAAGGTATCGCCATGGATGACATATCAGTCAACATAACTATTGACGGCTATGGGATATTAATCACCGACACTGGTAAAAGCTGCAGTGTTAATAACGACTGGCGGAGATCTCAACATTTCACTTTACCAGGTGACACGAGAAGTGTGACAATAAAAGCCAATAACCCGCATGTCGTTGGTGGAATTCTCGCTTCCTTCAACAATAACGTGGTCACGGATGATTCATGGGAATGTGCTGATATGAAAAATTGCGGGCTCTCTTGTGATAATGGGAGTTCTCAACCTGCATGGAAACCAGCCGATACATATGGGAAAAATGATTATGTGAAGGTTAACGACATTGAATCAAATGCACAATGGATTTGGGTTGAGAACAGATGGGCAAAAGAAGTGTGGTGCAGAAAGACGTTCGGTAAGTTGGGTATGAATTTGAAAACGTCATAATCGAAAAAATATTTTCACCTCTTGTCATTGGAAAATATCAAAAAATTATTTACTCTTATTGTCGAGGAATAATAGTTAGTCGTTTAAGACTAAAGACAACTGGGGCTGGTTGTATAAGACTTTTTAACTACACGTTGCATAGTTAAATCCTAGTTAACTCAGAAATACACAACTCTGATTGGCCAATTCTATCCTTAACTACAGTTAAAAGTTAACCAGTCTTTTATACAACTGGTCCAGGATGTGTAAACTAACTAGGCGATAACTGAATTCTTATATAACCATGGTATGAATTGTGTTCAGACGTCAAAAGTTTGACATCGAGAAATAGCAATTCTCAAAATATCCCAAGTCGTAGAACAATCAAGTATCTCAAACATCTTTAATATTTCCTGCAGCATCTCCTTCGTCCAGTGAACTGACCACACAAACCTCAACCCAGGACACAGGTACTGCAGGATGAATATGATTCACGACTACGAACATTGTTCACGTGTATTTTACCACCATGCATTGCGGTGGATTTTTTTTAAAAAGAGTGTATTCACAAGTCACAATCTTTAAAGAAAGACAATTAAAACAAGGGTGATCTCAAGTCTGTTCACCAGCAATAAATTGCCGCATTGCATTTTAGTAAAATGTAAATGCTGCTATTTTTTCGTAGTGAAAGATTACATAAAGTCTAACCTTTTGATTCTTTCTCATTTTATTATGCAGGATAAACCCGTTTATAAATTATAATAATAAAACCAGCTCTATATATTAGGATCTCTCATTTATTCGCTAAGTTGTCCCTATATATCCACTGTCCATTTTTGGCGCAAAAATTCAATTTTTAAATTTTCGAGTTTTTCTTTCAGCACCTCGTTCGTCGAGTCAACTTCCTACACAAACATCTCAACACGATACAGGTAGGAATGTGCGCATGTATATTTCATACATCAATAACTTTTTATAAGAACTAAACCTCTTTATTTTCCTCGTAGTAACTTCATCTTTGAGTCATCTTCCAACGAGCACAACTTCACATGGTAAAGGTAAGAAGAACATGTGTAAATATATTTTCTTTACCTCGTGGATTGAAGGTCAACTCAATCCTTCAAGAGCAGTCAATCACAATATTGTTTTTTCCATTGTCGATCCGAGAAAAATTTAAACTTTTTTTTTTCAGCAAGTGTTGCATCATCTTCTCAGGCTGGTATGTACTAAGTTATCATGTCTGTGTAATTAATCCATTTTACTAATACTATAATGTTCCACTGATATTTATTTTTTCATGAGATTTTCGTTGATATATGATCGATGGGAATATAAACGCCAATCCAGGCTAAACAGAAGTTCTGTTATTTTCTCTTCAGCTTGCGTTGGCATGTCTACAGCTCGTGTTGAGAATCACAAGCTCGAGGGTTCTGTTTTTTCTCAATTTCGCGTCAAAAATATTGCACAATGCGGCATGAAATGCTTCGATGAGAAAGAGTGTCAATCATTTAATTTCATTCCCTCCTCGTTGAGTTGTGAACTCAATAATTCAACTGAACGTTTGGGCTCAAAAAACCTCAAACCAGCTCCTGGTGTGAAGTATTTCTACATGAATGATTGATGGAGGAACGTTGCAAGCCTCGTAATGAAAAACATTGCAAATTTGTTGTGGCAAATATGTAACTATTAAGTTTTTAGAGTTGACCATTCTTAGCATTAGTCACATTCAGTATTGTTTACAAAATTCTGTCGATGTGCATGATCGTTTACGATATCAGTAGGGATATCAGTGGTATTTAAAAGGTAAATGTCAAATCCATAGGGGATAGAACAGGGTATATTAAGAACTATATTAACTTTGAGACAGCTTTACCGTTCATAAAACTTATGAACTTAGTTTATTAGATTTTTGTGATTCCTACAGGGAACTAAACTCTTTTGTGCAGTTCAAAAACAAAGGAGATTATACTTAGGAGATTTCGTATTGTCTTCATCTTGCACAAGTTTGAATATACATAAACAGAGTAGAATGATAGAACAAGTCTAGTTTAGCAAGTGATTTCAGCTTGTTTTCTAGAACATGTTTTTACAAGACTATGTCTGTCTTTGACTGCATGTCTTTGGCCATTAGTTAATGAAATACAAACTTAAGGTTAAATTGACAATCCTGTTGTTACAAAACAGACCTTGGGGGTGACCCAGTATGTTAACTCTGCGATATATTGACTCTTCACTGTCTAATTTGTTTTAACGTTTAAATTTTATTAAATGCGTGTATACATCCAGTAAACTATGACCAAGCCAGCTGAATCATAGCCTACGTAACATAGACGTTAAAAAAACGGTACAAATTATTCAAATATTCGTAGCCCGAATGTTGGCGCCCGTCTGCACGAAAGCCGGAAATTATTACTATATATAGCGTCTGCACGCAGGCTAGCTGAATCGTAAAGCCTTCGCGCATAGTTTTCGTGAAATGCGTGAGCGACCAGAAATATTTGTCATCGGTCGCATAAGAATAACTGGACAGTTGTTAATGTTAAGGAGAATTGCTTTTCTACGCGAGCCTCTTAGTTGGCCTCTTAGTTCATATATTTTGTTGTTTATAGTTTATCTTGCACGGGATTTGTACAAAACATCTGCTGATTCCTTGTTCCTGCTTGTTTAACTTAATAAATTAGTTTCGAGAAAGAAATAGAATACTCAAATAACTCAATTACTGGTGTGTTTTGGCTTTCAGCAGGTTGCTTCTTCTGACAAGGCTAAAGTACCGAGATATTAAAATATATTTTCATTTCCAATAACGAAAGTCACGAAACACCCGGAGTATTGACATAAAAGTTTTAAGTTGTCTTCAGTTCGTGCGCGAAGTCCAAGGCAAGGGTGGGGGACTTGGATCAAAAAGAGTTACATTCATGCACGAAATTTGAGGATGTATAACAAAATGTTTTGCATGAAGACGCAACTAATTTTATGTTTAAGTGGGTCGCTTTCCTTTGATGAGTTTAGTTAAGTTTTTAATTTGAATGAAGATAAGTAAATGAGATAATTTAGGTATATTATAGATAATCTATTTTTATTTTAACCCGAATACGATTACGACTGAGGTACACAGAACGATTTTAAAGCTGATTTCTATCGCTTCCACAGTGGCGGATCTAGGGGTGTGCAGAAGAAATTGCTAAGGTTTAAAATAGGAACCGCATTGACAGATTTTATTGTAAAAATATTCTATTAAGGTGTTTTGAGTTTAAAATTAAACTCGGTAGCTAATATTTATTCTGCACACCCGTAAATCCGCCACTGGCCTACCAGGCATTCATATGTGACATAAACACCTCCAGTGTATAAACGCAGACATTTAGCCGCCTTTTATGTGATATATCCATGACAATATAATTATAAGAAAGATTTATTCGTGAACGCAGCCCCATACCTATATCTACACCCACGCAGACTGCGGCAAGAACGCAGATCGATTTGAGAAATTGAATATTTTGGACCAAAGTTCTTGTTTTGAGTGAAAATGTTGTTTGGTTTTGTGTTGATCGTTTTTATTGGAGTTTGGTTTGAACCAGCGCAAGGACAGGGTGGATGTGAGTAGATTAAATTTTGTCTTTTATCTTCAGTTGGTGTAATAAATCTTCATGTTACTTGAATAATTGCGTTAATATACAAACGTGAAATTTAAAACTGAATGAAAAGTAAAAGTTTGAAATTTTTACTTCTATGCATGTAGGCTTGAACCTGCAAAATATTTTTTGTGTTGAGAACTCATAATTACAATATTTATATATACATATTACTGCATGACATTATAACGCCTTTTTATATATGTCACTATAATTATTACAATCGTGTTGCATGAGTATTCCTCTCGGAAACCACCATTGTAATATTTTAAATGCTTTGAGGTTAACTTTTATAATACATAATTTTAAACTATATTTTTTCCTTTCTGGGAAAGTACTCCTAGTAAATTTGTGCATTGAGAACTGCAGGAATGAACTGGATGAGTGCGAGCGTTTAACATTTGGACGCATGGATAGCAAAGAAATTACTTTATGTGATGCTAATTGGAATGTGACAAAAATAACGGATAACACTTTCCTTGTCAAAATGAAGAGGAACGACAGCAATGTTGTCCAGTCATGGGAGTGTGCAAACGGAAACTCGTCTGCTTTTCATGACGATAATCCAGATCGTCTGTGGTCTGACGCCTGGTCCTATAGTTATCAACTTCATGATGGTCGTTGGTATTCTGGATTCATCTCGAAAGTTTCGGCGAAACAACTGTACATGTATTTCGGCAGTGTTATTTACTCTCTTTGTTGCAGAACGGAAAAAGAAGGTAACTAAAAGGCTTTTCTGTTCTAAAGGCCGGCGCACACTAGAGCTATGTGCTTAGCCAAAAGTCATTCGTGGCCATTGGTGTAAGCTAGTTGCTCTCGTGTGCGAGCGACTTTTCCAGTGACTTTCGTCATTCGTGCCAAAAGTCGCCGGAAAAGTCGCCCGCACACGAGAGCAACTGGCTTACGCCGATGGCCACGAATGACTTTTTGCTAAGCACATAGCTCTAGTGTGCGCCGGCCTTAAGACTTTGATAATATATTTCAGCTTTCCGAATATATAATGCTGTGTATATTATTCATTTGTCTCATCTGTTTTCAGACACTTCAAGCTTCAAATACGTTGCAGTCAAGAATCGATTAAACCAATCACAAGCACAATTTTACTGCTCGAACACATTCAGCAGTCTCAAAGGTACCTTAGGCAGCTTTCAAGATCAAATTGACTTCGATAAAGTTGTCAAATTAACAGAAACGGTTGGAGAAGCGTGGGGCGCCAGGAAGTATTGGACAGGTCTAATCACTAGCAACAATACCGCTAGATTTGTTGATGGAACTAATGCTTCGTTTGCCACAACTCTGATGAATAACAATGGAAAAAATACGAATGATCGTAATGAAACATGTGTCGTTGTCCAAGGAACAACTCTGGAACGTCGGCCTTGCACTGAGGAAGAATATTTTGTTTGTAAAGTTACTTTTAACCACGAAAAAGTCGATGAAAAAGGTGAGTTTAGACCTTTAATAGGCCTATTTAATGCATAAACACTAAATCAACTATAAGATATCTTATAAGAACTAAACATCTTCAATTTCCTTCGTAGCAACTTCTTCTTTGAGTCATCTTCCAACGAGCACAACTTCACATGGTAAAGGTAAGAACATGTGTAAATATATTCTTTACATCTCGTGATTGTATAGTTTAATCCTTTCATGAACAATAAATCAACTATAAGATCTCTTATAAGAACTAAACATCTTCAATTTCCTTCGTAGAAACTTCTTCTTTGAGTAATCTTCCAAAGAGGCCAACTTCACATGGTAAAGGTAAGAACATGTGTAAATACATTCTTTATATCTCGTGATTGTATAGTTTAATCCTTTCATGAACAATAAATCAACTATAAGATCTCTTATAAGAACTAAACATCTTTAATTTTTCTCGTAGCAACTTCATCTTTGAGTCATCTTCCAACGAGCGCAACTTCACATGGTAAAGGTAAGAACATGTGTAAATATATTTTCTTTATATACCTGTTTTTTTAATGTATAGGTCAACTCAATCCTTTCAGGAGCAGTCGATCACAATATTGTTTTTTCCACTGTTGATCCCAAAAAAATTTAAATATTTCGCTTTTTATTTTTAGCAAGTGTTGCATCATCTTCTCGGGCTGGTATGTACTAAGTTATCATGTTTGTGTAGTTAATCCATTTTACTAATATCATAATGTACAACTGATATTTTATTTTTCATGAAATTTTTGATGATATATGATCGATGGGAATATTATACCCCAATCATGCAGGCTAAATGCAAGTTCTGTTATTTTCTCTTCAGCTTGCGTTGGCATGTCTACAACTCGTGTTGAGAATCACAAGCTCGAGGGTTTTGATTTTAAAGAATTTCATGTTAAACATGTCGCACAATGCGGCATGAAGTGCTTCGCTGAGAAAGATTGTCAATCATTTAATTTCAATTCCTCCTCGTTGAATTGTCAACTCTTCAATTTCATTGAACGTTTGGGCTCAAAAAACCTCAAACCAGCTCCTGGTGTGACATATTTCTACAGGAATGATTGATGGTCGACGTTGCAGGGCTCGAAATGATGAACATTGCAAATTGTTGTGGCAAATATGTAATTATTAAGTTTTTAGAGTTGACTATTCCCAGCATTAGTCATACATTCAGTATAGTTTACAAAATATTGTAGTTATCAATGATTGTGATATATCAGTAGGGATATCAGTGGTATTTAACAGGTAAATGTCAAAGTCCATAGGGGAGATGACAGGATATATTAAGAACTATATTAACTTTGAGACAGTTTTACCGTTCATATATCTTATGAACTGTGTTTATTAGATTTTTAACAGCACGACTTGTGATTCTTACAGGGAACTAAACTCTTTTGTGCAGTTTAAAAACAAAAGAGATTATACTTAGGACATTTTGTATTGTCTTCATCTTGCACAAGTTTGAATATACATAAACATGAGTAGAATGATAGAATAAGTATACTTTAGCAAGTGATTTCAGCTTGTTTTCTAGTGCATGTTTTTACAAGACTACGTCTGTCTTTGACTGCATGTCTTTGGTCATTAGTTAATGAAATACAATATGCTTTAAAAAGACTATGGTGTCTCGATTCTTAGGAATAGTGCAGGATTGGTCGATTAGCAGAATTAATGAGGGTTACATCAACGTTAATGTCATCATGAAACAAAAGGCCAAAAGAAAAAACAAAAGATATAGTATGAGGTGTTTGACTGCTTTATTCAAAGAATCTGCCAACCTTTGCCGAGTGTGATTCTAGTTTACTTCGCTTGCATGCTTTGTAAGAAGTTTGTTTTGTATTATGATTGAAGATATTTCACGTCTTATGCATGCATGTCTTTATTAAACAATGTGTTTCGTAGTGAAATAAATCCTTGCGTAAAATATTTATCTTACACTGGGAATACATCGAGTAGAACCTGAAAGGAAGAGGTTTTGTGAATTCAGGCGACAAGACGGCAAGTATTCGCTCGGTAATGACAACAATGGCGGAGTACAGAGCAGGTGCTTTGAGAAGCGAACTCGCTTCCAACAACGATGGCAAATTATTTCGCACCAGGATTTCGGATGGGTATAATCATTGTTGTATCTTTTATTAATCTAGAAGTTAAGAACAGGACTTAACAATTGTATCTCAAATTTCAATTATTTCATTGAACAATATTTCTGATAGTTCATACACATTACTCCGCCATATTGGATTTTCAAACTTATATATATATATATATATTGTTATGTAAGCTTGTGTTGAATGCTTGTCAATATTTAGCAAGTTCACTACGCGAGTGAATGGATTATTCAACTTTTCGTGTCAACTTTTCATTTCTCTTCGAAAAATTTTCCATCCTAATAGCCTTCACTTAAATTTTTAGTCCAATATATAGCGGTCTTCACTTAGTTAAAGGTTAAATTTGCAATCCTGTTATTACAAATACAAAAGGAAACCTTGGGGGTGAACCAGTATGTTTACTCTGCAGTATATTAACTCTTCACTGTCTAATTTGTTTTAGCGTTTAAGGCTCGTTTCAGACGTCGAAATTTTCATGTGCCGATTCGAATGCAAATGAACTTAAACGAAGACTTTAGCTCAATAACATTAGGTTCGGCACATGAAAAGTTCAATGTCTGAAACAGGCCTAAATTTTCTTAAAGTGTGTACATCCAGCGTTTACATTTTCTTAAATGTGTATAGCTACATTCAGCGTTTACATTTTCCTTTGAAATGTGTTTGCACATCAATTATGTCTATATGACCTGGAGATGAAGTAGTGATCACGAAGTTTCTACAAAACATCTGTTTCATCCAGTTCCCTGCTTGTCTAACTCAACAAATTTGTTTTGAAAAACAGATAGAATATTCAATTACTGTTGTGTTTTGGCTTTCATCAAAGACGCTGGTGTATCTATTTGTATTTTAACCCGAAAACGTATATTATATTAGCCATGGTTTGGCTGACTTTTATGAACATATTTTAGCCATGGTTTGGCTGACTTTTATCGACATATATTACCCATGCATGCATGTTATTTACACCAATCTAATTGTATATAGATTCGTTTTGCATTCGAATTGTCTTAAAAAAATTTGTTCCTAAAGCATCATAACATGCGTCAGCTTAATAATGCATATTGTTCTCATTGCTTTCACCAGATGTGTGCCGTTTTAGTGATCTTTAAGCTTTGTGCAAAGAACCTATAGCTTATACACTATCTTACGAGGTATCTTTAATTGGTAAGTATAAAGAACTTTTATGATATACTGCATGAAGGTAAAAATATTTATATACGGACATATGTTTGGCTAACGTTTTGCAAAGTAAGATTAGCTTTATGAAGACGAAATTGATAGTTCCTATAAATATAATTGTGCTGTTAAGTTTTTGCGTTTTCTGCGAAACAGTCACTTACTTCCCTCTTTCATTGGACTTTGTTTTTTAAAAAGCCCAATATATAAACTACGGGATGGTGCAAAATATTTTCCTTCTTGAACTTACTGTATGATAAAAAACTGGAGTATCTAGACTTATTCAAATATAATTGAACGCCGTATTGTCTGCATCTTAAACTTTCTTGGTAAGAATGTCCTCAAACTTCACGAAATACAGCTATTACAGTAGCCTGCGTTAAAAATAAAATGAACTCCATACATAATCTTTTTCCTTTTCATGAAGGTAAACTTCTTTCTAAAGTCGTTATTCCCATTTCTATGGCAATGCATTTTAATAATTTTGAACACGTTATATATAGAGAGAATTCACATTTAAGAAATAGAAAACATTTTCCGGGTTTTTATACAGTTATAGAAACACGCGTGAGAGTTTGGGAGAACGAGAGATAATCAATGGGAAAACGAGCCCGTAGGGCAAGTTTTTCCACGTTATTTCGAGTTCTCCCAAACTCCCACAAGTGTTTCTATAACTGTATAGAAACACAGGAAAAAATGTTTTCTATTTCTTTTATAATATAACTCAATAAAAGATTTTGTACAAATATTATGATTTGATTCAATTACGAATTCTCATTACATCGCTTCGCTTGTCAAGTTCGGCGGGAAAATTCCCGTGTTTCTATACAGTTATAGAAACACGCTTCTCGACCAATCAGCACGCGCGTACTATAAATGTAATATTATAATATATATTTCTAACCAACAGTTTCTAACAGACGAGTGGCCTTCTTCGGCGTTGACTAAAATACATTCAGTTCAACGCTTAATTTTCGTAATTTTCGAAAATGTAAACATTTCATGAACTTCGTCAGTTGATATTAATAGATTGTCTCATTTAGTTTTTTTGCTGTATTGAGCCTAAAAAGTGAAACATTTCTCGCAATCTGGTGTAGTAGGCATGCATGTATAGTGTTATGCTATAATTTTGTATTATGTGTTATTTTTAATTCACATTATACTTTAAATGAAACTGGTTTAAAAACTGATCTTTTATCCATATAGAAAGCTGAAAATTTGCTGGACCTAAAGACTAAGAGACGTTAAAGTATTTTGGTTGAAAAAACATTTGCCTCATCTTGTTGGAGCGAAAAATGTGGCAACAAAAATACAAGAAATCAATAGCGACATCTGCCTTGGTTTTGCTTCTTGAAACAACTATCATAAATGCTGGTAAGTTGCGCAATTAGTGCCAATTTCTCTTTGTCACGAGTTATTCCTCTATTTCGGCTTGCGTGCAATAATTTTGCAAATAATTTTTCAAAGAGGTAAGGCTATAGTAATTGTGGCACAGGCACTCTTAACTCTTTTGCATTCATCATGCAGAATGATAATTGCATACAACTTATTGTGCCGTCTAAACGGGGCTTTATACATCAGAGCTTTCGTAGATAATTACTCGTTCACCTCTATAATAATAATAATAATAATGTGATAATAGTAATAACTTTATTTAAAGTGGTTTCAGCATTAGCCTCAAGGCTACTTTACAGGATGTCCACTAATAAATAAATAATGATATATACTTTATCTAAGTTAGAATATTCTACATGTTATGAAATACAAAGTTCTATATAATATCGCAGTGAAAATCGCAAGTGTAAACGGGCCTTTTAATATGCCAAGTCGAGCGCAGAGATCGTCACAAACATTTGCTCTGCATTCAATTCAGAGTTCTATAAGCCTCGTCCTGAGTATACAAGTTTGCTCAAAGGCTACGTAGATGCAAGTTTTACTGAATCCTTCCAGAGACGAAGTTTTGTTTTTGTTTTCTGAATTTTCATTTTGATGTTAACGCCTTAATTAACGGTATATATAGATACAATTATAAAAACCAAACAATTTTTTGAAAGACGTGAAACGTATAAATCTTTCAATCAATTATCAATATTGCTTGACTGATCGATCAACTTCAATGCCGCAAAAAGTCCTTTTCATTTAACTCAAATGTTTTTATGCATTTTAAATAACAATTT